TGTTGTTGTTGTTGTTGTTGTTGTTGTTGTTGTTGAAGGAGAGAATGTTGTTGTTGTTGTTGGAGGAAACCTCCATGCTGATTGGAGGGAGTTGAAGGATTTGAGCTTCCACTGGTAAAATGTGGATAAGCATCAACAGAGTTTGGACTCACTGATCGTATAGAATCCACCAAACTATATGAGTTTAGCTGTGAGTTATGATTGCGATTGAGCTCAAATTGTCTAGATGCGGTGTGCTGATCATTGAATGATGAAAATGACTCGATGCCAGTCTGGTGTTGTGGTTGTCTCCAGTTGGATTTTTGGAACGAGTTGTATTGTTGTTGTTGTTGTTGTTGTAGAAATGGAGGAGGGGAAATTGAATCAGAGACAGAAATGGAAGAGATTGGTGGCGCAGAGCTTGGGTGCAAAGGAGTTGGTTGGTTGAAAAAAGAGGAAGCGGGCGATGATGTTCTCAAGGAAGGCGAGTTGGAAGGTGGTGTCAAATGAAAAGAGCTGTTGATGGAGTTGTTGTCAATGAAGTTGCTGTTAAAGCTATTATGGAAACTTTGTGGATGGTGTTGTTTCAATAGTAAACTGCTGTTATTGTTGTTGTTGTTGTTGCTGCTGAGTATGTTGAAACTGTTGTTGTTGTTGTTGTTGTCTAAAAAACTTTGAGTGCCCGATGATGATGGGGTATTGAATGAATGTGATCCATTGAGAAGTGAACCAGATATGTCATCGAGTGAGGCGTCATTCAACGAAAGTCTATAGAATGATTGGTCCATATTCAATGATTTCCCGTTGTCTTTTTACTTAAGAGGCATCTGTCTGGAGCTGCATATATGATTATATTATGGTGATAGAGAGATTTGTAGGATGATGAAATAAGTGATTTTAAAAAACAAAAGAAAAAAAGGTGATAAGAAATAAAAAGAGAATGTGATAGAGATAGAGAGAAAGAGAAAGAGAGAGAGAGAGAGGAGAGATTGATGTGTAGTTGGGGTTGGAGGGTTTGTTTTGTTCTGTTGATGATGGGCAACAACACACCCCCTCAAACAACAAACACCCCTTTGAGTTCAATTTTGGTAGTCTAAATTAAATTAAATTAAATTCATAAAACCCCATTTAAAAAGGTGAGGAAGTTGTTGTTATTGGTGTTGAGTGATGTGGTATATTCCGTCCTTGATCCTCTGGGCAATCTGTAACACCTTGGCGTCTGAAAGGTTGAGATTAATGTCCTTGATGTCCAAAATGTAGTTGGATTGTCTAAAATTGTTGTTGTTGTTGTTGTTGTCTGAATGCGGTGATTGGTTGCACAAGTCCAACACAGAGTTGATATCCCCGGCCTTGATTGATCGCTTACCTGCTTCAATGTCGCTGCCATCACCACCACCACTGTCGGGCGTAGTGGTGAATATAGGTTGACAGTTCTTGTCCAACTTGAGATTTATGTTTGTGTACCTCCTGTCGGAGCGCTTTAACCAATCCGCCAGTACCACCGATGACATTCGCTTGCCAGACTCGTTTGGTAACGATCTGCTGTAGTCATATCCTTGCATTTGATCCTTCTTGGTGGCGGATCGACTATTCAGATGGGGTCGGAGCTCGTACTCAAATGGCTGCTGCATTGGCAGTGATAGTCTTGATGCCATTGTTGTCTGATGGTAGTTGAGTGGATCGTTGGACGATTCGTAGAGAGCTGGATTCTCGATGGGGAATAGCAGAATGTCATAATTATGCAGTGGCTGGCTTGAGAACAGTGCCGACAAGTAAAGACATAGCGATATGGTGGACCATTGGTTTGGCTCTTTACCAGCGATAATGACGAACCAGGATCGCACCGGATTGAATCCATAGAGCTTGATGCCCTTTATATTCTTAATTTCACTCTGTGGAGAGAGGTATGCAATGCGGATACTTTCTGAAGCGAATGGAGAATGCATTGAAACTTGTCGCAGGTATCTGTTTACCTGAGTGATCTCTGTGGGCTGTGACCTTATCAAATTGAGGTCCAAGTTATTGAACTGGCTTGAATAAAAGTATCTCTTTTGATGTTGATCTGGTGCACCAGTGCCGCTATTATTATCGAAGAACAAATATGATGGTGTTGATCTTAATATTACGGAACTGTTCCTACTACTACTACTACCACTGCTATTGCTACCATTGCTGCAAGTCCTTCTATTAAGTGTATGTACATGTTGTTTGAGAAGAGACTGTGGATTGCATGGGGCAGCAGGATGCTGTAATAATATCTTTGAAAGTTTCATAGAACTGCTACTAGTTTGTTGTTTGTGATAGTATTGAATTGGTGAACATACTGTTCTCTAGTTCTTGTTGTTGTTGTTCTTGTTGTTGTTGTTGAAGTTGTGGTTGTGGTGTGGTTGTTGTGTTCTTGTGGTTGTGTTGCTGCTCTACATCCTCACCACCAATATTAAGGAACTTCCGGGTGTCGTTTCAATCCACTAAACACACCACCTTTCTTTTTTGCCAGGATTGTGGTAATTGCTGATTACAAAGAGAAAGAGAGATTGAGAGATAGACAGATAGATAGAGTAGAGAGAAAAGAGAAAGAGATGGATTATGTAGAATCAGAGGTACTCCTCAGGTATGAAAAAAATGAATTGCACTTGCTTTCTATATATATGTGACACGAATAGCTTACAACAACAAAAACAACAATACTACTCTCTGCAGTTCTAATAGTAGGTCCGACGTTTCAAAGTATGACTATCAGGTGGTTGGTCGCAAGACACCAAGGCGATTCTGGTTTGGTCTGGTCATCATTCTTCTCACAAATATATCATTGTCTATCGTCTCTTTAACTATATGGCCCTATCTATCATTGGTATGTTATTATTATTATTAAGAGTATCATCATCAACTATTGTTGTTATTAATTCATCATCATCAACAACAACAATTCTTCACAAAATTTATATAGAATGTAGAAAGTATATATATATTAGCAATATCAATATCAGTATTCCATGGTGGAGCATCACTAGGCAAGAAACTATTCACTATGGTTGGTGAACGTTACGAGAACTATTGGACACAGCTCATTCTGGCACTGTCCATTGCGATGATGGGCGATATTTTGTATGCAGCCTTCCCTCAGCAGTTCCTCATCATCGTTGCACGCTTTATAGTTGGCATTGGCTCTGGCAGTAGTGTGATTCTTCAGAGCATGCTGGTGCCCAAGGGCAGTGATCACACGACACAAGTCAACCGATTGACATGGATGTCTTTAACAACGTCATTAGCGTACGTGGCAGGACCTGCTCTAGTGGCAGCCGTCTCCCTTCTCAACATCAACGACACTGTCAATCTATATCATGACAGTGGTACAGTGGCCTTCTTTGGATGGTTAGCATCATTCTTTACATTTATAGCTCTTGTCTTGGCATCGGTTGGCAAGGTCATTGACAAGTCACAACACAAATCCATTGACAACGATATCTTTGGTTCGATCAATGGTATGTCGAACATCAACTCTCTCGCCCTCACTCTATCTAACAACCTTTGGACACACCTCTCTAGATATTCAACCAATTGGCACTGGATATCGATCACAACAGTCTTGTATATTCCCACCAAAGGTCACACTGACGATCATGTGCTTCATTCACTATCTAATATTCAATTGCGGAACAATATTGGAGACAGTACTCATACCAGATCTCATCAATGTCGGAGGCTATAGCACATATAATTGGAACTTGACCAAGGTGGCAATGCTATTTGTTGGACTAGGTGTGTCATGTGGAGTGGCAGCCTACCTTAGCAAACGAATCCAAAGCAACAATCTACTGCTCTATATTTCAATGATACTATTCACTCTAGGCTATGCATTCATGTGTTCATGGAAATTCCAACAACAACAGACCACTGGCAGTCAGAGTCCATCAGCACCAGATATTGTACGCTTCCTTCTTGGCGTTATAATGGTGGCCATTGCCTATCCAACAGCAATAGCCAGCTCCATCACTCTTTTCTTTGAGTTGATATCAACTGTATATATTGTATGTTATACTTTCTTCGACAAACATTCCATCCCTTTGTACTAACTCATTCACATACAACTCAACAAACTAAAGAAAAAGGCATCCAACATGTTCTTGTTTGCCAGCAACTTTGGAAGACTGTTGGGACCACTCTGGGCTGTACTGATTTTCGAAAGGATAGGAGACAACGCAGTCTATGTCTATGGTGTTTGTGCAGGCCTTGTATCACTGATACTGTTGCTCTCAATTGGTAGATCATTCAAGTTCATCTCGACCAATTCAAACATACAGCGTAATGTCCCAATATTGAATGTGGACGATGAGGATGATGGAGTATTTAGATAGGTTGCTAATAAATAATTAAAATAATATTTAAAGCTTGTAGCCAAGTGATGTTCATTGTTTGGGTCAAACTTTTGAAGTTCATGTCAAAACAATGTGAAACACTCTTTGATGATTATTAGTTGTAGATAGAGATAATAGAGTAGTAAGAAGAGAGAGATAGATAATGAACCCGTTCGAACTGATCCCTGTGATCAATAATGTTCCCTGCAAGATTGAATCAATCGATATCTGGGGATCAAACATATATATAGGTACAAATGATGGTCAGATACTGATGTACATCATTGAGAAGGTGGAGAACACTGCAAACAACAACAACGCTAGTGGTTACAGTAGTAGTAGTAGTAGCAACAAAGGAAAGATATCATTCAAGTCAAGGATGGAGAAGAAAAGGACACTAGGTCATGGAAAGAAGCCTGTAGAGAAGATACTACTAATCGCTGATATAGGCAAACTGCTCACTCTCTGTGGTACGTATAATAGTTACACACCTACTTACATACTCTCTACAATTCCTACTAACACATAAGTATTCACAAACCTAGACGGTAACCTAGACGTCTTCAATCTATATAACCTCGAACCAACCACCCCTATTGGTCCAGCAGGCAAAGGCGTTACCACATTCTGTATCAAGAAGAACAGTCCTGACTATAGACTCTGTGTCGTGTCAAAGAGGAAGATATCGCTGTTTGAGTATGTCCGTGTGTTTGACTTGCACAAGGAGGTCATCCTTCAAGACACACCTCTGGCTGCAGAGTGGTGCGGAAACACAATCTGCCTGGGCTATCGTAAGGAGTATGCTGTGTTGGACATCAACAAGGAATCACATCGAATACTGTTCACATTGGATCGAACCATGCCACGACCAAAGTTCATTATGGACTCTCATGGAACACCTCTGTTCCTTCTGTCAACAGATGACCTAGGCGTTCTAGTCGACATGAACGGAGAACCTGTTCAAGGCTCGGTACAGTGGTCCTCATCACCATCTTTGCTCTCCTTCTGGACCCCCTATCTGATCTCACAGGTCAATGGCACCAACTCATCAAAGGTGTTGGAGATACACGACATTATCAGCTATCGACTGGTGCAATCAGTCACACGACATCTACACGCATCACCGCCAATGGTCTACACAGCAGTTGCAGAGGGCCGCTCCGATGGTGGCGATCTCCTAATGCTAGCCAGCTCATCACCACACTGTGTCTACTGTCTGAATCTAAACAGCATGGATCAGCTCATTCAGGCGATGATCTCCAAGGGTGAATACGAGGAGGCAGTCCGAACCTTTGAAATATTCTTCAAGAAGGAGCAGACACTGAGCCAACAACAGGACGCCAACTACGACCCCGCAATGGAGCGGGCCACACATCAAGCCCGTCTTGCCAAGATATACGAACAGGCTGGACTGAACGAACTGCACCACTTTAAGTTCTCCACTGCCTTCAAGTACTTTGCACAGTCGCGCCTCGATGCTCGAGCCCTGGTTGCTCTTTTCCCCTCACTGTTGCCCTACCAAACAAACTTCCGATCGCCCCTGACTGAGAACCTGGCAGAGATGATCGCCTCAAGTCACAACACACCAGTGCGTCAGATTGAAATGATGGACGAAGCCAAGCTCCAATTGCTAGAGTGTCTGGAGAACCGATTCCCACACATCAAGGCGATCGAGGAGCAAAAGGACATTGCATCAGTGCAGGTGAAACTCTATGCAGAGTTCAAACAGCACAAGAAGCTCGAGTCAGTGCTCAGTCGTCCGGGCATTGCTCTGTACCAACAGGACCTCGAAGAGTGGCTCACAAATGAGCGTCTCTACTGTGCACTGGGACTTGTCTATCAGTACACAGAGAAATACCGCAAGGCCTTGGTGCTGTGGGCCAAACTGGACAGCGGGGAGATGACCGATCGACATGAATCAACCGGATTGAAAGAGTCCATCGATCTATTGTCAGCGACCAATGGAATAGAGCCCCCAAAGGAGTTGGTTTGGGAGTTCTCTGTCTACCTGCTAAAGGCACATCCAGACGAAGCAATGGCCATCTTTTTGGCACACCGCAAGGATCCTCTCAACACCAATGAGGTTATCGAGTTCCTTGGCAAGACAACACGCAGCAGCTCACTAATCATGTACCTAGAGTTCTTGATATTTGAAGAGAATGACAAGACTGAACAATATCACACAAGACTGGCAGCCAGCTACATTGAAGACATTATCAAGACATCTCCAAACCTTTTCAAACAACAACAACAACAACTCGAGACTCAATCACAACAACAGTACAAGTCAGAGATCACAAAGGAGCGACAACGTCTTTTGACATTGCTAGAGTTCTCAAACTGCTACAATGTTCCCACACTACTGGCACAGATAAGGAACAGTCTACTGTATGAAGAGTTGGTCATACTGTACCTGAGGAGTGGAAAGTACGACATGATGTTTGACATTATAGTTTGGAAACTAAACGACTTTAAGAAGGCCGAACTCATTTGTTCAACATTCGATCCTCATCACAGTCTCTCAGTGGCCGCTGTCACCTCTGCCACTGCATCACCAATGTTGGCCAAATCACCATCCACTAGCTTGGACATATCATCAATCTCACCCGCTCTTCGTGGAGTCAAACCATCAGTACAACATTCGCCACACTTGTCATCACTGGATCCAGAGTCACCAGCCAATGCATCACCCAGCAGGAACAATAAGGAGACTCTATATGAACCCAAGAGGATGGAGCTATTCCTATGTCTACTCAAGACATATCTAAGAGCATATTCATCAAACAACAACAACAGTAATACTACAACAACACTACCAACTTATGTAATCGAATTCCTTAACAACTACTACTTTGAGATGGACCCAATCAAGGTGTTGAAGTTGTTACCATCAACAGTTCCAGTTCACACAATAGAGAACTACCTGTCACAGTCGTTCACCTTTAGCATCAGTAGCCAACGAGAGACAATGATCGTCAAGAACCTACACAAGTCATTGCACATGCACACCAAGTTTGAACATCAGACTGTTTGCTCCAACAGTGTGGCCATCAGTGGAGACAGTCGCTGTCCAGTATGCAGTAAGCCCATCGGAGACCGAGTGTTTGCCTACTTCCCCAACGGCATCATTGTACACTTCAAGTGCTTCCAGTCAAGCTATATCTGTCCAGTCACAGCACACAACTTTAAGACTGACCCGGCCATTAAACCTGTATCTGTTTGATTTTAATGAAAAGAGAGATAAAAACATTCTAACTACAAGAATCGATTCGTCAAGTTGATGCCACAATGAGCTTCATACTATTCTACCCCATTCTCAGATTCGGGACTATGATTCTTCAATCGTCATTGGTCCCCTGGGCTGAAAAGTGATCGTACGTTCCTAGAGGGAAAAAGAACCATTGTTCCAAAATCTTATTGACAACTACCCCACACCCTACTGTAGTGTTACCCCACCTTCACCACCAAACTCATCCAACACGTGTACAACCAACACCCGAGTAAGGTAAGTGGTGTGGGTATTGCATAGATAAGAGAGTGAATGTGCCAAGAGAAGTGAGTAGAATAGGGTAGTTGGGGAGACAGTCACAGAGATAGAGAAAGAGAGAGAGAGACATACAGACAGACAGATAGATAGATAGATAGAAAGTGAGAGAAGGAAGAGATAATCATTATATCACAACATCATCACATCACCATCACCATTCATTACTCCTCTCATTAAAAAGCAGTAGCAGAAAAAGAAGAATAAGAAGAAGAAGAAGAACTATTCTATCAACCATGACAATAAATCCTCAATTTGAGGAGATGGAGACAGTCTCTGGGTCCTCCATACTCAACCTATTCCCAGACGATAAGAAGACTACACGGTTGGCGATCAAACTTGAAGCTGTTTCCAACTTTAGGAATCTAGGTGGTATGCCCATAGAAGGTTCAAGGTAGGTTGTTGACAATGTTATCTACAATCCCCAATACCTAACATATATCGGAACAACAGTGGCAATTTAGTCATTAGACCTCACGTTATCAATAGATCAGCTTCACCAACCAATGCCACTGTGAGCGATGAGTTTTGGCTACTACACGTACTGTCCATCAAGACATTGATCGATCTGCGAACTACATGGGAGAACAAGACTATATCTCCTGTTAGGAAATTCGAAGACAACTTTGTACAGTTCTCCATCAAGGAGGACAAGGAGAAGGAGGGTCGAGGATCTCCTGCAACATCCCCAACTGCAGAGAGGAGAAGTCCCTCTCCAAGTAGAGAGCAGATGCTGAGTGCCTCGTTCGACCCCAATAGGTCGTCCAGAGTCAATGGCCAGCAACAGCAGCAACAGCAACAGCAACAGCCTAGACGATTCAGTTCTGGCCAAATAGACACAAAGCATGATACAACCAGTGAGGCAACAGGCAATGGAGCAAGTGGACTGGTTGTCAGCACTGGTAGCAACAGCAGCAGTGGCAGTAGTAGTAGCAGCAGTAGCAGCAATGGTGATGCCGTTCCCACAATTCAAGTTCCAACAGAGAGAGAATTGTTTGAATTGGAGATGGAGGAACAGAGGAATGGATTCCTTTGGAGGATATACAACAGAAACGAGGATATGGAGCGACTGAGATCACATTCACCTGGAGTATACAGGAACAGATATTGTATTCCACTAATCAACAACCAGTTCTTTTTGGAGGGCGTTTATCAAACTGCCTCTAACGAAACCAAGGTGTAAGTGGAGGAGCTAACAACAATAATCCAAACATCATAGTCTCCTAACATCATTATCATTGTCTATTACTACAGCAAGGTGACAGTGTCAAGATACTTGTTGTTTAACGACAAGGTTGGAGCATTCATGTTGATGAATCACTTGAACGAGTTGGGAATACTTGGAATGTATCGACTGACACTACTGTACACCCAAGAGGAACTGCTGACTGTAAGTGGACATATTCTTTGTGGACATGATTTAGAGTCGATACTAACATATTGACCATTCGAACACAATAGATATTAAGGATTATGAAGAACAAGGACAACTACCCTATCATGTATTTCTGTTCACTGGGCAAAGACCGCACTGGAATGGTGACGGCAATTCTACTCTCATGTCTTGGCGTACCCCGCGATATTATTGTCGCCGACTATGCCAAGTCCGAGGGCAACCTCACTGCACACCTTGAGCAGATCAAAAAGTACTTCAACCGTGTCGGTTTGGCCAAGGACGAGTTTGTTCGATCCCCACCAGAGATCATGGATGGTCTGCTAAGTTGGCTGGTGGAGACATTTGGCTCAATAGCCAACTATCTTGAGGTGATTGGATTCAAGAAAGAGGAACAAGAACAGCTGCGCAACAACCTGATCGTCACTAAAGAGGAGTACAACCAACTGGTGAGTCTATCACATCTCACCAATCTCACAGACCTACAAAAGCGACACGACGACTATGTGAGCAGCCAATCCAACCGAAGGACCTCTGCCAACCCATTCAAGGATTCAAGACTCTGGAGGAGACAGAACAAGGAGGAGCGAGGTGCTGCAAGTAACAATAATAAATAGTAGTAGTATTCGGTGTCCCATGCATTGAGGTATCGGATAAATAATGATAACTTAATCGATCAACTAGATTTATTCTACCCCAGGGACAAGATCCGAACATATGGGAGTTCAAAGTTACAGGACAACGGAACTGTTGTTGGTGACAAATTTATTCTGCAGAAGATCGATGGCATTCTAGAATGATGAATAGGTTAACCATTTAAACACTTGATCTTAACCTTCATTGTATAAGTAAAGCAATCATAGCAATAACTAAGTAGATACATTAAAGAGTAAAGCAGTAGGTATGAGTCAATCAAATCAACAACCTACACCAAAGTTGCCTCTTCCACCATTCACACATGAAACAGCAGTTCAGAAGGTCAGGTTGGCTGAGGATGCATGGAACTCTCGTGACCCTGTCCGTGTGTCGCAGGTGTACACCGAGGATACAAAGTGGAGGAACAGAGCAGAGTTCCCACAGGGTCGAGAGCAGGTCGTAGAGTTCCTCACAAAGAAGTGGCAGAAGGAGCAAGAGTATCGTCTCATCAAGGAGCTGTGGGCCTACGATGGTAATAGGATTGCCGTACGATTTGCCTACGAGTCAAAGGATGTCAATGGTGTATGGTGGAGATCCTATGGCAATGAGAACTGGCAATTCAATGAACAAGGCTATATGGAGCGACGTTATGCATCGATAAACGACCTTCAGATAAGTGAGTCTGAGCGTCTGTTCCACTGGCCACTCGGTCGTCGTCCAGATGATCATCCAAGTCTATCAGAACTTGGTCTCTAGTTAGTTAGATAGAGGTGTAATAAATTAAGATTAATGAATCCAATGCCAAAGTAATCTGAATGTCTTTGGGAGGTGCAGCCTGGTGAATCAGGAGTAAGAGGTCGTCTTGAAGCGCAAAGAACTCAATTTTGGTGGTGGTCACCACAAGCGTGCCGGATCTTTTGTGTTGTTGTAATAGATACCAGCAATGCACTACTTGGTGCATAAAACCAGATAATTATAACAATAAAACTTTATTATTACTATCACTATTACAATAGTTATAAATATACATACATACTTATAAATGAAGAAATTAAACGTACAGGAAAGCAAGGAGACACAGAAGTTGTTCACCTCTTCTATCGATGCCTTGAAGGCATTGTACGCCGCAAAGATCAGACCATTGGAGTCATTGACAAAGTAATGGTCAAAGTCTAGAGTCGTCTACATCGTTAAACAATCATCTCACTTACACACGTTGTGTCCACCCAATATACAGATTCGGTGAGTTCAATTCACCAATGTTGACAGATGGCGATATTGAAGCAAAGCCAATGGTGTTGCTGCTAGGACAGTATTCGACTGGAAAGGTATGTAATGGCATACATAACACATGCGATATATAGTTGACTAACCTTATAACACATGTTGTATAGACAACATTCATTCAATATCTCCTTGAACGTGACTTCCCAGGTAGCAACATTGGACCTGAACCAACTGTACGTGTGATTGACTTGAATGGTGGGCGTTGATCAAAGAGTAAACCCTAACATATATTGTTCCCTTTTGTAATTCAGACTGACCGGTTTAATGCCGTAATGTATGGTCCAGATGACAGAGTGATACCTGGAAACACAGTAGCTGTACAAGAGGATAAGCCATTCAGAGGATTGTCCAGGTTTGGCACTGGATTCATGAGCAAGTTTCAATGTTCACTTGTATGTATCCAACAATCAGCTTGCTTTTTTCTTCAACTTTACTAAAATAACTATGTTACAAACAGTGCCCAGCACCATTACTCGACAAGATAAGCTTCATCGATACACCAGGTGTATTGAGTGGTGAGAAACAGCGTATAGGTCGTTCATACGACTTCCCAAGCATTGTATCATGGTTTGCAGAGCGATCGGACATGATCCTGTTGTTGTTTGACGCCCACAAGTTGGACATTAGCGATGAGTTTAAGGCGGCAATAGAATCACTCAAGGGACACGATGACAAGATCAAGATCGTCTTGAACAAGGCTGACAAGGTCAGCTCACAACAACTGCTCAGAGTCTATGGTGCACTCATGTGGTCCCTGGGTAAGGTGATCAGGACACCAGAGGTGATGAGAGTGTATCTTGGCTCCTTCTGGAATGGTACAGCTCTTCAGAACCCAGACACTGAGAAGCTACTCCACTCTGAGATGGTGGACCTCATCAAGGAGTTAATCATGCTACCAAAGAACTCTGCCATCAGAAAGGTATGTTGGGAACTAGTGCCTTTACAAATGTTCTCAGCCGGTAACTTACATTATTTTATGATATGATAGGTCAATGACTTGGTAAAGAGAGCAAGATCAGCAAGAGTACACGCTCTTATCGTTGGTCATTTGAGGAATGAGATGCCAGCGATGTTTGGAAAGGATTCAAAGCAACAGGAACTGATTGCCAACTTGGACAAGGAGTTCCAAAAGATCGAAAGGATCTACAATATCCCAGCAGGCGACTTCCCCGACGTAGACAAGTACAGAAACATTCTCAAGGTGCACGACTTTAGCAAGTTCCCCAAGATCAATCCAAAGATGTTGGAGCCCTTGGACGAGGCACTGGCCATTGACTTCCCCCAACTGCTACAAAAGTTCCCATTGGACGGAACACACAAACCAACGCCATACGAGCTGAACCCATTCGCCATCGATGAGGTTGAGAGCAATCTTCGCTGGACAGTATGGGAGAACATCGATAGAAACACTTTCATTCCCATCTTTTACTCTCTGAACCCTGCTGAGGGCAAAGTGACGGGTGTCATTGCCAAACAGCCATTACAATCATCTGGTCTTTCAAATGACGTACTTGCCAAGATATGGAGACTATCTGATATCGATAGGTATGTTATATATATATATATATAGGTAGCAGGTAGTAGTTGTTCACAAATACTGACAACAACAATCACACACACACAATCATAGAGATGGAAAGTTGGATGTGGATGAGTTCTGTCTGGCCATGCATCTGATCAACACAAAGATCCAAGGATTCTTGATACCAGATGTACTTCCACCAACATTGATTCCTCACTCAAAGAGAGGAGGTATGGAGTTCTATGGTTAAATACAATTATCATTATTACTATTGTACAATATTTGTATAGTTTTAGCACTCTGAGATTCAATGTAGGTTTGTGGGCTATTACCAAAAAAGGAGGAGAGTTGACCAGAATGATGATCAGGTGGTGTGTGGTGTGTTTCCTTTGCTGCACCTTGATGACAAGGCTTCATTAACCACGCAACCTCTGAATGAAACACTGTTGTTCTGGTTGTTGTTGTTATTATCATTATTGGTCTCTTTAATCAAACACACATCACAAAGACACACACACTCTCTCTCTTATTCAATTATCTATCTCTGTCTCAGACCTAATCAAACTATTCATAAGATGGAAGAACCTAGCAAACAACAACTACCCAAAGTGTCTGATAAGATCAAGAACTCATTTATAGTGGATGATACTCCACCGACATTGGATAAACTAGACATAGATTCAAAATACATTCCAAAGCTTCTAGATCCATTGAACACACTATCTACTACCACAACGACTGTTGCTGGTGGCTACAGTATCATCGATAAAGACCTTCAACAGATGTCCAACAACATCATTGACTTGCTTACCAATGGCTTCAATGGAAGGGGTGAGTACGGTAGAGCCAAAGCCACACATCCCTATTTGGCCAGTATTGCTACCTACTACTTCCAACTTAAAGGCAAACGTATCCGTCCCACTCTCATCATGCTAATGTCACGTGCATTGAGTCCGAATGGATGTCTCACATCTGACAGTATCTTGTTGGCTCAGGTCTACGAGATGATGCATACCGCAAGTCTGGTGCATGACGATGTACTAGACGAGGCTACCACTCGTCGTGATATGAAATCAATCAATATGGCCTACTCTAATAAGTTGGCTATTCTTTGTGGTGATTATTTACTGGCAAGGTATGTCCAACCAGGTTGAGGAAGTCCAACTTCCTCCCTCCAGTCACCACCCAACTAACTCAATCTCCTAGATCATCTGGACTGATGACAACTTTAAAGAACCCAGAAGTACATGAACTATTTGCCACGGTACTGGCGGAACTGGTGGAGGGAGAGATCATGCAAATCAAGTCCACTGGTCTATCATTCGATAACTATCTGAGAAAGACCTATTTGAAAACGGCAACATTAATAACAAACGCCTGTCGTTCATCAGCATTACTATGTGGATGTGATCGTGCTACAGTTGACATTGCCACTGAGTTTGGATCAAATATTGGAATGGCACTACAGGTAACTTGTTGTTGTTGTTGTTGTTGTTAGTCTCTATCCTTTTTGATCACTTTACTAATCCACTCACACCAATCACAAACAGATTGTTGATGACCTATTAGACTTTACATCATCACCTGAAGAACTTGGAAAGGATGTTTTGGTGGACTTATCATTAGGATTAGCAACAGCACCAGTGTTGTATGCCGCTGAAGAATATCCTGAACTGGAGGAGATGGTAAACAGACGATTCTCTGCCACTGGCGATGTGGTACTGGCCAATGAGTTGGTTCTCAAGAGCAATGGATTAGTGCGTACACGAGGACTCGCCATTGAATACTGTAACAAGGCCATACAATGTCTTTTACATCTGCCATCATCAGAGTCCAGAGACCTCCTGATCACTCTGGCCCAGACCATGGCAACAAGGAATAAATAACACACAACGGGGGAACTTCAGAGAATGTCAAAAAAAGGCGCAAATTGTCAACATTTGTTTTTTTTCGCACATTCAGTCTCATGGGTGGACACCTCGTTGTTGTTGCACTCTCAGTGCCACGACGCGTAGTGAGTGTGAGAGAGAAGTGATCACAGACCTGTATTCTGTACTTTACACAACAACAACAACAACAACACATAGTAGTTAGTAGTAGTAACAGGTCGGTTCATCAAACATATATAATCATACCCATTTTTTTATTCATCATCATCATCATCATCAAGAAGACGAAGAATAGATAGATTGAAAGATGGAGCAGATACCCCAAGAGTTTATCAACACGATCATGGCGTTGAGCAGCCCAGACACAAACACTATCCGTGTGGCTGAGGAGAAGTTCAACTCATACAAGAGTCAACCAGATCAACTGGTCAGCTGTCTATTGTTTCTCTTGGTCAACTCGACTGAACCAGTGGTACGTCTTCTCAATATAATTGAACAAAGACAAAGAGTCTTAGAGTCTTACCATTATAACCACTTTCTCTTGTCTATCTACGACGCACAACAACAACAACAACAACAAAACACAGCTCAAGGAGTACTCTTCGGTCCTGATCCGTCCGCTTATCACACCTACACACAAGGACACGCTTTGGAGTAAGATCTCAAGCGACCTTCAAAACAACATCAAGATTCAACTGCTTAGATGTCTGCGCAGTGAAACCTCTAAATCGATCAGACACAAGGTCGTCAACATTGTCAGCGCTATTGCACCAGAGCTCATCAGCAAGAGTAAGTAGTAGTTTTGCAAGATGATAGAGTGAGTAGCTACTCACATACATACAAATGTAATACTACAGATGAATGGAGCGAATTGATGGGATTCTTGATCGAGGAGGCCAAGTCACCCAATGAGAACATGAGAGAGTCTGCCTATTTGATCATCGGACAGATGATTGGAGAGATCGAGTCGATCATCAAGCCACATATAGGACTCTTCAAGGGCCTCATTCAACAAGGTCTCTGCGACAGTTCAATCATCGTCCAGATTGCTGCCTTGCGTACCATCTCCACCTTTGTCAACATGAGTGATGTCGACAAAACTCAATTCCAACCACTCATTCCACTTATGCTTGCCGTATGTCATTGTTAACAAACAATATCATCAATCAAACAAGTACCATACTAACTAAAATATATATATATATATATTCTATCTGTCACAGACTATTACCAAAGCAATTGAAACTAATCACGAGAACAGTGCTCAGGATGGTATCGTGGTGTTTATCGTCATTGCCGAGTCCAAGCCATCATGGCTCGCCAAGGAGACCCACACCATCATGAAGGCATTCTTTGAGATTATCAACTCTGATATGGTCGAGGAGGAGACCAAGCACTTTGTCATGGAGTTCTTCCTGGCCATTGCAGAGAGAAGAGCAAGCATCTACAAGATGAACCCTGCCTATCTGACCTCATTGGTCCAGATCATGTACAAGTGGTTGTCCACCAGAGAGGACATCAGTGTAGAGTCATGGAACCAGTTGACTGTATGTATATCGATCGATCAATCATATAAAGATCTTAACTCACACCACACGTCCAATCCAATTACAAACTCTTTTAGAACGAGACTGATAACTCTGATGATACATCGGATGCCGATGTTGCCCAAGACGCATTCGATCGTCTTTCGTTGGCAATCCCAAAGAATATGCTCCAGGCGGTCTCTGGCTTCTTGCCATCGTTAATCAAGTCCAACTTCTGGGGTGATCGCTTTGCCGCACTGATGAGCATTACTATGTTCTGCGAGGGATGCAAGCACCAGCTGAAGAATAACTTGGAGAGCATGCTCAATCTGATCCTGCCACTGGTCAACGACCCAGTACCACGTGTCCGTTGGTGTCTCTTCTTCTGTCTCGGTCAAATGGCCACAGACTTTGAGCAGGACATTCACGCTCACTATCAGATCCTGTTCCAGACAGTGTCGATGATCGTCTCCGATCCAAACCCCCGTGTGCAAGCAGTCGTTTGTCTGTTCCTGTCGACCTTCCTTGAGGAGTTTGACAAGGAGAAGCTGACACCCCACACCAACAGTCTGTTTGGATACCTTTCACCACTGATGCAGTCCTCTCACTTCTCTGTCGCTGAGAATGCTTTGAGTGCCTTCTCCAGTATCGTCGAGTGTATCTCTGAGGACTTCCTACCAGTAAGGAGATCACCAAACATCATATCGATTGATTCATTATTCAACCATTCATACTGACTATCTTAACATTGATATAGTACTATGACAGCTTTATGCCATTCTTGACTGGTATACTCCAGAATCATACATCAAAGCAATCCAGAACTCTTAGAGGAAGAGCACTAGAGGCAATCAGTTTGATTGGCCTTGCTGTCAAGAAGGAGAAGTTCGCCAATGACCTCCACCAGATCCTTACCTTCATGTCCAGTCAGCCACCCTTTGAGTCTGACGATCCTCAAATTGACTTCTTCCTCAGAGCCTGCACCAGGTTCTGCCAATGCATGGAGAAGGATTTCAAGCAATACCTTGGTTTCTGCATGAAGCCAATCCTTGGTGCCATCAACGCCAATGTTGAGATTGTTTCAACAGGTATGTTATCATCATCATTACCATCATCATCAGTGCACTGTCCATTGTTTACTAAATGTTATTCTTCTCTCTCTCACACACAGAATACACTGACGATTATACCGAGGAATCGATCAGCGACAACAGCGCAATGACCGTTGAGAACAAATCATTGGCACTGTCCATGTTGGTGATCTACTCGACCATCCTCAACGAAGAGCTCTTTGAGTACATCGACACATTGTACAAAGAGGTCGTACCACTCATTGACTATGAGTACAACGAAGACATCAGAACCAACGCTGTTGCTCTTATGCCATGTCTGCTCAGGATCTCCAAGGCCCACTTTGAGAAGAAGATGTCTGCCCCCAACGGTGCCAAGGTCCCATTCACAAGTGAACTCTTCAACAACATCCTCTCGAAGCTCCTCGTATCCCTTGATACTGAGTCAGTATCAGAGATCATTGGTGAGAAGCTAAAGGTTATTGGTGAAGTATGTATATATATATATTATATATGTTTATATATTCTTATGCTAATCATTATCAATCCTCCTTCCAAAGTGTATCGAGGTTATGGGCGAGAAACATCTCACTGATGGTCAGATGAGAAGTATCTTCCAATCAATCATCAAGACTTTGGACTCTTTGGACGAGATGAGAATCGAGCTGGAAGGTGATGTTGATGAGGAGGATGATGATCCACAGATCAATGCCGAGATGCAGTTCCTCGAGGATGCCTACAACTTCGTTGCCATTGCTGTTGGAGACATCATTATCACAAGCAAGGACTCGTCTGTGGTTCATCTTCAAGAGATCCTTCTCGCCAACATCTTGGCCAGAATCACTGGTGACGAAGACTCTGACCAAGTCAAGTCATCGATGCTCTGCATCATGGACGACCTGATTGAGTACGGTGCACCCAACGTTGGCCCCCTTTATGCACACATCATCAATCCCCTCCTCAAGTCGTGTCACAACTCGGATGTATCTGTTAAACACGCCGCCTCATATGGTTTGGGAATGGCCGCTTCCAAGGCACCACAACACTTTGCTCCCTTTGTCATTGGAGCAATCGAGGCATTGAACATGCTCGTCAGCATGACAAATGCCAGACACGAAGACAACTTAGAGGTGACCGAGGGTGCCGTCTCTTCGATTGGCAAGATCATCAGATACTGTGGTGCTCAGCTTGGTGACATGCTCGGCAAGATCATCCCATTGTGGTGCTCTCATCTCCCAGTTCAAGACGAATCTGAGCGCAAGGCAGTTCTTGACAATATGCTTGAGCTCATCAAATTGTAAGTTATTATTATTGGTGGACCATCACCAAACAACCATTCAGACAGACTCTAACATATTTCAAAACAACTATAGGAATGGAAGTTTCTTTGGCCAGAAGGAGTTTGTTGTTGCTTTGAGAGTCATCATTGATGCAGTCCAGAAAGAGTATCTGCCTGATGACAAGAAGGACACTGTTAAGCAGTTGTTGGTTGGACTACAGCCACTTGGAATCTTGAACCAAGTGTCCCAGGCCGACATTGAAGTCCTCCAGAAAGCTTTGCAATAAAACACACATACAAGTTTATTATTATCTCATCCGATTGTTATGTCCTTGACTGACTGACTGATTGATTGATTGGTTGGTCTTTTAATGGCCAACAAGCTCAAGCAACAACTTCTTGTAATCTCCAGAGCAATCGTTGGAGATGTGGTGATGCAGAGTCTTTCCATAGTTGACAAGATAGACCTTCTTGAGCTCTGGCATGAAGGGTTGACAGTAGATGACGTTACGGATCAGCTTGTCATCGTTGGTACCAACACCAGCCATGGCCTTGTTGAGGATGGAGGCAAAGTATCCGAATGAGTCGTTGGCAAAGAAGAGGATGGCTTGCAGACCCGATCTGATGTCCAGCGAGAACTCGCTGTCAATCACCTTGGAGAGTGGGTTGTGCTTGTGCATTGTTGGGTAGACGCGACACAACTCACGAATGTGCATAAAGTTACGCTTGGCCAGGATGTTGATAAACACCTTCTCGTCAGTGCCAACGCGACCTTCACCAGCATAGTACAGCTCATCAACGTCTCTGATGATCAGGTTTGGATCGACAACCCACGACTCATCACGGAACTCGAGCAGCTTCTCCAAAAGGTGCTTGTAGTGACCAGAGGTCTCGGACGACACCCAATGATGGAGACTCTTGTGGTGCTCATTGTTGAAGATGTTGAATATCCTTTGCTTCTGAGCATTGCTTCTGGTGACCAGGATCTCAGTCAAGGCATGCTCGTTGGTGCCCACACCCTTCATGGCGTCGTAGAGGATCTCGGCGTCATAATAGGCTGGGTCAGTCAAGAGGTCCACCAAACACTTCTTGAAGTTTCCAGAGGTCTCTGACTTGATATCCTTAATGAGGTCTCTGTAGATGGTGCTGCTGTACACACGAACAATCTCCATACGCTCCTCCAAGTTACGGTTTCCAATGATCTCAACCAAAGTATGCTCATCCTAAGTTTGTTTGTGTTGTTAGTAGGTGTTGTTGGTGGACCTGAGAGATGCTTCTTGTCAATAACATACCGTTCCAATTCCCTTCATGGCACGTCTAAGTTGATCAGCATCTCTTCTGAGATCGTGTCTGATGGCACAGGGCATCACAAAGGCAAAGGCAACGGGTGGAGCAGCTACGGCCATCACTGGTGCAACAGCGACACCAACTGCGGCCACTGGAGCAACTCCAACTGCGGCAACTGGAGCAACTCCGACTGCTGGTGTTGCAACTATAGGGGAGCCTGTTGCGGGTGGGTAGCCTGGTTGGGCAGGTGAATAACCTGGCTGAGCAGATGGGTAGCCAGCAGGAGGGTAGCCAGCGGGTGGATAGCCTGGCTGCTGTGCGGGTGGGTATCCCTGTTGTGGAGGATAGGCACCTGGCTGTTGTGGTGGGTAGGCACCTGGCTGCTGGGCGGGAGGGTAGCCCTGTTGTGGTGGGTAGGCACCTGGTTGTTGAGGTGGATAGGCACCTGGCTGTTGCGGTGGGTAGGCACCTGGCTGCTGGTAGGCACCTGGTTGCTGAGGTGGGTAGGCACCTGGCTGTTGCTGCTGAGGGTAAGCCTGTGGGTAGCCTTGAGTTTGGTAGGCACCTGGTTGTTGTGGAGGGTAGGCACCTGGCTGCTGAGGTGGGTAGGCACCTGGCTGCTGATAGGCACCTGGCTGTTGTTGGTAGGCACCTGGCTGCTGAGGTGGATAGGCACCTGGCTGTTGTGGAGGGTAGGCGCCTGGCTGTTGCTGTGGAGGGTAGGCACCTGGGTAGGCACCGTAGCCTTGTGGATATCCTGATGGTGGTTGGGACATGTCTTATTGATTTATGTATATATAAGTATGTATATTATGTGTTTTAGATTTAATGAATTATGGTGATGTTGAAAGTTTGCGATCAAGATGAATGTGTCAGTTTTTGTTGTGGTCAAAATTAATATCGGTTTGTGTGTCTAAAAAAGGGTGGCACCCTATCGTTCACTGTGGTCGATTGTGTGTGGAGCGCATCATTGTACAACACAACACTATCCTGGTTCTTCCAACTAAAAGAATAATGATCATTATTTAAATATATTGCCTTGACTTTGAACTACAACGAATATTGATTCCATTGTAATCCTGGCGTTTGGCAAAGATTCATTTCCTACTTGTACCCTTACCCTACCATAAAATCTGTATTTCTCTTAACACCTTGCTACAATCTGATTAGTTGAACTTGAATGTAATCGCACATACTTGTTAGAAAATGAGACTTGTAAAATGAGTGGAGTCTGTTTTCCAAGAACAACACTTGTTCTTCTCTCAGAGTCGACACCAATATTTCTAAGACCAACAACAACAATAACAAAGATAATAACAATGAGCAACAAATCTAAACAATTTATACCTCCATACAAGTCTAGCGGTGGCAGCGATCACTCACAGGGCAGCGGGAACAATGCCTCAAATAGTGCTTCTAGTAGTCCCGCTGGTGGTCCTCTAAAGACTACAAAAGATAACTCACAACAAAGGCAGCAACAGCAGCAACAACAGCCCACAAAGAAACAACGTGTTACATCGCCTGATCATCACCATGGGGACAATTTCGACAACAACAACCACAACAACAACACATCGACTACTGCTGCTCACCATTCACGAGTCTTACACAACGCTACAACCTCGAATCAGACACCAGCACCATCATCAGTACCGACCACTACTCTGAAAGACTTTACACCAATGACCTTTGACAGGAACGCAACTGCATTGATGACAATTCTCAATCCACTTCATGTTCAATTGGGCAACTATATATACAGTTTGTATCCAGTACTTGGTATGCACCTTTAGTTGAGAAACCTATCTAACATTCTATCGATTATAGTACCTGATCCCCCACAGTTCAAGAGATCAATGCAGAAGATCATGGTAGCAAGCGAATCAAAGAGAACTGCCTTCCTGGAGGAGCTGAACAACCTGCTTCTGAACGACTTGGCACGGCTAAAGATTTGTCTGTCACCTGTCAGCTCCTCTCTCAGCGATCGTTCCACCTACTTCTCAGACAGCTTCATCAAGATACTACTCTCTGTACCCAGTCTACAGTGTCATTTAGTCAATTTACTGTTGGAGAAGGCGATGGAAAACATTCACAATACAGAGTATGAATTCTACAATACAACATAGGAGTACGCCAGTAGTTTGAACTAACAATCTTACCAACCTACCTCTATGTTATTCAGTGACACATTCCAGCATGCCAAGCAGATATATGCACAATTCCGATGGATGGAGAACCTTCAAGATAAAGACTTGACAATCAAGCTTATCCAACACCTGGAGGTGCTTCAGTGTAATCCATCACTGAGGAAGGATCTGATCAGTTTCATGCCAGAGATTATCGATGACTCTGGACACGCATGCACAGTCGAGGCTCTTTTGAAGATCATCGAAGAGGACAGTTCCTACACTATCACTGTATTGGACTCACTTGGTAGTTTAACATTGAGTTCAAATCTAAAGGTAACTTGCTTAACTATCAAATAGTCACTTCAAAGAATGTTGTTTAGTTGGTCTAACATTGAATCACCACCAACAGACCCAAGCAAGAGAGAAGATATTCAAGTGCCTTGGCTCAGCATCATTGGAGGAGTTACCAGTCATTATCAACTCACTATTACAATCAAACTCAAAGAAGGAATCCACAGACGTATGTATCTTAACAATAATTCAAACAGTAGACTTACATAATGAATGATTCATCATAGACAATCAAGCAACTTAGAATCAATCTACAGTTTCCACCCAAGTTTATATACAGCTCGAGCTCACCTCAAAAGTTCAAGAGCAATGATCCAAAGAGATCCTCTGGTGAGTCATTCGTTGTGGATTCACTAAAGACCAACTTTAGGTTCAAGAAGGACCTCTGTACAGCATTTCTCAAAGAGATCAGTTCAATCAATGATAACGTAAGTAGTTTCAACTAGCTCAAAGTTGATCATCAACTTATTTAACACAACAACTATTACAGTCCTATCAGGTGATTGATATGTGGCTTTTGTTCATCATCTACTCATTTTGGGGAGCCCCAAAGGACATTGAGACATTGTTCAAGAAGAAGATATTGAATGGACAGTTCACCAAGTCCCTGTTGATGTCAAGCATATGCAATCATGCCAGTGCACTCAAGGAGTACTCAAAGTCATTCCTTTCACTCTGCGACTGCTTCTTGCGATCGTTCGACCCTCGCATCAGATCATTTGGTGTCACATTCTACGTCTATCTTTTCAAGTCCTTTGAGGAGCGTTACTATCAACAGGATATCATTGAATCACTGATTACACACATTGGCAGTGGAAATGGCAGTGAGGTCGATGGGGCAATAGAGGTGCTCAACATCATTGCCAAGAGCAGCGTCGAGCAATTGCTTCCATACACCTCGTACATCAAGGGCATCCTGGATCACATTGACTCTTTGGATGAGAATCAAATCAGACAACTGTTTCAAGTGTTTAGACAGTTGGCCTACATCACTAGGATTGAGGACAACCCACTCACCTATACATTGGAGCCAAACAACTTTATCTTTGGTGACCTTGAGATCTTCTCCAGGAAGCAGATCACAAACACTCTGACCAAGTACAAGAAGATTGGTATCATTGCACTCTGCGCACAGATCCAACGACTGGCAATTATTCCACCAGCCTTTGAGGCAAAGCGTCTTGAGAGGGAGGCCCACAACAAGGACATCAAACCAATCGACATATCTGATGATCTCTACGCCACAATCATCTCCATCCTCGAAACAATACTATCTAATTGCAAGACCTCCAAGTTGGCCACCGCCTATCTCTATGATGAGATTGTCAACATCTACACCAACAAGCAACAACAACACTTTAGCATCAAGGTGGTCAAGTGGGTGGCTGATCGACTCGAGGCCGATCTCCGCGACAACTTCCTTCAGGATCATCTCTCTCGTGATGGCGATGACCTCTGGTTCAATGAGGAGAACGAGTCCATTGCCGTGATCATCCATCCCAACCTCGTAGAGGGTGGACAGAGCCGTGAGAAACTACTTTGTCTGTCCAGCCACTTTAGGTTGCTCCAGACCTTTGTGCGAGCCATCTCGCCGCAGTCCTCTCTCGACCAGATCGAGACTCTGTTTATGTGCCCAATCGCAATGTTTAGTCTGGACGTATTCGATGGTCTCCAGGTCTCTAAAGAAAAGGACACATACGCCCTCTCACTCTTTTACGCCATCAACTGGGTCAGGGAGCTACTGAATGGATTCTCCACACAGACACTCACACTCAGTCAGAAGAAGCTGCTCAAGAAGATCGACAATCTTATCTGCCTCGAAGAGAGACTGGAGACAGTGCTGTCCCACTGCTATGCCTTTGTCGTACCCTATGGTACATTCAACTCTGATCAGAGGAAGAGTTTCTCGATCGATTTGACAAAGATCAAGAAGAAGAAGGAGACCAATCTTCTATCTGAAGGAGGGTAAGTTATCTGTTAACACGTCATTTAAAAGAAATAATACTTACACGCCTTATTCAATCATCAAGACTCGAGGACCTACAGCCATACACAAAGTTAGTAAGGCCACACTTTAGACATTTGGATGTAAGTTTTAGTCTCACATTGACCTCAGCTATCTAACAACTCTATTGACAACAAGCACATACACAATACATTATAGCTCAATGCCTTATCAATTCTCCAGATGAGTACCAAGACTGATAGTCAAGAGAATGTAATCATTGACATGGAACCAAAGGAACTTCACTACCTGCTGGATGACTTGTACACCAAGTTGGTGATATTGACAACTCCAGAAAAGGTCAACCCTCTGAACAACTCTGCACCAAAGCAACAACTTCCCTACACCTTCTTCGATCTGATTGAACGATTGAATGGTGTGTTCCCTGCATTCTGCACCTATCTTGACCGACTGGTCAAGCTTTTGCCAACACTGAGCGACAAGATTCACACACTCACCCAGCAGCTGGACTCACTTGCTGTTCAGATCAAGAAGTTAAATGCAGAGAGCAAGGACGATAGTGATGCCCCCGATAAAAAGGATCGTGATAGGCTCAAGAAGACTCAACAACGACTTCAAGAGGAGCTTCATCCAAAGGCACTTGAGCAGGCCTATCTGACATCATGCTCCAGCATCATATTCAAGTGCTTCGAACAGATATTCCTCTATGTCTATATGTGCTCAGATTCAAACAGCAAGATGTTCAACGTAAGTACCAACCATACAAACACCTGGTTCTTGTTTATTAATATCCAACATCAATCTAGCAACTGATAGCTAGCATAATGGAGAACTCATTTGTAGGCAATACCAATGTGGCGCGAACACAACAACCTATTGGAGTCCAATTATTTAGAATAATTGGATACTTTGAAGGGTTCTGGCCCAAGTTCATCAAGTATGGTCAGTTCAAACCATTGTTGAGCCTCCTCCAGTTGTTGATCGCCTTGTTTGAGAACCCTCTGTTCAGCAAGCAGATGTATCTCAGAAAGAACATTAGCAACTATGCATACACTGCCCTTTCAACAAAGTGGCCTCACAAGATATCCGTAGGTTATCAAAGAGAAAAGATAAGTATTATTATTATTAGGTCTACTGACCTATTACTTTCTTATTAGGTGGCATCGATTGGATTCTTTTTGAAGACATACTTCCAGTACAGTGATGACCAGATGAATGCATTGGGCAGCATGGCAGTCAGCCATTACAACTTCATCGTTCATCAAGACAATGAGCAGGCAAAGAAGAAGTCACCCAAGAAGAAATCACCCAAAAAGAAATCAAAGAAGGATGATTCCGACGACCAGGAGATGGAGGATGAGCAGCAGGAGGATGTGGATGACAACGAGTCGCCAGCCATCATTCTCCCAATGTTGACAAACTCATCATCCATCGTCTTCTTCAAGACGATATTCGCTCATCTTACAGAGTGTCTTGTCAATTTCAAGTTCTCCACATCAAGCGGTAAGTAATCGTGTGTGGTACAAGTGATTTGAATCATTATCCCTAACGACATCATCCATCCCTTCACAATAACATTACAGACCCAGAGGTGATACTTGCTTGCCTGGACAGTTCTATCAAGATCTTTGTCAACTTGGTCAATTTCACAAAGAGAAGAGAGAACTTGTTCCTTGTAGAGTCACTCAAGTATGTTTGATCAATAACAATAACGTCGTTTGAGTCATCAACTAACAATCACCTCGCATCATCAAATCTTAGGAATGGAAAGGAATATATTATCACATTCACCAAGCAGGTGATGCCAGTACTCAAGGAACTCCTACAGTACAACACCAAACGAACCATTGAGATGATAAGAGCATTCCAACAAGGAACACGAACACTACAGCACATTTGTACACATGGAAAGAACAAGAAGGAGACAGCCATCACCAGATTGGTACCAGTGGTCAAGAAGGCAGTTGAATCATTCCAGGTCGCAGTCAGACTGGTCCTCACAAAAATGGGCTGTCTCAACGCATTTACATCAGGTACTCTCCAGAAGAAGGACTTGAAGGGTGGACAGATGAAGGAGGTTGAGGAGGAAGAGGAGGAAGAGGAGGAACCAGAATCTGATGAAGAGGAGAAGATGAAGAAGAAGAAGAAGAAGAAGTCGAGCAAGGAGAAGAAAGAGAAGAAAGAGAGGAAGAGTAAAGAGAAGAGTGGAAAGAAAGACAAGAAGAAAGACAAGAAGAAGAAAGATAAGAAAAGACAAGAAGAGGAAGAAGATCAAGTTGAAGATGAAGAACAAGTGGAAGATGAAGAGCAAGTGGAGGATGAAGAGCCATTGGATGAGGACTCGATTATGGACGACGAAGAGGAGAATAACACGCTTAGGCTCACACCTCTGACTAGAAAGACGTCAGTCTCTGATAATGAAGAGAGGAGCAGCAACGAAGACGACGACACTGATGGTGCAGGCATTGGTGAAGAGGCCGAGGAAGGCGATGAGGAGGAAGATGGCGAACCTGACTCTGAGGGTGAGGGTGACAGTCTGCACTCTGAAGACGACGACAACGATCAAGATGAAGATGATGAAATAGAAGAAGAAGACGACGACGAACAAGTAGCCAACGACAAAGAGGACGATGATGACTCTGAGGAATTTGAATTCAACAGTGATCAGGAAGATGCATCCTAGGACGCAGCAGCCACTATCTTCATTATTACTTCATAAACATCATAAAGTACAGCGAATGTAAAGTAGATTAGTACAATGTGTCGTGTGCTGTACAGTGAGCGATGCAACGGGAGAGGTATTGGATAATGGGAGTACTGTTTCCTTGAGCGAATGAGCATCCACACCATGAATAGACCAGATTGGAGGTTCAAGCCAAGGCTGGCGCCCACCTCCATCACAACAAGGAATCCCTTGGGGTTGAGCATTGCCACCATCAAGATGAACCCAAATGCAATAAAGTAGAGGATAAACTCTCTAATCCTGAATCTGATGCTTAGACCATCCAGGGATTGTCCTTCTTTGCTGTCCAAAAGCTGGTTGAACCCATTGATGTTACTTTGAATCTTTCTCTTGATGTTACTTCCGCATGACCTCTCTTTGAACTCATCCTCAGAGTCATCAGTTGAATCATATGATTGTAGACTCTTCTTTCTCCATGATACAGAGAATCCATCAACTGTAATATTGTGATAATCAATAAGTTAGGTCTTTAAACTTTGATGGTTCTCTGTCTCTCTCTACTTAACTTACTTGTCTGTTTGTATCCAGTACCCATTGTAATAAAACTGATTGTAATGGAAACAACAATAAATATATCAACGCAAGTTGCAATCCAAAGGTATTGTGGATATGATGTCTTGATAACATCCATCAATGGAATAGTTGCAATCTCTTGATGATTTCCAGCACTAAGAATGATCGTTAATGTTTAGTTTGATCAAAAAGTATGGTATTGTATAACTTACTCATAAAGGTTTGGATATGAAGGATCATCTGGTATTGGCATCTGTGGTATGATACGTAACAAGAACCAGCACCAAAAGACATTGAGTACATATACAGTTGTCAATCCTGAACCAACTGCTGCGTAGCACTTCATCATCTCTCGACGGTTGAACTTGATCTTGGGGAACACCACAGGGATCACACCGGCAGCACCACCAAGTGCCACTGTAGATATAAGGAATGAACGTCCAACGTATGCCCAATCGTTGGAGATGTGTAGTTGGACATGTTGAGCCACCACTCCAGTGATCAGTACAATGACAATAAGTAGTGATCCTTTGGCAAAGGTGAATACTGTAATGATGTGTTGCAATACCTTGGCTCCAAACACAACGATCAATGAGAATGTCACTATTAATGGTAGTATTATATAATGCATTGATACACCAATTAGTTTGCCATATGCCATTGATGCTGCCAATCCATATGATATCATGATTGACGTACTATATATTTTTGTATAACTATTGTGATTAGTAATCTAATGATACTCGTAGTCGTCGTTTTATACTTACAAATGTAGTATAACAGAGAAGATGAATGCATAATGTGAATACTTGGACAAGAACTTTAGACCAAGATAGTGAAGGTTGGGAGTATGGTCTGAATGTGAACTTTGTATCTTTGGTTGTTGTGATGACAATCTCTGGTTATCTCTTGATGATCCCAAGTCAATCGAGTCTATCTGTGATAGACTAATGTCATCTAATATAGTTCCATTGTCTTGAGCCAAATCGATTGTGTCCTCCTCCTCCAACCTTGAGTGACCAGTGATGATGCCATCATTGCTTCCACTTCTGAATGAAACTGCAGACGCAGACGAAGGAATCAATGAAGAGGATGGTGATACCATATCGCTGTCGACACGAATGGTTGAATAGCATCGCTGTAGTATTTCAATTAAGAAGAACAATGACAGAAGTTGCATGAAAAAGCAAACGGTATATGATCCAAAGAACGGTGTGAAGCCACTCTGTGACAGCTTGACGGGCAGACCTAGAATGCCTAGGCCCAGTACACTTGCTATCGTAATGAAGTAGAGATAGGCAAGTGCCATGAACGGTGTCTTCTCGTTTGGGTCGTCAAACACAGTAGAAGGTGTCATATGATTGTCTGTGGCAGAGGCAGCTAGAACCTTATCATATTCATTCTGATCGGTACCACCGACCTTGTCACTGATCCACTTCAACATTACTTGTAATTAATTGTAGTTATAAATGTTGTTGTAGTTGTATTGTTATTTTGTTATTATTGTGTTACCTGTTTTGAGACAAAGTGAAATGATCAAAACGACAACAAATATCTTAATTTATTTGTGTTATTATTAACCATTCTTTGAGGATCACTCTTGATTTATTGTATTCAAAAGGGAGAGTGAATCAATGGATATGTATCTATATCTCTACAATATCTATCAATCTGTAAATGAAGTCGTTTTTGTAAATCATATTGACGTTGATAAGATCAATGATGATTAGGCATTGTCAATATCTGTATCTACAAGAAGTATCTTCAGAACACTCCAAATCTCCCAATCAAAACTAAAAACTTGGAGCATTGAGAAGGGGTCTCAAGCAATAAGGGCTGCCTAACAATGCAAACAACAGCCTTATTGGTAGGCGCTGACCCGTTTATGTTGTTGTTTTAATTAAAGTCGTAAAAGTAGTACTACAATTACAAATATATATATAAATATAAAGAAATAAGATTATGGGTTACAATAACAAAACAGTAGTCAACACAATACTATTGGTCTGCTTGACATTGGCCTCGGTGGCTACTGCAACTGAACAGGAAGGAGAGGCAGCGTTGATTATCAATCTACAGGATAATCCATTCCAATGTATATTCAATGGTACCAATGGCAAGAGGTTCGACTTGGGTACTCTGAGTGCCACCCTCAGTCTGCAGACTAGCAACGCAACCTACTACATAATGCCATGTGGTACATTCTCAGACAAACAGCCCTGTGGAGCACTCACTATCGACTCGTCCGTCTGTGAGGTTACCACCAAGAACCAGGTACAAAAGAGACTGGGCTCCATCGAAACCGCCACCGAACCACCCAAGAACCAGTCCGGTGTGATGACCGTGCTCTACTCCAATGGTGCTTCCTGTCCATCTGGCGCCACCTCACAGACCTACGTTACATTCGTTTGCCAAAAGAATGTAAGTACTTTAAGTTGATATATCCTCTACTTAACACTCCATAACACTATTTAAAAACAACACAGACCAATGGTGAGCTCAGATCTGTATCAACTACCGATAATTGCAACTATAAGGTAATGTTTGAATTGATGTGAATATCAAAGTTTAATCGCAATATCTAACATCCTTATGTTCTATCTCTCTCTCTTTCCAAACATCTCTAGTTCGAAGTTGGTGCATCCATATTCTGTAACAAGGGTGGACTTACTGGAGGTGATATATTCCTGATAGTGTAAGTAACTTATGATGTTGTTGTGATAGATATAGTGAGTAGTTCCACTTGATTAACTCACACAATTATACCAGGTTCTTCTCTGTGCTTGGAGGATACTTCTTGCTTGGTGTCTCTGTCCAGCTCTATCGTGGACATAGAGGTGTGGAAATGATTCCAAACAGAGAGGGATGGGGCAACTTCTTCTCTTTGATCAGAGATGGTGGTGTATTCATCAAGAACAAGATCACTGGAGGTCAGAGCGGTGCCTACAGCAGTCTGGGATAAAGATTCATTAATAGGCAGTCAATCAGTATATCAAGTTGGAATGTGATGGAGAGATCAAAGTATAACGGGTCGCTTGATGTATGTGCATCATAGTGGCATGTGTAATATAAAGCGAGGGAGTAGAGATCCCTATTTACTTCTCGAGCATTCAAATGACATGACCAGTGATGTTACAATACTGGTGGTGGCTTTAGGTACCATTCGTTCGCTGGGAATAGTTGATACTTGTAGGCCTGTACTCCACAGAATGTCATTACACCAGCTGCTGCACTGCCCCTCCAGTAGGGTAACCATTTGTTCATTCCAAAGAATGGAATGCCATAACTACCATAGTACACTGTCTTCATGATTGCTCTAACTGGTGGTGAATCAAACTGACGCAATCTCCTTTGGAACCATGCGTCGTACTGATCTGCAATCAACACCATCGGTGATAGATATGCCGCTGTCATCAATCCTCCTTTGATACTCTAGAATGGAGTGAGTGAATTAGTAAGTGAACAGTTGAATGATATATCATGATCTTACCTTTCCACGTATGGAAGCGTATAACAATGATGCGATGGCAATGAAGCCCATCTCGTGAAGTCTCTTGTTGATGGATAATGGGATTGTTGGTGGATAGGAAGGGGATAGGATCCATTCCTTGATGAGGACTTTCTCAGCATCACTGACTGATGTCAGCTTCTTTACAGCCATCTCACAATCCTTGACACCACCATCGATGCCGTCCAGAATATTGTAAATTGATTGTAAGAATACTTCATAGTTTGTTGCGCTGTTCTTTACATAGAATGAGAATAGTGATATGGTACCACTGTTGGCCAGGTGAATTGCATTCTCTGGCTGTTCAGACATCTTCGACAATGCTCCTGCAATAGTGATCCTCGCTGAATATGGTACCAATGATGACTTGGCCAATCCAACCATAATCTTGGTAAGTATTCCAGTTGGCTCTTTATCTTGATTGATTGGATGGATGGATGGATGGATGGATTAGTATGGAATCATTCCAGATCTAAGTATATTGGTTGTACATACAATTGGAAGAGAGAAGATATAGTATCCTGGAACATTTATCAATGACACTATTGTCTGGAGACTTGATTGAACTGATTGATCTTGATTTTATCTCCTTCTTGAATCTGATTGATTGTGTACCGATGATGTCCACCAGTCTTGACATATTGGTCTGTGTCTGTAGCAATGCAACCAACTCATCATCACGCTCCAGACGATCAGCAATCATATCCATTATCTGTTGCCAATCCTCACCTTGATACAGTGGCAACTTGCCACTATGAGCAAACTCACAGAATATCTCTATATTCTTACTGATGAATGGTGCCAGTGTCTCATTGCTATCAAAGTATTGTGCCACCTGTTTGTTCCTTACTCTCTTGGATTCAGTAAACACTAAAGTAGTAGTAGTCAGTATGAATGTCAGTTTCCACCAGACCAAGTATGAACCATGATTGAATGAAGTAACGTACCACCAATTGATAATGATACAATCAACCAAGCGATAACATATAGCAATGTCTTGTATGATTTGTCACGATGTGCAATGTGATTCAGTATCACTCGATGCTTCATCTTTTCGATATATGTCATTGGTTGCTTGCCTGAATGTTTCTTCTTGGCAATACGTCGTTTAATCAGTTTGTCTAGTTTATGTACATCCTTTCTGAATAATGGATCATCTCTTCGTCTACCATTAGGTGGTGGAGGTATCTGTCCATTTGTGTCTGAGGATGAATGAGGTGGAGGAGATGAAGGAGGAGGAGGTGGAGGTGGTCGTGATGGTGGCTTGGTCGAATATGATTGACTTGAATGATGATGAAGTGATAGACTTGATGGTCGAATCATTAACCAACTTTGATGATGTTGATGGTGTAATATAGTTCTTGTTGAGCTCAATAGTTTAGTGGATGTTAGACTTCGAGAAGTCGATAACAACAACAACGAGTTCATCCTATTACTCTATTGTCGTTGTTGTAGATCTAAATGTATGTGTGTATCTGATCTAGTTCACTCGTTTGACGACAATCAACCAATCCAATTCATTGTCGAGTCACATCACATTTTCATTCAATGACCTTCATAATGATGACTTGTATGTTATCTTAATATTACCTTTGAAGATATATAGGCCTATATCATGAATAGTACCAACAATAGTAGCATCATCAATAACAACAACGAAGACAACGATAGCAGCCAGAACAATAGCAACAACAACAACATTGACAATAACCTTAGTTTAGACTTTGGAAAGGTTAACATTGGTCTCAATAATAATAATAGTAATAATAGTAATAACGATGTAGATACAATCAATAAGAGATATGCATATATGGTCAATACATTGATGGCAGATGGTTGTGACTACTTCTCATTGGAAAAGTGTAGTCAACGTCATCCATACCTCTATCACAGTCATCTGAGTAGATATCGATTGAAGGATGAGGTCTCTGAGCCATTCGATCGCAATGCAAAGATATCAGAACGTTTGATGGAGAATGCTCAGTTGGAGTATGATATGGTCGGTGCCATCGATAAGGAGTTGAGTGAGATTGACCATCTATCAAAGACTACTCTGGAGAGACATACACAATCACTACATACAACATATAACACCAAGCAAGAGAGTACATGGTTCAAGACAGATGATTCAATGATGCGTAGTAACATGGAGGAGATGGCAGTGCGAAGAAGAGAGTTGGCTAAACAGAGAGCAAGGATTACAATGGTGTTGAATCAAAAGAGAACAAGAGGTGATGATGCTGAAGAGGAGGAAGAGGAAGAGGAAGAGGAAGAAGATGAGGACGATGATGAGGAGGATGAATCAATGGATCAGACTGGTATTGATGAAGATATTGAAGAGTTTATAGATCTTGTAAAGGACATGTTCATTCATGGCTTGGACAGAGAGTTTGACTACTCTACAATTGATCGAGAGGCTATTGATCAAAGAGAGCAAGATGATCATGATGATGAGGATCATTACTTTGACGTGGACAATGACCAAAGTGATGTTGATACATTGTCCAACAACAACAAATCAAAGACGCAGTCAACAACAACAACAGCAACACCACACAAAGTGTTTAATCTTGGACAAGAAGATGATTATGACTATGAAGAGGAGTACAGACAATCAATGGATGGCTAAGAACATTATACCATCATCATCATCTACAAGACAGCCATGACTGCTGGTCTAGGAGATATCAACCATTTTTGCGTGTCTATAAGATGAGAGGACACAAAAGATCTTCAGCCCAGGCATTCTTCTCGAAACAAACGATCTTTGCAACATTGACCACACACCAGGGCCCGCTTTTTTATTCGTTTCGCAAAGAAGGTTCCCATTGTCGTCATAACCAATATCACAGAACAATGCAGAGATGTGTTGGTGTACATACATAGTTTGTGACCACCATCATAATCATTAAATCACAACCTTATAAACATTTATGTGTTAGTAATAATAGTAGTAGTAGAATAGTGGTCGAGTTATCAATCACATGACATCCCTTACCATTCATAATCAACAACATCCATCCTCATTCACCTCCTCACCTTCAACATCCTCCACCTTAAACATTTAACAACAACAACAAACAAAAAGACAGACAACAATAAGATGTTTGTTGAGAGTGGCTTTCTTAGGCTTCGCCAAAGACTCATGTCTAAGCCTTTGACCAACCTTTATGAATTCCCCTCGCCACTTATACCAAAGTTGTTCTACTTTATGTTGTTCTATGTGTTTGGAACTTATAGACCTTATATGCCAATATATTTAAAGTCCATCAACTTTACACCAGCTGTAATAGGACTCACATTATTCTTTCCACCATTCGTTACATTCTTGGCTGGTCCAACTTCATCAGCATTATGTGATCGATTCAAATGTCATCGTATAGTGATAACAGTGGCATCATCATGCAGTGCACTAATCATACTATCACTCTACTTTGTATCCAACCATGCATTGGCCATCATGATTGTGATACTCAACTCATTGGTTTGGGCACCAATCATCCCAATTCTAGACTCCACTACCTATAAAATACTTGGTAGTGCCAGAGATGTGTATGTATAACCTGGAATAGGTAGACATCCGACCTCCATCACTCACTCACTCATTCATCCATTTAGTTATGGAAAACAGAGAATGTTTGGAAGTATTGGATTTGGATTGAGTGCAGCATTGATTGGTGTTATAGCCACTCATTATAATAACAATAGAATATATTGGATCAACTACTTTGTTGTACTGATGGGATATGCCATTGCCAATCACTTTCTATTCTACGAGACTCCACTGGACATGGATTCAATCAATTCAATACCAATGGCTACCAAACTGAGTGATCATGACACGCTGGCCCTCAACGACGAAGAAGAAGAGGAGTCCAAAGATAAAGAGTCTAACTATGAAATTGATGATGTGGAGATAGAAGATATGGAACAGACAGCTGGACCAGCAATCATAATCGAACAACAACCATCAACTGAAACATCTGGTGCAACAACTCCACCAACCACGACAACAACAGTTCAACCATCATTCACCAAGTCACTTGGAATACTACTTTCAAACCATCGACTAATGGTACCTCTATTCAATATCCTGGTGGTGGCATGTGGAATGTCCATGAACAATTGCTTCCTTGGCATCATAATCACCGAGGAACTCAAAGGACCAACATCACTCATTGGACTGATAACAATATTCAATGTATCATTCGTAAGTAGTTATCGATTATCACGACGCATATCACAATATTAACTTATATATTATTAATCAAAAACAGGAGATAGTATTCTTCTTTTATGGCAAACAGATTATTAATCGAGTTGGAGTGATCAAGATGATAGCACTATCACATGTATTGTTAATTATACGTGTTACCTATTATATATTTGTATTGGTATCTGGTGCCAAAGCATGGGTGGTACTACCTGTGGAACTACTACATGGTATAATATTCGCATCATCATGGAGTGCTGGATCCAGACTATGTTCAGACCTCACACCCAAGGGTCTGGAAGCCACTGGTCAGAGTCTTATCTACTGTGTATACATGGGCCTTGGCCTTGGCTTTGGTTCACTCTTTGGTGGACTGATCTATGAGAGTCTAGGTCCTGTAATGATGTATGTGATCATTGCCATCCAGACATCGATTGGATTATGCATCTTCCTAGGTTTCCAATACTTTTATGGTGGTCCACCAGGTGGACATCAACAGATCACCACCAACCCTTCCCCATTGTCGACGATGGGCTTGTCCAAGGACTCTGCTAAACTTCTTCAACACAATGATCAATTGACACTAAAACTACAGATCAAGGGTGAAGAAGAGAATGGTGGTGATGAGGAAGAAGACGACCTCTCCTATCTTAGTCTGAGGTCATCAATGGAATAAACCGATGGTCAGCCAAGATGATGAGTGCGGTGAGATGATGGGTCTCATCATCAGACTTGCGGAAGCAAGCCTCTGCGACCCCAACAAACAATTGTAATAAAGTTGTATGTTTAGATTGTTTGTTCAGTCGGCGAATCGCTTCGTGAATGTCACAGCTCACATTGATCGATCTTCAAGTTACACCAGGTGACTGATTCCATTCGTTCGCGTGTCCTGTGGTTACACCCCAGCACACAGGACCTCCACCACTCTCCATAAGGCAACGTGTGAACTGTAAAAAACTACTAAAAATTACCTCAGATAGATAGAACCCTCTCAACAAACCCTGTTTCAGGCTGTCAGTTGTATGTTTGGCCCCTTTGTTGTATGTATCCTGTATTAGTTGGACAACGCCTCTCTGTCTGTCCAAGAAGCCGATAAGTGAACGCGTTTGTCATTCATTTGTACTTGTTAATGTTGTTGTTGCTGGTACCCCCACAAATACAATCAGATTAATAGATTATTCATAGTTAGTTAATTATATACAAAGATAATAATAATTATTATATATAAATAGAAATAGATACACAGCTTACAGATCAATGTTGATTGAGTGTGGACAACATTAAAAGATGAACTCACCTATCAACCACATATTGTATATATTGTTATCAATATTATTATTGATATCTACATTTGGAACAACAAATTGGACCTCTTCTCCAATGTTGGTCAATGGGCAGGATGACCCACCACCTCCAGCTCCAATAATGACTCTACGTATGTTATGTTCTTAATCCATCTTCTGGAAAATCAACAACATATCTAACAAACCAATCAATCAAACAACAGTTAATGCAACATTTACAATCAATACAACATTAAACTTTGCAAATGTGACATGGGAGACTGATGATATGAAGATTTCCTCAAACGATTCAGATCTCTATTACACTTGGATATCATCAGATTCGAATCATTTCACATATGCATGTGCATCATATGCCATGTCATGTGGAATCGACAATCTACTATCAAATACAACTTATTATGTACTACTTCAAGACTCCTCATACCGACAGTCACCTATAGTCAATTTCACAACTGCTCCAGGTATGAATGCATGCATCATCAGATGTTCAATCAATTAATTACTAACTAACTAATTAATATCTATTAGATACAACAAACTATTGTACATTTGATGTTGGTGATGGAACAGCACCGGATTGCTTTGGACATGGATCATGTTGGGGTGGACAATGTGTTTGTAACGATGGATGGCTTGGCGAGTTTTGTAATCTACAGGCACCAAAGGGAGAGATGATGCAAAAGGTCAAGTCCTTTATGTATCCAAAGATGCAAATGAACTTGGACAATCTATACTACGTCGTCAAGGTTCTCAGTATAACAGAGTACAGTGCCAAGGGCAAGGCGATTGATTCACTCGATCTGGACGCTGTAGGTTGGGACCTCAAGATTGGCGACAATGACACTGTCCTCAATCCATTCAACAACGAAAGCGTTGTCAAAAGAGAGATGACCTACTACGCCGACAACATTATTGGACAGAACCCAGACACAACCATCACAATCACCTATACACAATTCAATGGCAAGAAAGGCACACCCAACCATCTAGTCTATCCCCACATGTTTGCCAATCACTATCACTCTGTTCGTCTTGGTGCCATGATTGCCTCGGTTCGCATCGACCATTGGAGTTTCAACAACATGGACAACTGGCTCGAGGTCACCACCTCTATCACTCCAGTGATGGGAGGCGGCTCCTGTGCCAACTGGTCAAAGACAGCCATGAACTATGCCGATCAGATGAACACACTCAATATCATGGACCCCGTCGGAAACATAATCACAGGACGATTCGTCAATCGAGCACTGGTCGATGGTGTGCCACTGGTGGCCTATAACGATCAAACTACCAACGTCGAGTCGGATGAGTTTGACAACATTTATATAGTCACTGGAGTGCCATCATTCCTCAGGAGCGTGGTGGTCGAGGCTGACTTTGGTATGGTGGAGCGTCTGAAGAACTACAACTATGGATGTCCGAACAAGGTGCTCTGGAAGGCAGTTTCACTCTCTCTTCTTGGTGTGCTACTTGCATTTATCTTTATCATTGGTACCATAGCACTGGTACTAATCATTCGAAAGGGTTTCGATTGACCCTTTTGTTACCTGTATTGAATATATATATAGTTAGCGCTGGCCAGATAGGCTAGTCACACAACAAACAATGAAATCGGAACACTCAACTGTTGCTTGAGCTACGATAATACTTTCACCAATGGTTGGTCTTATCCAATAAACTTACCATCATTTTAAAGTTCATATAGTTGGAATAATCCAGAGGTGTCACAGGGGGTACCTTAAGATACTACTATTATCCTTGAGACTATGGTAATAGATTCAACCCCTTTATTTGCTATTGAGCACTTAGCCAATGGAAGCTGGTAACTAGATCCCAAACCACAAATAATAATAATTCCCTCACTACTATTAATAATATTATTTCTTTAAAGATTGATAATAAAGTCTCTTTTCATCAACCTGTAATGTCAGCTACCTCTTACTCATCAACATCCATTGACGACAACACAAGTCCAGAAGATGTGAAAACATGGCTTCAACATCAACTCTTCAATGAGAAGAGCAATGTCCAACACATTAAATATCGTTCACTAGCTGATACATTGTGTAAACAGGAGATAGGTGGAGCATATATCTTCAAACTCACTAGAGATGAGCTTATGGATAAACCCTATTCTCTTACTGATGGAGCTGCTAGAGCATTCATAGATTCAATCATGGTGGGAGAGCAGTTAAGACAACAACATCAGTTCCAGGTCTTCATTCTATACTAACATTCACTCAAGCTCCTGCACAACCTGAACGCAAAGCTCAACAAAGTAGGTAACACATAGCTACAACTGTTGTTTAAATTGACATATTGACACTCCTCTTTAGATTTGAATGATCTCGTCATTGTTCTCCAAAAGAATATAACTCGTCTCCCTACATCATATTCTTCTCCCAACCCATTCCTCCAAAGGGAACAACAAGTTGTTCTGTTGGCCAAGAGCATCACAACAATGTTCACAAACTTTAACCTCAAGTCATCGTGGAGTGTCCAATCAGATCAACCATTCTTCACCTGTTTGAAAGCATCTGGAATGGGGAAAACGACCTTTGGATCACAAGGAGTGGAATTACTGAGGCAGCATCAGTTCAAGGTACCAGATCTCTCTGACATTATGCAACATTGTTTATATCTATTCATTGACTTCAACGCTGGTGGTGATGCTCTGACAACTCAAGAACTAAGTGATACTCCAGAGCTGGCTTTGTCACTTCGGTTACTTGCACGTGGAATATTTGGAGCCTCTTTCACGTGCGAATACTCAACTTCATCCTCAAGAGAAAGATCTAATTAAGCTTGACACAGTCCTCTCTCTCATTGCAATCAACGTCCGAAGAGACCATGGTCTTCTTGAAGATACAATTGTCCAAATTCATCCACTTAGACGAGTTCCCATTAGCCAACTCATATGCCAACAACCGTCCTCACTTTATCAAAGACATGATCGATCTTTTAGGAGCATATCGATATCAACCCTTGGAGAACAATATGATTCCCCAATCGGTCATAGATCGAGTCTTCTTGATCCCTCTGCTCACTGGGACACCAGCCAAAGGACTTCAATTGGGACTGTCAAAGTGGAAATACATTCATATCAATCTGTCCCCACTCACAATCAATAGCTCGATTGAGATAATCAAACGTATGTGTCCACCTCCTATCCCAGACTCAAATGGAATGACAATATTGGACAATCCTCTATTTCAATCAATGCTTGGTGATTGTGGAATTATTCCCCGAATACTAGTCGACTCTATTATTCCATTTATCAACAATGAAGCCTCAGAGTTATGGAAAGACTCCTCATCCCAAGTCCCAGCTATGGTCTCGATGATCGCTGAGTGTCTCAAAGGAAACATTTATTTGTTTGATACTCTCAATGATGCTATCTTATCCTCTTTGTTGAGATATTCTCTTTCTTGTGAACCCATTACTTGGTCAACAGAAGTACATCGAACAACCATTGAAACATTGGCTGACAAAGGTAACATCCTGGTAGTTCAGGGAGCAAGTAAGGAAACCCTAAATATTTATATTCCAGTTCTATTCCTTCGTTGGATCTCAATTAAACTCAACTTTCCTCTCCTTGCGGAGTTGACAAAGTTTCCCTTACTGGAACCAATCAAGGGAAATTTACAAAGAGAGTGGACAGCAATTATGCATCTTACAAGAAACAACCTTATCCATTCCAGATCAAATGGAGCTCCAATCCCACTCATTCTTTTGTTTCCAAATCTTTATGGTTTGCCTCAAGTGGAAGTATTGACCCGACATCTTGGATTGTACCGAGAAGTAGGACAATGGATTGAGAAAGGGTATGTTCACAGTAGTGAATTAATATTCAGTCTCTGACATCTCCTCACTCCTCAGATCCAAAGAGTGTATTGTAACAAATTTTGAAGATCCCAGTGATACAACCAAAATCAGAGTGCTGTCGACTGATCATCTTGTGTTGCTCGAGTCTGGTACATCTGGATTTGATGCAAGGGTACCCGTTACCTATCGTCTTTCTCACAACAATCATCTAGGTAACGAAAAGGACAGTGTACTTGTGATCTTCCATACCGAGGGATTCAAAGACCATCTCAACCAGAAACATGATCTAAATGACTCTGTTGGAACGATCACCAATGAGTACAAGAAAGCAATTGTGGTACCAATCTTTATAACTAACTGTCTAGTTAGCAAAAAAGTGTTGTCCGCCAACAAAGGCCTATATTTCTACAACACCAACATTGGTCAATCAACATCCAATTCATCACACATTAACTCCTTCTTTTCACCTTCACTTGCTTACAGGTTCTTATTGAGGGCCTCAACCAACTTTGCAGTCAAGGAAAGTCCTCTTGAAGTAGAAGATGTATTAATAAAACACTTCATCTTCGGAAACAATGAACATTGTGTGGTAAGTGTGCAAAATTGTTCAATGTTGAAGTGAAGTGCATTATTTACTCCTGCACTTGTTACATATATATATATTTATATATAAATATAACAGATATACTCTATATCTTTATCGTTCTCGATCGATCATTTAGTGATTGAGATTTGTATCGAATAGAATATATATAGTTAGTAGCAAAGGAGTGTGTGATAGTAGTAGTAGTAGCAGTCAGTAGTAGTAACAGCAATAAGCAGCAGTATCAAACTTGGAATAACAGGTATAAAGTCGAGATAGAATGAGTCAGAACAAGGACAATAAGAAGAAGTCATTCGGAAGCGGATCGTCTAATGGTGGTGGCGGAGGTGGTGGCGCTGGTGGATACACTTCACCTCAACACAAGCATCATCATCATCAACAATCACCAAAGAACCAACATCATCACCAACAACAACAACAACAACAACAACAACATCATCAATCACCTCAACAACATAACAACAATAACAACCAACAACAGACTCCACCAATGGACGATGCAACAAGACGAACAAAGGAGAGATCAGTGTTCATTGGCAACACTCTTGTTGGATATCAGGTGGCTGTAAACATGAAGAATGGTGACATCTTTGAAGGTATCCTTCAGTCGGTGAAGGTCGACACCGGTGCACCAGGTTGGTCGCTTGTGTTGCTATACGCACGCAAGAAGGAGTCGTCGGGTCGTGTCGTCAACCCGATTGCACAGCTCTCCATCGATGCCAAGGACTTTATCGGTCTGACCGCCACTGGCGTCAACTTTGACAGCGCGACATCATATGGCAAGGAGGGCGCCGCAGGCTTCCACACTGATACCGATATCAGTGGACACGATGGTGTGGTGCGCGAGCGAGAGTTGACTAGATGGGTTGGCGATGAGTCCACTGCCGACTCACTCGACTCTCTCAACAGCACCAACTCTGATTGGGATCAGTTCGCAACCAACGAGAAGTTGTTCAAGGTCAAGACATCCTACAACGAGAACCTCTACACAACAGAGCTCGATCGTCACTCTGACTCCTATCACCAACGACTAAAGGAGGCTGAGAAGATTGCTGCCGAGATTGAAGGTGTATGTATATACCATTGCGTTAACTGATGAAGAATGACTTGTGATGGCCCTCTCTAACATTGCAACATTTAGAAAACATCGTCCAACATTCATATGTTGGAGGAGAGAAACTTGGTCAAGGCTGCTGACTATGATGAGGAGGAGAGGTACAGTTCTGTCATCAGGAATGATACACCAACCACTGCTAAGCCTGCGGCTGCGCCAAAGGCAATGTCATCCTCATCCAATGTCTACATACCACCAAACAGACGCGGACAACAGACAAACGCTGCAGCTGCCGGTACCGCCACGGCTGCAAAGCCAGCGGCAACATCACCCACCACTGCCACCGCCACCACAACATCACCAACATCAACCACGACAACAACCACATCGGCACAACCCACTGCTGCCTCTGTCATTGCCTCTGCACAGGCATCAAAGTCAACATCTCAGGAGCTCGAAGCAGCAGCTGCATCACAGGACTCCGCTGCCAACCAACCAGCCAAGTCTGCCGAGCAACAACAACAGCAACAACAGTTTAAGGAGTCAAACTCTGGATCATCCTCGTCATTGCTCACCAAGGACTCTGTTGGCAAACTCAGACTTAGCCAGGCGGGCCGCGAGCGCTCGGGATCCATCGACCATGGCGAGATCAACTCACCACGTGATGGAATGTCACCAAGAGCTATCAATGTCTACAAGCATACGCGCAGCACTCTGGTCGACAAACTCAGAAGCTCTGGTGAGCACGGCTCGCCGATGAGATCGCCATTGGTATCAGACATGCCCAGCATGTTTGCCCTTTCATTGGACTCGTCCAAGCCAGTCGTCGATGAGAACATCCTCAATGAGTTCAAGGAGTTCAGTTTGAAGAAGCAAGGTGGACAGCAGGCGACTGTGGACGACAAGCGTGGACAGATCAGTCAGTCACTCAAGAACTTCCACAAGGAATTGAACAACAAGTCCATCCCAGGCTCACCATTGGTCGGACCAAACTCACCCCATCCCCCACCCGCTGGCCTTGCTGCCCTCTCACTCTCTGGCAACGATCAACCAGCGTCAAAGTCTCCAACAGACACAACATCCACCGTTGACACAAAGTCAGCAGATGCTTCATCGCTGTCGCAAAAGGTTGAACAGACCACCTCAACAGAGTCAAGCGATAAGTCTTCGAGCCCAGCAGCCTCAACTGAGGCCAAGCCAGCCAGCACGAAGCTTAAGCTGAACCCCAACTCCAAACCATTCACGCCGGGTGCATTGTCTGCCAATGCCCCTGTATTCACACCAAAGAGCTTCGTCCCAGCAGCAGCCAAGCCACCTGCCAGCGAATTTGGTCCAGCCTCTGAGGCGGGACGATCAAACACCGACTCAACCACTCCAGTCAACGAACTCTACTTTGAATCAATGAAGAAGCGACAGGCCAACCCAGAGCAACCAGATTCTGTTTCATCCTCCTGGAATGAGAACTACCGCAGTGTCTATCCAGGCGAGGATGAGTACAACGCCGGTGGATGGATGCGCCAACCACAATACATACCAATCATGCCTGCGCCCTATGGCTACCCCGTGGGTGGTCCAGCTGGCGCACCCGCCATGAAGCAAATGAAGCCTCTATACAACCAACCACGTGGACAATACCCTCCAGGACCAGTGCCTCCCCCATACAGTGTCTATCCACCATCGTTCCAATTTGTACAGCCAATACCCCCTCCCCATATGAATCCCAAGCAACGATTCTTCCCTCCAAACGGTCCAAACTATCAACAAATGCAGCAACACATCATGGTTCCTCAGAACTCATCACAGCCACCCTCTCCACAACATCAATCGCCACAGATCGCCTCTCCAGCGTCACCCCCACCTCATGCCAGAATCATTCCGTCATCACCTCAAATGATGAGTCCAATGTATCCCTATCAGCCTAATGGTAAGTAGTAATGATGAGGGAAACTAGGTATATACACAGAGTGACACTGACAATCCATTCCTTTCCAGCTCCATATGCACAGGTTATGCCCCCACCCCCAAGAGGTGCTTATGGACATGGAGGCAATGAGGTAAGTGACCAATGATTGGTGTGTAGTAGTAGTAGAATCAGTTGGACATCAAATGAACTGACATTAGTATAATCAATTCCAGCCACCTCCCTACCCATACCAACAATAATGAAGATGACACTATTCGAATAAAGTGAAGCGACACGATTTATAGTGCAATCGTTGGGCAGGATTTTGCCACTCGTTGCGCCAAGTAGGCCAATAATCGATACTTTAGAGGACGTGCACTGAAGAACGTCCTTGTCCTCACCATCTTCAAACACACTGTCTTTGATTATCAAATTCACATTGTTGGCACTGATCGACGAGCCTTGATTCTTGGCACTATTGTTGTAGAATAGACTGTTCCTGATGATTACACTGGTGACGTTGTGCAGTGCCATGACACCACCAGAGTTTGTGGCCGTATTGTCGATGAATGTACAGTCGTTGATCTCTATGAATGTTTTTGAACTCTTTGCTTTGATTTTGATTACACTTCCATCGGTCTGCTTGGCATTGAATATTGTGAGATTGTTCAACATAACTCTTGTTGTGAGCAATGGTCTATCCTCGACTTCTGTGATGGTGATGAAGTGTCCCTGTCTATTCAAGTCAATCTTGACCTGATCGGACACTCCACTGATCGATACGTTCAATCCAATCAATTGGAACCATATATTTCCAATGCTGTTGTATCGTCCTGGTGCCAGTTGAATGTCCAACCATGTATCCTTAGCATCTGGATAGTGTTGGTAGAATGATTGGAATGCAAAGAACAGTGAGGCACAAGGTGTATTGCCTGTAAGTCCACAATTAGTCCTTGAGTTTGTTGATGTGGAGTCCACTAAAACTGTGATTGTTTGAAGTCCACATGTCTGTGATATACTAAAAATAAATAATGAAAATATTATGTATAAATAGTTATACATTTGAATATATATTTGATTGGTCTTTGAATAAATAAATAAATAAATAAAGAGATAATAGTGCGGAGACAATAGTTTTTAAAAAGATCGGCAGTGTGTTGTTTGGAGTGATGGTCTACTTTTTTTTTTGATGACCACGTGGTTGTCTGTGAATCATCAAAAAGCCACGCCAGCGTTTGTGATTGGACACTGAATGCGTTTCGTGTTCTATTATTATTATTTGTACACATTGCCAGCTGGACAGGTCCAGCTCTATCTATAAACGCCACACAACAAATGTCTGATATGTGTATGTGTATGTGTTCGACTATCTTAACTTGACAGCTATGATACCACCCCTGTCTTGGAACTGCAACCTGGACTCGCGCAGCAGGTTGATCAACGCTGGTTTGATCTTTGCAACACCTCCTTCACTGTGATTACCCATACCGGTGATGAGTTCGATTTCTTTTGGTCGATCCTCTCCAGATCCCTCGTACTTTCCACTCGTGTGAACGTCCAGAATGTGGCTGACCATCTCCAATGCCTCTGTCACGTACAATCCATGTAAATCAATCCTAAGTGTATCATTGATTCTCGAATTGCTATTATGATATATGTTGTAGCCGGTTAGGGAAATGTGGAGGTGGTTGTACTCATGATCGATCGAATCTTACCAAGACATAAAAATCTGGTTGGATGCATTAGAGTTGGCTTGTTTCAGCAACACATCGTATTGGCGACCTTTCTCAGACAATGAGCGAGCATCAGCAGCCTTTCCAGCCATGTATGCTGCGGCAGCTTGTTTGAAGAATGTATTCCTCAGTGCTGCATATCTATTGGCTTCTGATCTGTATTGTTCGTAGTCCCTCTCTGCATGTGTGCGTAACATGTTGTGTTAGTGGTAATGATCGACCATTACATTGGTAACGGAGTGTACGTACGGTTCATCTGAGTTGAAGACAACTTGGGACTGGTCTTCTTTGGGTTATTGGGCTGGACCCTCTGGAATGTCTTCTCTACTTTGGTTACTCCAGAGTATATCTCCACCTTGTTTGGACCAGATGGAATGATGGCAACTCTGTCTGGCTCATCAGCAACAGCAGCAGCAGCATTTGGCAATGGCCTGTTATTATTATTCGGTTTTCCACCTTGTTGCTGCTGCTGTCTATTGAGTATTTGATTGGCCACTGTGGTCGTTGGTGCTGATGATGTTGTTGTTGTTGTAGTTGTCGTGGTGGTGTATGGCTGTGGACCACTATTCATTGCGGAATGCTTCTTGACCTTGGATGCCAGTGTCTTTACATCACCACCATACTCCTCCATTCTCATCTCCTTTAGATGCTCCCATGCCTTCTTGAGATCGTTGCCAGACTGTTCGTATACACTCAGTACAACATCCTCTCCCATCACAGAGAACTCCTTCAACAGCAACATCTCCTTCTTATCAGCCTGTCCATTATTATGGAATTGATTGTTGCTCTTCCTTGTCTGTGCCAATATTGCCTTTGCATTCAATTCATCATAGTTATCGTTATCTACAACTTCTTGTTGTTGTTGTTGACTATGTTGTTGTTGATGTTGTTTAGATGATTGACTAGATGATGAGGTTGAAACATATTTGTATGCTGACGATGGATTCTTGATACTGTTCTCTTGTTGCTCCTTGATGACATCCTCCAACTTTGGTGGAGATTCGAATGTCTTCTTTGGTTTCTTTGGTGTGTTGTTGTTATTGTTGTTGGTCTTTGGCTTGATTATATTCTGATGTGATGTCATGTTCTGTTGCTGTTGTTGCTGCATTTGGATTTGCTGTTGTTGCTGCTGTTGCTGCTGCTGCTTCAGCTCCATCTCCTCCTTCACCTGCTGCTCCTGCAACCATGCCACCTGCAATTGATACTCTTCCAATCTCCTCAAAGTGTTGTCATAGTCGCAGAGTGCATCGATAGTCTTGTCTTGATTGAAGTTCTCCATCTCAATGACCATTGCAATATGTTGTCTTGGAATATGTCCAAACATGTCCTGAAGGTGTGCCAGCATCACTCTATAATCACTACCAAGTTGTTGAGGTTGTTCAAGTTGTGGTTGTTGAGGTGGCTCCAGTATGGGCACAACTGGAGTAAGAGGAGGTGTAGTCTTGGGTTGTTGTTGTACATATTGTAGTTGTTGTGGCTCTGATGAATGAATACTCTGATATTCCTTTGGTTTCAGAAACTGCTTCTTTGGTGATGTCTGAGGAGGAGGCTGATAATGGTTTTGTTGTTTCTGTTGTTGTTTCTGTTGTTTATGTTGTTGCTTCTGTTGTTGCTTCTGTTGTTGTTGTTGCTTCTGTTGTTGTGGTTGTTGTTGTTGTTGATGTTGATTAAATTGCTTCTTGATAGGCATTGGCATTGTTTTGTAGTTGTTGTCTTCATGAATGTCCAACTCTGGTATTGGTATATCATTAACATCATAATAACTGTCATTGTAATCTTCATTGTCATTGTCTGTATCGAATAGGGGCTCTAGCAATAACTCTACAACTAGTTTGGCATCACCTTGAACCGTCTCCAACATGAGTTCAATGGTTTCGTCAGGAATGTCTGGAAACATTGTGATGAGGAACTCCACCTTCTCTCTATGCTCCTCAGCCATCTTCATTGCCGTAGTACTCTTAATGTACTCTGCCCAAATATCAATGTCAACGTCCAACGACCAATCCTTTATCCATTCTCTACTGATTGGGAACATCACATCTGATGTATCAGGTAAGAACGGTGGTTTACCCCTGATATCATTTGATCCAGTATTTGTAAATGTCATTATTATTATCTGTTTGATAAATATCTCTTATGTTATTTGTATAACTAACTAATTATCTGTTGTTTGAACTTTGAAAATGATTGATAAAGTGTGTTCGTGATCATAGTTTTCAAACTGAAACAGAAAGTGTTGAGAGAGTGACAGACTCAAACAATCAAGTCCAATCGCTTGATTTGGAAGGACACACACTCAGCCAATCAATTACAATCAAAGTCAATCATAATATTGTTAACATGGGGGTATTGTATTGGGTGAGTGGATGATTACTATGATCAACTTCACGGAATCCATCAGTCAGTCAGATACGACCGGTGTTGTGGAGACCAAACAGTTGATTTATCCTTGCACCTCCTCAACTGCGGCAGTGGTAGTAGTCTCTGATTGTTCAGAGGTGGTGGCGGTGCTGCTGGTCGAGGTGGTAGTAGTCTCCTCAGAGGTAGAGGAGGTTGAGGAGGTGGCGGCGTTGGCGGCGGCTGCGATGGCGTCCTGTTGGGCCTTGAGTCTCGATTCCATGACCTGCTTGGACAACTGCTTGTAGTGCTCCTTCTTGGCGTTGATTTGGACGATCGATTGGTCAATGTCAACGTATTTGTTGGGGAGTGCGAGGCTGAGTCTCTCAAAGTCGGTGATGACCTTGAGTGGATGCTTGATGATCTCTGGCAATGGCTTTGGAGCCACGACCTTCTTCTTCTCGAGACGGCTGGCACGCTTGTCCTCCTTCTTTGCTAGTGGTGCGTATCCCTCAATGTCAATGACAGCTTGGGCAGTGGCAACCTTCTCAACAACAGGCTTTGGCTTAATAGCGTTCAAGTAGGCAACCAATGCCTCACAATCAGCAACATCATTCTCATATGGGTCTTGTGACAACTCTTCCAGGCGTCTATATATATATGAAGTAATAACAATGTTAATATATATCCAAACAATCAATCAATCAATCCACTATACATACCTCTTCTCTTCTCTCTCTTTTTGTGCTTCCTCTCTTCTCTTCTTCTCTGCAGCCCACTCCTCATCTCTTCTCTTCTTCTCGGCGATCCACTCCTCGTCCCTCTTCTTCTTCTCCTCGGCTCTCTGAACCTCTCTTTCCTTGTGGTAGTCGTCCTTGGCCTTCTTGTCCGCCTTGATCTGGGCACTGATGGCTTGGATCTTGTCGTGGACTTCGTCGTGCTCCTTCTTGAGGGTGTTGTTCTCCTCACGCAGTTTGGTTCTCTGCTCGGCACTTGGTGAATTAGTCTTAAGGTTGTGGTTCTCGTTGAGTTTGGCAATCACCTGATCCAACTCCTTCTTGGTCTCGGCGATCTTGCTCTTCTGGGCGACGATTAAAGTATCAAAGTTGGAGAGACTCTCACGCTGAGTAAAGAACTCGATGAGCTGCTTCTTCTGGGAGGAGAGTTGGGTTTGCTTCTTGATGAGGGACTTTTGGGCGTTGACGTTGGTCTCGGCCTCGATCTCCTTCTCAATGTCCTGTGCGGTCTTCTCCATCATGATCATTGCCTGCTCCAGTGTCATGTTCTCGTCCTTCTTATTGATGCGGATTGGGAGGTCCTTGACGAGAGCGTCGGTGGTGTCTCTGCGTGATCTCTGCTGCTCGATGAGGTTGCTCAACTCTGCACGCTCCTCCTCTGCCTTCTTCTTTAGTAGGTCCTTTCTATCCTTCTGTGACTTTGTGTCGTCGGTACGACCCTCAGTGTCCTTGGTGAGGCTCTCGATGATTGCACGATTGGCTCTCATCTTTTCGGTGAGCTGAGCGCGCTTGTCGACCAGTTTGTTCTGCATCTCGATGGCATCGTCAATCTTCTTTCTGTGGGCCTCCATGATTGGGTCCACTGGGTAGACCTTCTTCTCGCCTGTCTGGTCCTTGCCAGTAGTGGAGGTGGTGGTAGTTGAAGTAGTGTTGGCGCCATTCGATCTTCTGTTATCTTTTCTTGGCGCACCACCAGCAGCAGATGACTGCTGACCATCCCTCTTGGGGGCAGCAGCTGTCTTTGGAGCAGCAACGGTTGTAGCAGGTTTAGTTGTTGTTGACATTATTATATATATATGTATATGTATATTGTATGTATGTGTTATAAATGTATATATCACAATGAGGTGAGTAAGAGAGACTCTGGATTGTTTGATGATGTTGCTCAGCTGAGAGACTCCTGCAGGTTGGTGTGGTGTGTTGAATGGAATGTGTGGGGTGAATGATGTTGCTTGATGTTGCAGAGGTGTTCACCAATGAACTCTTATTTTTTTTTGTGACAGATCACTGTTCATGAAGAAAAGAAAATAAGTTTGACTTTGAACTTCCATTTGTTAACAACATAAACAATGTTGTTGTGATAAATGGGTATTGTTGTATATGAGGGGTGATGACAACTGTTGTGTATTTGTCTGATTGATTGATTGATTGATTGAGTGTTAAACACAACACCTACACCCACACACACACAACATATATCCAATTCACTTACTGGTGTTCACTCAATCAATCAAACAAACACACACACACAATATTGGTCATATACTATATATGGTCAACGAGTGATATCATTGACTCTGAATGTTCATATACTATTCAATTATATGGTGGCCGATTCTTTCCAAAGATGAGGTCAATGTCATATACCAATGGTGATTATTATGGTCATCTTCATCATCATTGTCAAGGACAGAGTCTAGGATCAGATTAATCTATATCTAAATATTAATTTATTTAGTTATAAAGGTAAATAATAATAATTATCATCATTCATTTGGATAATATTTGTTATCAAATTTATATATATTTTGATATCATATTGGAATGTCTTTTAAACTAGATTGATCAACAACAACAACAACAACAACATCCTTGTAAACACAATTAAGCAACTAAACAGTTTTCCCTTTTAAGTATTATTGCCATTGATTGCCACCCTCTTGCGTCTGGACATGGACAACACAAGTGGAAGAGTGTCTGCACGATCAATCCACCTTGTCCACATTCCCCCAACAACTACTCATAATCAACCACACAATCACACACTCACACATCATCTTCGTATTATGTATTCAATTGATTTACAAATGGACGAATGAATGTGTTGGTTTGGCGGACACCAACACATCACTTCACTTTTAGTGTCCGCCGTCAGACAATACAAATATGAATACTTGTCTATATTCATCGGTGTTCTGTTGTCATCAACAACATCATCACTTTCTTGCTTGATTGCTTGTTTGGACAACCTCATCACACCTTATGGATGATGTGGATTATTCCACTTTTAAGCTCTGTCATCGCTGGCTCTTACTCAATCACTCAACAATCAATCAATCAATATTGTCCTAACCAAAAGTAAATAACTAACCATACATTATTCTACAGGATAGTTTATTATTATTATTATTATTATTATTTAGACTATATATTTATTTATTTATCAATTATATAACGACACAGATATAATAACAATGGGATATGTTGGAAAATTTAGGTATGTATTTCTAAGACTAACTTAAATCATTCAACTAATGTACTAATAATACATATATTTATAGAGTTACATTATGGACCATCTCTATATTGGTGATGTTAGCCGGTAGTTTGGGAGTTATTATTTATAATAAGCCATTGGGACTGACTGGACTGGGTACCAAGTCAATTGCAGGAACAGTATATTTCAACTGTTGTATCGCCCTACATTGTCTATACCTCATCGGTACTGGTTTCGAAGTTATAAGCAGAGCATACCTAGTAATGGTCGGTTCAACATGCAGTGAACAAAGAAGAGTATTCCTTTGTTGTTTCCTTTACTCAATGGTATGTATTATATTAAATATAACTTTCAACAGCAGACACATTATACTAATATTTATAATAATAATAGTCTGCATGGTGGAAACTAATGGTTATCATGGGAGTGATAACCGTTATAATTATGGCTGGTGTATCTGCTTTGGTAATATTTATGGAGGGATTCAAGAACATTAACATTATTAGAGTTGTTATTGCACCAGGTGTATCAGTGATTCAGATCCTGTTCACATCTTTGAGCTTTGTCACTTCAAGAACTCTGCAAAAGAAGCAGGATGAGGAGGAGCTCGCTCTACATGGTGATGTCACAAAGGACGAGAAGAAGGGTGACCACAAACCAGCACCAAAGAAGAAGGAGGAAGACTCATCATCATCAAAGGAGTCTGGTCCCGCTGTCATCCAATCAAAGGGTGATTCAGATTCTAACTCTGCCATTATGCCTGCCTAAGAACTACCTTCAACCTCAATATCTGATGCAATAATAACAACAATGATAACACAACGTACAAATAAGAATAAACATACCTAAATACAATAACACAAGGGAATGAACATTGACATTAATATAAATATCTGTATTAGAATAGATAACTCATTTTGTGGATCACATCCAACAAACTGTTGTTGGTCGTGTGTCAAAGGATATTGGTTGGTTGGCTGGCTGGACTGATTGGAGGCGATATCAAGTGTGATTTCTCTGGGTGAAGTATTGAGAGGGGAAGGAAGGAAGGCAGGATGGAAGGAGGGAGGGATGAAAGGAGGAGAGTAGTTGTTGGATTGATTGATTGATTGATTGATTGAATGGATGGATGGACAGCTGATCAGTATTCATTTAATATTGGCTGGGGATGATGATTGCTATATAAGTTGTACAGTAACAGGTATAGTTGGTTGTTGTTGATGGTTGTTGGATTGATACATCCGGTTCAATACGTAGCACCATTACGAATGATGCCATGTTGAGCTCGGTCTGTATGTTGGAATTGTTGTTGTTGTTGTTGTTGTTGTTTGATGATGCCTATAGGTCGTCGTTCATGATGAATCTGTTTCCCTCTGATTGTCTTCCATAATATACGTAATTGCTGACAGAGAATCCGGCCTTTCCCTTGCCCTCCTCAGTCAGCTCCTGTGGCAATGCTCTAAAGTTATCCTGATCATCCTCATCCTCATCCTTTACAATCTAGAAATAGGAGGTAAGGTTATGTGTCAATGTTAACATGTTCAAATGATAATTCAAGTGAGTTATCATGTCTTACATCTTGTGCTGTTGGTCTGGCAGTAAGAGAGTAGTGACCCAAACGAGCTGCCTCCTTCTTCTCCTCTACTGTTGCCTCTGTAAAGTCCAGGAACTTTAAGTGCTTCAAATTGGAAAGTATGTAGTATCTAAGGTAACAAAGAGAGTAAGTATGTATACATGGTTGATTGATTGATTGATTGAATGAATGACATACCTATATTTCTGGTAGTCTCCGAAATCGGTTCCGGTGAAGTAATAGTTTGGACAGGCAGGGTTCTTGAGCAAGCTGAGATGTGTCAGGTTGGGGAATTTGTCTTTGATCGATTCGATGAATGCCTTGAGGTCATCGATCTGTTGTTGGTGCATGGATAGGTAGGTAGTGTTAGACTTTGGAGCACTGCCAATCACTCAAGACAACATGATGGTTACATACATTGTTGTTGTTCAATGATAGTGTTTTCAGTGTTGGTAGATATGGGAACGAGTTGGAGTTGCCAACCTGATTGTTGTCCAGTACCAGTGACGTCAGCTTTGTGAGGCTTTCAATGTTCTCAATGCGCCTGTGAGTCGTGATGGAGAGGACATGTCAGTATAGTTATACTTTATGGATTGTAACAAGAGAGCACAGCCACATACGTTATATTGTTGTAGCTCAGGTCGACCTTTGTTATGCTAGCAGCATTGTTGAACAGATGCAATGGCATTGTGTCATAGTCCTGACTTGGTGATGCAACTACGATTTCTTGCATGTTGTTGTCTTTGTTATTGTTATCTTTGTTGTTATTGTTACTGTTGTTGTTACTGTTGTTCTTCTGTTTGTGATTGATTATGTGCATTACATGTTTGATTAGATTGATATATCCTTAATAATAAGTATTAAACTCACATAGTCGTTATCACCTACCTTTTGAGCGCTGCTATTAGACTTGCTGTATAGATCGTCTGATATCTCTTTATGCAAGTATAAGTTCATAGAGAGGTGTGAGGCCTGTCAAGTACGTTGTGTTGTTGTTGTTGTAAACAGCAGCAGCAGTGTCAACGTGACTGATTCGTTGTACAATTGAATGATTGATTGTAAGTGTGTGTTGGATTGGATGGAGTATGAATGACAGCAATTACAACAGCGAATGTGGAGTTGTTTGCTGTTTTTCTTCTTCTTTTTGTTGTTACAACACTTGTATCTGTAAGTGATGATGTATGTATGTGTATGATATTATATGTTTTATAAGGGTTGTGATTGGTTAGAAGTGATCAACATCAACACTGCCTGTCTGTGGACACACACACCAGAAGCAAAGGAAGGTGCGAAGAATCTCACACACACTCGTTTTGACCACACCCCTTTGATTATCCATCATTTTTTTTTTGAATATCGTTTTTGATTACCTTTTTCTTCTGAAAATTCACAATGATCCGAACTTTTGTCTTGTACTAATAGTTGTTGGAGTACCGATGGACCTATCCCTTCTCCTATCCTCCATAATACTCCTTCTCACCTTCTCCCTTCTCTCCTTCCCTACACTTCAATGTACGAATTATTATCTATTTGATCAATTCAACTGTTTCGAACAAAGAATTAAAGAGAAGTGAGCAAATGTTCATTTCAACATCTACATCAAGTATTTGATTGATAATCTTTTGGCTTAAAGAATGTCATGTCAGCATTAGATGATTGATTTTTCTTATCGATATTGTCTTTAGTTGTTGATCTTAAATTCGAACGATCATGTGGAACAATACTTGATGTATACATAAGATTGATGCAGTCATAATTCACATGTTCTATACCGCCTTGCACTCTAGGATGATGTATTCGAAGCGAATACTTCAGGAAGAACCCCACCAAACACACCAAAAACATCCAACTTTCACTCACACGCCGCATCGATCTTATCAATGTGTGTCGGCAAAGGACAAACCCATGTGTCGAATTCATTCATTCATTCGAATCTTGCTGTTGCCTTACATTCGTAGAATAGGTAGTAGTTGAACTAATAGAGATACAAAGATACAGATAGTAATTAAGTCACACAATAATAATATGTTTCATATTCATGTTAGTTAGTTAATTTGTCAAATCTCCTTTTAATGAATAATACTTCAGTTGAGATAACAATGGAGACTGATCCATTTCAACTGTTACTTCAACAACAACAACAACTCCTACTATTACCACAACCGCAGCAGCAACAACAACAACAACAACAACAACAACAACAACAACAACAACCTAGATCACCTGGTATTCAACAACATCAACAATCACAATCACAACAACAACTACAAGATATAAATCCATATACATGCCTTTTACATAATAGATGCTTAGAGTTCTGTTGCCAAACATGTAACTACACACTATTATGCGCCAATTGTAGTATATCTGCTTGTCATCGAGGTCATGTCATTCAAGACTTTGATGCAATGGTGTCACATGTTGACAGAGATGATGTGTTCCATAAACGATTGGAAGATCTATGGACAAGAATCAAACAATACGATCAGACCATCAAACGATTCCAAATGAATGAGTCAAACATCTCACAGTACTACACTCAACTGCATGAGTTCCTGCGATGTGAGGAGCACAAGATCAAGCGGCCACTGATCAATGAGCGAGAGGAGACCGAGAAAAAGGTGGAGTTATTGCTCGAGGAGATCAAATTCATCAACTTTGTCAAGTCAAGCGCTGCTAGTTGTCGTGCTGGTGCTGGCGGTGAGGACGTACCAAGTCCAGGCTCAATGGACAGTGGACAACTACTCAATGATCATCATCTGTGCTCAAAGAGAAAGTACGACGAAATGGATAGTGACGATAGCATCGACTATGATGACGAGGGCAACATACACATGAACATTCAATCAATACTGGACTCTATCAAGTCGATACAGAGCGTCGATCAATTTATCAATGTCAACAAAAACACACTGTTCAAGGTAGGTGGCGGTCTGATGGCAAGACGTCCAATCGAGTTCATGTCAATGATGGGCAAGTGTTTGGAAATACGTGCCGCCAACGAAGCGCTCAAGCCACCAACGCCATACGAGATCACTCTTCATGATATCAAACAGACCAAGAACACATTGGCCAGTCTCTACGAGCTGTATCATGAGTATGACAGTCGTAGTCACTCAACCGCAATGATATTCACCACCGGCGAGACTGGCAGCTATATATTGGACGTGGCCAAGAACAAATGGACAAAGATTGAGGATGACTCTACTCGTCGAGTACAGCCTCTCAACTCTGTGGTGGCAGCTGGTTCAAACGTCTATGTTTTTGGTGGCGTGGACTTGGACACCTACGGTTGTTTGTCACTGGATGACCTCAAGTGGCAGACACCATTGCCCATTACAACTGGGGAGGGTGGCTCGGGAATATCAACATGCTTTGATGGCCAGAAGTACATCTATTTGATTGGCGGCAGTCACAACAAGAACAACCTATCGCGAATCGATCGCTTCAATGTACACTCCAAGAAGTTCCGTCGTGTTGGTGACATTGGTCAGGGACGCGTTGGCTCCCTAAGCTTCTTCCACAAGGACCAAGTGTATATAGTTGGCGGTTTGCGTCGCCAGTCCGATTGGCGATCGATCTTGGCGTTCAACACCAAGACACTCAAGGTATCAACGTTCATGGAGGACGTTGGATTCAAGGATTGGATCGTCGGTTCATGTTTTGACGGCACGGATCTCATCTACATCCTGGACAAGGCAAAGAACTTATTCAGCATCTCAATCTCAACAAAGCATCGCAAACTGTTGGCAGTGGCACCATTCCAATCGGATGCAATCTGCTCCGTCGTATTTGTACAGAACACACAAAGTGCCGAATGCAAAGGATTATTATACTTCTTATTTGGCAGCAAGATTGGCAATCAGTACTATAACGTTGGTAATGATAGTTGGGCCAAGGCAGACGACAATGACACTGTACCCTGTCGTATTGCCAATGGATCAGCTAGATTCATGCTGTCGGACTCACAACAACAACAACAACAACAACAACAAATAACCGTTACTCACTTGGACTGAGTAAATAAACATTGTACTTATTAATTTACTTCTTTTGATTGACTGAATGACTTGTGTTACCATCATGACATGGCAACACATTATTCGAATGATACCTCCATTCCCTTGATATCGATCTCTGCACTGTGCAGTGTTACTGATGAGAAGTTCTCATCGCTGGCGAGCTTGGCCTTGATCAGTTCTCTCGTGACGGTGTTCTTCTCTTTGGTAATTACCACCATGAATCCACCACCACCGGCACCAACCAACGAGTAGCCGTGGACGTACTCCTTGATCAGATTGATCAGGTTGGCCACATGTGTGGGCTCGGCACCACTGGCCATGCACTTCTTCTGCTCCCAATAGGTGTGCAGTAGCTTGCCAACCTCTGACACGTCCACCTTCTCTAGGGCATGTGCCATCTTGTCCGTGGTGGACACCAAGGCATCAGTGACGTTCAATATCTCCTCGGTCTTGGCGTACCATCGTCTGATAACATCTTGAAGTAGGTCTCTGGCCAAACGTGTCCTGCCAGTGTATATCAGCAAGAGATGGTCATTGAGTCTGTCGATTGACTGTTGGTTGATGTTCAACACACGATGCTCCACACTGATAAGATCACTTCTCTTGTCACATCTGGCAACCTTGAATCCACCGACAATGCCACCGACCTGATCCTGCCATCCACCACCAGTGGTCAACATCTGCTCCACACGAAGCACGGCATGCACCAGATGTTGGTCGTTGTAGTGTCTGCCATAGACACGAGCCATTGCGCACAGTAGACCAGCGGCCAAAATGCTCGACGTTCCAAGGCCAGAGCCCTGAGGTAGGTTGGAAGCTGACACGACCTCCATTCCACCACCGAGCTTCTCGATCTGGGTCTCCAATGTCTCTCCGCTGTTTTGACTGACGAGTCCTAGCTGCAGGAAACAGGCTTTGAGCAATGCGGCTGGAGCTTGTGGTCTGCTGTAGTCTGAGAGATCATCAAACTTGGTGCAGATCACTGCGTCAGAGTCAATGCTCTCGACATGAAGTACAATGTGTGGCTTGGCCACACGTCTGGCACGGACGACGATTGGTCGGCGTTGATCGACTGTGATGGCAACATTGACCACCTGGCCACCGTGCTCGTAGCAGATGGGTGGGGTGTCGGACCAACCTCCTGACAGGTCGATCCTTGCAGGCATGGACACATTGCACCATTGATCAATCTTGGATGGGCCATCCTTATGAGTCTGGAGTTGTACAATACAGGTGTCGACGATGTTCTTGATGAATATTTGTCCGGCACCTTCATAGTGGCGTGCGGCACGGATCATGTTCTCTGGTGAGTTGATCCACCTCTCTCTCTCCTTGGCCAACGCCGTGATACCCTTGCGCTCATCCTTGCGCACGAAGCACTGCAATGCCTGCTCCCATGCACAGTTGCGGGCAGGTCCAGAGCGCAGACCACCCTCACCAGCAGTGTAGATGGCGAGGAAGTCAGAGATTGCCGACAGCATTCTTCCAATATACTGTGTTGGTGCAGACAATGCGATCCTGTCCAATGCAGCCAATATCTTGCTCAATGACAGGTCCTTTGTCTTTGCCCATTTCTTAAAGTATGGGATGATGCACTTGTCCTCGCCAGCCAGTATGATCTTCTCGACAATGTGTGTGTCGATGAGGAAGCTGAGGTCTCTGCGCCACTGGAATGAAAAGGACACATCGCCTTCGAATGACTTTGAATGTGGGATAGCATCGTCAGACTTGTTGACGCGGAACAGTGGCGACTCGCCACAGATATCAGCAATGGACAGTCGTCTTGAAGAGCGCCAGCGGCCAATGATGCTCAATGAGGGGACCTCGTTGGTCTGAATCCAGAGGGCGGTCTCGAGTAGCTCGCCAACCTCTCCCGTCAACACTGGGAATATGCGTGCGGTTCTTAGTAGACGATGAGTGTTTGGCTCCCATATCTCCTCTGGCGAAATGCCAGTCTTTTGAAGGAACTCAGACCATGGACGATTGGCAATGGTAGCACAGGTGTCAGTGTAGACCAGGTCAATGTCGTCGTCAATGCCCAGGGTGACGAGCACTTTGAGGCGTTGATCAGCGTCGACGCTTGCCGATTGTCTGATTGACTTTTGTGGACGCAGTCTGATCTCAGAGATGGCCATGCGATTGGCAAAGTGAGTGCCGTAGGAGAAGTCACGCACGCCCAGTACAATAGTATCCTTTCCAATGTGCCAGTTACCACTGAGGGAGCAGTTGTAGATGATACTTCCCTCCTCAGCATGCCCATCTCCATGCAATATACTATTGATCACGGTTGCCTTGATCGGGTTCTTATTGTCATTGAATGAATGGATGAACCTTGACACTGGCACATCCTTTTGTACATTAACAAAGTTCAACAAGTCCCTTGATTGATTGATTGATTGTGGCATAAGTGTTAGTCTACCGACCGTCGTGTTAGCGTCTGATGATGGTTGGGTACACATACTTTGAATGTCTAAAGTAACAATAGATTCCTTTGAGTGGAGCAGCTCTTAATGGAGTGCCACGGAATGTCTTCCAAAGAAGCTTCCTGGCCTTCTCTGTGATGTACTTGGTGTTTTGATGAGCAGGTTTCTCAATGGCAAGATAGGTCTCCCATGTTTGATCCTTGGCCATGGTCAACAGGACATCGGGTATCCAACCAAACTTGACGAGGATGGCACCATTGTCCACACCAAGATATGTGCACGAATCCATTGGTGCCTGTGAGTATAGGTAAAGGAACTTCTCCGTGGTCTTATCACACAGTCTAACCATGCCAGTGTAGACCTGAGCACGGTCCTGAGAGTCAAGGTATCCTTGATCACGGAGCTGTTCCTCGGTGAGTTGGTATCCGATGTTGTCCACGGCTCCAGTAACCTTGTCAAAGCGACAAACACCATGTCGAGTGGCTTGGCTCTTGGGCACCGAGAGCGTGGCAATCGTGACACCATGAGAGTTCCAGAGCGTGGTGTCCGACAGTAAAGGGTTCTCATCGTCCAGGAGTAAGAGCGACTCTGTGCTGGCAATCACCATTCCCGGGCCACAGTTGACAACGATGCGGTTGAGATTGCTGAGCAATATGTCGATTGGACAGACGGCAGTGTCGGGGATGGTGCTTGGCGTGAGGTACGTCAGCTTGGCATTCTCCAACGGTAGTATGGTGAAGGACTTGGTGCTGAGATTGACCAGGGGCATCTGATTGTGAAGGCCACCAATGTTGAGCAAAAGGATCTTTGAGCTCTTGATGAGGTCCGAGTCGACGTAGGCCTTGCCCGACGACACACTCAACTTCTCCAGTATTACAAACAGAGCGTTCAAAGTTGATGTACCTGTACCGATCTTTGTATTATTCTGAGTGTTCACCTCATTGACTGCAGGATCAGTGATGGGAATAAGTCTAGTATGTTGATCAATCAGACCATCACGTTGTCTAAACTCCAACTCTTTTATATACTGTTGTGCCTGTTCATATGTAGATGCTGTCACTCCTATTGCGGTCCATCCTTGTAGTTGTTGTTGTTGTTGTTTATTACTCATTGTTTATTATTATTATTATTATTATGTTGTTGTGAGTTGCCTTGTCATGGTGAAGGAGTTGAATACCACCTGTAGGGTTCAATTTGAAGTTGAAGTTGCCCCCAATCAATATCTTGCTCATTGTTTTGGGAACTTCGTCTTTTTTGCAAAGATTAGTTGTTGTGAGAAAAAATAGCCAGATACTTTTGGACCAAGATAAAAAGTAGTTTGATTAATCGTTTGATCAATCAATTAATCTACACATTATATACACTGTACAACTAAATATAAAATAAAATATAAATAATATGGATACAAATACAAATAATAATACAAATAATAATGGAGCACAGAGAGCAGGTGAACTTGTTGCATTGATGAATGAATATAAAAAGATGTTGGACTCTTATTCAGTGGAGGAGAAGCATATAACACAGTACTTCTTGGAAAGAAGGGAGGAGTTGCAAGGCGATGAGAATAGGGAGGTGGCAATTGTAAAGGCAGATCGCGAGAAGGTGGAAGAGTACATGATGCGTCTATTCGAGAAGTTGCACCATGTCAACGAGTATCTGATTGGTACCGGTCTCTACAACGATGACATTGTCGAGCAGGTCATCGGTCAGTTCTCAAACAACAAGAAGAGACATCATCACGAGATCCTTCAAACTCAGCTGCAACACTCTATTGCCTCGGTCTCGGCAACAGTACCAGCTGATCCCAAGGTGGCCCCGCTTCACTCTGCGCTCTCCTCTATCAAGGCCATGCGTGACACACTCTTCAAGGTCAACTGCAACTACGACCAGAACAACTCAATCGCCAATCAATTCGAGAGACATCAGAAGGTACCACGTGTTGGTGTCGCCGCTGGTAGTGATGAGCTAAAGTCCTCCAATCCTGTGTCTGCCTCAAGTGCACCCCCAATGTCATCCTCTTCATCATTCAAGCCTGTCTCAGCCTCAAGTACACCACCAATGTCTTCCTCTTCATCGTCATTCAAGCCCGTCCCATCATCAAACACACCACCACTGTCATCTTCATCCTCCTCATTCTCCCCTTCATTGGCCTCCTCCTCCTCAAGACAACCTGACAACAACAACAACAACAACAACAATGTACCAAATGTTGTTGACAACAACATCAGTCCAATAAGTAGTATAAGTAGCACAATCAATAGTATCATGAGCAAGACACCTGGTGGCGTCATTAGAACAAGTGGAAGTGCCATAAACACGACTACTATCGTCAGAGGCAACATCACTACTACTCCAAACAGCAACGTATCATTGACTCATTTCACCAAGGGCACAAGGAAGAAGAAGAGAGTGCCACAGTTGGACACCTCACAATCAAGTGTGACACCGCAATTACCGCCACAGCAACAAATTCCAACTCCTACCGCCACTCTTTCAACGTTCACATCCACAACAACCAACTCTAACTCCACCAACAACTCCACCAACATCAACAACACTCCGGCCACCTTCACGCCCGGCCCACTAGCATCACACTCTCCTGCATCCTCCCCTGCACTTGCCCCTGCACTCTCACCTCAACAGCAGGCGGCGACCGTGGTCATTGCCAGCCAGCCTCAGGACATCAAGGATTGCAAGCATCTGCCGTCGGACACTCGTACGCTCAACAATCAATTCTTCACGATTGGCGGCGGTGGAGTCTACATCTTTGACTTTAACAGCAATGATTGGTATCTGTTTGACGAGTTTGGCGACAAGGACGTGAGGTACTATCCCATGAACTCGGTGGTGTCATCGCCCACCAAGATCTACATCTTTGGCGGTGCCAACCGCTCGCACAGCTTCATCTCATTCCTCCACCAGTCGTTCCAGTGGAGCACGCCCATGGATATCCCGCTAGGCCGACGAGGTGGCGCCGGCATATCCACTTGCTACGATGGCGACAAGTACATCTACTTGACTGGTGGCTACTTCAAGGATGTGTACCTAGCACGCATCGATAGAGTCAATGTCGAGACCGAGGCTTTCGAACGTGTTGGCGAGCTATCCGCTCGCAACTGCCAGGCACTAACATTCGTGCGAAACAAAGAGCTCTATGTCGTGGGAGGACTCAACGACAATGAGGAGCGTCGTTCACTGCTCATCTACAACATTGCCAACAATCAAAGCCGAGTGCACATCCCCGACCTGGGCTTCAACAGCAGTATCGTGGGCAGTTGTTACGATGGCGGTGATCTGGTCTATATCCTGGACGACGAGAGTCAGTTCTACAGTATGTCGTTGACGACCAAGGACAGGAAGGACCTGCACACGCCACTGGAGGGCAAGCTATCGTCCAAGTACTCAATGGTACATTTCAATGGTGACAGTAGTGATCCGGCCTATCTCAACCACAAGTACATCTATCTCATTGGAGGCAAGACCTATGGCAATCATCTCTACTCTGTCTTTGATGATCGATGGATACACATCAATGACAATGACAAAGTCAATCGTAGTTTCAGTGGTGCAACAGAGACTCAAATACATGCAGGCACTACTCGTTAGTGAGGAATGGAACAACATGTAATTAATAATTATTTGTGATTGATTGATTGAATTTATTGGATTGATTGAGTGATTGAAATGAACTTCAAAAACTTGGTATTTTCATAAATTATTATTTTGGAGGGGGTTTCAGCTTGTTTGAGTGAATTGTGTGAGTCCTTTCAACCTTTTCATTCCAGTTGCATCCATCCAACCAACACAAATACATACTTACTTATAATAATATATATAATATATAGATTGTATATACATAATCAATACTTTAATAAGAACAAAGTATCTACTATTATACAAACAACAAAAAAACATAAACAAAACAAAACAAACAAAAAGCAAACAATTAGTGTAGCTTGACCATCAAAACAGGGCACAGACATTATTACAGTATCACTGCTGTTATCACATAAATATTTATCAATCAAATCATTCTATTTATTTATTTAGTGCATTACACACGTATAAATATACAATACAATTAGTACTTATACTTATTTACAAATATATATAGTCACCTCTGTATTGTGTTAATCATCATAGATAACAATACAGTACATTCATATATACATACATACATACATACATACAAACATACATTCATATTCATTCATATATATATATAGTGTAGTAGTAGTAATCATTTGATTCTACATATATTCTCATATCTTTGTCAGATACAACAACAACAACAACATTGAATCAAATGGATGTCTGTCGATCATACGCGAAAATTGGACAATGCCTGAACCCTGGCATGTGCATGTTCAAACACCCACCGAGAGAGGAGATGATCGTTTCACCAACGGGATACATCAACCCGTACCTGTACAACACGTCTGCCACACATTACAAACACAACTCGAGCGAATCCGATGCCTCCTCCTGGGAAGAGGCCGGAAACTACCAACCCTATTCCGAATTCAACACCAAACAACCGCAGCAATCACAGCCACAGCAGCCTCAACAATCACAGTCACAACAGCAGCAGCAACAGCAGCCGCCAGTATACTACAAATCAAAAGTACCACCTCAAGCAGCCTATCAACCAATGCCACCACAGGCAATTATATCGCCCCCTCCTCCTCAGATGGGCGTGCCCCCCTTCAACAATGCCAACATGGCTCCATTCGCCGGTGCCATGCCTCCCTTCCAGTCGGCCCCACCCCACCAAGGCGGCCCACTATTCCACAAGCGACTTTGCAAGTTTGCCGAGCGTTGTCGCAATGGTGATGAGTGTCCCTATTACCATCCCAAGCCACACGACAACATTCACAACCCACAACAACAACAACAGCCACCTCAGCAGCAACAGCAACAGCCACCACAACCACAACAACAACAACAGCAGGATCCAATGATGCCCTATCGTCAACCAATGATGCCAGGCTATCAACAGGGATACAACTTCCCTCCAATGCAATACCCACCATACTACTACAACAGAGGTCCCTACATGCCGAACGAACACCAACACCAGGGACCACATCATCAGCCACACCATCCACAACAGCATTCGCCACCTCCAACCACTCACGAATCACCATCAGGAAACTTTATATCGATGACACCAGAGCAACTGATTCAATCATCCATCCCATCGCCAACACCCATGCCTCCAATCCCCTCGACATCACCCGCTGCCCTCCACAACATGAACAGTGTCGCTCATCAGCCCTCTTCATCCACTCCCACTCCAGAACCATCTCCAGAGCCCCAAACTACAACAGCCAACAGTATCACTGCCACCACGCCAATCGCACCAACTACAACAACAACAACTACACCAACTACACCAACGAACACTCCAACCAACACTCCAAACAATACGCCAAACAACACTCCAACATCGACTCACAACCCTTCCAATCACAGATCCAAGTCCAACCAACATAGAAATGACTTTAAACAAGAAAACAGCAACAACAGCAACAATCATAGACAGTCCAATGGAAGACACTACAACAAATCATCATCATCACCATCTACATCGTCTTCTTCATCCACTGCCACTTCGTCCACGTCCCAGCAATCGACACATCCGTCCACCTCCTCTCCATCTACACCAGTCAATGATGTTGCCACACCATCAACAACAACGACAACGGTAGCAGCAACGACAACCATTACTGCCTCTATTACAACAGGTAACTATCAATCAATCAATGACATAATGTACATTTTAGTTCATTGTTCTAACAATTCTTTCATAGAGAACAAAGTGGAATCAATGGCTTCGGCCATCAAACAGATCCATGGAGTTAAAGAAGAGAGTGGATCATCCCAAGCAACGACCAAACATGAGTCCTCCCCTCAGCAACAACAACCACCAGCATCATCACCATCTTCACAACAACACCAGCAACAGTCACACAGGAGAGGACCCAGCGACAGAGACAACAACAAACCAAACTACAAGTCTGGCAGTCCAAAGGCCAAGCCCGCTCATTCATTCAACGATGACAAGAACCACAAGACATCCCCAGCTTCTGGTGCCAGCGCCAAGCCCCCAGTGCGACGTGAGAATTCACACAAGAGCAAGAACAACTTCCCGCCCTTGGGTAGTACCGGTTCTAGACACGTTGATGAGCAGAAGAGTTAACTCTTTGATGCTCACCGTCCCCACACGCCAACATCATACCCGTCCCATCCGCTCACTCCCTCGAGCACATCAATCAGACGTGACCACCACAGCAATCATTGGATCATCATCAATCATTATTAAATTGCAATGCTGCTGGTCGCCACAATGATCATTGCCAGTCCGCCATCATTCATTGGCATACATACACACAAATCGTCTTTGTCAGCGATGCGATAAAACCAATGAATAAGATAACTTGTCAATCAAGCGACACATCTCATTCAATTAATCGATTCAATCATCTTTGTTCAACAACTCAGACCATTGGACGATGAACCATTGTCGCGTCGGACATCAACCGACATTTTGTGGTTTATGGGGTGTGGCTGGGCATCTCAATGGGTGGGTTCTGACGGGGTTATGGACGTTGAATGATCAGACCTCACGACAAGTCGTCCATCACCCCACATTCACCACACACCGAATGTTGTTTATTAATTTTAGACTCTTAGATAGTTTTAAACTCTAGTCTAAGACAGGAAATTGAGTTAAGGTCATAGTGTCTTCCCATTGGGGTGACTGAATGACTGTCCCTCGTCCATCCATCTCAATGATCACTTAAAGGGATCAGTCATTCAATCATTCGGTTTAATTTAACTACATTATTATTATTTGTATTATTATTATCTGTATAATTACTTTTTAAACTAGTTTAATAGCCAAACTGGCACCATCTTACAGACCAACATCTAGAAAGAGAATAGCACTAGCTTATACATCCATAAAGAATGGTGGCGATGGATGAGTCATTTGATGGAATCAAACTGGAACAACCAGGATTGAACAATAATAGTTATTTAAAGAATGGTGATATACATGTAAATGGTCATCTACACACCTCGACCAACAACCTAATCAATGGTATCCAGAACATTGGTGTGTCAATCTCTGACAGAGTGATGGAGTTGCCCACAGATGTTTCAATTCTCAAGAAAAAGTTATCAACTTCAAAGTCATACTTCTTAATGGATAGTGATGATGAAGATCAAGAAGATATTGATATTATTCAAGAGTTGGATGAGATTAATGACCAAAATCTATCGAGTGGAGGTGATATGCTCAGTCCAAGATCAAAGAAGAAGTTGGTTGGAATAAAGGATAATGTCACTGGTTTGGATACGTTTGATAATCAAGCATCGAAACAACATTCTCCTTCAAGTAGATTCAGATCATTCTCTTCACCTACTTCATCATCAATTGGTGGATTATTCCAATTCTCAAGGACATTGATATCAAAGAGAAAGAAMCTCAATTTCAAATCAATCATTGGACGAAGTCAACAAAGACAACAACAACACCTCTGGTAGTGGTGGTGAAGTTGATGAACTTAGGATAAGGTCATTCTCATTGGGTTTCAATGATACATCAGATGCACCATCACTCAATCAATGTCAAGAGATATTGGAAAATGTTAACCAACTTGTGCCAGAGTTTGAAGAGTCCAGGCCTCCACCATCATCACCAAGAGGAATGTTCCCAACTGGAAATGTGTCCCTTGAACATCACAAGGGCAGTCCAGCTTCTCAACATTCAACTAAACTCAAGAGTCTTTCAAGATCCACTTCAAAGTTATTCCAGAAGTTAACATCAAGTTCTTCCCCATTGTCGAGATCCAAGCCATATGTGACATCATCATCATCATCATCTCAAGAAGCCCAACAAATCAACTCATGATCTGTATTCAACAAACAACATGTCCCCTTCATTCAATGTATCATATTACCAACTTGTAAATAAAATAATAACAACTCGAATGGTTAGGTCAAAGTCAAAGTTTGGAATAGAGTGAATGATTATTCATTGAATGACAAACCTTGAGCCGATTCCTCATCTTTAAGTGAATTTGGTGTGAACTTTTCACGCATAAACCAAGACAAGCATGACAGTTGAATTCAAGCCTTTTGGACCAGGTGCATGGATAGGATTAGAGACTAGTTATTTCTTTAATCCTATTTTAAATAAGATATTATTTATTCATTGGTGGAATCCTTAATAATAACATCACTCTACTTTATCATTAATCCTAATGTACGTATTTATTTACTTTACTTTATTAATATTGATATTTTTAGTCAAAGTGGATTGTTTGTTTATCCCAATGATCATTCAATGTGGTGTTCCCCCTCTGTCATTGATCAACAACTTAATAACTTATTGTAGAGGGGGACTTATTACTTGAAATCGAATCGCTTTTTTCATGAACACACACACAATCACATCAACTTTTAATCGTCAGATCTCTGTTCAGAACAACAACAAGAGGAAATATCTAGTACCAGGTGGGTCTGGACAGGGGTGGTGTTGTTGCGAAACGATCAAAGAAGAAAGAAACAAAGGCATCCGATTTTTCAAGGATGTGGACATGATTGATTCGGTCCATTGACCTTTACCACACACGAGCCTTGCTTATTTGCTTGGTGGTGTCACCAACAGTCGAAGCCATGGGTCGTGTCTTCTTGTTGTTGCGATTATTATTGTAGTTGTGATGAATGAGGAACTGAACTTATTCATTCCTTCATCATAATCATCACCATCATCATCATCATTAAATACAACTACGCATATTCATACTTATATTACCTACCCTACTTGTTATTGACAATCAAAGACATCCAGTTGTTACACAAGGTTGGATGACGCACTTCTCTTCATTTTGTATGTAATCGAGAGAATGCTGTACAGCATTCATTCCAAATCCAGCAACAGAAACTACTTCATACATGCACACCCAAACATCCATACTTTACCACCCAAGCTTACCACTCGACTGGGTCACAGCAACAACAACAGCAACAACTCGACAGCACTGCTTATACAGCCAATCCTACAACAACAAAGAAAGCATTCAATTATAATAATCCGGGAATCAACTCATTCATTCATTCTTGCATTCAAACACACACACACATAATATATTCACTCATCGATCCACAAACTTGCCAATCACAATGGACCCACACACACATTACATTCACACCTTTATCTTGTGATTGAATCAATCAATCAATCAATCATTCACACCTCTTTATTCAATTCAGACAAATATGAGCATTAGTGAGTGTGTTCCTTCAACTTTGCAAGCCTAGGCAGGACCACTCACCTTTATAATTTCTCAAACCCAAGCGACACTACATTCATTCAATTCAATAAGAATTGATAACCTATTATAATTACTATTACCATCTATCTATTCATCCAAAGAAACAATCAAATATATATATTAATATTGTATGTTTTTCCATTTCGTACCATCATTCTTTCTGCCAAACATTATTCATCAATTCCATAATTCATTCATTCATCCATTCATCCATTCATCCATCCGCCCATTGTAAATTGATGGATTGTATCCAAATCAACAGTTCAACCATCCATCCAACCAATCAACATCACCTATTGAGTTTGATCACATCTTAATCTATGACATATATATATATGGATAATAGATATATATCTATTATCCAAGTGAGTAAAGTGAATGCCGTATCATTCATTATCATAATTCAAACTCACAAACACACTCACAAACACACTCACACCAAGCAAACAAACAAAACACACTCACACACACATACAAAGAAGGAAACACACCACATTCGTCCAATTCATTCCCTCTTTCATTCACCAATCAAGTTAATATTATGTTATTACATCGATGATTATTTGAAAATCATAGCTATACATAACCAACAACAACAACAATGTTATCCAATGATGCGCATCTTCTTCTCCTTCTTCTACTTCACTCACTCCAATGTTGTTGTTGAGTATACTCAATCATCATCATTCATCCGTCCACTACCACATTCAAATATTAAAGTACTGTCACCCTGTCCTCTGTAGTCATAATTAATGACCATGGCTGTCGATTTATGATACCCTCCTAGAGGTGTGTAACAAGGTCTAAAACAATCCATCTCTCTCTTCTCTCCAATCATTCAATCTTTCTTTCATTCTTTCATTCATTCATTAATTCATTCAACCAAATCCAATCAAATCAAACCAATCAATCCAATCAATCCAATCAATCAATTTTGAGGTCTTCTAACTAATCATTTATAAACCCAAGTATAGTAGATAATATTGACCAACATCAACAATGTCAGCCAATCTAAATAATATATTACTGAGTAGTAGTAGTAGTAGTAGTGATAATTCAACACAACAACAAATACATTCATTCATTGGCATGAAACATACATCTAATTTCCATCAATTGCCACCAACACAACCCTCAACATCAATCGAAGGAATCAATCCATTCAAAATGTTACAACCCCCAACCAATTCAAATTCACATCCGGGTTCATCACCATCAAAGAAATCACTACCCCTACCAAGCAATTTCCCCCTTCCCTCATTCGCTGATCTTAATTGGGGCGGCGCAAGACCAGAAGGTGGAGGTCCACCTCAACACATACATTCATTGATATCCACCACATCATCATCATCATCATCATCATCATCATTTGGTAATGGACATAGAACTAATGGAGAAAAGATGGATGGTCCTACATCACCGGATGGTCACTCACCAGGTGGTGGTGGTGGCCAACGATTCGACAGCGTTGGCAAGATGGAGATGATGCGTCAACAGTATGAGTCACAGATAGAGTCGTTGATGAATCAGGTGCATTCGGCATTTGAGCGTGAGCAGAAACATCGACTCTACACCAAGTCCATCGAGGAGGCCTACACACATTTGGAGACTGAGAACATGAAACTAAAGAAGGATATATTCGAGACGAACAAGGTGGTCAGTGAGATCATGCAGAAGACCTCTGCCATTGGAGTCTCTTCACATCTTCCACCACTTACCAATGGCATTCATCCAATGGGATCGTCCAAGCTCTCATCATCACCACTCTCCATCTCTCAATCAATACCACCTCCACCTGCGAGTCTCATATCAAGTGTGTTGACAACACCGCCAACAACAAAGAAGACCAAGAATGGAGATGAGGCATTGGTAGCAGAGGCCTTGGGCTCAATTGTTGAGTTGTCTGGATCATCATCATCAAAGGTGGACGCCAGGAAGCCAATGCTAAAGAGGTCAAACAGCGAGGACTCATTCAGGAACAGTCCCAAGGTACAACCATCATCCCTGAACTTCTTATTGATGCGACAGTCCACAGAGCCAGGCAGTAACTCATTGCTGCCTCCTGATTGGTCCATCAGGATGGAGTCAGACACATCATCATTATCATCATCATCAGAGACCAAGACCAAGCGAAGGAGGTCCGAGTCCAAGAAGAACGAGTCCTCCAGCAACAGTAGCAACTCTGCTCTCACACCCAGCATCTTTATCACCAACAACTGTCACAGTCCAGCGGTCAAGCTGGAGCAACAACAACAACAACAACAACAGAATCCATTTGAGGGCAGCATTGGCAGCAGCTCAGAGTTGAGCTCGCCCATCTCCCATCTTCACACATCATTCATATCAGCGGCGGCACCACCAAAGAAGGGCAAGAGGAGCAGTAGCACTGGCCAATTCCCTTCATCGATGCAGAGCATTGGAATGATACCCGAGCTGGACAATGACGTGGACAGCGCCGACGAGTTTGACTTTAACCGTGTGGCTGGCAGCAGTGGCGGCCTGAGTCGCAGTGGCGGAGACGCGGGATCACCCGACAGCAGTGCTCAATCTCGATCATCCTCCTCACCAATCGACACGCCAATGTCTGACAACTTCAGTCTATTCCGATCGATTGCCTCGAGCAGCCACAACACGCCACACGAACAACTACTCAACGATATCCACCACCTTCAACACGGCAAGAAGGAGTGTTTGGAGAAGATGCACGTCACGCAGAAGCAGCTACTCACCTCGGATGGCGCGTCCAGCCACGATGACATTGTGATGACACTGCAGAGTGAGCAGAGGAAGCTGGCCGCCCAGATTGAGTCTGAGATCCATGCCCTCAACCAACTCTCCTGTCAAACCATCCTCGAGTCCAACCAGCTGTGCAAGCTGGACCTGCTGCTGCACGACCTCAACATCCAACAGAAGCAGTTGCAGCTCTACCAACACGAGCTAACCTATGGCTCATCGCCCGACGCTGTGCCCGTTGCATTGGTCATCACCAAGCAACCATTCCCAATGGTGATCAGCAAGTTCAAGCAACTGCAAGAGGACCATCTCTCTGTGCGCCTACTCACTGGCACCAATGTTGAGCTGATCTCACACTCCCCGGTTCGCGCCGAGATGATCTTCCATCCCAAGGCACTGGCCAAGGGAGGCGCTAGTCCACCCATCATTGGCAGCACCTCTGGCAATGGACAGAAGAAGCAGATGGAGAAGGACACACAGACACTGGATCCCATCAAGCACACTGCCAAGTTCCCTATCAAGTTCCTCACTGGCACTAGGAAGGGATGCGTCAAGCTTCAATTCCTCATGCAAGTCAAGACCTCTGATGGCACCATCGTCAACGTGCCCAGCGCCACCTCTCAGCCATTCATCGTTATCACCAACGATTGTCAATGGGAGGGCAGTGAAGGTACCCTACTGAAGAAGGAGTCCTTCAACGACAAGGTATGTGATTGTGATTGACCGATCATGTTGCCAAGGCTGGAACCCATACTAACATCATGATTAACAACCAAACAGTTCGAAATAGCATGGCCACACTTTGTAAATATACTCCAGAAGCACTTCTTGAAGGCCACCAAGCAGAGCCCAATCCAGCCAACAAGACAGCTGTCATTGTATGACTTTAGCTACTTGAACGCCACATTCTTTGGCAACCGCGCATTCGTCAGCCACAAGGACTTTGACCAGTTTTGGACTTGGTTTGGCAAGTCACTCCAGACACTGCGCTACAAGCGACACATCTCAACACTGTGGCAGAACGGCCTGATTTTTATGTTCCTAAGGCGTGAGAACGTAGGCTCTGTACTCAAGGGCCAGGAGGCTGGCACCTTTGTCATCCTATTCTCCGAGACCTTCCCAGGCCAACTGGAGATCTCCTACGTCAGCAATGAGAGGGGACCAGGTGAGCAAGGTCCACCTGAGCTCAAGATCAAGCACTACCTCGTCCAACCCAACGACACCTCTGGCAGCAAGAGAACCCTACCAGATTTCCTCAACGAATGTCCACAGTTCTCACATATCTTACAAGTATGTACATGTTCATTTGATTGATTAACATGGACACAACAACTAACATCATCATCAACCACAACCTTTGTAGCTCAATGTATCAGCATTGTCACAGTGCACTGAGCACTCAGTACCACCATTTAGACGAGAGAATAAGAATAGCATACTGGAACCATACTATAGCAAGCGACAAAACTCACAGAACATCCTTGGAAGTGGCTATGAGCCATTATTATCCTAAGACACACGCATACACACACACACACTCTCTCAATTGGACCATCAATCCATCAATCTCCTTTACACCTTGTCATGTTACATAAATATATACAAACATATATACATAAATATAAACATATATATATTATATAATTATCTCTGTACCACACAATCTCCAGATGTCCAATTACCTCGGATGATCAGATGACTATGTTTGATCAATATCAGAGACATTGGAGGTCATTGTCATAAACTATGTTTAGTCTCCACATTGTACCAAGGTCCATCCAAGGCATGCCTTTCAGGAATGAATGTACATAGACATAATGTCAATCATACAAATAATGATTGCCCCCATGACTTCGGCTTAAACACTGAACCCATTTTTGGAACCACCACCAGACACTATTTTTAGGGTAATCTCGAGGCACGCCCCTTGACCCACTTGCCAATAATGGACGATTATAAATGATGAACGACCAATGGCAAGGCCAACGAGGGCCGTACATCATCAACAACACATTTTCGATTCAATCAAGTTTGATTTGTAGTCACTCTTCAAACCATCTTGAACAATGAATGAATGGATGATGTTAAAGAGTAACTCATCATCAATACTAGAGAGTGTGTGTGTGTGTTAGGTGTCCTCCATGGTGGACCCTAATGCCACTTGTTGTGGACAAACTAGGTAGGTGGACCACCACCACGTCCTAAACACTTGTTCCACAAACATCACATCAACCATCTTCTCATTGTAACTCTACATTCAGCATCAATACCAACAACTATACTCATTGCAAATAAGCATAACAACAATAGAGACAGGTTAGATTTGCAAACTACCTACCTACCTACCTTCCTACTTTACCATTCAAGTTATAACTTCAACTACTTCTCTAGACAGGGTAAATATCAAACAACTCACTTTTTGGAAACGAACAAGTTATTGTTGTTGTTGTTATTGCGATTGTAATGTAGAGTACGGCCGTTTTATTGTATGACAATATCGAGTATTGTCCATTTTTAGATAACAGATAGATAGACAGAAGTTGTAACATGGCTCACAGTGTCTGCCTGTTTATTTATTAATGGCCACTGTTGGTGGAAGGCATCCACAATCACACATACTACTACTACGACTCAAACACACAACAAACTAGATTGATTGATCGCCATTAATAGGAGAATGAATGAATGAATGAATGATCATACACAAACTCAAACGACACCTCATCATAACCATCCATCATCAAGATCTTCATTATCATCATCATCTATATCACATACCATCTTGCATTCAGCAACAACGATTCAAGGTTGTTGGGTTTGAGTCTTTATCACGCACGAAGGATTGCAATATGAATCGAAGTAGTGATCCATTGTTGGAAACCACAATAGGGTATTTATAAATGCACTACCGCGCGTGGAGGATGGAAGATCATTCATTCATTCCAGTTGTGTTGCGTGTCTCTATATTGGTAAACACATAGATTGCTTGGATAATATATTTTATTATGGGCAACAACATCACATGATTGTTGTTGTTGTTGTTGCTATTGTTGCATAAGTGTAGATGGATGGAAGGACCATCATATCCTATCACAGCACCATCACCCCCTACATAAAGTATTTAGTACTTTATTATTAGAGTTGCCCGTCATGTGAACATAAACTCTCATTTCGTGCACATCCAAGTCATGTTAAGGGGGCACTCACACAAGTTGTATCACATTGTGAACAAACCCAACTGATTTGTACGTAGAGTAATGAGCAATGGATATTGATCATCAACAAATTCGAGTGTATCTTTGAAGATGGAAAGGCGCAAGATGGGTGCTCTTTTGCCCACAACACTTGATTCCCACATGTTCACTGCACCACCACAAACAAACAATCAATCAATCAATCACACCTGTTCACCCAAGAGTGTATCTATGATCACACTTGTTTCACCCACACCTAAAAATACAATAATACTTTAATCGAATCTCTGTGTGTGATTGAAWTGATTGACAAGACACACACACTCACCCCACAACACCAACCTCCACCTCTAACCAACAATCAATCCATCCATCCATCCAACCAACAATGTGTTATTGAATGAGTTAGTATGTCGTGATGTTGATGTTGAACGTCCACCATCGTTGCATACCCTTACGCATTGAGAGTGACGGACACATGCCCCATTCCTTTCACTTCATTGTACGATGCCTCACCCCCCACCCGGTCATGCATGACTTACAGACTGCCCGTCCGTCCATCATCACCGGCCTGCCTGATAGCATCTCCTGCTTCCAGTTCTCGCTCACCTACGTTATTAAATCTCAAAGTTGAGGCACCCGCCACATCGAATTATTAAATTAACTCCCATACACCTGGGCACCATCCAACATCATATCATATCAGGTCCTATACTTTACCCTACCCTTTCCACTACTATCACGACCATCAATCAATCAATCAATCAATCAATCCATCCATCAACACCAACACAACATTTTTTAATTTAGAAGCACCAGTAGTAGTTGTAGTTGTATTAGTAGTAGTAATAGAAGCACCAACCACCATCCATACCATCATCCATCCACATCCATCCTTCCATCAATCAATCAATCAATCACAACCATCCATTCATTCATTTCGAATATAGTTTGTTCTCCATCCATCATCATTGTCCAAAGATTCAATTCACTCTGTCGTAGTTATTTATATAACCAGCTAACTAAATATACCTAAACAACATTATAATCCCGATGAACATAGTCGTCTGAGGACCCTCCAAGACCAATCAATCATCAACCAATAATCCACCTTACAAAGGACATCAACATCAAATATTTATTTATTTATTATTTATTTATTAATACTTTTTTTTAAACCGTAAGTCAAAATTGGAATAATTATTTCCAGAATTTATTATTTTAACTCATATTAATTAATAATATAAATTTAGATGGGAAGAAATAAGATAACGATCGAAAGGATACAGAATGAGAGGAATAGACAGGCAACCTTTACAAAGAGGAAGAATGGTCTTATAAAGAAGGCAATGGAGTTATCCATTCTTTGTGATTGCGAGATTGGTCTAATAGTGTTTAGCAGTAACAACAAATTATTCCAATACTCATCCAAAGACATGGATAAAATATTGCATCGCCAATCAGAGAATACAGATAGCAACAGGAAGACTCTATCAAACCAAGATGTAAGTAATTTAATTATTTAATTATATTCCAAATATTAATATTTTTTATTTGTAGTATTCTAGGATATTTGGAAATAAGAAGTTAAAGACCGAGAATGAGGAGGAAGAGGATACTTTGGATGATCTTGGAGAATCTCCAAGGTCACCAAATACTTGTTCTTCCACAAATCAGAGCCCTTTGCATCTTGGTAACAATCAATATAATATGTCATCCTCACATCAGAGTATGGAGATTGTATCAGGAAATCCAGTAATGCCATTCCAGTCCATGGGCCATGGTCTACCGCATGGCTCACCAACACAACATGGCACCAATGGGGGTGGCTACATGATGATGAACGGTTCTCCAGTGCCATTCGTCCCACAAAAGTACAACTACAATACCAGTCAGATGGAGGCTGATCTCGCGCCATTGACACCAAGAAGCTTTGCCAAGTATAACAACAGTGGTGCCAAGTTGTTCCCCAATGCATCATCATCGTCATCATCGATCCAACAACAACAACATCAATCACCAATGGTTATGTCCACCAACAACAAGAATCAACCAATGGCCAAGTCCACTCCAAACCTATACAACCAATACTACTTTGGTGTGCCGACCAACTATAGTAACATTGCCGGTCAAGCTCCATACCTCTATCAGAATGCCTTGCACCAACAACAACAGGCTCATCAACAGCAACAACAACAAGCATATCAACAACAACAACAACAACAACAAGCTCAACAACAACAACAACAGAGCAACTCACCATTTGTATCACCACAAATCTTGTCATCATACTATAACATGCCTTCGACTCAACAACAACCAACCCAAGCTCACAACGCTGTTCCACAACAGCAGTTCCAACAACCAATGTCGGTACAACAACAACAAGCATACCTCCATCAACAACAACAACAACATCAACAAGCTGTACAACAACAACAACAACAACTTCATATACAACAACAACAACATCAACAACAACAACAACATCAACAGCCAGCTCCAAGCACGACCACTTCATCCTCATCATCCACAACAACTCATCACACATCAAAGAGCCAAGCCAAGAGTCGCAATCCCTTCCCAAAGTCCAACCTAATACCAAAGTCTGCCTCATCAACCAATCTCCAAGCCAACAACAATACTCAATCAAACAACCACAACAACAATGTAAACATCAACAATAACCAAAACAACAACAACAACAATATGCAGAATGTTGGCTCCAGTGGATCTTCAAACAGTACTCCACCAGTATCCTCCCCCAATCACTCATTGAGCGCCTCAGTCTCACCCAAGCTCCAGCCAGAGACACTAATGCAAGCACCTGAGGAGCCAAGGACCAAGTCCAAGAAGCCACTGAGTATATTGATCCCAGAGGCCAAGTCATCGGCGACCACTCCTCAGGTCAAGGTTGAGAGCAACAGTGGAAACATTGTGGCCGAGAGCGTGGCTTCTAGACAACACGACCTTCCTCTTAAAGCCAACGAAGCACCAATACTTCCATCGCCACGTGATATCTATCCAATGTTGATGGACTACCACTGGCCACGTCCATCACCCGGAGGACCTGGCGGCATGGGCACTCCCGGCACTATCGACCTTTCCTTCTTCAGTGCACTGCCATCTCCCAGCAAGTTTTGGAACGACGGACAATCTCCACTATTGTCCTTGGGCAATGCCGATGGTGATCTAAAGAAGAAGCTGAGTGCAGTATAATGTAGATGTAGATATAATAAAGTCCCCTTGTTATATATATTATATATATTAGATATATATATATGATCGATAGGTCTTAGAGTTCATCCCTTCCTTTGGCACTGTTTGTAGTTGTTGTTGTGTCTGTTGTTTGCTTCTCGGTTTGGGCAATTTGGTCCTGGATCAGCTTGCCAATGTCGCGAAGTATCTCCTTCTCTTGCAGACGCATCTTGATTGCTAGCTTGGCGCGATAGGACATATTCTTGAAAGTGTCGGTGGCCACCAATGTTTGATCATCCTCCAATGTGGATGGATAGTTGTTCTTCTTGAGCTCGACCAACTTCTGCAAGAAATGCAACAGACTCTGATTCTTGTACGACAAGTACTTGATCAACTTTAACAACTCCTCTGTCAGCGAGTCCTTAAACAACTTCATCCTGCCATTCTCCTCGAATGACTGTTGAAGTATCTCTGTCTTTTCCTTAAGTTTGGGGTCCTGTGGATCATGTGTCAGGGATAGGAATCATTCCAAAGGTAATGGGGACACGACTTACATTCTTTGCCATGGTCTCTACCAACTCCTCGATGAGTATGTTGACACAGTTCTTCCTTGTTGGCGATTGATCAATGAAGCCAAAGTCGACAAGGAGATCACTGTTGCAGTCTTGGTTGCCATAATTGAAGAAGATTTGCTCGCCACTCTTCACTGGACGAATGGTGGTCACTTTGATTGTGGCACTCTGATGGTCAAAGTCGTAGACGGCCTGTGCATCCTCATTGTGATTGAAGTGATCGATAAATGGTGCCAGAACAACGGTCAGCACTGGATTGCCCTGCTCGTCGACGCCTGGCGCATCAGTGTACATCTTCCTCGAGGTAACGATTGATGTGGCCCACTTGAAGCGATCCCAAGTGATTGTGCACAACTCAAACTGCTTGCTCTGAAACAGTGAGCTGCGCAGTCTCTCAAACACCTGCTTGGTCTCGCTCTTGACCACCTGGATGTGAACGTATGCTGGGGAGCCACGCAGCAGATCAATCTCTTCCTCTGTAAAGTAGAGACCAGTGTTCAAAGTCTCTGGGAATGCCGAGAACCACTGTGAGTAATCCTCCGACAACTCCTCCTTGCAATATCGATAATACAACAAAGCCACAGCCAATGCATCCTCTGAAATCAGTTCCAACTTGACAATCTGATCAAATAACCAAGGGTCCTCTGCTTTGATCTGTTCGAGTAGGTGAGTGAGATGATCATTCATTCAACAAATAATCTAAACATACTCTGTCTGCTGAGAATGTGTCGAACCATGAGAGGCTGACTATTTCCTCGCCCTCTTTGATATCTCTTGAGGCAAAGACACCCTTCTCATCACTTGCTAATAATAGTTGATCTGTTTTCTTTCCTTTGGTATTTGTTGTTGTTGATGTTGTCCATGATTTGATATTGACATCCTTATCCTTCTTAAAGCTTGTATGTGGCAATGCATGTTGAGCGCCTTCACCACCTATTCTAAACTCTATATCACCAACTTCAGACCATACAGGTGACACAACAAATGTCAACAACACAACTACTGTCGTTGCTATAACTATCCACTTCATCATTATCTCTCTCCCTGTAAATATCTCTTTGTTTGAGTGTTTGTAGAATGATTACTTGTTCAGATTTGCAGCTTTTTGAAAAAGAGACAGAACTTGGAATGACGTAAATTCTGGTGACATCACTTCATTCAATCAAACAAAGCCAATCAATAACATTAATAACAATATGTAATAATATATATATATATATATATATATATACATATAATATGGCCAATAGAGATAAGCAACAACAACAATCAATATACAATGTATTAACAAATAGAACATTGATAAAGACTATTATTAGACTTCATCACTCAAAGAGATTGAGTAGTTCATTTACAAAGACTGATGCATCGGTACATAGTCTAAACTATCGATCATATAATGATTGGGTAGATATGAATACTATTGTGGAACATAAACATTATGGTCTGCTACGTGATCGAATCAAACGTAATCTATGTATCAATGTAACTTCTGGTTCAATCTCTGTATTCTGTGCGACTAAAGATATAGACAAAGATACATTCAACGCAGTCTATAACAAGTATCGTGGATACTTTAGATATCAAGATCTACTATATCAGGCCATTGAAGCTGGCAACACACACATGGTGCACACGCTACTCCAACAGACCTACCCAATATCGTTTCCAAAGGATTCGTCATTGCTGCTGTCTGCATTCCTCAAAGAGCCCACAATGCTCAACTTCCTCATTCATACATGTCACATTGATCCCAATGACCTGTTACTCGACCCAACAAAAGTGGCCTCCACTCTTTACGCCACACGATCTGAATCCACTATCCGCTTCGTACTGGACCCGACCAACTTCCCACCGACACTCATTGACAGGATAAAGTCATACGCGAGAACTGGTCTTTGTACCGTGGACATCCTACTCACTGGTGACCCAATACTCATCGATGAGTTGTTGGCCAAGTCAGTGAACAACAAGATAACATTCCCCTATGATGTCGCACCTTCAAGTGCCACACCCAACGAGCAATTGGAATATGTTGAGCGATTGATAAAGTACAAGGTACTGAGTTGTGGACCAGACCTCGATTCGGACCATATGCCAACAATCAAACAGTCATCGGAAAGAGCAAAAATGGTCATTGCCAATGAGATTGAAGACCTGAACACTGACATTGACATTGGAGATGAGGAAAGATTGATCTACTTCAAGTTGAGTCGTGTCGACCTGCCCGCCACACTACCGACCAAACTGAGATTCAAACATTATGCCACCACAGAGTACATCAATACTGGCGATTGGCGACTCATACCCTATCTGTTGGACATGTGGGACAGCATTGTGGTCGACCCTAGTAGCTACTGCCACGAACCAATGCGAACGATCGTTCAACATGGCAATATCACTCAGGCCAAAGTTGCCGTCAAGTATTTGATGTCCAGCTGTCGCGTATGGGATAGGATGCATATACTTTTCTCCAGTGATCAACTATTTGAGAGCATGAATGAAGCGGACGATCATGATCGTAGTCTACAAGTGATCAAATATCTCAACGCATCTGGATACGCGATGCCAATGTTGGACATGCGACGCACCCATCACTTCAAAGGTACATTCGACATGTTACGATTTGTGTTAACTCCGGCCACAAAGATATTCAGGACATTGTTGTGGATGGAGTTCTACAACTTTGATCACATTGAGTATGCACTCAATCAAAAGTCATCACTGATCAAGGATCATACTGTGCAGCTGGCAGGTCGCGCTGCTATCAAACATGGCAATCTACCAGCGATACACATGCTCATCAAGCACAGACCTGCACTATTCAAGAATGATGCACAATTGCAATTGCTGGCCATATCACGATCAGATGAACTCTATCAATTGTTAGAAGATTATCAACTTCTGGACTTTAGTTCAACTGTTATATGGGACACTATTGGACGACATGGCAATGTAAAGCTACTCAATCATGCACTGAGTCACACGGACACCAAGGTACTCAAGCCGTTGATACATCGCATGTTAGAACAGGCTGTACAATGCAGTCAGATGGACTTGATCATTCATTGTTATCATACGTACAAGGAATTAATGCCAAAGGATATGACGATTATATCAGCAGTGAGATCTGGTGATGTAAAGATGTTGGAGTTCTACTTCAGACATGTACAGCCCATCACCAACAAGACATCAAGAGAGACCATTGATACATATATACACTCAGTAATAAGATGTGGACATGTTGATGCATTGGAGGTGATACGAAGTCATTGTGACGAGTCAACAAGATTATATATCAAGACAATGTTATCTTCAACATCATCAGATAATATTCAATTGATCAAGGATCATGTAATTAGAGATGAAAACGTTGATATGTTGAAATATCTACTTGATATTGGAGTACAGATTGATATCAAGATGGTGGAGAATACTGAAACATACAAATCAAACATCAATATTCGAACGATTATCGATAAGATCAAAGTATCAATCAATCGTAAACAGAGAATACAAAAGCAAAAGAAATCAAATAAATATAATTAATTTATTTATTTCCAGATGTTCAATCAACCTGGATGGATGACTCATCAAAAGTGAGTCACATGACCAAAGTACCACTTCTTTTTTCAATCAAAACAAAGAGATAATTGCGGATCCTACTTCATTTTCATTTATCTCTTTCCACCTCAATCAATCAAACATGGTAAAGTTCAGATTACATTTAATGGACATTGGAATAGTGTCTTTTATGGCAATAGTATGGTTGGTGTTGTTATGGATTCATGTACCATTGATATATACAATGTACAATAGATTACCATTTAGTAAACTATTGAATGAACATTCAATTAGAGATAGAAGTTATATACATAATGAATTGAACAAAGATCATTTGGAATATATCATTCAATACTATTTTGTACTATTCATATACTACTCTCTATGCATTTGGACAATTATTCAATCATTCAAATTCACGCTATATCATGGTAATCATTGTGTACTTTGCCGTGGTCGAGATATATCAAGAATTCTATCACCATTGATCACATTCAATGAAGGTGATAATGCTAAACATTTATGTATAGTCTTTAGAAGGTCATCACGTCGTTGGCTATACATTATTGGAGTACTACTACATTTATTCTCATTCTACTGTATTGGAAATTACAGTGAGATGATGTGCTCAGTACCTCCAAGAATTGACTATGACTATCGGTATTATTGTTACCAATTCCTACCAATGATGCTTCTCAATCCCGCACCATACATCTTACTCATTCTCAACGAGTTGTTCCTTGCATGTAAGTGGACAACCTTTATCGAAAGCAGTAATAATAATCACAAAGATTAATGTTCAATCAATCAATCTAATGAATGATTAGAAGTATAACTATTATTAAATTACTATAACTCAACGACTGCAGAGTATGTGTCAATTGAATTACGGGAGTCGACAATATGTGATGGAGCTGATGGGATGGTATCATTCTTGGAGGATCCGTTGAAGGTTGTAGATGCCATTGATAACACCTTGGTGGAGATAAGCTTGAACAACTTGTTGTTCAAGAGGAATGATGATCGCCAGATTTCAAACGTTCTCTTTGATAGTCCACTGAGTAGGAATGCATAGATGGCACAGATTCGCACACAAAAGATGAAGTATCCAATTCCTGCTGCTGTTGGTCCCTTCACCGTACATTCATAAGGATCAGCTGCCCTCAAGGCACATTCAAACCATAGTGGCACTGTTGATATGAACCTATCATAATTATCATTAATATATCTTGTAAAGATCAACAAGTATATATACAATGAGAAATATAATACAATGCCAACAATCGGTCTAATCTCCATTTTGAGTATCTCAATACTAGCATTCTTTCCTTTTGATGTTGATGTCGCTGATACAATCTGGGTGGGTAAGTTAGTGATTGGGTCAGTGGGATAGTTCCAGGATTGAAGGACTGATTGATTATGGTACATACCTTATAGATCTCATACATGAGTAGGATCATGAATACTGCACCAATCAGAAGGAATAATCCCATTGGTACAAAGAATAATGCAGTTTGATATGCACTACTATCCAACCAACAGAATACATTTCCAATACCAGCATGATATCTCTTCCTTGCCAGGGCAATGATAGGGAATATCAATGAAAGTGAAATAGTAACCGGTAGATAATATTTCATCATATCTTTTTGGAATGCTCCAACTAAATATTATTTGATTGAATAAGTTAGTATATGTTGTACTGTAATATTTTAAGTTATAACATACCTTTCCTGATTGTGAACCATACTTCAAATGCAATGATTGCCCACCATTGGATGGAACTAAGTGCAAAGATGTGGAGAATGAATGCTGATGCTGTACATGGGGCGTCTGAAAATGTGGCACTTCGATATACTGTTGGACATACAGTCTTCTCGGTGCCATTTATCGAAACAATCATTCCAGATACACTCATCATCAACAGTGATACCAGGAAACATAAGTTGATTCTGTCAAATCTTGTCTTCTTCTTGTTGAGTATTCCATAAGTGATCACCATGAATAAAGATGTTATGAATGATAAATACGATAACACTTCGGACAATGTGAATATCCTACTCCATTCTCTAAGTGTGAATATTGGTGCTGGACAATTGACCACGCAGTTTGAGTTGTTCGTGGTGAAGTAGACTCCAGTGTCCAGGGCATACTGCCGGTCAGTACCATTATATTGTAGTAATGGTGGTTTACATGATAATGTGACGATTGGTGGGTTGAGAATCTGTTGGGCAGCTTGTTCAGCATCCTCACAACCTGTTGTGTAGTTGGATGTCGCCAACTTGTCCAATATGGTCAAGTTGTAACGACTGAAATGTTCGACAAAGTATGATCCACCTCCACTATTTGGCTCAGTCATATTACAATTGTAGAAAGATGTTTGAGGTAATGCACATGTATCCAATATTGTCATACATGAATTATAACATGTCCTAATTGGGAAGTATATAACCTTCTTACTTGATGGTAATGTATAATTGGCACATTCCCTAAAGTACTATATTATAATTGGGAATATATTAATTTCAAATCCAATTCTGTCCTTTCCAACAATAAAAATACATACAACTGAACATAATCCAACATATGTGGATGTTGAATTTATACATTTATCTGATCCTCCAACAGAACCAAGTAATCCCAAAGCAAATGATACATTGCCTTGTAAAAATGTTTGATTTGTCCAACTTGGAACATATATTGATTCTAGAAAATAATTATTGGAGTTGGTTATTGATTGATTAATTGAATGAATGAAAGATGGAATCAGAGACATACTTGGATTGATTAATAGACCATCACATATCTTTTGACCTGGAGGATCACCAATATATGGTTCACACTTTGCCTGTTCATCTGGTTGATATAGATTTTGACTTGATCCTTGATTGACAATCACTGCCAACAATAATAGTAATATAATAAATGATGTGTTTCTCATACTTTATCTGATTGAATATCACTATGTATAAAAGTATGATTAATGAATGATCGCGAGTATTGATTGAATGATTGGTATTGACTTGTGGAGTGGTAGTTGGAGGTTGGTCCTCTAATACATACGAATACCTAGGTATCTCTTTCTCTCAATTTGATAATCAGACCAATCAGACTAACACGGCCCAACCTTTAGTTTAGGATCATCTTGAGGGTTGAGTCCTTACACGGAGTGTCTTTGGTGGTGTTAAGTTATTCGTGATTGGTGGTTACCATTTGATGAACTCTCTCTCACTCATAGGCTGCCAGGGCTAGATCAAGGTCATAACCGAAGATAATTATCTTATAATTTTATAATTGAAACCACATGGTCGACCCCATTCACATCAAGGACACGCATTTTCGAAAGAATCCCATGTTTTTGTCTTTGAAAAAAGATCGGGGCTCCTCAAAGTGTGAAGGCGTGGTTATCAGGGTCGTAATGGGCGGGCTTTGATTGATCAAAACAAATATCCTAAAAGATAATGTGTTGTACACTTTTTTCGGCCCCAATACTGTCCGTCCACGGACCAGCAAAGATTGTTGGCAATTGGCTGCATTAGGGAGCGCCATCTGATGAACGTGCGACTCTACACTGTGCCAAGATCAATCAATCGCACAAGTCTATTGACTGACTGACCTTTGTATGATATGCTTCAAGGTGACACACACTTAAACGATCGTCCATGTGCACAACTATGTGATTGTATTGTCGGCAATCGGCATTGTTTGTGTAGTAGGACAGTCTGCAAATGTGACAGTGGCCTGGGATGTGGCCCAAGTGCCTCACATGCAAAGTTCCAGAGTGACCCAATGTTGCTGAACTGAAAGGTGAAGTCGGTGAATGATACTTGTTGAGTTGTTGACGGCATCAAACAATCAATCAATCTTAAGATTGTTTGAATGTGTAGTGACCCGTGATGCCATTGCCATGTCGCCCCATCATTCATTTAGATGTTCAACTCCTTTGACTTTGAAAGTGGCTCAAAGTATTTGTTGACCATGGCATCGGTGACCTGTGAAAGGGTGGCTGGCTGCCACTTGGGGTTCTTATCCTTGTCCACCAAGAGTGCTCTGACTCCCTCAAAGAAATCATTGTTCCTCTAAGATTGATATTTGTGTGAGTGAGTATATATAATCATGGGCCCCGCGGGGCAGGGTATTACCCCGACCCAAAGAGGGAGAAGGTAAGATCATAACCTACGACAAAGGTAGCGGCCATTCTCATCTCCATCTTAAGACACTCGGCTAGATTGGGTAACTTGCTTCCGTTGATTATCTGGCGATGGACGACCTTGAGTGCTGTTGGGGACATTGTGTTGAGGACGGCGATGGTCTGCTTGGCCCATTCACTGCCGTCCTTCTCCAGGGCAGCAACAATCTCCTCGACCGAACCCTTTGAGAAGATACGATCAAACTGTTCAAACTTGTTACTGATAGTGTTGGCGTCATTGATATCAACCTTCTCGTGGAAGGTGGACAACACATCAGCCACATTAGCAGCAGTTGGATTAGACATGTTCTCCAAAGTCTTTTGCAACTCTGTCATCTTTCCAATTGGTACATAATGAGTAGCAACTCCTGCGACACTATTATATGTTTGATTGATTGATTGGAGTAAGTGAGTGAATGATCAGTGGAATGGTACCATGTCATACTTACAAGCAGTCCTTGCCCTTTAGCTTGGCTCCGGTCAATCCAAGGTACATTCCAGTGTTGTGCGGAAGTCTTGGAAGGAAGTGTGATCCACCGACATCACAGAAGAATCCAATTCCAGTCTCTGGCATGGCAAACATTGTGTTGTCCGTGGCCACTCTGAACTTGCCATGAACGGACAATCCAACGCCACCTCCCACTAGAGTACGCGTGCAAGGTGTTAGTTTGATTGATTGATTGAATGAATGGTTGTCTTGACATGATTGATCACTCACTTGTTATTCCATTATACAATGATACTTGAGGGATTGGTGAAGTGCCAATGAGATTGTTAAGGGTGTACTCCTCTGTGAAGAAGCTGTCGTCTGGCTCTTGTCCAGTCTTGAGTACACTTGGTCTACTGCCGTCGTAGATGGCACGAATGTCACCACCAGCACAGAATGCCTTCTCGCCAGCACCCTTCATTATGATGACACCATCACCATCACGCAATGTATGCCATTGTCTATACATTGGTGTCAATGTCTTGACCATCGATTGATTAAGAGCATTCAATGCCTTTGGGCGATTCAAGGTAATATTCATACTCTTGCCCTTTTGTTCGAACAATATCTCATCAGTCTAATAGTATAACAAACAATATTGTTAGTCAGTCTGACTAATGTATCAGTCACATCAAGAGTTGATGTAGGTACCTACAGGAGCTGCAGAGGATGAGTAATATCTTGACTGATTGGGTGTCACTGTTGACAGTATTCTTGTTGCTCTAAGCATCTTGACTGTATATATATATCTATATGTATATGAATGAACAAATGAATGACAATCAATCTGACTCTTTCATCATTCTGCTGAAGAACCAAGTTGGGTCCAAATATCTCAAAGAGAACTCTGAAGTTGAAAGAACACCAAAAACACTCAAATCCCAACATTTTTATCACTTTCGGGTTGACTTCAAAGTTGGAGTCTATCTCTTGGAAAGAGATAAATATATATATATATATCTTATGTTATTTGTACAAGGTTATTATTTTGTAAATGTTGGATAAATAATATTAATAATGAGGTTGGATTGATCATCGATGAGAACCCATCATCTGACGTGGTGTCTTGTCTTGCTCTGAATTGCCTTGTCCAGTGGCTGAACTCTTGACGAATGATGAATCTGGTGATGCTTCTTGTTGGACTACGGCAGCGCTCTCTGATCTCGTGAGCATATTGCTGTTGATCGTTCCATTAAAGTTGAGTGCCACCACTGCCTTGTGATCAAACGATGAGTTGTTTGAATGTGACTTCTTATGACGTGATGGTGGCTTCTTTAGTTCATTGTTGTTGTTGCTGACTAGGTTGTTTGGCTTGGGTGGTGGGACTGGACTGCTGCTGTTGCTGACGCTGATGTTGATGCTGCCGACACTACTCGCACTTCCACCTAGACCTGTACTGCTGCTGCTGTTGCCAATGCTGTTGCTACTACCATTGATTCCAATACTATTGCCGCCACTGCTGTTTCCAATACTGCTGGTACTGTTGCCAAGTGGATAGGCGACGAGGTCGGGCGATGACATGCCAGTGACGAGCTGATGACTTTGGACCATCCAGGTGTTATGTTGCCAGGTGTTTTGGGTATCCGTGCGCATGTACAGTGCCTTCCACACCTCGAGTGACCGCAGATTGAGGTTGGGACGGATGGGAACACGGTCCATCATGGCAGGCTGGTAGAATGGGTTGGTGTAGCGACGTCTGTTGTTGTTGACATCGGTCCAGATCGAGATGGTCTTGGTCTTGGCCTGGCTATCGATGCGCTCCTTCTCACAGTTGTGAAGGAATGTGCCGTACTTGCATGAGAACAAGTGCTCGGCCATGAAGAGGAGTAGGCTTGGCGTGTACTCAAACATCATTGGATACTGATTGACGATCTGGAAGAGTGCATCCAGGAACTGTATGAATATGGGTGATCGCTCGTCCTCTGCCTCACTGATGCGATGGCCTAGACGCAGAGCAAACTTGTGTCCAAATGACAGCCACTCCTTCTCGACCAGCACCTGCAGGCCCAAGATCGTACGATAGTATGGGTCTAGGATGATCTGTGTGAGCGAGGTGATCTGGGGCGTGCGATCCCATCCATCACTGCAGTGCACCAGCACGTTGATGTTGCGCTGGATCAACTCGGCGGCATACACCGCGCTGGCCAGACAGCCACGCACGTGCGACATCCAGCCACTCTCCTCGTATGCCGCCCAGTATTTGCTGTCAGCCTGCTCGCTGGCGAATGGTGACAGGGTGGACACAAGCTTCTCGAGACTGCGGCGCATAACATGGATGTTGGCGATGTTCATGAACACCAACTTGCAGTTGTGGTAGTTGGAGATGTTCTCAAAGCCTGCACCATTTGCCGTGTTGGCAATGGCGTTAAGCTTTGGTCGCGCATCCAACAAGTACAGGCCACGCTGGCCCGCCAGGGCTTCGAGATAGTGCTCGTCCTCGGGACAGCGTGAACGCTCGATGCCCACAAGAGGTTGACTGCATCTCGTGATGGAAGCGCCAGTCGATGATCGCCATGAAAGGATGGGTATGCGACCCCTGCTACGATATCCAAACACCTTCTCCAAGTCCTTGTCCGAGACGCTGCGTGGCACGACCACCGACGTGGGGTAGGTCGAGCACATCTTGAAATCCTTGTTGAGTGTGCTGAAGCGCCAGCCACACGCGCTGTCCGTCTCCACGACACCCAGTCGCGCGTACTCCTTGCGCTGGGAGTACACCAGCCAGCCGTCCTCGTCAGCTGTAATGGCGGGTCGATTAACAAAGTGCGCAAACAGATATGGAAGGGGCTCCTCGAACACGCCATAACATTCAAAACGATCGATGTGTTCAATGCGATCGTCCTCTTGCAGGTGAATGTTGTCCTTGACCACCTGTAGTTGAAGCTGCTGGTTCAACTCGATCTGTTTGAGAATGCGCTCGATCTTGGTTCGCGAGTGGAATGTGATGATCTCGATGGTGCGCTCGCGAGACATCTGTGACGTGAAATAGATGCGACAGTGCTTGTAGTCCTTTGAAATGATCGTGAGTGTGTAATAATTGTTGGAGCCAATCAGTTGTTGGCCAAGTATGTTGTTGGCGCCCTGTCCATTTGTTGCGCCACTGTTGCTGTTGCCGCCACTTCCACTGCCACTGCTGTTGCCGCCACTACCTTGGGATTGAGTCGAGTCGATTGAGAAAGAGTCGATTGAGAGCAGGGGGATGGTCAGCTCCTCCTCCTCGCCGAATGGCCAGCGCGCAGAGTACTCGTCGCGGTTTGGTCGCGAGGTCGACGTGTCGAGACGGAAGACAACGCGGTAGTTAGTGATGAATAGACGGCCGGGTATCAGCTGGACGGTCTGGTTGACAAAGAATTGATCGCCCGTCTGTTGGAACGTCGGTACCATCTTGCCAATGTAACATTGTGTCTTCTCATTGTACAGTATATACTCGCCACATGTTGCTATTCGCTCATTAAAGAATTGTATAATGTTTGGATTCTTTGATTCCTTTGCAAAGTCCATCGCTGATTGAGTCACCGCGCTCAAACTCTTTGTAAATATCGCGCCATACTCCAAGAACAACTCCAACAAGTCTGTCCTACCATCTTCAATCGCAAAGTGTATACATGTCTTTCCTCGTCTATATTTGATTGATTGTTTGTTGATTTGGTGTGAGTGTGTGTGTGTGTGTGTTGGAATCATTCCAGCCTCGAGGGGCCCCTAGATCAATCATACTTGTTGACAATGTTTGGATTCGCTCCTCTGTCCAAGAATAGCTTGATAAGGTCTGTGATTGTACTCCTGATGAGAAGTGTTAGCGAGCGAGTCTAATTTCCGTCGCCACTCGAGTCCATCACATACCCTTGGACAGTGGCCCTGTGAAGTGGCGTGTCAAACTTTGAATCCTTATGGTTTACAAAGGCACCGGCATCAATTAGTTGTTGTGCCAGTTTGCAAGCCTTTGGATGATGACTGTATTTGGCCAATAGATGCAATGGAGTTGATCCACTCAGAGTCCTTGCATTTGGGTCGGAACCCTTTGACAACAATCTATCGGCAATATCAAAGTGACCCTGATTGATTGCACAATGTATAGCAGTATATCCCTCCTTGTCCTTCAATGCCAATGGTTTGACCTCATCCATATTGACATACTATGTGTGAATGTTGTGATTGTGTTGTGAATATGGTTAGCATCATGTCCTAATCCCGCCAGTCTACCTTCATAACTCACCTTCTTCTTTAGACATTGTTTGACCACTTCGACATTGCCATGCATTGAGGCGATATGTATGAGTGTTTGATCATGAAGATTCTTTAGTGATAATGAATACTTCTTTAGATGTTCCTTTATAACAGACTTATCGGTACTCTTTGCAATGATTATCAACTCCGATGACATCAATTGTGAGTTTGAAAGTGCCGATGATTGTGCCATCCTATCCTAAGTTATGTAAGTATGTATTTCTACAACTATCTATTACAAGTACTACTACTACAACTAAACAGTTAACAACAACTACAACTGATGATTGAATGAATGGAACTGATGATTGAATCATTGAATCATTGAATGAATGAGTAGGGGATCAACTAAAGTGTATTTTTGGTATTGGTGGGTGGGAAGTGTGGGGTGGGGACCGAACTCAGTTGGACCAACAAATATCTGATGATGTTGGACCAATACCCAACACTGTTGTATTGTGTGTTACAACTATTTATTTATAACAATACTATTCTCCAACTATTTCTCTACTCATTCCAATCCAATCCAATCAGTTCCAATCCATTTCAATCCATTTCAACTCAATCAAAATGTTGTATTATACAATCACAAAACAAATAACTTTAATCATCATCACCATATTTTGCAAATGAACCAGGGATACATCTCGCGAGAGAATATTGATGAGTAAGATAAAGTTGGTTGGTTTGTTTGATCAGTAGAATCGTTACTATCGCGCATAAAGAATAGTCAAATAAACACTAACAAATAACAATGTCATGTGACCTTGGATGGGAATTAAGGCCGCATTGAGTGTGAGTTGGTCTACAAAACAAACAAGAAAAAAACGATCGATTGCAATGAGCCTTAGTGTGGTGTGTGAGTGTGTGGGTGGGATAATGATGGTGATGATTCTTTTTGTTTTGTTGTTGTTGACAAAATTAAAATAAATCGATTGATTAGGTTAGGGTACCTTTAGTTAGATACTTCTCCTCAACGGATCTGCCTAATCAGGACATGTCAAGCGATGCTGGCACAGTCCCTTTCATTCATTCTTTCATTCACACACTCAAACCTTCTATCCATTCATTCAACCATTCACCCATTCACCCATTCAATCATTCAATCAATCAATCAATCACATTGTTATTTATTTGTACATAATCAATCAATCAATCAACAATGGCTGATACTATTACACCAACTACAACAACTACCACCACTACCACCACAACTACCACCACACCATCATCATCAACTAGTGGACCTAGGTTGGCACATGGTCTGCCATTGATCGACCCACAGCCACAACATGCTGATGAGCATGGAGTGTTGCCAGAGCCAATCGCGATGCCAGCAACTATTGTTGACGGCTTCCAGACGACTTTGCAACGATTCCCCCATAACTTGGCCATTCAGGTCAAGCGTAATGGCAAGTGGGTCAAGTGGACTTGGACCAAGTACCACGAGGACATCTACTCGGCCGCCAAGTCCTTTGTCAAGCTGGGCATGAAGCAGGGCGCCGGCGTCAACATCATCGGATTCAACTCACCAGAGTGGCACATCTCGCATCTGGGCGCCATCTACGCGGGCGGTCTGCCCACGGGCATCTACACCACCAGCTCGACACCACAGTGCGAGTACTTTGCCTCGCACTCTGAGGCCATGGTCATCTGTGTGGAGAACGAGCAGCAGCTGGCCAAGTACGACGCGATCAAGGCTAGTCTACCAAACGTCAAGGCCTACATCGTGATGGACCCGACCGACGCCAACGCCACATTCCCCGAGGGCACCTACACGTGGGCGCAGTTCATGGAGCTGGGTCGCACCGTGCCCGACAGCGAAATCGATCGCATCTCAAGCACCATCACACCAGACACGCTCTGCACCCTGATCTACACCAGTGGCACCACTGGCATGCCCAAGGGTTGCATGATCTCTCAGCGCAATGTTGCCTGGACTGTGCACACCCTTGGTAGCATCGTCCTTCATCCAAAGACTGGTCACAACGAGCGTATGATCTCATATCTCCCACTCAGTCACGTTGCCGAGCAGGTCGTATCCCTATACGCACCACTCATCTTTGGTTTCTCCGTCTCCTTCGCTGACAGGAATGCACTCCAGGTATGTTCATTCATCACTCACTGGAATAATTCCACTCAATCACGTGACGTACTCACTCTCCACAAACACATAACAATCACCACAGGGTACACTCTTGGATACATTGCTCGAGGTCAAGCCAACATTGTTCTTTGGTGTACCAAGAGTTTGGGAGAAGATTCAACATAGAGTGTCTCAGTTGATGAGCCAAGGTGGCCCAATTAAGAAGAAGTTGGTCGGATGGGCAAAGGCAAAGGGTTTGAAGGGTGGCTACAAGGCACAGCGTGGCGAGAAGAAGCCATCTGGATATGGTCTGGCCAGGACATTGGTCTTCAAGAAGGTGTTGAAGAACTTGGGTCTGTCACACTGCCGCTTCATGGCCTCCACTGCCGCCCCAATCAGCAAGGACACACTGGACTTCTTCTTGTCGATTGGCATCACTATCACTGAGGCTTACGGTATGTCTGAGCTCACCGGTCCACAGTCGATCGGCTTCCCAGACACCAAGACTGGCAGCATTGGAAAGACCTTGCCAGGCTCCATCGTCAAGTTGAACGAGGGCGACAATGAGATCCTGATCAAGGGTCCAAACTGTTTCCCAGGCTATTTCAAGAACCCAGAGGCCACCAAGGAGACCATCGACCAGGATGGTTGGTTGCACACTGGAGACATTGGATACGTCGATGAGGCCGGCTACCTCTTCATCACCGATCGTAAGAAGGAGCTGATCATCACTGCTGGTGGAGAGAACATCGCCCCATCGTTGCTTGAGGGATACCTGCGCCAGGTGCCCGAGATTGGCATGGCCGTCATTGTTGGAGATCGCCAGAAGTACCTTGTTTGTCTGCTGTCGATCAGTGCCGTCGCACTCAAGAACGTCAACTATGGCCATCCAGCCCCCGCCTCCATTGAGGATGCCATCGCCGACAAGCACTTCAACGCCTACATCGAGAGCAAGATCACAGAGATCAACACTAGACTGCCACAAGTGTCCACGATCAAGAAGTTCAAGATCGTGCCAAAGGAGTTCACCGACCAGGGTGTCGACGCCGAGCTCACCCCAACCCAGAAGCTCAAGCGCCGTGTCATCCTCACCAAGTACGAGCCATTGATACGCGAGATGTACGGCGATCAGTACGCCGAGGGTGCATTCATTGTCGTGCCAGGCCAGGCCAAGCCAGCTGCCACCACCGAGGCCGTCATCCCACCAGTTGTCGTCGCACCAATCGTCGTCGCCGAGCCAGCACCAGTCGTCGTGGCACCAGTTCCAGTCGTCGTCTTCGCTGAGCCAGCACCAGCAGTCGTCGTCGCCGTCCCAGCAGTCGTTGTTGTTGATGAGGCTGCCGCAGTGGCCAACGAGAACAAATCAAGATCATCATCGACTTCATCATCTTCATCATCCACTTCCGACTCTTCTTCATCATCCAAGAAGGAGACAGTGGAGGAGCCAGCAGGACCAGTTGTCGTTGTGGCAGAGGTCCAAGAGATCCCAGTTGCTCAGCCACTTGGTGAGACTGGAGTGTTTGCCCTCCCACCAAACGGCATTGCTGTTGCCGTTGTCGACGCACCATTGGAGGAGCCAATCCAAGTCGAGGTTCCAGCTCCAGTTGTCGAGGAGCCAGTCGTCATCGTCGCCGAGGTCAAGGTCGAGGAGCCAGTTGCCGTTGTCGAGGAGCCAACCCCAGTTGTAGAGGAGCCTGTTGTCATCGTTGCTGAGGTCAAAGTTGAGGAGCCAGTTGCCGTTGTCGAGGAGCCAGCCGTCGTCGTTGTTTCCCCGGTCGTCCAGGAGCCAACCCCAGTTGTCGAGGAGCCAGTCGTCGTCGTTGCCGAGATCAAGGTCGAAGAGCCAGTTGCCGTTGTCGAGGCGCCAGTGGCTGTTGTCGAGGAGGTAGTAGTTGTTGCCGAGGTTAAGGTCGAGGAGCCAGTCGAGGCTGAGCCAGAGGTGTTGAAGGTTGAGGTTGCCCTGCCGGACCGCACGGCCGATGCTCCCAATGGAGACGGTCACTCATCATCAGACTCATCATCAGACAGCTCAACCAGCTACACCAGCAGCAGCAGCAGCGACAGCGAGGACTACTCAAGCACCAGCGATGATTCCAGCGAAGACGAGGCAAAGCCAACCGAGCAACAGTAATAATAAACGAATGAACGAACGATGAACTAATGAATGATTGATTGAACTATTTATATACATTGTAATGGCTTGCTGTTGACACCTTGGCGAAGAGTGTCATCGATGATTGAGCTGATCTCCAAGGAGATGTCTGCGATGGGTCGATTGGCATCGATCTGCTTCCAGTTGTTGGACGATTGTAACAGACGCTTCTCATAGATGTCCTTGATCTTTTTCTGGAAGTCCAGCTTCTCGTAGCGTTCATTACCATAGTCTCCACGCTTTGTCGTCTCCTCCGAGTCCATATGCAAGTAGAATATAACATCAGGTGCAGGCAGACCCTTCTCACAATTGAAGCACCAATCATAATCAATGCCCTTGGCAGCACTATACGCCACTCCAGAATAAGCATATCTATCAACAATCAAGTTGGTACCATTCTTTAACTCTGTCAATATGTTATCCCTATTGATTGATTGAATGAATGAATGAATGAGTATACATGTGTGGTCCAGCATGTTTGATCAAACATACCTGGACTCCCAACGATTGGCAGAGAATAGGAGGTGAAGTGCTCTGTCGTCGAGCTGTGTAGCACTCTGTAGGTAGCTGTTGATGATGACACCAGTCTGTGTAGTGCGATCTGGGTAACGCAGTTGCTTGGTTGGCAGACTGAGTGTCGTGGACATGTAGTTGGTAAGTGCTTGCACTTGAGTAGACTTGCCAACACGATCGACACCCTCAAACAAAATGAACAGTCCTCTCTTCATCTCTGTCTCTGTAGTAGTATTATCTGTATGTTCAGTTGATGTAATGTTATCCATGACTTGTGTATTATGTGTTTGTCTTTGTTTTATCTCTTTGATTGAAAAATGGTCATTGATGAGATCTCAATGCGTGATGGGAACAACACCAAATTAGGTCATCAAATTTGAATTTGGCGCCTTTATTTAAATATATGTTTGAAGTTAAACGATGATGGAAAGTACAAGAAGTACAAGGGTAATGGCAAAGGCCATTGATGGGAGAAGAGTGCTGGCGAATCCACCGACAAAACTTGTTACTGGAGCAGTGGCCATGAATCCATTGATAGTCAGATTCAACGATGTGAACAGGTTGGTGCCGCTATCCGGTGAGTGACAAGATATGTATGTGTATCCATTGGAAGGTGGAAGAGTGGAGATCCTGTTGCAGTCCACCACCCATGGCAGTAACACAATGGACACGTCGAGCTTGGCACCCTTCTGATCGACAATGTTGAGGAATGTGCCCATCAGGGTGATGGTGCCGCCATGCGTTGGGACGGAGGATACAGTTTGGACGGTTGGCTCCAACACCAGAGTACTGTTTACGCTCAAACCGTCCACAGAGAGCATCATCTGACCGTTGCGAGCAGTGGGTGGAAGTAATGCCATTACCCAGTTGTGTCTGGAATCAACGATGGTGGCACTCAGACCACCGACATACAGTTTCGTCAAGGAGGAAGGGCCGGAAGGAGCAAAGTTGTTTCCTTCAATGAGGATTGCTGTGCCATTCTGAAGGTAGTCGGTGATCACTGGACTCTGGTAGGTGAGTGTGATTTGGTTGGAGGTCATACCGTTGATCGTCACCGTGACCGAGTGTCCGGCTCCGGTGCCTGGTGGGATGTCAAACACCCAGCTAGTGGATGATATGACATTTGAAGGAGACAACTGGGTGGAATCAAGGTTGAGGACTTGGCTGATTGATCCCGAGTAGCTTGAAACATATAAGTTTGATCCAGACACAGTCACTTGGCTTCCACTCGTATCAGCGCTTGTGATCGCTGTCAACACCGGAGCTGTTGTAGTGATTGATTGATAGATTGATTGATTAGTTAAGGTGTAAGTTAGATACCCATCACCTCCCTAACTACTTACCAAATTGAACGTCAACTGAGTTGGAACAAGTACTGGCGTCTGAAATAACACAGAGGCTACTGATCGATGAGGAGGCTGGGAAGTTAGAAGCAATGATGTTTCCATTGTTGTCCAATGTGATAGTGATGTCAGTTTGTTGGACGCCGTCTACTATTATTTGGATGTTTGAGACATATTGACTGAAGCCAGATCCAGAGATGAGTATTGAGTTGGTTCCGGTCGCACTGATCGATGAGATTGTAGGAGTGGATACTTGGATGAGGCAGCTGGGACTGGTCTGGCCATCAATAGTCAATGAGACTGAGGTGATGTAGTCAGCTAGGTCAACGGCAGTACATGTCATTGTGTTCTCATCAATCGAAACAAGGTTTGTGCAAGCATAATTGCCAGGGCTGAGTTGGACACTGAAGTCGAGTTGTTGACCATTGGCATCGATGGTGGACATCAGACTGCCTTGAATTGTTATCGTTCCACCTCCACGTGGAATGGGTGTCACCGACGTGACCAGAGGAATTAACTTGATGTCGCCCGAATACTTGGCACCTTGTCCTCCGACCATCACTGACACTGCCGCACCATTTAGTGCGCCACTGGGGATTGATGCCATCACACAGCCTGTGTACTCGATGTTGTACTGGACCTGAGATGACCCAATGAACACTTGCATTTGGTCAACAGTTGGACCAAAGTTCTGGCCACAGATCTCAGCCGTTAAAGAACCATCAGTTGATTGTTGGAAGGAGGTGATCGTTGGAGGTTGGTAGGAGACGAACAGATTGTTTGTGACTTGACCACCGATCGTAAGACTCAATGTCAAACCGGTTCCTGATCCACTTGGTATGCCAATCACCCATGCCGATTGGTTCAAAATCGCCTGAATATTTGATCCAACAAAGGCAAAGTTGACAGCAGTGTCTGCTGAAATAACCAAGTTACTACCGGTGATGGTGACATTTCCTCCGCTGGTTGGTGGCGAGCCATATAGCTGGTTCAAAGAAATTGCTGTAAAGATGTCAGGGTCAGGGTCAGTGTCAGTGTGAGCGACTGAGTGAGTGAGTACTTACGGAACCGGAGCTCGAGTTCGTTCGAGCATGCACTAGAGCCATTCACTCCAGTAACGGTGACACACAGAGAGATTAAAGCGTCGGGCTGATGGAAGTTGGTAACGACCAGCACGCCATTCTCCAAGGTAAAGTCGCTGTATGAGTTGCCAAGTGAGTCGTAGAGATTGATATCCTGGACGTTGTTTCCAAAGCCCGAGCCATTGATCTCGAACGAGTCGCCTCCAGTCAATATGATGGATGTCAAAATTGGTGCGGGATAAGCGCAGGCAGCCGGAGACGTGAAGGTGAGTGTGAAGTTGCAATCATTCAAATTGGTATCACTAATGTATGCATTCTCTCTACCGCACTTCATGTAGATCGTTGTCCCGATCATGCCTGAACCACAATAGCCTTGATCATAGGAGTAGTAGTTGAGCACAAGTTGGTAGGTGGTGTTGTCGTAGTAGGCGTCCAACGTTTGTTGGTCACCAAGGGCAAACCAATCGCGATTATATTGATCAGGCATGTGGGCGCAAATGGAGCATGTGGGATAATATAGTGGATATGCTGAGCAATATGGATCCACCATGCATGGCGACACATGAAATATATACTTTGTGATGTGTATTCGTTAGTCAAGGGATCAATAATCATTTAGTTGATGTACTTACATTGTTTGAGTCAGTAAATGCGAATGATTGTGTCATGATTGAACTGGTGTCAAGGTTTGGAATGTTGCAATCATGATATATAGTGTGATGGCTGGATGACATTGGCAGGCATGATGCCAAAGCCAAGACACACAAGAATAGTGATATTATCTTTATCATTATATTTATAAAGTAAGTAAGTAAGTGTTGATAATGAATGATTGTATGCCTAACTACCTTCTCTTATCCATTGATGGACCAAGTTTCCCTCATTTCGAATTGAGGCAAAGTTGTATTAAAACGTTATCGATATCAAACAGTAGTTTTGAAAGGAATTTCGATTTGATCAGTGGGAATGTTCCCTAATTTGGATAGTGAGGTTTCGCCATGGTCTCAGCCGAATGCTCTGACGAAACTCAGAATGGTGATGAGTACTCATCTTTATGTAGAGAGATAAAGAATAAAAATATAACAAGAAATAAACTATAAGTTAGTAATGTTTTGATTGATCAGAGTGTAATAGATTATAAAAGTGATTAATCAACTACATAATTCTATGAATGTTTTATTGATTAATTACTCAATCATTGCAAGCTCCTCTGCGGTGAACTCTTGATCGATATCAGAAGCAGCAGCGAATGATTCGAATGGTGGTCTGATTTTGAATGCGTACTTGGAGCATGTGGTACCAGAGTATGGTCCACCGGTCCAGCCCATTTCGACAATGGTGACATCTGTGGCCGTAACAGTTACAACAGATTCGTATGTAACAGCATAATATGTCTCTGGGCCGCTGCTTCTCTTCACTGCCATAACGAATGGCTTTTGATCAGATCTTGTCCAAGACTCCGACTGTCCACCGTTGATTGGGAAGTAGCCTGTATCTCCTGAACCACCCCATCTATAGATTAGATTGGAAAGAAAAAAAAACAAACAATTTAAGTTGGTTAGTTTGAATGTAAGTTTAACAAATGACATGCATGTCACAAACTACATACTGATTGACAGCAACCTGGATTGTACCACTACCAGTGTATTGGCAGGTAAGAGCTGAACAATAAGCCTAAGTGTCGATAATAATAAAAATGTTAGGTCCAACTGTATCAATTTTGATCAAAATTGTTTAACTTACAACAAAGAAGGAAACAATTAATAATGTAGAAATGAATTTCATATTTAAATTAGTAAGTATAAATGAATAATTAATTATAAGTGTAATTGAATCAATAATAATAATTACTTGGATCACTTATTAGGTTTTGATTCATCATAACAAACATACATTCAATCCTTCAAACAGTTCAGAACATCAGGAGATATTATTATTTCTAAGGATAATGGAATAATGATCAAATGCCGACCATTGTATAAACAAGTGTCATAATTATTACCTTATAAGGTAAACGACATGTCCCAGGTTGATAATGATCAAACGTCTATCATTGTGATTCTTATAACAAGGTCTTCTCTACCAAAATCTCAGGTCGTCTTCTTATCATAAACAACTATAAATGGTAACATTCAATCAATATTAAAGCTCGCAGGGCCAGTGTAAGAACCCCATTTTACGAAAGGTAGGCCAAACCAATCAAAAATCCCAATTCCCTCGTCACATCCCTCAAACCTAGAACCTGAACATTCTTGCACGAATGAATGAAGGATGTTTAAATTCAGAAGTCATGAGCGCGATTAGATCTAAGGTTCACATTGATATTTCAAACATGATGGAGGAATGTTGTCTGGGTCTGTCAAGACTTAAGAACCACAATATCCATTATCATTTCAAAATCATATCAATTTTATTATTATTATATTATTATACTTAACAAATGAATACCAAATTTATCTCTTGTTTATTACTTGTTACCTTGATGGTCTCCTCTGTAAGTTAATCCATCTTCCAATCTTCATTTATTTTCCCTCCCAAGAATACTTATGATTTATAATTCAATCAATCAATCAATCATCTTTTAGTGTTTGGCCACGATTAAAGTGACCAACAACTATGGAATTGGTATCGAGGCTGCTGTCAATCAGTAAGTAATCATTTAATCAATCAATTAATTAAATGAACAATACTAATAATGAATATTGTATTTATTTCTTCTTTTGAAAAGATGGGGAAGTTCTGGAAGTACCAACTTCTTCCCTATTAGTGCAAACAACGGATATGAGACCTGGAGCCGAAGTGATTCAAAGCCATTCATCGTAGCTATTAAGATTGGTACTACCACCGCCTACGTTCCAACCCCCTACAACGGAGAGATCGTCGTCAACTATGATGGTTCGATCAAAGCCAATGGAGTAAATACCCCACTTTCCAGCTTGGCATATCAAGGTAGAATCTGTACCTAAATAAATTACTATTAAAGGATATAATCCTTTATCTCACAGTTCATCAGTACATAGTGTAAACAGTGTCATCAGTTGTTGCACTCTCTCAACCCAATCCATCATCAAAATCGCCCAATCGAGCCCCAACCACACTATCTAGACGACATGACATTCACCATTTCGCGAGCTCCTCCACATATGCAAGGTCCCCCAACTTTTACTACTCACAACATCAACCAAGATCATTCATTCTTTGTATCACATTCACTCACATATGTTGTATAGATAACTCAAACAGATAATACCTATCATTTACAAATGCTGACAGGTTTAGAATACAACGATGCATCAGAGTACTGCAGTGCAAGTTATTGAGCACTACATCATTTAGTAAGTGTTGACCAAGAAACACAACTCACAACTGTTTGTGCGGACCTGTAAGGTCGCTGCAAGTGCTCAACATCGTGCGATACTACGAGATTGGCAATCCCTTTACATTGAAACAGTACAACTATGTTGCGCTGAAGGACTCATTCAATGCCTGATCTAACATCGTCTTCACTTGTTAACGTGGAGAATCTTTAAAAGATCATTTGACATTTTTGTGAACATCTCATTATCCATCTTGGGCCAACCGGCAAACTGTTGGTGTAAAAAAAATCAAAGAAGATAAAAAAAACCGCCCCACAACCAAAATTGTCCTTTTTTGCACACGTGTAAAAATTCCAAGATGTATGTTGTGGACCTCCAATCCAATTGGGTTGGTTGGACTGGGCGGACAAGTGTTTGGAGTGGAACAGACAACATTTGCAAGGGACACGAATGTCCTACTCATCTTACCACAATTGTCCAACTCGACTAATCATTCATTCATTCGTTCACTCTCATTCATTCATTTATTCATTCACTCAAACATTACATTATTCAATATATTTATTAACAACCTGTTATATTGATTATTATTATTATTATTATTATTTCAAATATGATATATTTTTATTTAATATTATTGGCAATTTGTTTTGTTGGTGCAGACTCAATATTTGATTATAATGGACATTATTATGAATTTGTGGCAACAAGTGTAACATATCCAGTTGCTTTATCAACATGTCAATCTAAATCATATAAAGGATCACAAGGGTATGTCTTCATTCCCTGATGTCACTCATTCATCCACTAACTCATCCACTCACTCCCAATCCAAACAGATACCTTGCAACAATTACATCGAAACAGGAGAATGATTTGATTATGCAACAATATTATCTGGATACTGATGTCAATGGAAAGAGTTTCTGGATATCAGGTGAGTGTGCCAATGGTCAGGCATCTCAATTCTACTATTCATCAGGTCCAGAGAATGGTCAACTTATGTATGATGTAAACACTGAAGAGGTAAAGTTCATCCAACACTTGTTTGATTGAATGAATGAGTGATTGACACATACTATTCAATCATCATTCACTATAGTGTGGATTCTTTTGTTCATGGAATATAGTTGAACCTAGTAGGGGAGGTGCCACTAATCAATTGGAATGTAATGTGGCCATAGACTTTGCATATATCGGTGCCAGGGAGACAGGAAAGGAGATAGGATACTGGAATAACCTAGGTTGGAACTCATCAAATGTCATGATACTATGTGAATATGGTGGAATGGATTGTAAGTATCATTGGGGGAAGGGGACTATCCCTAGCCTCAGCCTCACTGACTCACACTCATGTACCCCCAGCCCCATTCATCACACCAGCTAGGTCAGCAGGAGAGAATGTACAAATGACGAATATTCTAAATATGGCACTGTTGTCTAAATCAGCTGATTCGATACAGGTCAACTTTGTAAATATTGATGGAGTGTCACCATCATTCTTGGCAACAAATGTTAAGGCTCAAACAGACACATCACTCTCAATGGACATACCACCAGGTTCTGGAATGTATAGTGTTACTATATCAATCACTGGCAGTGGTACACTCAAAACATCATTCCAGTACAGACCTCCTATATTAAGTATAGTTAAACCATCATTCATTGTTGGTTCAACAATGACATTGATTGGTGACAACTTTGTCGATGGCAAGACATCAGTATTCTTGACGAATGCATCAGTGCCCTGTACCAACGTATTCATGATCAAACAAGGAATGATCACATGTCAACTCACACAAGACCATCAGGCCAGTGTCCTCGTCCCCATCACCATCGCCACAGACTCTGTTTACAACATAATGAACAAACCAGCATTCAGTAAGTTACCAATCAATCAATGGAACTATTCCAATCAATCACTAATTCAATCAATCAATCAATCAAACAGTGGATAGCACAACTGGGAACTATTACTCATGCTTCAGGACATTCACTGATCAAGCTGGATCACAGAGTTTCTCACATAGCCAGGCAGTCCAGGGTATGTCTGGATTCGTGTCTTATGTGGGCACAGATACATTGTATAAACTGGTTCAAAAGATGTGTCCGAGTACTTTGAGACAATTCGTCTTGGGCAAACTGGATACACAGAATATATTATACTTCACATCACTCAGTAGACCAAGTGGAGGAAGCAACATTATCACAACAGACGAACCAAACAAGAATAGTCTCGTCACACTCAGTCCAACCATCCCAACAACTGGCTCAGGATCCATCTTCTTCTTCACTCCCTTCCTCGGTTACAGCACCTACGACGCAGCAGCGATCGTAGGATTCAACGCTGCATCATTCACCCAGTTGTTCTATCCAAGTATGTACCAATCACTGGAACCATTCCAATCACTCATTCACCATACTCACTCAATCAATCAATCACTCAAACATCCCCAGGTAACATAGATATAAGTGCACCGACTACACCAACTACATTGAGTGTGGCAACGACTGGTGGACCTGTGACCATACCTTTGTCACATATTGGTACACCTTTGGATGATACATTCATAACATATATGGGAACAAAGTACCCTTTGACATCAAGGGATTATTATGGTCATAGTGTACAGTTCAATGTACCTCCAGGCACAGGCACTCAAACACTTCAAGTGTCATTCCAGGCATCAGGCAGCACAACACCTACAGCCAGTACATCAATCACAGTACAGTACTCTGCAGCTGTCATTAGCGATATGTCATCAGTTGGTTCCAATGGAGGTGTAGTCACTATCACCTCGTCTGGACTAGGTAGTGATGTGTCGGCCATCGTGGTCACCATTGGATCGATCACTTGCACTGGTGTAGCCTATACCACCACCGCTGACCAGATAACATGTACACTACCCTCACCAACTTCTGGCAACCTACAAAGTGGTGTACCCGCCATTGTAACAGTGAGTGGCACCCCTTCAGGCACATTCACCTACCAATTCCTGCCGCCAGTGATCACATCAACTACACCAGGAACAATTGGAAAGACAAGTTTGATCACCATCACTGGCAAATACTTCTCGCCATCATTCCTCAGTGTTACAATCGATAGTGCGGCATGTAGCGATCCATCATACATCAGCGACACGGCCATTGCGTGCTCTTTTGTTGGTGGCAACACTCTGCCAACCGATCCACTGATGGTCAGCGTTACGAACCAAGGCTTAGTGGCCAGCAACAAGGTGTTCACATACAACATACCACCTGCAATTACTACCATGTCCTCAGTTGGCTCAAATGGTGGCGTTGTCTCAATGACGGGAACAAAGCTTGGTGCCGACGCTTCAAAGATTGTCATCAAGATTGGTGGTGTCACATGCTCTGACGTTACCATGGTCACAGCCGACCAACAACTTACATGCCGTCTACCCGAGCCCACTGTTGGTAACCTTCAAGATGGATTGCCCGCAACACTATCCGTGGATGATGCATCAGCCCTTCAAACATACACGTACACATTCCTGCCGCCAGTGATCACCTCCACGACTAATGGATCAATTGGAAAGACTACTTCGATCATCATCACTGGCCAATACTTCTCGGCATCATTCCTAAGTGTGACTATTGGTGGAGCCACCTGCAAAGATCCAATATTAATCAAAGACACTGCGATAGAGTGCTCGTTTGATGGTGGCGCAACACTCCCAATCGATCCATTGTTGGTCAGCGTCACGAACCAAGGTTTGGAGGGCAATGGCAAGGTATTCACATACAACATACCACCAGCCATCACTACCATGTCGTCAGTTGGTTCAAATGGAGGCGTGGTCTCAATGATTGGCACAGCGATTGGTTCAGACGCATCAAAGGTCGTGGTCAAGATCGGTGGAGTCACTTGCTCAGATATCGTCATAGTCACACCCGATCAAGAACTCACTTGTGTCTTGCCCGAGCCCATAGTTGGTAGCCTGCAGAATGGATTGCCAGCCACACTGACCGTCGACGGTGTGACATCTCTCCAGCCATCCACATACACATTCCTACCGCCAGTGATCATCGCCACCACCCCTGGATCAATTGGAAAGACATCATTCATCACCATCATTGGCAAATACTTCTCGGCATCATTCCTGAGTGTGACGATCGATGGAGCATCATGTAGTGATGCCATATACATCAATGACACTGCCGTTCAGTGTTCATATGTTGGTGCCACTGCTATGCCACCCGATCCACTGATGGTCAGTGTGACGAACCAAGGCTTGGAGGGCAATGGCAAGGTGTTCACATACTACACCCCACCAGCAATCATATCCATGACATCAGTTGGCTCAAATGGAGGACTAGTCTCAATGAATGGCATAGCACTGGGTGCTGACTCTTCAAAGGTCGCCATCACGATCGGTGGAGTAGCATGCTCAGATGTCAACATTGTCACATCCGATCAACAGCTCACATGTACCTTGCCCGAGCCAACCTCTGGCGACCTTCAAAAAGGGTTGCCAGTCAAGGTGAATGTGGATGGAGTGTCATCACTTCAGTCATTCAACTACACATTCCTCGCACCAGTGATCAATGACACAACTCAGGGACTACTTGGCAAGACAACATTGATCACAATCATTGGCAACTACTTCTCACAATCATTTCTGAGTGTGACTATAGATGGTGCAACATGCAAGAGTCCAATATGTATCAACTCCACCGCAATATCTTGTTCGTTTGATGGTGGCAACATGATGCCACCTGGTCCACTGATGGTCAGGGTATCGAACCAAGGATTGCAATCCAGCAACAATGTATTCTATTACAACAACACACCACCAGCCATCATACTCATGACGCCAGTCGGTTCAAATGGAGGTGTGGTATCAGTGTCCGGAACAGCCTTTGGAAGCGATGCATCACAGGTCACCATCGCCATTGGCGGAGTGTCATGCTCGAGTGTTGTCATACTCACAACCAACAAGCTACTCACATGCTTCTTGCCTTCACCAACATCTGGCAACCTTCAAAAAGGTCTAGAGGCAACGATGATGGTCAATGGCGCAACATCGCTTCAATCATACAACTATACATTCCTGTCACCTGTGATCAACCTTGCCACGCCCGGTGCACTGGGTCAGACTGCCTTGATCACGATCACTGGCAACTACTTCTCGTCATCATTCCTCTCAGTGGCCATCGATGGATCCCCATGCTACAACTCATCTATAATCAACGCCACAATGATCCAGTGCTATTTTGATGGACCCGCCACAATGCCAGCAACAACATCCATCGAGTCACTACCAGTCCTTGTCATGAACCAAGGACTACAGGGCATGAACAAGGTGTTCTACTACACAAACAATACTCAACTTGATTGCAATGGACATGGCGTGTCCAAGGGAGGCAAGTGTGTTTGTGATCCAGGATGGACGATGCAGACCTGTACAATGGCCGCCCTTTTAGCAGCACCGCCCACCATTGAGAAAGCATCCGTCCTCAGTCCATCAGATGGCGAGATCACATTTAAGACATCATTGGCTTTTATCCGTGAGTTTGGACAATTAGGCAATCAGATAAAGTCGTTGACCATGTCATCAATCGTGTGGTCAGTCGTGAGTGGCCCACCAAACACCTATCATTGGCTGGGCAGCTTCCCAGGCGAGGCAGTCCAAGTCGATCTTCACATAGATTACTACAAGGATGGTGGCCAAGTCCAATTCGCAGGAGAGGACATGCACATTGGCGACAACTCAGTCAAGTTCACCATTGGCATCCGATCATGGCCATTCGCCAATCGTCAGAGTAGCATGCAGTTGGTGTTTGAAAGCAGGACTTCAAAGGACGATGGTGGATGTGGCAAGACCAAGTCACAAAACACCTTCAACTCATACTACGTTGTCTCTGGAAGTTCAGTGCTCTATGGATCATTCGCCAACCACCTGCTCGTGGATGGTCGTGTCGTCAAGTCAACCTTCCAGGATATCGACAGCAAGGACAGTCTGTACAGCTCTGTCAATGGAAATGGCGGCGGTGGCAATGGCACAGAGTTCCAATATCTCTCAGCAGTTCAAATACCATACTTTGAGAAGGAATGTACGATTGATCCAAGCTTCCAATCATTGATCACTGTGGAGAACAATGATAAGTGTCCGGCCAAGAGTTACACAAAGATCATCATCATTGTCGTGTGCACAGTGTGTGGAGCAGCCATTGTCCTTACCGCGGCACTATTGATCAAGAAGTACAAATACCGTTTAATGTTCCATGCACCATCATCAGTATTAAAAATGAAGCATGTTCATTAATTATTACAATAAATAAAACAATATATATTCTACTGACAAGATATTCAGTTTGTTAAGAGTTCATCTCGAGAATAAACATTTATCAAACTAATGAAAGGGTAATAGAGAAATCAAAAAATTGGTAATTTATCAAAGTTTATTTTTTTTTATTGTAGCCTGGTGAACACTTGAGTGAATGGAACTTTTTCTTCATCTTCAAGGAAGTGATCTGATTGGTCGAATTTTCTAGTAGTAGGTTTGCAATGATTGTCACAATCGAAGTCTTGATTTTCCACCAGCTCAAAGATAAATTCATTATCATCATACTGAAAATATTCTCTATGATCCTCGACTCCATTGTTGCAATCGTATGTAAAATACCTAGGGCACAACTGTGCATGTTGGGAAAATTCATGTTTGGCTAGCAACCGGTTACAAAAGTCAGGAAAGGCAACCACATGTTTACATTGATCTTGGCAACTGGGTTGTAAAGAGATAACAAAAGAGATTGAGATAAGTAGGTATATGGAAATAGTGAGATAAGATTTCATGATTGAGATTTAGATTCAATGAAAGAGATAATACAATTTGGGTCTTAACAGGATGACTCAGTGAGATATGATCTGCGCTCCCATCCAGAGATCTGTTTTGTAGTTGGGCAGCTGAATATTCAAATTCTAATTATATTTCAATGGACGACAATTTCATTCTCCACAATCATTGTTTCCTCAATCTGTCGATTGTATTTGGAGTATTGTCTACTTGAAGACATGCCAATGTCGATCAACAATTATTGGACAACATGCCAATCATTCTTTGAACCTGTAATCATTACATTGTCAATATCGTCCTTGATGATGAAGGACATCAGTTTCGCTATAGCTAATGGTGTATTGAACATATCTGTATTGTCACTTGCTCGTACCATAATGTGTCCATTTATTGATGGCGTTACCTGTCTGGTAGTTGAACATTGTATGATCGTGTTGTTAGTGTTGCGCCATTCTTTAACTGCTGTACTTCATCATTATCATTGACTGTGATGCAACTCTTGACTTTGTTCCTCTTGGACAGTGAACCCTATAGACGTTGAAATATTGGCTAGTGGCACCCCTGTTTAGATCCATCCAAGCTAGATCGATGTACTGAATGCTCTGTGTTCTCCATTGATGATAGCCCGATATATACCGAATGGTAGATGAGTCATGTCGTCGTCTGTCAGTTGTTTAAACACGCCACGCTTGATTGGGACCAGTAACTTCATGGTATATCTTAGTAGAGAGGACCTTCACCCTGCTGTATTTGTTATGGACACACTGCTTGATTGAATGAGAGGAAGTGTTTGATGGCTGCCTTATTAATATTTTTGCATGTGTAGTACATGTCGGTGATTCCATTCGTACCTTGTTTGAGAGCATCAGCATGTCGGTGATGAATGATGATAGTGTATGTATTGTGATTTGAACTTAGTCTCTTCTCTTTGATAAAGTCATCCATACTAATTGTGCTGTGAGTCACTCCATTATAGAGTTGAACGTTCTGATCATTATATTTGAATGCTATCCTGCTTCTAGATTGCAATGCCCTTGCAATGTGTCTGTCTTGTCGATTCTCACCCAGACTTTTCGAAGATATTGTCCTCCTGATTCAAGTTCGTGACAAAGTTTTGAATTTTGAATTATGAAGTTTGAAGTTCACTTTTGGATTGGTGGAATGGCTCTGGTTGCTTTGGATGATGCTCCTGCCTCTGCTACTGGAAAGGCTGTTGATACTGCTTCCAGGTGTTACACCAAATAACAAGTCCATGTCTGATTGTTGATAGGAATCTTTGACATGATTCACCAAACTGGCGATCATTGTTCTCTTATTCTTCATCTTGTCCAGATATTCCTCTAACACTGCTACATCCCGGTCGAGTGAAGAAAGGGACTTCTGATTGGTTAGAAACGCCACGAATGTTGTTTCCAGTGGGTTTGAACATGATAGACCAATGCTGGAGTGTGTTGATTGATCATGTGATTGAGGCTCATCGATTCGATTGATTGTTTGAGTGAACTGGACCATGTTAGTGAGTGCGCTTGGGAGAAGTTCAACATGAGACTTATAAACATCAATGGCTACCCTCTCGGTTGGTGTTGTCCTTGAAGTAACCTGTGTTGCTAAATCAGCTTATTAATATTGAATTAGTCATCAAATTAATAAACATTCCACAATAATACCAAACACATACTTGTCCTTCTTAGTTTGTCTCTTGTCTTCAGATCCTCTTTCGCCCTACTCTCTTCCTGCTTTTTGAGCCTCTCAGCTTTAGCCTTCTCATCGTCCTCCTTCTTTTGTTTGGCTGCTTGCTCTCTCTCTTTTTGTTTTTTCTTTTTGTCTGACTTCTCCTTTATCTTCTTAGATGTTTTCTTTTGCTTGAGTATTCCTCTCTCCTCTATATGAAAWTTACTGGAATCGACAGAAGGACAATTGACTAAACTATTACAAGGTTCGCATCCATCCTTGCAGAAGCCCTTTGAGTTTAGGATACCCCGAACTACAAATATTTTTTAATCTTTAATTAATAAAATTATTTATATATACAGCGAGCGAATACTTTCTAGTAGTAGCAGCAACAACCCTGTTTACATTAGACGTGGCTGGTGGATGACTGATGAAGACTGCCACCACCGCCAACACTTTGTTCATAGTCTGTGATCTCTTGGCGTCGCTCGATAGCCTTGTGTAGGGAGTCCATGATGGGGCCGATGAGGACGACCAGGTCGACCTTGCCATTCTCCATGAGCCTCTTCTTCCACGTTTCAAGATTGTCGTAGAACTTGTTGATGTAGCCAGCGAGTTCGCGATTCTTCTTCTGGGCAGATGTTGGCGGACGACCAAGCTTGTTGGGCAGGTAGGCACTGCTCCAAAAGTGTCGCAGCAACTCATTTGCCTTGTTAAAGTTCTTGAACAGGTCTTGTTTGAATCTACTCTCTCTGCTGCTGCTCCGACTCATTACGCGACTTGTCACTCCTGCATGATGATTCCAATATAATCTCATCCAGTACACTATTGTTCTGTGTCATCTTACAATCAAGGCTGCATCTCCAATTAGTCAGCTCATCTCTAAACAGTTCCTTTAATACATTGAGGTTCTACAAAGGAGCGCGTCAGCATGATTGAATGATTGATTGAATGAATGAATGAGTGAGTGAGTGAGGAATGGGATCATACCTCTTCATGATCCATGTTACGCTCATTTGAATGGCCTTCAAAGTATCTCCTCTGATCCTGGATCTTGAGCTTGGGCAAGTCCTGAGGTATTGTTTGTTCCAAGTCTTGCAAGATAGCATGATCATGTAATATCTTTTGATTGTTCTTCAATATCTTCTCAAACTCCTGATCTCTATCCTTCTCATTTGGTAATGCTGATCCACTGTTGATTGATTGATTGATTGATTTTGTTAGTGAGGCTCAGTCCTTGGCCATTGAGGTATGACATACTTGCACCAAGTACATGTGTGTCTGTTGAACTTTCGAAGCAGTGGCAATGCATTCTTGAGCTTCTCAGGGTCTTGATCCGGATCCAATAGCAATCCATAACCATTTGATAAAGGGTCTTCGTCTCCCTCAGCCGACAGATCAACCAAAGGATTGATATCCACCAACTTCTTCTTCAATATATTGATCTCTACATGGCGTGCGTCCATTGTTCCAAACAACAAGATTGATTGAGTGATCAATGAGGCAAGTGATTGGAATGATTCCAGGTTAGTAAGTGATCACCCGTACCATTCAATCAAACATACCACTGTCCTCAGTCGTATATGTTGAGAATAGTTCATCGGTTGGTTGATTGCGATCACGATAATACTTTGTCTCGACGTATTTCCTCCAAAAGTCCTGCTCTGATATCTTGTGCGGCACGTCGCTGATAGGCTCGCTCCACTGATGGATGTTGAATGAAGATTTGATTGATGATCGATGGCGTCAGACGATAGTGAACGGCGTTGACCGACTCGGAGGTGGGACGCACGTCCCACAGAATGTAGCTGGGCATGCCGACCTGCTGCTTCTCCGGGCGCATCGAATCGTTGTTGAGCATCATCTTGCGCGAATCCCAAAAGTGCTGCCGTTGTCGTTGTGATAGTGCCTGTGGTTGATGTCGCGTTTGCTGTTGATGGCGCCCGTCCATCAATATAGTTTGTAAACTTTGTAAGATCATCTCTTGCATTGACCATATGAGTCAACTCAAACAACAAGTCCTACATTGTCACTTCACAGAGATAAGGAGTATGTGATTGATTGATTGAATGAAATCAGTGAGCGACTCACTCTGTTAATCAATGATGATAGTAGTGTCAAGCAGTAGTTATCCCGCTGGTATATAACATATACATAAATATTGTTTTATAACTGTTGTTCTTATAAAAGGGTCATCTACAAATGATCAATCTACATGATTTGATCTTGATTTCTCACTTTTTCAAAACAGAACAAAGAGTCTGGACATGATCAAAGCACCAAGACTATCAGCAAAGTGATGATCAGTAGCAAGATAGTGTGTTGGGGATGAATGGATTGGGCACCATTGCCATTGATACGACATTTGTCGTTGGTGATAGATGGCTGTGCAACCTGGTTGCTGTTGAGACGCGCCGTGTTGAGCACAGAACCAATGCACATGATGTCGACCTGGCCCGCCGCGCTGACAAACGTGGTGTCAGAGATGTTGCAGCTGTCGGTGCCCACCAGCATCAGCAGGCCCTGCTGCTCGGCCATGTTGCCCGAGAAGAGCGATGAGGCGATGGCGCATTGGCCGTGGTCCATATCAATCAGCGGTAGGCCCGAACTTATGTTGCCAAAGGTGCAGTTGGTGATGTCGAGGGTGGAGCGCGTGAGATAGAATATCGTATCCGCGGAGCTGAGCCCGGCAAATGTTGAGTTGGCCAGCGTGACATTGTAGGTACCCTCGGCAAGCATGCCGCCGCCGCCGTCCACCATCGTGTTGGTGATGACGATGTTTCCGGAACTCGCGCCCAGCTGAGTCATGGCGAACTGGTTGGCATTCATGTGTAGCACCGTGCGGTCGATGAGGAGGTCGAGCGGATTGATGGAGATCAGGACGCCGTTGCCAAAGTGGACGATGTTGGACGAGATGATGCTGATGCGGGTCACGTGTGAGCCAGGGTAGGGCGCCCCGATCGCGATGGCCACGGCGCCCGGGTTTGCCGGATTGGGCTGTAGCGTCGTGTTGACGATGGCGATGTCAAGGGGGGCAAACTGGTCCATCTGGATCAGGTTGTTAATGCTGACAAAGTTCAGGTTGTAGATGTTGAGCGTGAGCGGGAGCGTGCAAAAGGAAGTGTCGCCATTGACAAAGGGCAGGAAGGACGAGATGACCACAGCTCCCAAGGTGGTTGGGGTCTGGTCAAGCGTGAGGTTGAGGCCGCACAGGGTGATGGCGGACTGTGTGTAGTTGCCGGGCGCAAACCAGACGGTGAGCATCGAGTCGGATATGTTCGGATGGGTCTGGGCGAAGCTGTTGAGGGCCGTCTGCAGCGAAGGGCAGGCATCCGCGGTCGACGGCGTCTGTCCACAAGTGTCAGACGAGTTTGTTGCCAGTTGGTCGACATACAGCTGAATCTGCACACTCCACTGCTGCAGTGGTCCACGTTGAGGTGCTTGAGCTATTGCCAAAGACAGCACCAAAAAAGAGTAAATGAGTATATGTGTCCATCCCATGTTGAGTTATCTTTGTCTAGATCTAGTTTCTTTATCTGTGAACATTGATGTATCCCTCACTTGTAAAATATAATACAGTTGTACAGTCGCCATAGAATCAATTACAACTGATGGTCAGTTCAGCATTCGGGATTCGTATCTTTTTGTGAGCAGGCATCCAACAATCACGCATGAATCATTTCGCGTTGTGGGCCCACAAAGAAAAGAATGATTTTGATTGGCTAATTTCGGTGGACACAACGCCTAGATCGCGTGGTCAATGAACAACTAACTGATGTTTTGGGTCATTTTTGATCATGATCAAACACACATCTCTCTGTCGTTTGATAATATCAAAGTGAGTTGTATTACATAGCTCAATAAATATGCCCTTCAAGTTGAGGTTCTCACAACCCTATCACTACTTCTTCCAGTTGGAGTTCATAGACCTTCGGATGTTATCTGATGTAGCCAATTGAATCGTTTGAGAATCCTTGTTGTTTGAACTAATCCATCAAAAGTCTCGACTAGGATATCCGATCAGACATTTATTAAGGGGATTATTAATAGGTGATGATGAATAATAATAATTAATAAATTTGGTTGAATGGTTGATCACAAATGTTTGGTAAACTTTGGAACATCTTTGAAACTGTCATTGGCACCATCGGTATAGCGGAGCTTGATGTTGGAGAACTCCTCTTGAGTCAATCCCTGGATACAGTTGACACTGACAAAGATGTAGGGACCATATCCTGGATAGTCACCTTGGAGATGGGTCTGGGTACCACAGGTCTTGCAGAAGTGATGACCACAGGTCTTGGTGGCGTAGAAGTACTGGGTGATGTTCTCGGCCGGTGTCAACAACTTGAACGTGGTCAGATCAGTCACTGGATGGACCCAAAGACGAGTTATGAAGCATGAAGAACAATTGCAACGACCACTCTTTGCAAGATCTTGGTCCATTTCGGCTTGGAACTTTACACCACCGCAATGACAAGACATTGTGAATGTCTTTTGAGGAGTTGTTGTTGGAGGAGTGGCAGGAGTAGTTGGTGTGGTTGTTTCGGACGACATGTTTATTTGTTTGTTTGAGATAGTGAAGATTGAATTGGATCTTTGGTCATTGAGTCGACTTTGTTTTAAAGGTTAACTGTAAACCCGTAGCTTACTCCAAAAGGTTATATGTATTTCCTAGAAAAGAACAACAGTGTGGTGACAAGATGATGTTGAACAACACATGTTTGGGAAGTATCTAGATTCATTCAGATCACAAGACTCCATAACAATCTATTTGTACAGTTATAATAAATATATATATGTATATAGATTAACAAGTAATAAATGAGTGAATGATTGTAGGTTTGTATTCGTCATCAGATGAATTTGATCATTCCTTGAATGAAACGACACCTTTTTTGATCAAAAAAATATCCAAGAGGTAATGGTGAGGGAAACTTTCAGAGATCTACAGCGGCAATAGTAATGTATGAGTAGCAAATGACACTTGTTTAAACTTTAAGTGTTCCCTAGTAGTGTAATCATTTATATAAGGTTATAAATAATGATAATGTTAGAGATAGAGAATATAATGGCAAGGACAATATTTTTATTATTGTTGTTCATAAATGGTTATGTAAATGCAGTCAAGTTGGAATACAATGGACACTACTATGAGTTCAACAATACGTTGGTGGATTACTCCACTGCTCTAAACGCATGTCAACAGTTATCTTATAAGGGTTTGCAAGGGTAAGTAGGATTGATGATAATGCCCTTTGATCATTTGATCACTCATTCATTCATACTTATGCATTTAAAGATACTTGGTAACTATCACATCAAAACAAGAGGATGATTGGATTATGAAACAATACTTTAATGATACATCAATGAATGCAAGGAACTTTTGGATATCAGGTCAATGTTCAAACAATGTCCCTGCTCAATTCTATTATAGTTCTGGTCCTGAGAATGGTACACTCATCTATGATATCTACAGTGAAGAGTGTACAACATTCTGTTCATGGAATATATGTAATGTATCATTCATAGCTATGAATGGAACTATTCCACCCACACTAACCAAACAATCAATCAAATAATCAGTTGAACCAAGTATGAGCACATATGATCCCTTGATCGAGTGTAACTTGATCATTTCGTATCAATACATCAAGGCTGGTGCATTTAACTTCTGGAACAACTTAAATGCATTAACAAAGAGTGCCTTCCTTTGTGAATATGGTGGCCTGGAAGGTATTTATATTTAATCCATTAATCAATCAAACAATTATCATAACTCTAACATACTCATTCATCAAAATCCAGATCCATACATAGCATCAGTTCGAACAGTTGGTCAATCAGATGCTGTCATCAATAAAATAGTCAACATGACATTGTTGTCCAGAGTTGAGAGTGATATTGCCATAACATTCACTAATGTGGATGATGGCAGGATGTTCAGTGGATCAAATATCAATATCACATCGGATAGCTCGTTGACAGCATCAATCCCACCTGGTTCAGGAAGATACAATGTATCGATCACAGTGACAGACGTCACCGCCACCAATGGCCATCACACACTCAATACGACCTTTCATTACAAGCCAGCACAAGTCAATATAATCATTGCTGGATTCACAAGTGGTTCCAGAATATCATTGGTTGGTGATAACTTTGTCGTCGATAACAACAAGACATCCATATACTTCTCCAGTACATTGGTGCCATGTGTCAACGTCACCTTACCACAGCCTGGTGTCCTTGCATGCACACTCACCCAAGACCTCACTACATCTCTTGCGGTTCCAATCACAATCAACACAGACTCTGTATACTCAATCGTCAACAGACCCCTCTTTTGTAAGTTATTCCAATCACTCGAGTGATCAATCAAACATACTTACCATATTCAATCATTAGATGACTCGGGTTCTGGCAACTACTACTCCTGTGTCCGAGTATATAATACTAGGCAGGGATGTTTTGACTTTGCCCGTAAACAAACAGTTCAGGGAAGGATGGCATTCCTTTCCTACATCAATAACTCAATTGCTAAACAGGTTGTGAGCAGCATGTGTCCAAATACATTGAGTCAATGGAGCTTCGACACAAACTCCATGTACACTCAAGACATTTCTTTCAACACTGGTCTGATGGAGATAGGAGGAGGCGGACTGACCAGGGTCATTGATGGTCCTGCCACCGGCACCGATGTAACTCTGACCCTCCCGATCACGGGTACGGGCTCATCCAACCTAACGTACAATCCCTCTCAAGGATACCAGCGAACATTATCACCAGCACCACTAGTTGATGATGGCACATTCACTCAATTGGTCTACCCTACCAACTTGAACCTCTTCGCGCCCAACACCCCAACTTCCATCTCCATGTCCACCAATGGCTCCAAAGCGATATCAATACCATTGGCCAAGGTTGGAACACCTTTGGACAGCACATACTTTACATTCATGGGCAAGCCACTACCATCCCCACCAAGGGACTATTATTCCGATGACATCCAGATTGACATCCCTGCTGGCTACGGTACACAATCACTAGTCTACACCTTCCAACAGTTTGGCGGTGCTGCACTTCCCGTTACCAAATCGATAACAATCCAATATGACCCGCCAACTATCAACAACATGACATCAGTTGGTGCTGATGGAGGTGTTGTCACTTTGATCGGCACCAACCTGTACACGAACTCATCACTCCTTAAAGTTACACTTGGTTCGAATCAATGCAACAATGTTCAGATTGTTGAGCCACACAAGTCGATCACTTGTAGGTTGGAAGCACCTGTTTTCGGAGACCTGCAGGCAGGACTCGAGGCCAAAGTGTATCTCGACGGTACACAATCATTGCCATTCAAGTATGACTTTTTGTCACCTGTTGTACTTGTTGCCTCACCAGGAGAGCAGGACAAGGCGACTATGATCACGATCACCGGTGACAACTTCCCGCCTCCACCCGCCAACATCTCCGTGGTCATTGGCGGTGCTCCTTGCGCCGGCACAACATACATCAGTAACAATACAATACAATGTATGTTTGATGGAATGGTACCAATGCCAGCCAACTCAGTGGAGACTCTGCCCGTCAATGTGTCGGCACAGGGACTTTTTGGAGTCAACCGAGTCTTCTTCTACACGAACAAGACACAGCTTAACTGCAGTGGCAACGGTACACCATTCGAGGGCAGATGCATTTGTAATGATGGATGGACTCTACATCAATGCTCGGTCCGTGCCAGTCCCTCGCCCGCATCACCAGAGATCAATGGTGCTTCAATCATCAGTCCAGGAGACAACAGACTATCTTTCAAAACATCAATAGCATTCATTCGAGAGATAGATAACAAAGGCGCACCGATTAGGACATTGAACATGTCATCGATCACTTGGAAAGATGTAACCAACTCAACTGACCCGACCAGCTCAACACATCTGATGGGCACTTTCCCCAACATTGATAATGAGACTGTGGTAGTGGACATGCTCATCACTCACTACCTACACGAAACCGATATTCTATTCACTGGTGAGACCATGCACATTGCAGCCAACTCAATCAAGGTCACCGTGGCGGTCAGGTCTTGGCGATTCAAGGATATGCTGAGCAATCTCCAACTTGTGTTTGAGAGTAAGACTGCCAAGGAGAAGGGTCCATGTATCCAGACCAAGTCTAGCAGTGCCTTCAACTCGTTCTACGTGGAGTTGGATCGATCAGTTCTCTATGCATCATTCGCAGGTCATCTCTTTGTCGATGGACGAGTGGTTACATCTATCTTCCAAGACATCGTTGCTGGCGACCCACTCTACGGCGAGGCATCAACATCAACAACCGAGTTCACCTATCGCTCAACCATCACTATTCCACACTTTGACAAAGAGTGTATAGTTGATCCAAACTTCCAATCGTTGTTGAAGGTTGATGGTGAGCCTGATAGTGCGGCCACATCATGTATCAAGCCAGCTGAGAAGAAGTCTTACACAATCATCATCATTATCGTTGTTTGTTGTGTTGCTGGTGTTGGTATAATCATTGGCGCGATACTACTAATCAAGAAGTATAAGTACAGACTATTGGTTAGAGCACCCAGTGGTCTGATCAACCTTGGCAAAGTTCGCAAGGTATGATTGATTGATCAATAAACGTGTGAGTGTGGTGACCCATCAGATGTTCCACCATTCTCTGGATTTTGATCAGATATGTTTTGGTGTAAGGGGCACGATGATGACCTCACCAATCAAGGGAGTGTTCCAAACTACTGAATGGGCGTGCAATCGATATCATGTCATTCTAGATCACTTACTTAACATCATTATTCTATCGTGCAATACTTGTATAACTATTATTTATTTTTTTATTTATTATATTTATTTGATTGATTGATCAATCAATTTAAAGAGATCAAATGATCATTGTAGCAACAACAGATTATAATGGACCAACTGATAAACATCTTTCATTTGTAAAGGGTACAAAGATCGAGTTTATTGAATTGACTGATGATGGATTCATGTTGGGCAAGTTGGATAATGGTACCATTGGTCTGTTTCCATCTGTCTTCTCAAACAATATGGACATTCCAACTCCATTATCAACATCATCATCATCTACACATCATCAACAAGTATGTCTTAATGTATAACTCCAATCTAACTCAAGCATATTAACTAACACTCAAACAATCAAAGATACATGGAAGTGGAGGAATGTTGAATGATGAAGCTTCGTCATACTCTTCCGTCAATTCATCGAATAACTTGGCTGGAAGCTTTGGTATTGGTACACCTCCAGCTGGTTCTTCACTGCCATCATCATATACAGCAATGTTGCGTGAAAGACTAAAGTTGAGTGAGGATGGTAAACTAAGTGGCAGCAGTGACTCTTTGATCGAGTCGGCAACAATGTCCAGCGAGATGCCAAGCGAGGAGACACTGTCCCCCACAGACAAGACACCGCCTACAAGTCCAGACAAGGATGCGCATGGAGATGGCGAGCCACAAAAGGCCATTGGACTACACTACAAGTCCAAGAGGGAGGCTGAGAAAGAGGCAATTGCATCACACTTTATCATTGTCGGTCCACAGCCAGTCAAGGAACAAAAGATGCGATATGCCAACAGGAAGAAGTGTCCCACCCTGGTCATCAGTAGGTTCAGGGATCTGCCCAAAGAGATCATCAGCGATTTGAAGAAAGAGGACGTCCCACTGCGCGACATCGAGTCCAACATCAAGATATTCCTCACCATCCTCAAGTTCCTGACACGTCAACGCATCACTTATGTCTGTCCCAACTCCATGCCAGTGGTGGCGCCATTGGACGAGGGCACGGCCATCTCCACAACCACAACAACAACAACAACTTCCACAACTATAGCACTTGCCGACTCCTCTTTATCAATTGGTTCAATGCCCATGACGACACCATTGGCCGCGAGCAAGATTATAGAGATTCAGACATCATCGATCGAGGTTGACAAGAGTTTGGTCGAGAACATCACTGATCAAGTTGAGCTAAAGAAGAGACTGATGGAGCTGAAGCTACAGCGCAAGCGTGCGCTCACAGGTGTGACACCCGAGTTCCTAGCCCAGGCCTCCCTCTCCATCAAAGTCTTCCCAGACATCAAGAAGAAGGTCAAGATTGGCAACATCATTGGCAAAGGGTATGTGTTGTGCTGTTGCTTTGTCCAGAAGGTCTGACCCTTACCCTAACCCTTGCTCTCGACCCACTACAACAACAACAGAGGATATGGCAAGGTATTCGAAGCGCACTACGAGAAGAAGAAGGTGGCCATTAAGGTGGTACACTATCGAACACCAAAGGAGCAACATAATGTGTTGATTGAGATTGGATTCCTTCAGCGCTGCAAGCATCCCAACATTTTAGAGTACAAGGCATCAGTGCTACATGAGAACAAACTGTTGATTGTTACAGAGTTCTTGCCTGGAGGCACACTCGAGCAAGCAGTAGCTTCATCACATGTGTTCAAGGACACTCACATTGGATACATTGGCAAGGAGATCCTCAAGGGTATCGCATACCTGCACGAGAACAAGATCGTACATCGCGACGTCAAGAGCGCCAACGTCATGCTGTCGACCACCGGCGACATCAAGCTCATCGACTTTGGCCTGTGCGCGTCTGTAGAGAAGGGTACATCGAACCACATCGTCGGCTCACCCTATTGGATGTCGCCAGAGATGATCAAGGGCGACCCGCACTCCTACCCCGCCGACATATGGGGCTTTGGTGTACTCCTCCTTGAGATGCTATTCAAACGTCCGCCTCATCGCGAGTCACGTCTCAAAGCCATGTTCATGACAGCCACCGTCGGCATCGATGTCACCAAGCTCAAATGCTCACTCGACCTCAAAGACCTCCTCTGGCAATGTTTCGAGATGGACCCCAACAAACGATCATCTGCCACCAAGCTTCTGAGAGTATGTATCCACGAAGAGCATCGCCATCCTACTCAATCACTACAATCAAACATGGAACCATTCCTAACTCATACTCCTCCTCCCTCCCATCCCCGCCAGCATCCATTCTTCCAACGCGCAGACACAAAGCAAGGCATCAAGGGATTGTTTGATAACTTGTTCCTTCAGAGGAACCTCAACACAACAGGTATATTCCAATGATGATGGAGTTGGATATGAGCGATCAGTGGAATAAACCCTTTGGACTGAGTGTGCGTGATTAGATCATGCCACCGCCAATGTATTTATGTATGATCATTCTCTTTCGATGGAACATGCTCATTCTCCACAACATCAACAACATCAACAACAGGTGTCTTTGTAGTCAACTTGGTCAAGTCAAAGAATGCCATCTTGATGCCAGGTACACGTATATGTTCGCAGATACAGAGTGCCAGACGTGTGTCGAGGATTCGAATGACATGAGTATGTCGTCGCGGATAAAAGTTCACGATTTGGAAGGTCTGGACGTGTGGCGCCTGCTCCACCAACACTCGGATGGTCGTTCCAATGTCCTCTATGTACTCGAATATTCGCATCACCATCCTCTTTAGTGTCGCGCTCTTGATTGACATCCTTCTAAGACATTCGTCCGAGTCGAATGCCTGTCCAATCTCGAGCAACTCTATCGCATTGGGTGGCTCCAACATGCCGAGTTGCGTCTCCAAGTTTGTTATCCTAAGTGTCTTGAGTGCGCTTGGATACACGACGTGTCCAGAGTGTTGATTAAACTCCTTTCCAACCTCAAGATCAGTGAGTGATGCTGGGAGGACATGTTCACCAAGTGGCTGGTCAAAGTTATCGCCAAAGGTCAACTCGCGAAGAGCTTGAGGCAGCACGCCAATCTCTATCTTTTGATTGAATGTATCGCCAAAGACAAGGTTTGTCAGTGATATTGGGAATACATTTGATCCCAGCGGCATGTTATACTCGTGTCCAAAGCGTAGAGATGTTAAGGATGCCGGTAGTACACCGGGGACGAGCACCTGGTCATACAGCCCACTAAGGTATAGTGTCGCGAGTCGTTGTGGCAACACACCAGGTGTAAATAGTTGATTATAATCGGATACTGTGTCGAACTTGAGTGTTTGGAGTGATGAGGGGAGTGCCCCTGGTGTGAATGGATGGTCGTACGCCGCCCCAATCACCATCTTTGTGATGGACGATGGTAACACGCCATTGATGAACGGATGATTGAAAGCATTGCCAATCTTAAGAATGGTCAAGGAGTCGGGCAGAGTGCGAGGCATCAGCTGTTTGTTGAATGTATTGCCAATGATCAATGTTGTTAACAACATGTTACTTGTAGTCGATTGTTGATTGAGGTCTGATGCGGCCAATGTTTGATTGAACCCATAGCCTAATGATAGTTTGATCAATGACTTGAAGGGCAGCGTGATCGATGCCAAAGGTAGATTGAATGAGTTTCCGAGACGAAGATCTGTGAGTGCTGGCAACGGACCTTCAAAGCCAGACATTGGTACGAATGATAACAATGTGATTGAGCGTGGCAATGACCCAGGCTCAATAGTTTGCGGACCAATCGTTGATGAGAATACCAACTCTGTCAATGACGATGGGAATGTTTGTGTCGTGATGGCTTGTTTGAACGACTTGCCAATGTATAGCGATAGCAATGAAGCGGGCAGTATCGTGCTGGACAAGCATTGATCAAACAAGGTCCCCAGCATCAACTTGGTGAGCGACGGCGGCAACACACCATGATTGATCGGATGATTGAACATGTCGCCCATATCAAGCAGAGTGAGTGACGGCGGTAACAAACCGATGCTAAGCGGATGGTTATAGACACGTCCAATCTTGAGCTCGGTTAGCGTGGGCGGTAGTGAACCAATGGCGATCTCGCCATTGTACAGACTGCCCATTGTGAGACGCAAGAGTGATGTTGGGAGCATGCCAACGTCAATGTTCTTTACAAACCTGACGCTGAACTCCAAGTTTGTTGTCGATGGTTTGGTGATTGATAGGGCTTCGTTGGGCATGTCTGGTGCATTCCAAACTATATTCCTACACAAGTTGTATTGATTTGATTTGGTAAACACTGTATTCAATCTCTTTGTTGTCAATGACAAGCATACAGCATCCAACAGATCACCATCATTGATCAACAGATCGTATAACTTTACAATCAATGTAACAGGTATACTGTCCATCTTAGAATAGAGATTATCTCTTTAAATATAAAGTTTGAATAGATCGAACAAAATAACACTGGTTTTATTTACTTTGTCTTTACCACTGGATAGTCACTCATTGTCTTGTTCAGGTTAATTCCAAAGATAGTAGGTTGATCACTCTTGAAGTGTTTCTGAACACATTTATCTTTGTTACCGTTGCACGATTCGCAAAGCGCAATGAGAAAGACACTTTGGGGATTGTTATGGACGTGCCCTGCTACCATTCTACACATGTTTGAGGGTCCAGAATATTTTGGAACCTTCTCACAACGAGCATGGTCACAAATATCATCCCGACTAAGCAAACAATCACAGAACATGCACTTTACTTTAGCTTTCGATGAAATCTTGTGAAGTTCCTTTTCATAGTTATCATTGAAATATTCTCTGGCATTCTTGTCTTTGTCCTTGGTATTGGCGGTATTGCAGATATAGAGAGGAAGTTCTATCTTTTCAAACACATATTTCTTTGAGGTCATTCTCTAGATTTGTTAGTTTTTAATAAAAAAGTGATTAAATTTAAAACATATATATGTTTTTAACTTACCTAATATATATATATATAGAATATAATGATATGAGCCTTCAATACTGATACAACTATAAATACTTGAGAACAATTTTCTTTTTGCAAACTCTTTAGACAGAAATTATCATCTAGTGAAGAGGGAACACCTACAAAATGAGTTGGTAAAAATATTTGTACACTTTCGAATATCATTGCACCAAAGAATGGTCTTCTCTTCTCTTGTATTCACAAGACTTCTGGGTCCCAGACGAGATGAATCTAATAAGAAGTAAGTATTATTATTCTGTTTTTTTGGAACAACCAAGTTAGTCTTGCAAAATATTGATTGATATTGAATGCTCGATGTTTAACTATTATTGGTAGCAATATTAATCAAAGAAACTTTGTTAAAATTTGACAAAAGACTTGGAGAGTTCACCAATTATTTATTTGAAAATGAAGATGATCTCCTTTTAGGAATAATCCACTTCCCTTTCATCGATCACACTCTCACCCATTCTGGCACCTAACACACCCAAATCAACAAACACTGTTTATATCTTCACTTCAACAACAACAAAGAGATAATTACTTTGCAATTATTATTATTATTTATTTATATAAAACAGAAAGAATAAGAAGATATGTCAACATTATCACCATCAGATATTGTCAATAGTAACAACAACAACAATGAATATAAGTTATACTCTAGTTTATACTTGATCACACTTGACTCTTATGTCATACTGCAACCTGATGCCCTACAAGATTCAAATGATCCAAAGTCAATATTCATAGATCGTACAACACTAAAGATTGAGATGAGATGTATGTTTGATCGATAAAGTCACATGACATCTTATGATCATTCTAACTAACTTATGGTTGATGACAGCCAAGGATAAAGCGAATGTTACAGGATCAATTAGATCACAGGTCAGGATATTTGGATGTCTAGGTATCATCAATCTATTGTCTGGTCCACACTTATTGTGTATCACCGAGAAGACTGACGTTGGTTGCATCAGAGGCAAGCATCAGTCCATTCACAAAGTGTCCAAAACACAAATATTCCCAATACTACGCGAACCTGTACCATTGAGTGAAGAAGAGGTATGACTCATTCAATCACACGTTCACTTCAATCATATGATCACCTTACTCACTGACTCAATCAAACAATCAATCAATCATAATTTAGAAAAAGGAGGAGAGGACTTATATTACTGTACTCAGTGATATGTTGGAATCATTTGACTTCTACTTCTCTTATGACTTTGATGTTACACACTCTGAACAACGTGTCTCTGACATTGAGAATGATCCTCACCTGTCCACATTGCCACTTTGGAAACGAGCCGACGAAAGATTCTTCTGGAATCGACATCTCCAACAAATATTCATCAAGAATGAGTTCCATCCCTTCATTCTACCCATAATGGATGGTTGTAAGTATTCATTCAATCAATCAGTCAATCAATCAAACTCAATCCCAAACTCATGATTCAAACTCATTATTCAAACTCAAACACAGTTATCAAGATATTGAAATGTGAGATCAACTCGAATCACTTCAATTATATATTTATTTCGAGGAGGAGTTGCAAGAGAACAGGTGCGAGGTATCATATTAGAGGAGCGGATCCACATGGTAATGTGGCCAACTTTGTAGAGACGGAACAGATCATTGCCTTTGGCAATGTGTTGACATCCTTCGTTCAGACCAGAGGCTCAATCCCCCTGATCTGGCAGCAGAAGGGCAAGGGCATGAAGCCCCGCCCTGTGGTCGTCAACAGTCCGCTGATAGAGGAGGCGTTTAAGGCACACTTGAACGAGCTGATCTCGCTCTACGGCCCACAGGTGCTTGTATCATTAATTGATCAGAATGGCGGCGAGATGGCCATTGGCGACGCGTTTGAAACACACGCCTACCTGCTCTTTGACAAGAGTCGAGTGGAGTACCACGCCTTTGACTTCCACGAGAAGTGCAAGAATAACAAGTACGAGAACCTTGGCGAGCTGCTCGATAAGGTCAAGCCGCGTTTCGACTCCTTTGGCTACCTCTTCAAGAGCACGGCGGGCACGCCCACCATGCTCCAGTCGGGCTCGTTCCGAACCAACTGCATCGACTGTCTCGACCGCACCAACGTCGTCCAGAGCGTACTGGCGCGCTACATCCTGCACAGCCAGCTGACGCGCATGGGCATCATCTCGTCGGCTGAGCGCATCGAGTCGCACACCACCTTTGACCACCAGTTCAAGAACGTCTGGGCCGACAATGCAGATATTATGAGCGAACAGTACACAGGCACCGTCGCGCTAAAGACCGACTTTACGCGCACAGGCAAGCGAAGTGTCAAGGGCACGATGACCGACGGTGTCAACTCGGTGCGTCGATACATCAACAAGAACTTCAAGGACGACGACAAGCAGCTGGCCATAGATCTCTACCTTGGCAAGTTCACCGTGGAGAAGTGGATATCCGAGCTGTCCTCGTCAGACTGTGGCGAGTATGACGTGCAGCTTCTGGTCGATGGTGATGAGTACCGTGGAGTTCATTCAGTTCTCAAGATCAGCTCGTCGTCACAGTGCATCGTCTCGTCGACCAAGGCCAGTGGACGTCGCAAGGAGTATCCATTCGACTCTATTACCCTCGTCGAAAAGGGCAAGCTCAATCACTGTTTGCTTGGCATCTATGACATTGACAACCCAACTCCCGACATGTTTGTGTTCCCCTCGTCACTCGAGAGGGAGAGATTCATGCAAGATCTGTACAAGCAAGCCCTCAAGAACTGTTATGTTCCAATCAATCCAATGGGACCCGATGGAGATATGGTCACTCAATCAATGCTCTCACCCCCAATGACCTCTGTCCAAACACAGAAATCTGCCGAAGACATCGATTCAACAGGTGAAGATGGTGCAGTCGAGCTCAGCCCTATCACCTCCCCATCATCAACAACAGCACAACAACAGAGGAACACTGATGAAGCTCATAGATTGAAGTTGCTAGAGTTGTTTGATTGTTTCGTTGGCTCATGGAACATGGAGAACTTCAACATCAACACTGCATCGCTGTCCGAATGGATCCCTCGCAACAAAGATCTGTACTCAATCTCTGCTCAACGATTCACAAGTGACAGACCATCACCTGGTTACGTCATGAACTACAAGCAGTACTTCTTCTATCTCATCAGACAGTACCTGGGCGCACAGTACATAGTTGTGGCATCGGCCGTGACGGAGAATACAGCCGCCATCGTACTCGTTCGCAAATCATTATCGACCAGTGTAAACAACATCGTCGTCAGCTACCTACTCAAGCGTCCATCACACAAGAGGTCCTTGACTTCTTCGCCAACATCTCTTACAAACAGCAGCGGCAGTGGCTCCACCTCACCCATGATCCCAGTGTCAGAGAGTGGCAGCAACAGTAATAGCAGCAGTGCCGTCAGCAAGGCTGCCAGTGGTCTACAGACAGTGACCAACTTCTTTAGGTTTGGCAAGCTCAAGGAGACTAGCGCCAAACCTGCCGAACTCTTTAAAGAGTACAAGAACAAGGACACACAATTTGGAACATCGATCTCTTTCCAACTGCGCGAGACATCATTGTGCTTTGCCAACTATTGCAACTATGCCAATGGATCAGAGTCACCCATGGATGACAACAGCATCGTCCACATCAAGAACAGACAGTACCTCAATGGTTCCAGTCGCTATACCTTCTGGACCGGTGACTATGACTCACAGGCACTCTCCAACAAGCTTGGCTGGCAACCAATAGTTGATCTGGACGTCTACCAGAGGAACCGTGGCGTCGTCTTTTACAAGGCCCATCCCAACGTTGACCCAATCGCCAGTCAGGAGGAGGCGTTGGGCGACCACCAGGACTCATCCTACCTGTACCCACCACTGTCATCCACCATCACTGTGCCCGTACTCGCCCCATTCAGCTGGCTATCTGTCGCCGACTTGCCATGCTTCATCTTTTTGAGCTCGTTGGTTGTGGATAACTTTGAACTGCTTCCAAGCAACACAAAGATGGACTGCTTCTTGGAGTTCAATGCTTTCCATTTGTTGACTACAATGGAGACCACAGTGCGCACTGGAAACGCTCGAGCAACTATTACTGCGCCAGTGACTTGGAATGAGAAGGTGGAGCTACGTTCATTCATCGATGACAAGGAATACCTAAAGACTCAATTCATTCAGGTTGCCTTGGTCTCTAGAGATATGCTGGAGCATACACTGATTGGCAAGGGAGTCATCCCTCTTCGTGACGCTTGTGGCAACGGTCCATCAGAGTTCAGGATCAGCCTATGCTTCGAAGACGAGTTTGCCTGCACGCTGCAAGGAGAGATACAGGTGTTTTCAAAGTTAGAGGTGGCGAGAATCGTCGAGCAACAAGCAGCCACTCAACAGCCACCCCCTGTACCAACACGCAATCATCCTCTGCATCAACAACAGACAACACCGCCAGGAGGCGTCCTTAACAAGCCCCTGCCACCAACACCATCACCAAGCCAGCAATCACCAATGCATTCGCCAGCGATACTTAGCAACTCTCCCACCACTCTCATGGTCAATCCAACTCCAATGGGCGATGATAGCTCACCAAACCAAGATCAATCACTATTGGGCAAGCTTGCCAAGAACCTCTCTATGGATGATCCACTGAATTCACAGGAAGTCTTGTCTACAAAGGATAAAGATCAATAAACACAGTGTTGCTACAATAATTGGTAATTTATTGAGTTGTAGATGTTCAATTGGCAACATGCTGTTGATCATGATGGTGTCGAGAGAACAAATGGAAGTGATGACCTGGGGATGACTTCTTCTCACCATCAGAGTCGGACTTGTTGTTGGAAGAATTGGTTGTGAATATCTTGGTTATTGAGTGTCTACGGAAGTGGCTAAAGATTGAGCCCTTGCGGTGTTCCTTGAGGTGTGGAGATGATGAATCAGGTGGTGACTCCATGGACACTTGTTGCATGTTGTTTCTTAACTTCTCGACCTCATGTGGAGATTGAGGGTGGTAGTCCATTCGGTGCAGCTCAGGATGTGAGGATGGACGTGGCATATTACTACTGGGACCCATCAGGTCGTGTGAAGAGTTCGACCTGGCCACCACAATCGCTGGTGGGCTCTGAGAGTTTGGTGAAGTGTAGTCTCCATGTGTCCTGGCCAACTCCCTGACCTCTGGGTGGACAAATGTTGGTGTGTTGTGTTCTGGTGATCCTGCTCTGGAATTGTGGTTACTGGTCACTGGTGTGTTTGATCCTGATAAAGGTGGTGATATGGGGCCATGATGCTTCCTGAATCGGTCTTCGCATGGCGAAAGGTCATTGAGCAGGTAGCTCACAATGTAATCATTCTTCTTGGCATACTTAAACACCTTGTGCTCCAACAGTTTGGCTGCACTTGGTCTCTTTGTAGGGTCCTTGTGCAGACACTTGTCCACCATGTTCTTGAAGTTGGCCGAGATGATTCCTGCATCGACTTCCTCTTGCAACGATGGAGGTGAGTTGAAAAGAAGATTCATAAACACCTTGTTTGGTGCCAAATCAGAGTTGGGTGGCTTTCCTCTGATTGTTTCAATGGCGGTAATACCAAATGACCAAATGTCAATTGATTGATTGTATCCTTTCTCTGTAATGATTTCCTGTGATGTAGCTAATGTTAGTATATCAAGACCACAAGAGATAATACAAACTGAGTTATTATTGTTACTACATACAGGAGCCATCCAACATGGTGTACCAACAACTGTCTTTCTAAAGTTATCACTGGCCTTTCCAACGATAGCGGTGACTCCAAAGTCTGCAACCTCGATTTGACCGTCTGAGCCAATGAGGATGTTGTCAGACTTGAAGTCCCTGTGAATTCTGTTGTGACTGTGGAGTGCAGCCAGACCCCTCAATGAATACTTGAGAACTGTGATAGCCATAACCTCTGGCATTCCCTTTGGGAACTTCTCCTTGATAATGTCTGCCAATGATCCAGCTCCAAGATAGTCCATTACAAGCCACAATGCCGAATCATGTAAGAATGAAGTGTGATATTGTACCAAGTTTGGATGGTTATTCTCATTCATAACCTTTACTTCTCTCTGTTTGATCGTTCATTTCATTAGTTAGTCGTAACTTGTTGTAATCAAACTTATAGGATACATACCAAGACATCCTCGATAGCCTCTGGTGGTTGCTTCTCAAGATCGACAATCTTGATGGCAACATTGACTTTGAGTGTATTACAAATAGCCTTCCATACAATGCCCTCTGTTCCTTCTCCAATAGCCTCAAGCAAGGTGTAGTCCTCTGGACGTGTAGGATACTCTGTACCAAGGTGAGTGTGTTCAATCTTCTCCAACTCCTTCATGATGGAGTTTCTACGTTGTCCAGTGATACTGGACATTGCAGACAATGAATTTGAGTATTCTGTTGCCGACATGTTTTTGTTGTTGTTGTTGTTGTTGTTGTATGTTATCTCTATCTGTATTTTATAATAATATAAATGTAAATCAAATCGTTAATTGTATTGATCTATTATTCATCATGTTGTTGTTGATATTGAATAAATGATTGATGATATGAAACAAGTTATTAGTATGTATTCTCTATCTCTTTATATATATATATATTTTGATAAGATGACTGATCGCCATCGGTGGTGCAATATTTGATGATGATGTAAACCTGTACAGTTTCTACATACCTTTTATATTAAGTTGTACTACTTCTACCCCAGGCAACAATCACCAATTAGATGGGTTTTAAGTTCGGTATGAAACTCTGAAGAGTTGCTTCTTGAATGAATCCACCACACAACAAAAAAGATTAAGATTGGTGAGTGTATTCTTGAGAATTGTTGTTGTGTTGTGTTGTATTCGGGAAAGTCTGTGTTGTTCCAAATTGACACACTGACTGTCTAACAAACTAACTACCTATCCTAACTATCTAAATATTACAACTATTTATAATCTATAAGTCACCAACTCAGTTTATTTCTTCTCCAATCAAGTCGTTTAAAACTGAGTCATAAGTTTGTGTGATGTATAATATTTTAAATCTATTTATGTATTTGTTTAAGTATATGTGTATTCATGATAAAGGTTATTTATGAAATGTATGTTCAGACTTGTCTGAAGGTCTACTTAAAAGTTGTTGTTGTAGAGTGTGTGTGCGTGGTAGTTGTAAGGGTGTGGGGGGTGAGCGTGAGTGTTTGCGTTGTCAATCCTTTACCTAAAAAGGAAACATATCTGAAATGTCAGCAATTTGAAGTTCCCTGGTCGGTAAATTAAGTAGTTTTTGATCAACAAGTCCCAAGATTAGATCAAACAGATCTGGTTTCTGGTTCTAGATTACCCCCGCACGCATTCCATAATAATCATAATGATAATAATAATAATAATAAGTTGTTGTGTACTCTCAAGTTTATTCAATAAACTCGAATGAATGAATGATTGAATGAAGGGATGATTGAATGTGTGTGGCGGCGGGACGGACTAAATACATTGTTGAACGAACGATTCGAGCGAGCAAGTGAAGGGTTTGATTGATTAATTGATGTCTTGGAGTTTGGCACCCTTGGGCTCAAGCTTCTGGGAGAGCTTGAAGAGTGCCTCGTCAGACATGGGCGTGAATGAGTGGGGCGGACGTTGATGGTGCATCGACTGTTGCTGTGACTGTAGCTCGGTGATTGCGACACTCTTGCGCTTGTTAAAGATGGAGAATGTGCCACCTCCCGTGCTGCCATGGTGTGCATGCGAAGGAGAGAACGAGCCGCTGCTGCCTCCACTGCTGTTGGCCGGTGGAGGTGACATCTTGCCACTGCTGCCACCACTGCTATGCGCAGAGGTTGAGTAGCTGCGGTTATGTGTCTTGTTGTTTGATGGCACCATGATTGGGGAACTACTGTGACTACTATTACTGTTGTTGTTGTTGTTGCTGTTGTTGCTGTTGCTGTTGCTGTTGTGGTGAGAGTTGTTGCCGGAGTGGGGCGCGGCAAGCAAACCATAAATGTTGCTGGCACTGACACTCTTGCCACGCATAATCTTCTTGGGTGCATCGCTGGGTGGCTGGGGAAGTGCCATCAATACCTCCATTGTGGACGAGGGTGGCTCGTCTGTAGGCGTAGACGTGACTTGAATGACTGGTGGGATGGGGATCAAAGGGTTGCCGCTGCCCGAGGAGAACGAGGGTAGTGACACCAGCGAGTGATGTGGCGATGGGATATCGGGTGGAGTTGACAACAAAGAAGAGTTGGAAGTTGACTTGCGCATCACGATGGGAACACTTTGATGCTCTGGCAATGGTGACTCTTCCTCGTCCACCTCAGCATTCTCATCCTCCTCATTGTCCAACCGTCCATTGATGATAGAGTCGAGGAGTTGATGTGTCGAGCGCTCTTGCAATTTGATCATCGTTTGCAAGTTGCTGCTGCCACTGTTGTTGCTGCTCTCGAGGATATCGCGCATGGACGACGCTGGCGTGCTGGACATTGGACTCCACTCCTCGACATTCTCCTCGGTCTTGAGCTTCTTGGCGTGGTCAAGAGCAGTGCTAATCTCATACACATCACTGTCCTCGTCGTCCAATATCTCATCCTCAAAGGTCACGTCACTCTGTGGTTGAGCCTGCTTCTCTGGCGAGTCATCCTTGTTGGACGAGGTATCCATTGCTGGTGAGGCAGCCGCTGCTGCATCTGCCCCAGAGTCTACCATCTTGTTGCCATTGTTGCTGCTGGCGCAGTTGCCGTTGTTTGTGCCTCCATTGCCGTTGACATTGTTGCTGCTACCAGAGTAGGAGTTGAGGTACAAGGCTGAGGCCTCACCAAAGATGTTGAAGTTTGGCGTCAACAGTTGGGCAAGTCGCGAGTCTGCGCAGAGAGGGTATGCTCTGCCCTGGAACAACTGAATCTGTTTGATGGTGTTGTAGAACATCTTCAACTTCTGGATGTTGAGAGTCCATGTGTCCTCGCCAATGCCTGCAAAGTCCTTGTTGCCCTCTTGGATAAAGGTCATGTCGGTCAAGATGATGCCCATGAATGGAATGCATGGCACGGTCGGGTCGAGCGATCTCAACTCTGATCGATAGTTGTAGTAGTTCTCCTTCCTGTCCATCAGCTTCTCCAGGTCCAACAGCGACTTTTGTGTCTGCTTCTTCAAGTGCTTCATCGTCCACTTTAGTCGCAGGATGGAAGAGTGTGACAACGCTGCGTAGATGGCCATCATCGAGTTGTAGTTTCTCAACTCGTGAAGATGCTTGGCAATCTTGATCAACTTCTGCACGACCTTGCATCTGCTCTTCATCTTATCCTCGTTCAATATCGTTTGAATGACATTCATCGACATCTCGTTGAACCTTGCGATCAACTTTGTAAGATTGAGTGCATTGTCTTTCTCCTGTGCTTTGGTCCACGCTCCATTCAAGAACTCTGATGGCTGTGTTTGATAATGTCTTGGAGTTAGTATCATTCATACCATCCATCAATCAATCAATCAATCAATCCAAACTTACATCGRATGCAAATAAATATAGAATAGTCAATGACTGTGATGGCCTTGGCAATGTCTTTGGATGAGGCGTCCATGATTGTTTGGAAACTCTCGGTTCCAGCCCAGGTGGATGAGCGTGGACGTGAGTCAACTTCGTATCTGGATGGCAGTTCTGGGGTGGAACTAAAGTGTGATGAGGGCGAGTCGCCACCGCCCAACGGCGAGTAGTCAGCGTCCCATTGTGGCGTCGCGTACTCCTCCATTCTGCTATATTGTTCAGCCGACTTTAAACATGTGGACAGCACAGCCCTGATCTTCTGGTTCGATTTCTTTGTTACATATGACTTGGCTACAATGCTGAATGGTAGGTTGTAGCTGCCATTGACTCCGCCTCTCTCAGTGATCTAAGATGTGTTTGATTGTTTGATTGGAGTTAGTAGTTGAGCGATTGATGGACTTGGATGACATTATATATACCTTTGACTCCAAAGTTTCATTGATCTCTGTGCATAGACGTAGGATGACATCATAGTTGTAGGCCTTGTTTGACTCTTTGATGTAGGCCAAGAAGTCGCGAATCTTGTCGATGAACATGATGTCACAGAGTGCAGGAAGGTAGTATTGCTGCAGCCAGTTCTTAAGTATAGTACATATCCTCATTTGAACCTGAGGACTCTCGTGTTTAAAACTGGAAGTTGGATAATGGAAGTTGGAAGTTGTGTTAGAACGACCTAGTACACTCTGGACAACGAAGGCCAAGGTTACTTACATAGATATTAAGGTGTCTAGTATCTCAAATGACTCATATATGCATTCATGAGTTGTGAAAAAGATCCTGGAGTTGGAAGCATCGTCATTCTCGTTGATGATCTTGTATAGTTGCTTCTCCAGACATCGATCCAGTGCCAGCTTACGCTGGCGCTTCTCCTCGCGACGTGCCAGCGCACCCTCGGACAACTGTGAACTGTTGGAGCTGCTAAGCTGTTGTGCGTTGCTGCTCTCCAACGTCGAGGTGATCACCTCGTCACTGGTCGGTGCGGTGGCCGTCTGCTGCTGCGCGGCAGCCGTCGTGTCGTGGCACGCGCCACCACCTGCTGCTGACGAGTCCTCGATTGGGAAGATCTCGGACGAGTTCTTTAGCTCGCGCACCAGGCGATCGAATGGCGTTCCATCAAAGTTCATCGACTCCTCCCACTTGGGCACTGCAAGTGTGAACCGGTTGCGCTTGGAGGTGGGAGGCGATGAGTTGGGGGTTGTTGCCGACACTGTAGACGACGATTGTGATAGATGCGCCGCACCGCCACCCGCACTGTCCAGCTCGTCCACCGTGTCATCACTGCGTCGTAGCGTCATGTGGACGTTGGGTGAAGAGAATGAGTGGGTGGGCGATGAGCGGCCCGGCCTGGCCTCGACCGAGGCGGTGTCATCTGGGACCTGCGCATTGTGCAGGTTCAATGCCTGAACCTTCTTTATCAGGTCGTCCTTCTCGCGGTTCCACTCGGACTTCTCCTGTCGCAGCATGTTGATCTCATTGTTGGCCTCGTCCAGCTTCTGTCTAAGCAGCTGGCTCTCAGAGGGCGGCGAGAGGGTGGTGCGGGCGCTCAGTTCGGAGCGTCCAAGCACGGGCGTCGACGCCAGATGTGGCGATGATCGTATGGAGGATGGCGGCGTGTGCTGGCTGACGACTGTGGTCAGACCGCTTTCCACTGGCGCCGAGTCCTTCGTGATGTAGTCGACAGTGTCACCATCGCGCTTGCCTATGTTGATCAGGCGCAGGAACACACTGTCCCTTCGACTCTTCTTCTCGGGCACGGAGAGCACATTGTCGTTGCCGTCCACACTACTGGACTTGCTCGACTTGAGCTCCACTCTAGTGTCGGACGAGTTGAGCTTGTTCTGTCCAGATGATGCATGTGTAGTTGCGGCGCCGTCTATATCCACACTGTTGTTGGCGCTGTTGTTTGCGCTGTTGTTGGCGCTTTCAAAGGTTCGCGACACCCTCCTCAGCGAGCGGGTGATGAACTTGAAGTGTTTCTTGCGCTCGGAGGGTTTGAGTGTGCTGTGTGCATCGGGACGCATGGGCGATTGTGTGGCGCCATCGTCCGACGCCGAATCGTCAAACGTCAACGAGGCGGTGCGCATGGTCTTTGGTGAGCGCGGTGGCGTGGACAACAGTATGGGAGTGGAAGATGAAGGTGACATTGGTGGAAGCATGTGCGATGACGATGAGGAGTTTAGACTCGATGTTGATGTAGACTCTTTAGCAAACTTTGGAGGCAGTGGCGGTTTAGATCCACTGCTCGAGCTCGATGTTGATGTAGTAGTTGTTGTTGTTGTCGTAGTCGTATATTCGTTGTCCTTTGATCCTCCAACCATCTTGAATAGCTTGCTCAGACGTTTCTCGCGTTTCTGGCTGCCAGACTGCATGTTGATCGGATCCATTGTCTATGTATTTGTTGCTGTTTACTCTTTTGCTAATTGCTGCTGTTGCTGCTGTTGCTGCTGTTGCTGGATGTGGTGGCTGAGCTACCGTTCTCGCCGGAGGAAACGGCTAGTACCTCTGACACCCTCTATCACTACTACTTGTTCAGCTGTGATGTCGACTCAATCAATCTATCTTAACTAACTATGTGTTGTCAAACTATATATCGGTAGCTTGGGTTACTATTGATTGATTACTATGCTGTTGCTGATTGATTGACTGTTTGATTGATTGTTTGATCGATTGATAGAATGATTGATGTTTGTCTATATTATCGATAACTCTGTGACTGTAGCTTTGTTGTTAAAGTAGTAGCTGGATGTTGCTGTTTGGTCGATGTGATGTAACTTGGGAAAACAACAAGTTATTCTTTGAGTTGTGGAATGGATGTTATGTTGACGTCTTGTCGCTGTCTGTTTGGTCGATTGATTGATTGAATGATTGAGTTAGTGATGTTGTTAGCAATGATGTGTTTGTTTGTTTGATTGATTGAATGATTGAGTGTAATGGGCTATCACAAAGTGGAAGTAAACAAGTGAGTTGGATCGAGTCGAGTCGAGTCGTGAGCAATGAGGGAGCACGGATGTGGTGTGGTGCGGCGAGTTGGAATTGTCTCTTGAGTTAAGACAAAGAGTGTGTTATGTGTGTGATTGATGATGATGATGATGTTGGATGTGGAGGATGTGGATAGATGAGTAAGTTGTACACATACATACAACAGGTAGGGTAGTTTAGTCAAAACAAGTAAACAATAGATTGATAGAGTGAGTGTCCAGAATACTTATTCGATGGATGATGATGATGATGAGTGATAGACATCACATGCTTCATTCACACACACTCACTCTATCAAACAATCAATCAATCAATCAAACACACTTTCCGACATTGATATGTGACCTCTGCCGCTGTTGACACTAAAATAAGTACAGGCGGCAAAGCTGACAACGATCGTGGAAGCGCAGATGTAGCTTGCATCGATTGTGCTGAGATATGTCGGGCAAGCTGGCCAGTGGGTGATCGGGAGTGATGTGTGTGAGTGGGTTTGATTGGTTGCGTGTGGTGAGTTGTGTTACGAGTGTGATTGATCATTGTGTGTGTGTTGAATGAGTGTGTTGTGGATTGATGGCTGGGTGAATGAATGTGTGTATGTATGTGATGGTATGGTTCATTGCCATAACCTGTTGCCAACCAAAGAGAGAAAGTAAGAGATAGTGTGTGTGTGCCACACACAATCATCTAGAACTTACACAAAGTCCAAGGCTTGAAGTTGATTGGTCCTTTGCCTTTGAAGTTGACTGACTAATTGCTGATTGATTGCCAAGTCCACTGACCTCTAACTAACTATTGGTGAATGAATGTATATGTGTGTATGTAGATGTGTGTATGTGTATGGTATTGGTGATTGAGAGTGAATGTGTACTGTGGTGAGATTGGACAGTCTACGGATAGACTGATGGACTGTCGATGTGTGTGTGTGTGTATGAATGTCTGTGAAGTGTGACAGAGGTGAAGAACGTGATTGACTGAAAGGAAAAGGGCAAAGAATAATGTTGAATGAGAGAGTGCGAAAGAGTGAGAGAGTGTGAATTGCTAACCTTTGTTTCGCCTAAGCCTAGCCTAGCTCGAGCCCTATCTTATTGTTGTGGTAGTTAGTGGTTGTATGTGAGACTCCCCCGATCATGTGGATGTATGAATGAATGAACGAATATGTATGTTGTGTTGTGAACAGCAGTTGGATCTACTCGAAGAGAGGAGTGGAACGGAAGGGTATTGGCCTGTTGGTCCAACAACCACAACACCCTCCTTGGCAAAGATCACCTCACCTACCGGGTCGTTTCGTCTCTTGGCCTCTTATTATTTTGGTTCATGGAATACTGTTGTTGTTTGGGTTCCCTCTTGCATGAATGAGTCGACTGATTCTGATCAAAATCGGATCATCCAATGGGGGTACAACATACATACTCCTCCTCTATGGGGGCTTCACTCGTCTTTTTGTGGAGCCTATTTGATTGATTGATTGAATGTTTGAATGAAAGAGTGCGTGAGTGAATGATTCAACAAAACACCAACTTCAGTTAAAGTCTTGTGTCCAGAACAAGAACAACCTCATGTCCATGGTCATGTGATACACACAAGTTTTAGTTAGTATGTGACGACCTTGTGATGGTGCCCGTGTCCTCACCCCCTACCCTAGCCCAGCCAACATTCACATAAGGGGAAGGAGAGGAGATAATTTTACAGATAGAGAAGCGTGGATGGTGCTTGGACAAACGGCGTAGTAGGGTCAACTTGACCGCTGGCCTGGGTGCTTGGTCTTTGCAAAGTCCATACCCATTGCATAATACAATGTGTTGAAGTGTGGTAATGTACCTTACATCGACATCGCCATTGCCATCGTCATCGCCGCAGTCAACCAACCCAAAAAGGCAGGTGTCGAGTGAGGAGTAGTTATCTTTATGATCAGTATGATCCTTTATATGTAGATAATTATAATACTTGTTATGTTTGATTGACATGTCAATGACCATTCATTCCTAGCTAATGTATTGCCTTTTTTCGACAAAAACACCATCAGACAACGCTGATTGGAGGATTGTTGATCTGCCAGTTTGATAAACTGGTATTCCTTTGGATACGAGGGGCACGGTGAGCGTTGTCCAAACGTTATAAAGAACTCTGTTAGCTTCCAACCTGTCATTTATACCATTGATCAACATATCAAACTCGCCAATGTATATTAAACAATCATCAATTTGTGGTGCCATCAATATGAGATCTTCAAAGTTGTAGAGAACTCTCGATGGATCAAATATTTGGTTGAACTGAGTGAGAATCAGACGGTATATTGATGTGTAGAGGATGGATATCTATTGAGTGGAAGGAACAGTGATACCATCATAAGAATGTAGATCCAAGTTAATTGAGTGTTTAGACTTTAGCGATGTGAGAGCAGTCTTCACATATTCCATTTTGATATTCAAAGAACTTGTCCTTTGTAACCATTTGATAGAACATATGTTCATTGAAATTCCCATCTCTCTCACTCAACATTCTGATAAAGTTGTATCCTATTAAAGACTTTCCTGCTCCTGCAGCTATAGTTGATGGGAATGACACGTTGTTGAGTATATTGCTTCTCAGAGACTGTGTAAGTATTGCCTTTACACATTCAATCGCCAGATCAGTGCACTCTCTAGTTCTGTCAATTGAGACATCAGTTGAGACCTCAAGGAATTTTGAGGATTCCGAAAATTTGGTATTGTTGACCAAATCTAGAATATTGTTGTCTACATCATTTAAATATACTACTATTATTTGAAGGGATTATTAGTATTAGTATTCCTCAATTGAGGAATCATTACAACCCGATTATTGATATACATACAAGGTTGATATAGTTCCTTAAGACATTTCTTCATTTGGAGGGAATCTTTGAGTTTGGAGATGGCGACAATCTCAATGGCTACTGCTTCATTTGGGCGAATTGTCTTGAAACATGCAGCCTTCTGGTCATCAGCAAGATAGAAAGCTTGTGAAACAATGTTGGTCGCTTCTTGTTGAGGTGATGGTAGTTGTGACATGATGGATGGGGAGTGAAGGGAGTACAAAGAAAATAGATAATATTTCTACAGAAAATTAATTAATTAATTTCTACAGATAAGAGCTAATTAGAAATGTGTCAGACTAGATTGATGAGTGAGAAGTTAAGTGATGTCCACTTTCTTGTAGATCTTCAAAGTATTGTCATATTCATTGAGACCAATGACACTGATGGCTTAGTATATATCAAAGTTGTGGACTCAGCTGGTCGACTTGCGAAATGAAGAAGGTTTGCCGAGTGCAGCTGTGATCAATGTGCATCAGAATGTGATTTATATACATTATTCATTGAATGAATCTAAAGATTGGTCAACTAGCCAACTATCCCCAAGGGTAGTGTTGTCTTTGTTTTGGCCATCTTGACAATCTCTTGAGCGATGGCCAATGAGGATGTGGCGGATGGTGATGGTGAGTTGCGAACGTGTAGGATGGGCTTGTTGTCTGGCGCGTCAAAGATGAAGTCCTCAATGAGTGTGCCATCCATTGACAAGGCCTGAGCTCTCACTCCACTGCCAGCCGACTCGACCTGATCGACGGTGAGCTGCGGCATGTACGGCAGCAGACGCTGGAGGAATGCCCGCGGGAAGACGTCCTGCACAAACTCCTGGACACCAGTCCTGATGTGCTTGGCAGCCAGTCGTCTGAAGCCAGGGTTGATGATCGCCTCGTACATGTCGCGCAGGTTAACATCGCTGTAGTGATAGCCTTCGCGTGATGTGGCGAATACGGCATTGGGTCCAAGCCAAACCTCGCCATTGATACGTTTGGTGAAGTGTACGCCAAGGAAGGGGAACTGAGGGTTTGGCACAGGGTAGACGTTGCCTTTGATCAGATGTCGATGCTCATCCTTCAGTCTGAGGAAGTGCCCGCGGAATGGCACGATGTGAGGCTGATCCTTGCCATAGGCCAACTTGGCAACACGATCGCTGTACATGCCGGCACACGAGATGACGAATGCCGCAGACACCTGTCGTCCATCGGCGGCGCCAACCAGCATGGTTCCATCGCGCTGCATGTCGAATTGGGAGGCATTAAAGTTGAGCATGATGTTGCCGCCCATCCTCTTGACATCCGATCCAAATGATTGAGTGACGACGCCAAAGTCGACGATGCCAGTGTGCGGAGAGTGAATAGCGCGTAGACCCACGACATGTGGCTCGATCTCCTTCATCTGCGCTGGGTCGACCATGCGTAGGTCGGGTACGCCGTTGGTGAGTCCGCGCTGATAAATGTCGTCAAGTCGACTCAGCTCGTCATCATTGACTGCGACGATCAATTTGCCACATCGCTCGTGCGCTATGTTGTTCTGTTGTAGATAGTCGTACATTAGACGTGAGCCCTGCACACAGAGTCGAGCGCGTGCTGAGCCAGGTTTGTAGTAGACACCACTATGTATTACACCAGAGTTATGCGAACTCTGCTGTTTACCGAGTGTAGACTCGCGTTCCATCAAGCACACCTTGAGTGCAGGATTGCCAATCAACAATTCTCTCGCAGTTGCAACGCCTACTATTCCTCCACCAATTATAGCAACATCAAAAGCACTAGTAGTAGTAGTAGTAGTGATCTGACGAATACCAAGTTGACGATGTTGTTGATAATGATGATGAACATTTGTCCAACAACATTTGTTGTTGGCTGAGGCAATAATTGACAACTGTCTTGTCGATGTCAGTGTCTTATTCGAACACAGTCTAGTGAACATCACTATCTCCAATTGATATCATGTACAGTTAGTACCTGTCTGTTAACTTAAGTGATAAGATTGCTAAGCGTGACAGACATGTCTGTCTGTCTTCTCTTTTGTTGGTTGACTTAGAAAAAAAACAGGTTGTTCTTTTGAAAGGATATTTATTATTATTATCTCAAATGACGACCTAAGACTTTATCTATCTGTTCTCTTTGGCAATATATCTAATAGGTCGAATAATTTGGACTCTTATATAATTAATATTTATTTTTATTATTCTTCTTTCGATGTCTTTGAGTTTGAATTCTTTGTTTTTGGGAAATAATATTCTTGATTGGATTGACCAGTGATGATATGTTGGCATCATACATTGCCCAATGATTATTGTCCAATATTGATAAATCTATCATACATCCATTATCAAGTATATATTTTAAAATTGATAGATCATAATTATCAATGATAAACTTTGTATGAAATTGTATCATTGTTGACTTGATTAGTGATTTTACCTGATCCTCATCATTTACAAGTTGTTTGAATAGTAGGTCTAGTGTGGAGACATGACCATTCGTAACAATTATCTCAACCAAGTTGTACATTTCATTGAGTGGCATCAAAGGGACTGGACATACAGTGAATAGGAATTCCAGGAGTCTATCATTTCCATCTTTGGCTGCCATTTGAATTCTTGTATGATCTTTGGGCATCAGGTTGTCATGATGTCTATATGCATGAATGATGAGTTCAAGTTGATCGTCCATTATTGCTTGATTGAGCATAATTGATAGCATCTTGATCAGTGATTGATTGTCCAGTTTACAATTCCTCATTGCGTAATCAAAGAATGAAATAGATCCATGCTTTCCAATGAATGTCCATGTTTCAGTTGATCGAAAATTGATCAGATTGTTGTCTTCCAATAGTTTGTTGATTTCTTCACATCCACATGTCAATGTAAGCATCTGTAAATCTGGCTCAATCTTGAATACTCTCGGTCTATTAAGGATAAACATGAGTACTATATCAAGATTACGATTGAATATTGCTGCGGATGCAACTAACTTGATATGATCATCTACTACCAAATATGGTTTGTTCTCAAAGACATATTGGAAGTGATGAAATTTGAATGGATTCAATATTCTCACCTGGAATATCTTATTCTCTGGTGAAAGTAAGAATTTGAGCATGTCCATTGTACCATTGAATGGAATATTTGGATCATAGTAGAATGGATTGATTACTACATTATTGTCATTGAGGAACTTGACTACTTGCAACGATTTGTCACAGTCGTCGGCCTTGAAGAAACTTTCCAACATCTTACACCAGTCATTAGAATTGAATGCGTAGAAGTAATGTTTTGCCACTTGCCAAGTTTCCAGATTGTTGTCGATGTACCTGAGGGCCACCACCGCCTGAGTGACATTACCATATCGAATAATATGGCTCAACATTGAGTTTGTAACATACCCTCCTTTAACGATCATAACTCTCAGACCGAGGAAGAATGGAATGAGCAAGCAGTCTCCAGTGCGAATGTACTCATAAGCGGTCTCATAACTTAATTGATGTCGACCATATCGATCATTAACGAAAGTGGTCATACTCAACTTGACATATATCATTCTCGATTCATGTCCAATGTCTGTGTCATCCCTTTCCAACTGATCGACTAATAATGATAGTGAGCTTTGAGTTGATCGCTCGATGATTGTTTGACACTCTGAACACATCAATAGATTAATTGAATCAGAATGATAAAGACGCTCCAAATGTCCAAGTAATGCACCTGATGATGGGTGTGTAAAAGATTCAATACATGATTGAAGGTCGACATATTTGATCGACTTGGAGAGGAGTGATTCAATGAGTTGATGGTCTCCAGTCTTCCATATTAAAGCAGTGTGGAGACCTGATCGAGCCTCTGACTTGATCCTGTCGACCAGTGATGAAGGGAATGTATCCATGACGTATCTGATCATTGGTACTGATCCAGTCTTGAAGAGATCCAGAGCCAAGTTCTCTGCATTCTGTCCAGCATCCATGTTCAAATCATTTGGATCGAGGTATCCAGATCGGATGAGATGGTCCAACATTATTGGTTCCTTTCCAAACGAGCTAATCAAAAATGATGGCTTCAGATCATACTCTTATGGATTGGATTGTTTGATGAGTGTATCAACAATAAATGTATTGTTTGTGGTTAAACAATCATGAAGTATCCAGTAATTACGAAAGTATCCTCGATACTTATTGTAGATCACCATGAATGTCTCATTGTCCATGTCCATTGAACAAACCTCTGCCAATGCATCTGGTGTCACCTTGATACATAGGTTACGTTTGATACGATCACGTAGTAAACCAAAATGACGATGTTTAACAATGTCAATCATATCGGTCCAATGATTATACGATCGTTTATAGTTTGTAGTTGTAGTATTTGTTGATTTGTTGTCTACTTTTGTAAAGGTATCCACACGTCTATTATCAGGATGTAGTCTTATTATTGTCTTGAACAATGTCCTATTTGTCAATACCATATAAATTGCATTTTGTTGATCATTATTATTTCCAGTGGACATTATTGATTGATTGATTGACAAATAATAATAGTAATAATAATAGTAATAATAAAGATAGGATAGGGATATGTTGGTTATGGATAAACACTGTTGGATACTTTTTTGCTCCTGGTTCGCTGTGATTATGAAGTGATCAAATGCCAGGAACGTCGTTTCGCTTTGATGGGAAATTTCCAAAAAAACAGGAACTTTGTTGTATTGTATTATGATAATGTACAATGGTTGGTACAACATTTAGGTAGGCTGATTGACCATATCTCTCTGTCCTAGGACTACTGATGGAACAATGTCTTTAGCGATGTCCATGTCTTGTGGTGGGCCACAATGCCCATATCACGAACACCATCACTATAATCACCAATGAAATAAACACTGGATTGCATAGGTCCTCTTTGCGTCTGTTGCTAAACTTGTTGTTATTGCCGTGTCCCCGATACTTGACAACACAATGATTGAGTAATTGATAGTAAGTAAACCTGACCTTGGTTCCTTCCTTACGAACAACAACATCAACAAACATACATGTTTATGGTGATGATGTGAAGTGGTGTTGTCTGTATGTCCTTCAAGTTGTTGCTGTCGTTTGTAATATCTCTTCTTGAGAGTTTTGATAAGCTTCCATAACTCTTGCTGTGACATTTGTTGAACACCCTTCAACTTATGATCTTCATCATTATCTTCATCATCATCGTTAGGTACTGAAGAGGAGCCAGCAGCAGCAGCAGGGTTGAACTGAAGATGATTAGCTAGTAGACATAATATAACATCAGAGTAGTATCTGACATCAGTTGTTATCGAACGAACTATTGTGATCTTATCCTGATCAGCCATACTGTCATTGTTCATCACAACATTCACCTGGGCCTGTATATCTGCATCTGGCTTCCAAAATGTCTTGGCCATCTTATATGTACTTATGTTATTTGTTTGAGTGTATTTGTTTGTGTGAACAATAAATGATGTGTAGTTTGGGTAATGAGTGAGACTTTATCATCAACATTCTTTTGAATGTGAGGTAAGGTAATATAAGTGTACATATATGATTGTCTAGGCTAACCATATTCCTGCCAATGCTACATCCAACAGTATTAAAACTGGAAAGATACGATGATAATTGGCAACTACTCGGCTCAATGTTGGATGGACCACTTTGTTCACATAAAGGTTGAGAGGATCATTGCTCCATAGATTGGTCAAGTAGGTATAGCAAGGTACTTGTTGACGACTGTTGCAAAAGGTATCCGATTGGGACTTGGTGACATTGACCTCGTAGAACTTGTTGACAGACTTGACTTGCTTCATACCAAAGACGTTGAGGTTCAAATCAAACTCTGGTGTATAGCATTCTCTTATAGATCCAAACATTGTAGAGAACATTCCATTACAAGTGACCTTTGTATGACAATTGATTACATTGCAATTACCGCCAATTGGCAATACAAATAATTCAATGCATCCTAATGTTATATGTAATGTAATAAAGAACAATACCAAATAATCAAGGAATCTTTGTTCCTTTGCATTATACTTTGCCATTCTTTTATATATTATACTTTACTATTCTAATATGACTGATTATTCTAATACTAGATTACTTATTATCTGTATTTACAGGTAATAAGAAGTATATCGAAATGATGATGTGAAGCATTAACACTTCTTTGTTTGTTTGGTCGAGATGGGATGAAGGGGTGTCGTTGATGTGTGACACCCTCTGACAAGTTGTGGGATGATGGGTGACATTGGCTCGCTTCATGATGTCCCTTATTACTATTACAATGTAATAATAATAATAACATGTTATTTGTTTATTGAGGTGGGACGTCAAACTCACGACTGCCTCGCCTTGATCTGCCTGTACGCTCCTCTCTAACAGTCAGTTGGTTGGAATTACGCTTGAGGAAATTGGGCAGTATAGATGATGATGAGGAGATTGAAGATGATGACTCTTTGATAGAGAGTTCGTCGTATGACTCCTCTGTCAACAGCGACTCGTCGTCCTCCTCCTCGATGACAGAGACATCGGGCAACTCGGCCTCCTCCGACTCGTTGATCTCGCCCCTAATGTACTTCTCCATCTTGAAGCTCAGTCGCTTGTAGCCATTCTCCAACTCGTTCTGGAAGGCGATCTGGTCCATCTTGATAAGAGTCTTGTTGAGCTGAAGTGCACGCTTGCATTGCTTCAGGAACTCTGTGCATCTGCTCTCGAGCTCACGTATCGATTGCTCTGGCCAGTTGGCCCTGTTTGATCTGGCCAAGAATCCTCTGCACACCTCCAACGCACCGGCATTGACCTGTAGCAGTACAGATCCCTGCAGCACACCCTGCAGTGTCTTAATGTTTGGTGGCTGCTTATTATTCTCCATGGCCAGCAATCTACTCCTCTCCTGTATAGTCTCGATACTGTTCTCAATTGGACTGATCTCAATCTCCTTGTAGCCAATGATTGGATATCTTTTGAGCATTGATGGTGCTGTTCCTTCGATCGTGATGATCGACTTCCTATGGAACTGTTCGGTGATGGATCCCTGAGTCTTGCCACTCAATGTGAATGGTGTTATAAATACAAACTTGTCTGTTTGATTGGTTAGCATTCCATGTCCATCCATCCCATCAATCAATCAATCAACTTACTTAGGTTAGTGTGTCGATCAAAGTATGTTGGACGAGCTTGTTCACGCTCAAAGTATGGCTTGACTGATGTGATCTGGAGGTACAACTTGTCTGGCTCCAAAGTGCTCCTATTCACTCTATTGCTGTCAGGGAACACAGTCACCATCTCTCCAAGTCGCTCCTTGTAGAATGTCTTGAGGGTCCAAGTTAGTATGTTGTCCAATCACTCATTCAATCAATCAATCCAATCGATTAACATACCTTTAGTCGATCGGCCAATGCGAATAGATGAGTTAGCTTGGGCTCCTTGTAGACAAACTCGACGCCATCGAGCTCTTCAAACTTCTTGCCGTAGAATCCAACGCGATAGTATCGACCGAGTAGTCTTGACTTGTTCTCCTCAGCCTTTACAATCTGATTGTACAGCTCATGCATCTCCTTGTATATTGACGCAAGCTCCTTGTAGTCCCTTGTTGCCTCGCACAAAGGTACCATCAACTTGTACAACAAGATTGAGAACTCAAAGCATTCAGCCTGGATAATATGATTGATTGAGTCAGTGAGTGATTGAGTTGGAATCATTCCAAATGTACAAATACTACTTACATTCCTAAAGTCATTCATGGCTGAGTAGATGGCACTCTGGAGACCCTTGATCGAGAACTTGGTCGAGGTGCACACACCTTCATCTTCCTCGACGACAATTTCGTTGAGGTCTGGATTGATCTGGAGGATGAGTGAGAGGTCCAACTTGCATGGAAGCAGGTTGTTCTGATGGAGATAGGCGTTTATCAGGAGGGCGATACGGATGCGACAGACTCCCGCCTCAAAGTAGTTCTCTTGCGAGATGTGGATATCGGCCAGCTCCTCCAGCCAGTCGACACGGATGATTGGCGTGTCAGAGTAGCCCGAAGCGATCTTGGAGTACAGCTCGTGCACGGTCTCGGGATCAGCACGCTTCTTGGTCTTGTTGATCTTGGCAGTGTCGCGAAGGATCTTGATGAGCTTGGTGCTCATGGACGTGATCTGTTGGTGGAAGCGTTCCTTGGCCTGTTTGATCTCGGCGCTGCTCATGGTGGCCAGTCGTGCAGTTGAGATGAGTGGCGCGTGGTTGGGCAGGCCCACCTCGTGACTGGCGTAGCACGCCAGGTTGGACAGTGACTGCTCCAGCAAGCTCTCCTCAGTGACGAATCGGCCGTCCGTGACCTGGTTAGAGAGGGCGATCGTGGCCTGGATCTTGATGCGACCAATGTTGCCAACCTCTTGGTTGTTGAGACGGAACAGCGAGTAGAAGAAGGCTGTGGCGTCGGTCATGACTGAGCGTGTCACCGAGCTGCAGTACAACAGAATGTACTTGCAGAGATGACCGGCGAATTGGTTGTTGCCATTGAACAGATGACCGCGGAACTTGAACACGAATGAATGTAGCGTGGCCAAAAGCGCAGAGATAACACGGTGCGATTGTTTGAGTTTGAGCAACGTGAGGATCAGACTGTAGACGGCGGGCATCGTCGAGCTGGTCGAGTCGGCGAGACTGGCGCGGAACAAGACAATGTAGTCCTCGACAAAGTCCAAGATCACCAGGTTGGCCTCGGCGCACAGTGTGTGGTCGTTTGGCGAGCTTGAGCGTGTGCGACTAACACTTGGCGATCGGCTCACCTGACGAGACAGGTCACCGAGCGACTGGAAGTATCCGCTGACGTTGGGGCTAGTGTTGCTGCTGGGCAGCTGCTGCATTGGAGGGGGCACACCGCCACTCGTGTTGAGCGGGGTCGATGAGCCGGATGTCGACTCGCGATCACGCTGTTCACGTTGTTGATTGCTAGCCGCCACCAACAAGGCCTGCAGAGCGCTCTGGTTCAATGAGGTTGCGCTTGTACCCAGTGGCAAGGACTGTGACATGGGGTCGTTGGAGTGCGGGGTCATGCCGCCACTTGTGCCCAAGTTCATTGTGCTGGCCGCCAGTGAGCCTCCCTTGTCCTTTGACGACGATGAGCTGCCCTTCTTGAGCAACTTGGTGATGGAGCTTAGTGGCAAACCACCACTGCTGCGTTCGCTTGAGGATGACGAAGAGGACGATTGTTCTTGCTGTGCCTGGATGCTGGGCGAGTTGATTGGTGTCGTGTTCGCTGAGCCCTGATGCTGCATCGCCATCTGTTGTTGTATGATCACTGTGGCCTTTTGTGTGGCGGCCGAGTACTCAAAGGCGCGTGCACAATACTTGAGCAACTCGAACAGGATGTTGATGCGCTGGGGCATCTCCTTGGAGATCCACTGCTTCAACTGGACGCGTGACAAGTTCTTGATGATGAACAACACGCTGGCAATGAGCATGCGTCGCTCATCGTGCCCGGCCACGTTGTACCAGACCTTGAAGCGCTCGTACTCGTCGATCAGTCGCATGATCAGCAGCAGATATGTCGAGGCCAGACGCTCACGCTTCTTCTGGTTGAGGTAGCGCACATCATACTCGTGCTTGATGAGGATGGTGCCGAGTGTGGTGAGCGCGACCATGCGCACCTCGGTCGTGTTGCTGTAGAGCGCGTCCATCACCTCTCCAATCAGCAGGCCAGACAGCGGATGCAGCGAGCTGAACTTGTTTGTAATGTTCTGGATGTTGGATATTGAGTGCGGGATGGGCAGGTTGACGTTGACGTAGTGCTCATAGTCCGTGAGCACCTTGAGGAAGTCAAACTTGTAGAACAGGAGCGTGGTGCGGCGGCCGTCTTTGGCCTGTGCCGTGTGGGCGTTGATCTCATTGATGTACATGAAGGCCATGTCGACGGTGGTGCCACGGTCATACACTGTGAACAAGTCGCGCACGAACAGGCTCAGACTGTTGTTGGCCTCGGACTCGAGACGCGATGGTGGGGCATCAGAGTGCATCGATGCGTTGATGTTGTGCAGGACGAATGTGACCAGCTTGGGCAGGTACTTGTTAAAGTCGGCGTCGTACTTGCCCTCGCGATTGCCTGGAAGCACGTCGGGCGTGTCGTCCAAGAGTGAGAGCGCCAGCGATTTGATGATGAGGTCGTAGATGAACCACGAGAATGAGAAGAGCATGCCATTGCTGACCTTGTCGACCTGCTTGCCGTTCTTGCGGAACATTAGGTAGAACAGCAGACGCGAGCATAGTGCGCTGTACACGGGCACCTTGGTGCCCTTGGGGTTGACATAGACGTGGCTCACGTACGAGACGAGCAGGGGCACACGGCAGTTGGACTCGCCGAGGTGTGCCTGAACCTTGGCCAATAACATGAAGATGGCCTTGATGCCGTTGATACCGACGGTCGTGTCGCGGTTGCATATCACAAGGATCATCTGCTGGAAGATGACTGGCAGGAAGCGGATGGCCTCGGCCGCGTCCACATCTGAGAAGTCGTTCAGCATCTGATTGATCTCGTTGTCTGTCACGCTCTGATCGCCAGACAGCAGCAAGAACTTGTTAAGGTGAGTGTTCTGTGGGAACACGCTGCTGTTGAGCACCATGTTGAGCTTGAACAGCGGGCGGCCGCTCTCGAGCATCGTGGGGTGGTCGTCAAAGTCGCGCAGGTAGCGATCGGTGGGCTCGCTCAGCGCCAGCGGCAGGTTTTGCAGGCCGTCCTGGATGATGCGGCGGTCCTTGTAGATGGGCAACACGGAGAAACCGATCAAGTTCTCTGTATCCTCGTCCTTCTTCTTGTTGCACACGACGTGGTACAGCTTGAACAGCAGGTGGTGCTTGGTAGACAGAGCGAATGGCAGGCGCACCTTGATCTCGTCGACGTAGGTCGGTGTCTTGTCGTGGTAGTGCGTCTGGGTGAGGAAGCGGTTGGTGAGGTTGAGACTGCCGCCAGTCTTTCCGTAAAATACGGCGAGGGAGCGTGACGTCAGCATGTCAGACTCGCGCAGCTCCACCTTGACAAACACGTTGCGTCCATGTGCCTTGGTAAGATTGATTATATCGGGGTATATGTACAGATTGTTGACGTAGCTGCTGTATGGCAACTGGTCTTTCTTGGCGGCGAATGTGTGGAGCTCGCGGATCACGGGGATCACGGCGGCCTCGCCCGATGCCGCGAGACGAGAGATGTCGCCAGACGATGTGGACGACGAGATCTGATTGGAGGAGGAGGAGGCTGTGAGCGATGTGGTGATGAGTGGCTGGCTGGGTGCGAGGTGTGCGTTCAGAGGGTCCTTGCTGATGACCTCGTTGAGCGATGGGTCCAGCAGCAGGGTGTGTCTGGGCAGCTCGTCTGCGGGCTTGTGAATCTTGATTGTGAGTGTGCCTTGGAGAGTTCGCAGCTTCTTGCGCTTTGACGGGTCCTTGAGCTCAGAGATCAGGTCGTCCAGGTCTGAGTTTGTCTTGGGCACCTGCTTGAGCAGATAGTCGCACTCAAACACGCCATGCTTGACGTCGCCAGCCTCGCCAGTCAGGGGGATGGCGGCAGCACTGAACATCTGGCGGTGTGCGCCAAGGCGTTCGCAGAACTTCTTGACCACATCATCTGTCTGCTTGAGTTTGCTCTTCTTGACCTCCTTGAGGTTCTCCTCCAGTCGCAGGTAGGGCTGACGAGCTTCATCTGGGTCACCCTGCAGTACCTTGTCGACACGCACCACAATCCAAATATCATTCTGCTGGCGTGCTGGCAGTGAGACAACCACGTGCTTGGCGCCCAGTCCCGTTGCAGGGTCGTTGATATCGGTGTATTTGGACAGCAGTTGTCTGTGCTTGTCATTATTAAAGTCAAAGTAGAAGTTTTCTGTGAGGCGGCACTTTGTGGCCGCATCATACAAGTGCAGTGAGCAAAAGAATGGCTCCAACTCTCCAACAACGAATGCCAATGATTGCAACTCAATCAGAACATTAAGTACTCTGTCATCCACGGATTGATTGATTGATTGATTGGTAAGTGATGGTAAGTATGAGTGAGTGATGGATGCCCAAGGCCCAAGTCTCAACATACCTTGGTTTAGTCCACATGTCTTGTGATCCACGATTGCATATGGACAACTCCATGCCTGATCCCCAGTTGTAGTCTGGACGGAAATAGCGGAGGAAGCCAAGTCTGCCTTTGCTGCGGTTCTCTTTGTTGTGTGCGTCTGTGGCGGCTTCGTCATCGGGACAGCGGAGAAGCTCATTCTCCGTGTCAACAGACTCGTCGCGGTCGGATGTTGATGTAGTGGCAGCGCTCATTATTGAACGGCGACGATCCACATCAATGTCGCAGTCGTACTTGTCGTTCTCAAACTGAACCAGACGCTCGGGATCCTTCTTGAAACGCTGGTAACGACGCTGGATGGTGCGACGTGGGTCCCTGTATGTCTTGATTGCCTGCTGGATGTAGGGCGGCACCCTCAGGTCGGTCTCCCGCAGTGTGTCTCCCTCGGCGCCATAGTGGAGCGTGGCCTCACGCGTCCTGTGCTGCTGGGGCACGACAAGCGATTGCACGTCGTCCTCTGGATAGGAGATCATCTCCTTTAGTAGCGGGTCATCCTTTACTGTAGCCGAGTCCATCTTGCTCTCGATGTACTGGCGGTAGCGGTGGCTGTCACTACCAGTCTGTTGTTGTTGGGCACTCAATATACCCATGGCAGAGTTTGCCAGATTGTTGACCTCATTGTCCATCTGCATTTGCATTGTAAGTGATGTATCTGGCGTGAACGATTGTAAATCAATCTTGGAATCAGCCATCAGTTTGTGTGATTGAGTGATTGATTGAGTATGTGATTGAGTATGTGATTGAGTATGGAAGTTGTTATTAGTATCTCTTTTGAATGAATAATTGTATGAATGTATGAATGATGAATGATGATGTGAGTTGACCTTGAAATGGTGCCAATAAAACTGGGACTAGCCCTCGAGGCATCGATTCGTTGTTGTCCCCACACACAAACTTGATCAAAACGGTTTCCCAACAAAACTCACATACCCCATCTGATTTTTGATCAGTTTTTTCAACTAAACTAAACGTGTAATAGGTCTTTCACCCCTGCTCCCACACTCCGATAGTTGATCGTCCCTCAGATCTCAAAGTGTGTGTTAGCTACCCCGACAACAAACACATACCACCGTGGAGAGTTGGTTTGTGGACATAGGCCGGATAGAGAGGGGGTGCAAGTGGCCTTTGTAACTGTCTTGTTGTGGAGTCAGAGGAGATCTCTTTCGGTGGGGCGGACAGCCAGCCAACAACGGAAGTCGGGGTGCAGGGTTGGGACGACCCAACTCTGTAAGCAAGTACTACTGTATTTTACAACTTCCCGACATACTCTGCAACTCTAGATATAGTTGGTGTTGCAGTATGTTATCCGAGTAATGTATGCCTGCCACTGAACACGTGATGAGTCAGTGATTGGGCCAGCCTGGAAGAATGACCGTAGCATCATGTCCCGGTTAAGAACACTGCAAAGATTCCAAAGTAAAGTGGCTTTAGATATTGTTGGAACGACTTGGAATAATGATCATTCATTCATTAAATCATTCAATCAATCATTCCTCCTCCTCTGTTTTTGATGTGTGACTACCACTTGTCTATCCTCATGGTATCTTTCTCTTGAAGATGCTGATACATCTTGAAACACTTGTCTAGTTGATGTGGCTCATGGGCCATTCCTTTCTTGACACAGATTTGTTGCGAGGTCTTGAAGTAGTCCATTAAGATGGGTTTGTAGACGGGGTGAGCACAACGTTCTATGATCTTGATGGCGCGTTCAGTTGGACTGAGACCTCTGACATCGGCCAGGCCCTGCTCTGTGACAAAGATGTCAATATCATGCTCGGTGTGATCAATGTGTGAACAGAATGGAACGACACTGGTGATACCCAGTGGGTCAGACTTTGTTGGACGTGCTGATGGGGCGTGCATGATTGATATGCGAGCGTTTCGGTTAAAGTCGCCACTGCCACCGATACCATTCAACATCTTGGAGCCGAGCACACAGGTGGAGTTGGCGTGGCCATAGATGTCAAACTCCACTGGTGTGTTCATTGATATCACTCCTAGACGTCTGATCAACTCGGCACTGTTTGAGATTGATTGATTGCGCAGGATAAACTTTGAAGAGTACAACTTCCAGTGATCATACAATCGTTGGAAACCATCTTGAGAGAATCTCAACGATGTTGTCGAGGCATAGTTGAGTTTGCCATTCTCGAAAAAGTCCAGGAAGGTATCTTGGATCACCTCAGTCCATACGTTGACATGATCGAATGGGCCCTTGCTAATACCTCCAATCACAGCGTTGGCAATGTTTCCAATGCCCGACTGGATTGGGAATAGGTTGCTTGGCATGAGTCCACGATCAATCTCACTCTTTAGGAACTGGATGATATGTTGTGCGATGGCCTTGGACATCTCGTCCTCACCTGATGACTCTGGCGTGCTGTCTGGGAGCTGGGACTCGACAATGGCCACAACCTTTTCAGAGTCACACGGTATGGCGATGGTACCAATACGATCATCGACTCTTGTCACCTGGAATGGCTTGGTGCTGGGTGGACCGGCGATCCTCGTAATGTCATGCGCTCCCTTGTATGATGGCATACCTGTGTTGAGTTCGATGATTATCTTGTCTGCCATACTGACCAACTCTGGAGCCATGCCAACACTTGATCCCAACACAATACCTCCATCCTCCAGGATCTCTGTTGCCTCCACTATTACAACATCCATCTTTAGTCGACCGTTTGTGTAGTAACCCTTGTCAATGTCGTCGGCAAACATTCCAAGATGGGCATCGGCAAACTGCATACGTCCAGAGTTGATGGCCTTGCGTAACCTGCTACCGACTTGATGTGGATAGCGTCTTTCGATCATATCGAGTGATGCCCAACGATCCTCTGTCTCTTCACCAGTTGATGCACCAACATATAGATTGAATCGTAACTTTCCTTGCAACTTATTCTTCTCTACATGATCGGCCAATGCAATCGGTACCTTTTTAGGATAGTTTGTTCCTCCAAATCCTGACCATCCAATACTCTGTCCATTCTTAAACATTGGAATGATATCCTCTACATTTGGTACAATCTTTTTTAAAAGGCTTGTCCTTGCAATCCTACTCTTTAATAATGCTGACATGAATTGATTAAGTATTATTACAAGTATATTTACTATATTATAACTTATATTTAAATGGTGTTACAAATGATAAGTTCCATTTTAAACCCCTTCTACTACTTAACATCGACTTCAACTTCATCGGGAGTGTAGTGTGGTTACAATCAAACAAGCTCCAACAACGATCGTCCATGGACCAATCCCATTAAGCCTAGACATCAACTATTTAGGATAAAAATGATGGTCATCAGTGAAGACAAGACATGGAGTAAATGGTAGTATTATATTTTTGTTGTGTTGATTTGATATCATTGTTGATCAATGTAAGAGATATTGTATTATTTACTTACAGATAATAATAATTAACAATGTTATACATGGGTGAAATGGATAATGAGGTCAACCAACTAAATGAAAGAATATGAATGAAGATCCAAAGTCAACAATGTTTGACTTTTGCCTGAATTGGGAAATACAGGTGCAGTGAGTGTGTTTGATGAGCCTTGAAGATCATTCATTCATCCACAAGTTTAGTCAAAATACTTGTTATTTGTTTGAATCTGTAACTGTATCTGTATCTGTACAGATATTAAAAAGGAAATAGATAGATAGATTATGTATAATAACAACAATAACAATAGACAGTTCTTGGTATCAGTAACATTGTTGTTGGTAGTGTCAATGACAATGTTGTCATGGTCGACAGCATCGGCAGAGGCACCAAGTAGATTCACACCAAAGTATAGAGAGCTGAAACAATTGGCATTGGACAATGGAGGCTATCTCGAGTTGGACGGCACCCAAACAAAGAAGCTGATATCCACTGGCAACAGACAGTTCAACATGATCATGTTCCTCACTGCATCAGACCCACAATATGGTTGTTCAATTTGCTCGTATGTCACTTTAACGACAACAACACGCAGATGATGATGATGACTAACATTCAACTCAACTCAACTCAACTATGTTGTAGTCTAATCAAACAAGAGATTACAACATTCTCTACATTGTCATATTTGGAGTACTTAAAGTCGGACAAGTTTGATGACAACCCTCTGTTCATTGTTGTCTTTGAGTTTGAAAAGTCACAGGAGCTCTTTAAGAAGTTGGCTATTCAGACCATTCCACATCTGGTGTTTGTACCACAGGGCAACTCTGAGTTGACCTTGAAGAATACCTTTGGCAGAATGGATACATTCTCCAAGAAGAACCTTGCACTCTGGATTGAGCGTGAGACACAGGTCAAGGTATGTATAGTTGACATGTTTGATCATTCAATCATATCAGAGTACTGACACACATACACATGGATACAAAACAGATCGATATTGTATTACCATTCTTTGAGAAGTATGGTAGTTACTTTGGTTTCATTGCCATATTCCTGTTTGCTCTACGTATCCTTATTGCCATCTATCAGAACAGAGCCAATCCAATGATGTGGATGTTTATGTCTTTCGTAAGTCAACATGTTGACTCTATCCTCATCCAGTCCATCACATCTAACAATCAAACACAATCATATTATCCTTTATATAGATGGTCGTTGGAGCGGTACTATCTGGTGTCTTTTACGTGTTCATTCATCATCCACCATTGGTTGATGTTAGACGTGATGGATCAGTCAGCATATTCTCCTCTCAGACTCGTGGACAGACAGTGGCCGAAGGTGCAATGATGGGCGGACTATGTATGTTGTTAAGTTGATGTGATGTTCAACAACAACAACAACATTATACTGACACACTCAATCATTTACTTAGCTCTGATCATATCATTTATGTTTGTATTCTTGGCAGACATTCTACCAAAGAAGCGTGATTGGTCAAAGTCACAATGGAACGCATTCTTTATGGTTGGATTCATTGGATTCGTCACTGCATTGATGGTACTCAGCAAGTGCTATCAGATGAAGTACTACAGACCAATGTGGAACATTCCAGATGAGTTTAGAACTCTACTAGGTGGTAGATAAACAAAGACATAAATCGATAGAACTGGTCAACATTTGTCAACTAGCTGCTGTTGTTTTTTTTTTTGTCATTACTTTTGTTTTTTTTTTTGAATTCAAAAATATCATCGTCGTCGAATGATCACTACCATTCGTTCATTTGTCATTCATTCATTCATTGCCTTTACATAGAACAAACAAATAATACCTACAAATATTTAAATATCGATATAGACCTACTGCTCGCAGTAGATCAACTCAACATCAGAAGCTACCAAATGTTCTATTGAGAGCCAACTATTCAGGTAGGTAAAACACTCAAAGTCAAACGGTCTCGGACAACGGTTGTAAAGGTGTACAGTGAACAGAAGGCGATATCTAGAGATGTAGACTAAAAAAAAAAAAAAGTTGAATGAGTTTTGATAAAAAAGGTTACGCCTTATGGGGGGCTCGAACCCCCGACCACGAGGTTAAAAGCCTCGCGCTCTACCGACTGAGCTAACAAGGCTCTTGTTTTGAGAAAAGACGTTTGTCCTCTTTTAAGAAAAAACAATCGCGGCCGAAATTTTTTAGGTTGAGCCAACAAGGCTCTTGTTTTGGAAATAAATGTTTGTCCCACATAAAGGAATTCCAACTCCTACGAATTAACAACCTCTCAACTTATTTTGGTCGACGGGATAGAGACAGGGAAACTAACCGGCAGTTCATTTATTAAGATATATACAGGGCACAGAATAATAATACAATAAGAAGTGATAATAAATAGTTCCATGTCGTTGAATGGCCACTACTGTACTCCACTTCAGATGTAGTAGAATGAGAGGTGGATGTTGTTGGATTTGGAACAGTTGAGTTATTCTTTCCAGTTGTTGATGGTTTGATTGTGGTTGAAGAAGTGGTTGTTGTTGTAGTCGAGGTCGATGTTGACTGTGTCGGTGTAGGTGAGGAACCTGAGGATGGTTTGTAAGAGGATTGAGATGATGAGTATGTTACATAGTTTGTATAAGTTGATGATGAAGGTGGAGAGGATGAAGAGGATGGTTTGTTGGTAGTGGTCGATGATGTTGAAGTGGAAGTAGTTGATATTGTAGTAGTAGGTTCATATCCATCACCTCCATATGTCGTTGAAGATATTTGATTTGGATCCTCATATTGACCTGATATGATCACTGATTGAGCTGTTGTATATTTTCCAGAGGTAATACTAGCAGCACCTCCACCACCAGCATCATTGGCATCTGATGATAATGTTCCTATTGACGATGGAGCACAACATATTTCTTTTATCAATACTTTTTTGTTGGTTAGTAAGTTGAAAATATATAAAATAAATTAGAATTATATTTCTTACAAGTAATAAATATTGATATTATAATTGATTTCTTGAAGTTATACATATTTAATTACAAATAGTAATGATACAAATAATTTAGATTTAATAAATATATCTGATTGACTCCTAAGTTATGATTAAGTAACCTAAAGAGATTGATTTATTATTTTTATCAAACCGACAAATAATGATTGATGATTGAAAATATTACAATGATCAACTATTGGATGGTATCGATCCAACCGATTGATATTTTGAAAAATCGAGATTGATTGGTCAAACTGAAGTGTTTTTGGAAATATTGACTTGGTGGTTGAGGTCATTTTGGTTGATCTCATTGCACTCACACATTATAATAATTTTTTTTTAATATTATTTCTATAGTACGATGGATTGTTGATTTATTATTTGATCTATTTTTTGATAGATTGATTGATTAATTGAGATGTTGGTCCTTGGAATAAGCTTATTCCTCCCTATGCTGGCATTGGTTCATCTTGTAGTTGGCATAAGCATAGAAACCATACATGCTTTTGAATCCCAGATGTTCCAACAAAAGAATGATATTCGTCTCTAATGGAACCTCGTCAATGTCCAAACCACCATCAAACAACGACTTAAAGACATCAAAGAGTATTTGGTTAGAGAATGAATCCATAAACTTATCAATACCTCCACGTTTGGGCCATATATTATGTTGCTTTTTCTTCTGGCCTTTAGGTACTTTCTTCAAGAGCTCTCTAACCTTGAGGGCCTCCCATAAAGCAATAAAAATTGGGTTATTGGTCTTATGGTCATCCTTAATGAATATCTCCAACATCCAGAGCTCAAGCCTAGGACCGTAGAATCTATTCATCTTCCATAAGGATGCACCTTTGTCTTGTCTGTCGTTTGAGTTGGGAGCAATCTTCTTATTCTCCTCCTTCCTCTTAATCTCCGCCTCCTGTAATAATAACGTTTAAGTTTAATTATTATTTTATGTTTCATTTTGAACACTTACTCTTAGGGTGTCAAGATAATTATTCCTTTTGGTATCCGAGAGAGCCAAAAACTTGGCAGTAGCATTTATGGAGAATATGAATTCATTAATCTCCATAGTTGATTCAACAGATCTGTCCCTCTACAGTAGATAATGTTTGAGTTTGAATGTATTAGCGTTGATGTTTAGTTATTCATTTTGAAGTCTAGAATGTACCTACAATCTGTTTAAACTTGGAAACGTTATCCTTGAGAATCAAGGAGGCATCACTCATATTCATCCAAAGGAAATCCCAACAAAACACCTTCTTAACCTTGGTGACCATGTGTACAGGGGTCATTGAAGTTGAAGCTGTTGATACCTGAGGGTAAAGAGTCAATGTGCCGACGGTGGTGATCTCTGGACATATATCCGTTGGGGAGGAAGAGGTGGCAGTTGAGACCTGCGGATATATGTGCATTGCGGTAGAGGCGTTCTGGCAAATGGTCATTGGGGTGGCGGTACTTGCAGTGGCAGTGGTGGCGGCGGATGCAATCCATTGTTGGTGAGCATTGAAAGATACTTGATCATTTGTTGGATACGTGTTTGATTGGTAGGGATATATTGGTTCCAACGTAATTCTAAGTTGGCAGTTGTACTGTTTGAGTATGGTGATGCTCTGAAGTGATTGGGTTGGAGGGTACATTTGTGGTGGATTTGCTGGATGGGCACTCCATTGATGTTGTTGTTGTTGTAGGTAGTGTTGAATATTAGGGGAATATTGATTTATGATGTTCCCCAACTCCATCGAACATGGAGGTAGTGAGATGTTGTTGTTGTTGACATTTGAAATCGGGATGTTCACGTTGGTCAAAGGCAAGGCCTGGGGAAAGTAGGTGGGCTGCAATATATAATTGTAGTCATTGTTGTTCACAGAGTGGGGACTGGTGAAGTTGAGTTGTCCAATTTTCATTGGTTCTGGATCGGTGGAGGTCAGTGCTGCTTTAGCCTGATTATATTCATCGTTTGGAGGTTGAACAATGTCATTGACGACTCCAACGTGTACACAATCGACATTTGCAACACTACCATTGGACTCATCCCTCACATTGAAGTAGTGATTGACATTGTCGTTGGTGGAGTAGAGATCACTGGAAATGAGTGGTCCAGTGACACTCTCCAGGTCAGAGAGGAATTCCTCCATTTTGGGTGTACAACAATAATATATATATATATATATTTATATAGTGATTGAGTGTATTTAGGAGTATTAAAAGTTAGTGTTTGGGTTGTGTTCTCCATCCTAATTAACATTGGCACTCCACCACAACTTGATTGAGATATCATATCATCCAGCTGCAGCCATGTTGATCCTTTCGTGAATGGTTGTCTGTCCGGCTAGGTTGAGAGAGGACCGATATACACAATCTCTATTTGATCTGAATAGAATACCGATTGATGGGCGGGTCCAATACCCCCCGCTCAATCAATCAATTAATCAATGATGCGTGTCCAGTCCTGCTGTGCACCCCATTAGAAAGCAAATTCACCACCAAGTAGGCATACTCACGCAAGGTGGACCTCGAGGGGAGGGCTGAAGGTGCATCATGCAAATGACCCGAAACCAGCGACGACACCTTTTTGAGACAGAAATCTGATTGGAAGTTGGTTTGGTCAGGTGATGTTGATGTTGATGGTGTTGTTGGTGTTGTTGTTGGTGAGGCGATGATTGATTATGTTGAGCTTGAAGAGACGGACGAGAGGGTGTGGTGGCTGGCAATGCAACAAACATCCTCGTCATCAACCATCCATCCCTTTGGATATGTCTAATGGGGAGGGAGCTACTCCAATGAGGGTGTGGGATGTCGTCATTGATACATGTTTGTTTATGATCTCTGAACAACTTAACTGACTGAGTTGATGAATAAATAATATAAAGAAATATAATTGAATATCTTTATCTCTCTATCTCTATTTCTGTCCTCACCAGTGCAGTACCTTGACATAACTAATGAATGAGTGAATGAATGAATGAACAACAACTACAAACAAAACTGTTCAATGATTCCAAGCGATGACTCACCATCACGCCCCACCTTGTTTTCAAAAACGACAGAGACAATGTCATCTTCATGTTGTTGTAACTACAAGTGAATAGACAGAGAAGTGAACGACGGGAATAATATTAGTTGTGTGTATCTCAGGTCTATTGAGAAAAGGGTTTATCTGGAGAAGCCAGACCCTATTACTCATTCATTCTTTCATACATTATCCACCGAGACTGTATCGATTGACGACATTGGTCAACATCCATCCACGACCAGTTGCAAACTAGATATGACCATCGGTATTTGCTTTGTGATAGTATTTATTTGATGGATTGATTGAATGATTGATTGATTGAGTGTTAATGATGATTGAATGATTGCGTGATTGAGTGATGGATTATTATTATTTAAACCTCATCTTCTTGTTCATTGGTCTCATGGCCCTAAAATCCATAATTGTATCATGGATACGTCCATAGAACAACCTCATTCTTTCCTCTTTGTCTGTCGTATGGTACTCATAATGGGATAGGATTCTCCTCAACATACCATCTCTTCTGGACTCTAGTCTAGAACAATTGAAGTGAATACCATTGTTGAATAGACCAAGATACTTTCTGTATAGTTCCTCTGGAACTGATTCCTCGAGAGGCTTCAACCCACCACATCGGAGAGTTGGCCAACGGATAAACCGAGTACCATCCAAGACACTCTGAGCCTTGAGTACCTCCCAGAATACCTCAAGTATTGGATCGTTTTGGTTCCTTCGATAGGTCGCAAGGATCCAACACTCATGAATTAGTTGGTGGAATCGACTAATGGTCGATTCACCGAGCTTCTTGTCCAATCTAGCATTTGAGTGAGAAGGAAACTCAAACTTCTTTTGAAGAAACTATAATTAGTTGTTCATCGATGTTGATGGATTGAGTAAGTAAACATGAATGAATGAATGAATGAATAGAACGACAGTCTACATACCTCCTTAACTTCTTTCTTGGTGAAACCATAAATTACCCGGAGTATAATAGTTTTGAACTTCTCGGACAGTTCCTTCATTGGCAGGTTATAGTGGCGGAAATGGAAGAGAAGAGTGACTCCATGATTGGTGACGATATATTCATCAGTATTGGGACCTGATGGCAATGTTGTCAACATAGTTGAAGGAGGGAATAGCACCTCATGACCATTGGACACGGGGATGGAATGATGTAGTTGGGGAACCGCGGCGGGGCCATCTTCATCAACCGGATGTGACGACGATGGTGGAAGATCATTATCAAAATCAATTGTTACAACTGTTTGATATTGTAGTTGTTGTTGTTGTTGTTGTTTGTTGGGAAAGAGGATGTTGGTGATGGTTGTCGTCTCTTGATCCCGAACAAATGACGAGCTGGTGGTGATCGTGGTCGAGGTCATGGTGGTAGTTGTTGGCTCATGGACACCATCATTGGGGGAGGAGTTTGGGGGGCTCTCATCTCTGACACTCAAATGTGATGAAGATTCCACAGATAATACTGGCATCATAGATGGATGATCGTTGGCAGGTAGGGACGATGAACAATAATTATTATTATTGTTGTTGTTGTTGTTGTAGGTAGGGTTGAATATATATGTGTCATATATAGCCAATGGAGACACATATGGAAGGTCTATTGATGGTAATTCATTGGAGGAATCATCACGGACGCCGAACAATATTGAACCTTCATCCCCAGATATTGTGTTGTCCACCATGAACAGAGAAGCCTCTCCAATCGAGCTCATGGGTAGTTGGAAGATGGTATATTGTTATTGTGTATGTATAATGGATAGAAGGATAACAAATAATTGGATAATTGAATAAATGAATGAATGATTGGGTTTGATGTTGAGTTGCCACCTGGTTTGGTCCCTTACATCCGTGGAGCCCTGCCATACATGTACCATACATCCATACATACACACATCGATGGGTCGACGGATGTCAAGGCATCACGTGATTGTGATATCAGCTTGTGATCATTCGTGAATGGGTGGTAGTGGTGGTGGCCACCCTTAGGTACATATCAATCTCTTGATTGATCAGAAGATATGCCGAAAAGGTGTGGGACAAGTAATTTGCGGACCAATCCGCTTGGCAGGCCGTCTTTTCGCACACACTCTCAATCAATTCGTGTCCGGCGATGAAGCATTGTGGGGGGCCTTTATGCCTGCAAACAGGACAGGACCCATGGCAAGGTCAACTCATCCATGTAGAGGGGGGTCAATATGGTCGATCCAAAAGGACTTCCAGGTCAGCTGATGATGTTGTTGTTCATCCTCTGACGTGTGTGTGAGTTGATCGGGGGGAAATTTGATTGGAACTTTGAATTGATGATGGTTCTGAATGTGTAAGTGCGAGGGCCTAAGTGTAAGATAGTAATATCTTGACTAGTCAAGTGTGTAAGATGAACAAAATGAGGGAGAGGTGTCGTCATTGATAGTTGTTTATATATTTAATGTGAATTAATATTAGATACAAGTGATGTGATGAATGATTCATAGAGAGAGTGATTGTATTGAATGAATGAATGGCTTGGTATCATCACGTCTTTATCTTTGTCTTTTATCTCTCTCTCTATCACCAACTTATATTCATTCAATTATAAATGAATGAGTGCATAAGAGAGAGAGAGAGATTGAATGAAATGATGTATGAACAAAGGATACAAACAACATTATTACTTGATATGATCAACGAATGTGATTCCATCAATCAACCAACCATTCTTTGATTTATTTATTTTTTAATTTAATTAACACACTCTCATCTAGTTTGATTGAGTTGTGATGTGAGGTGTGTGCGTGTGTGTGTGAGTGAAGGGAACAAAGTACATGTGTGTTGTTCAAGAACAAGATATATAATATATAATAATTAATATCTACAGATACACCTTGATATCAATGTTCATCAATTACTAAGATATTACCATCAATCATTCAGTCAGTTAATCAAGTCTCAAGAATCATTCAATCAAACAATCAATCAAATCAACCAATCAAACATTGCATCTGTGATCAAGATTGATAGACGTTGGTCGCTTTGTGTGTCGCGAGTTTGCAAAGGAGGTCAACAATATCATCATCATCATCGACAACAGAAGCAGCAACATTGTTATCTCAACAACATCAACAACAGCAACAGCAACAGAAGATACTACACAACAACAACATTAGATCAAAGACTACAACACATTAATAGAATGAATAATCTTAGAAGTTCTACAAGCTCAATAGATGAGACGTTTCATTTGTCATCATCGTCGACATCGACATCGACATTGTCACTGTCGTCTTCGTCCACCTCGCTGCCCAACTCTCCAAAGCTCAATCATTCAGTGGGCGGCACTTCAGCATCATATCTCAACAGTTCAAACAGCAGCACTAGCTCCATCTCCAACAACAGCACCAGTATGCAACAACAACTTCTAATGAACAATAGTGCAAAATCGACATCGCGCTCCAACTCTAGTCTGAGTCTGTCGTCGTCACAGCCAGTGTTTACGCGCATGGCGTCACTGAGTGCGCTGCCCTCGGTCAAGTCATCGACGAGCGAGACGCTCACGGCCTACCACGAAGAGTTCTCCAAGCCAGTCTACGATCTCTTCCAGCACATCAAGTCGGAAAACAGACTCAAGGAGGAGTTCCTGGCACTCGAGTATGCCTACCAACAGTCAAGTCACTCAACAGTCGAAGGCAATCTGAAATACAATACATCAAAGAATCGCTACACCAACATTGTACCCTGTAAGTGATTGATCGATCATGGACCAACCCATCTGGATGGCGACACATCACTAACTGACGACACTCATTCATCATCACAGGGGACACGACACGAGTCAAGCTTGAGAAGATCGATGGCTTGGAGGGATCAGACTATATAAACGCTAACTTTATCGCTGTATGTTTGGATTGGACCTCGCGACTAGCCCTCAACCAATCAATCACTCATACTCACTCATACTCAATCAATCCAATTCAATCCAATCAGGGAGGAGAACATTATAAGCAATACATATGCACTCAAGGACCATTGCAGAACACTTTTGTTGACTTTTGGAGAATGGTCTGGGAGAATGGATCAACAATCGTTGTTATGTTGTCAAAGGAGTTGGAGAATAGCCGACCAAAGTGTGATCGGTATTGGTCAGAGAGCGACCGCATCGAGTACGACCAGTTCGCCGTCAAGATGACCAGCATTGTGCGCGACCTGCCCCGCGAGATCATTATCCGCACCTTTACACTCACCAACTCGCAGCTCAACCAATCGAGGATCATTACACACTACCAATACGAGGGGTGGCCCGATCACAACGCGCCCAACGACACAGAGCCGCTGCGATATCTGATGCACCAGATCAACACGAAACAGAAGCAATCGATTGAGCGCGATGGCCAGCGGGCGCCTATCGTCGTCCACTGCAGCGCGGGCGTTGGTCGCACCGGCACCTTCTGCACCGTGCACATCGTCATGAGCAGGATAGACAATGCCGCAGAGAATGATCGCATCAACTTTAACATTTACTCCATCGTCGACAACCTTAGAAAGCAAAGACCTGGCATGGTACAACAATTGGTATGTCGGGGTTTGGATGTTGATTGGATGTGGATGTCACATGAACAAGACTAACAATGTCGTCATCAAATCAATAGGAACAATATCTGTTTTGTTACGCTACGATTGCCGACGAACTTAAGCAGCGCGAAAAGGCGCAAAGTCGATGAGGTAGAAGCGACTCTATGTTTGTCGCTCGTCTTGTCGTGTCATGATAACTGACGATGACGACGATGATGGCAAACATAGATGGTACACTCCTTTGTATATTTCTCAAACATTCGACAGGCTGGCGCGCAATGGCCAGCATCCCTATCAAACAGTTTCACACATCCAGCCACTTCCATTCATCAATGGTCATCTCTCATCACAACTCCACACCTCGCCTATCTTAGCCTAGCCTAGCCCTTGTCTATGGCGCTGGCAATGACGACAACTACGACAACTAGACAACAACAACAACAACAACAACAACAACAATATCAGCAGGAGCATCGATTAGTCTTGTATAAATCAAACCAACCAATCATACATACCAAACAAACTCAACCTTCAACTACCAATGACCAACTTGATAATAACAAAGAAGAACCTTTCTTCAGTGTGGAATGGATATCAACTACTTCCTACTTTAACCAAACAACGAAACCCAACCAGAGTAGTTGTAGTAATTGGATGGGCGGAATAACTGTTGGACGACAGGGTCGACACTCATAGCTAGCTAAGCCTTTACTTCTTGTTCTTCTTCTTCCAGGCCTTGACAACCTCACCATCGTTCTGGTTCATGGCAATGATGCCGACCAGTCTGCAGATGGGTGCCAGGATGATGTCAAAGAAAGGGAAATAGAATGGAGTCAATCCAGGCGAGAGAATGGCGCACAACTTGGTTGGAATGTCCACTGCGATATGATAGTCGCCACTCTCTACTCCCTTGACAATGGCATCGGACACCACCTTTGGTGAGACGGCCTTGCCTCCTCCAGAGATGATCTTTGTCTCTTCTGGCTTTGTAAGGTTCTCCTGTGCATAGCTATATGTACATGTACAGTGTTGGTTAGAAAGCTAGCTTGGCAAATGATGTTATAACAACAACAACAACAACATACCCTGGTGTATCTGTGTCTGGTGGATAGACGACAGAGAATGATATCTTGTAGGGCAGTAGCTCAGACCTAAGAGTCTGGGCCAGTCCTGCAACGGCAAACTTGGCAGGACAGTATGTAGAGTAACCTGGCACTCCGATAAGACCACAGGTGGACGACACAAACACGATGTGACCACCGCCATTGTCAATCATATGTGGGACGACCTGCTTGGTAGCATACAATGTACCAAAGTAGTCCAATTGCATTGTCGACTCAAATACATCATCGCTCTGCTCAATAAAGTAGCCTGGTACTGCCAGACCTACAAGATTGATTGATTGATTGAGTGAGTCAGCGAGTTTGATTGAGATGATTGAATGAGTGATGATACCCTACCTGCACAGTTGACCAAACAATCAATCCTTCCAATGTCACTCAGTATCTCTTTGAATGTAGCCTGTACTTGATCCTTGTTTGTTACATCACATGAATAGCTTGATAACTTTGCTCTGTCATGCTGTTCAATGTATACATGTCAGTGAATGAATCAATGATGAATGAATGAATGGGCATATCATATATACCTCTGGTGCCTCATCAATGACCTCTCTCATCTTTGTAGTTGATCTTGATACAATGACTACTCTGGCCACATTGCGATTGAGCAGTGAGTAGACCAATTGTTTGCCAATGCCACTTGAACCACCAACGACTACAACATTCTTCTTGTTCAAACTGTATCCCTTCTTGCCATAAGCAAAGAACAGCACCAAAGATGCCACCAATGCCAATATTATATACAACATTCTATCTATCTATATCTCATCAATCAATCTAACTTGGTTAATGAATCACACGACTTCACTGCCTTTTTTCAAACGAGGGTTGGGGTTCGTGAGGGCAAGGGTTAGGGCGAGGGCAAGGGTAAGGGTAGGGTACGGGTAAGTGAATAGGTGGCATGGTTGTCATTATCTTGATGAGTCATTGAATTCTGAGTTTATGGGACTAAGTGTTGAGGACTCATCAAAGAATACACAATCTTGGCCTTGGTACCCAAGGAAGGACTAGACTAACCCCGATCATTCATCAGTCTGAATAGTCATCATTTCCATTTCAAGTACATAATCCGTCCCGTCAGATATTTAAGATTGATTCGACCCCGACGTCACTTAATAGGATTGAAATGATGACTTTAGTGAAGCGAATGTACGCTTTTGGTCAACCTCAGCCATGGTTTAAACCATTCAATCTATCTTGAGCTGGTCAGCAGGGAGGTAGAATGTTGGGAATATGAGATTAATGGAGAAGAAGATAAATTATGAATCCTTCAGGTATGGATGAATGAGTGATGGATACCAAGTCCATCCATCATCGACGACATGAAGTTGACCTTTTAGAGGATGTCATGTTGTGACGTTTAGCGTCACGACAAATACCCGAAGTCTTACAAGTGTTATGCATTGCCTAATTAGAATACAATGTCGAGTGGTGATGGTGCGCGGCTCGATTTCTTTTGATTAACACACGATCATTCCGCAGAACCTTCACTCATACCCACACTCAACTTTTGATATCTACTTTCTAAAGTCTGTTTTTGCATCACTTTGATCATTGGGTGAGTGTGGTGTCTGCGGGAACCCCAATCCTGCAGGCTCCACTACCAAAGAGAACGAGGGAGGCAAAGGGGGCTGGTGGGGAGGGTGGGATGCTAGATACCATCGGGTATCATTTTTGCATCACTGACAACATCATCAACTTCATCCATCCATCACACACTCTTATTCACACAGACGACCCTTTGATTGCTTTGATTGAGCCGACTCTTGTTGTCCATAGTGAGAGAGAGTGACCTGTTGATACTTACTAGCGATCGCTATTAAAGAATATTAATCACTTTTGTTGGATGTTGATGTTGTTGTGTAGCGAGACGTCCCCATCCTAGACCCGTCCGTCCCTACTCGCGTCTTTGCTGTCACACATTGAACCAAAGAGCCGACCAACAACTTCCCTTTGCCATATTTCCTACTTCTTCTCCAACATTCTCTTTCATTCTTTCATTCATTCATCCAATCAATCAAATATCTTATTATCTTGTATCTATCTACTTTATATTATATATATATTATATTATCTACTTATATAACTTATAACTAAATAATTAATAATAACAAAATGGGTAAAGGAAGTGGCGCATCAGCCAAGTCATACCCACCCGTTCTTTACAAGAACATAAAGACAATTAGGAAGTCGCCAAAGCAAATACCTGACACTATCACTTTGGAACAAATCGTCGATTCCCTCCCCAAGGATGTGTTTGAGAAGAGTGAACTCAAGGCCTACTCCTCGCTCCTGCTCACCATCTTCTTCATCGCCTGCTCCATCATCTTTATCAACAAAGTACCATCCTATCTCTACCCAGTCGGTTGGTTCCTCGGAGGTGCTTCAATCACCGGTGTATGTATATGATAATAATGAATGATTGATTGAGTATGAATGAGTGAATGAATGAGTAACTAACTCATCTCTATCACACTTCCACTCTTACCCTCTCAATCAAACAGTTGTTTGTTATTGGAAATGACTGCAACCACAAGTCATTCACCAAGTCACCACTTGTTAACTCTGTCATTGGAACCATTGTTATGCTTCCATTGCTCTACCCATTCCAATCCTGGAAGATTATTGAGAGATTGTAAGTTTATTAAAGTCTAGCGAGTAGCTACACACACAGCCACAGCCACAGCCACAGACACGGAAACACGGAAACACCCCCACGGAAACACGGAAACACTAACATATTGGCCACAACTTCCACATTCACCATACACTTACAGGAATCTCCAATCTTCCAACTCATCTTTCATTAAGACTTGGGCCACCGGAAAGTTGTTCTGGTTGCTAAGCATCTCTAACTGGGCTGGCAACTACTTCAACTTGAAGAAGGTTGAGGACAAGAAGGACAAGGCAAAGGCCTTGTCTTCGATCGTTCTGGTCTACGTGTTTGCCGGTATCTTCTTCCCATTGGTGTTCAAGTTCTTTGGTCTCAGCGGAGTGCTCAACTACTGGTTGGCTCCATGGTTGATCTGCCACTTGCTCGTGTCGACCTTCACCTTCTTGCCCCGTGTTCCCTTCCTCGACCAGCAGGACAAGCCATTGGACAAGCGTTACCTGGTCCACATCACCTACCCCAAGTGGTTCGAGTTCGTCGTCAAGGACATCAACTTTGGCCTTCCCCGCCAGATCGCCGTGACCATCCCTCACTACAACCTGCGTCTCGCCTACGAGTCCTTCCGCAAGCAGTGGGGCGAGTACATTTACGAGTGCACCTTTGAGCTTGACCTGTTCCGCGAGCTCGTCACCAAGTCCAAGACCTTCTCCGACGAGATCTTCACTCCTTTCGACAGCACCCCAATCGCCAAGCCAGCCGTCGCCGAGCCAAAGACCCCAGAGCAGCGTCCACCACGCTCCCTTCCCGAGTTCCTCAAGAACATCAACTGGATCCACTTTGTGCTGCTGACCTCCACCCCACTCATTGGTATCTATGGCATCTTCAACGTGCCACTGACCCGCAACACCCTTATCTGGTCGTTCATCTACTACCACATCACTGGTCTGGGCATCACAGCCGGCTATCATCGCCTGTTTGCCCATCGTGCCTACACTGCCTCCACACCCCTCCGTATCCTGCTGCTGTTTGCCGGCGCCGGTGCCATTGAGGGCTCATGCCGCTGGTGGTCCCGTGACCATCGCGCTCACCACCGCTACACCGACACTGAGAAGGACCCGTACAGCGCCCACCACGGATTCTGGTGGTCCCATCTCGGCTGGTTGCTCATCAAGCAGGACCCCAAGAAGATTGGCAGGTCCCACATTGACGATCTCAACGCTGACCCATGGGTCATGTGGCAGCATCGCAACTACGTCCCAGTCGCCTTCTTCATGGGCATCATCCTCCCAACGCTCGTCGCCGGTCTCGGCTGGGGCGACTGGATGGGCGGCTACTTCTACGCCGCCGTGCTGCGTCTTGTGACCGTGCACCACTCCACCTTCATGGTCAACTCGTTGGCCCACTTCTGGGGCACCTCGCCCTACGATGACAACCACACCCCACGCGACAGCATCATCACCGCCGTGTTGACCTTTGGCGAGGGCTACCACAACTTCCACCACGAGTTCCCATCGGACTACAGAAACGCCTACTGGACCTTTGGTTACGACCCAACCAAGTGGTTGATCAAGATCTGCGAGATCGTCGGCCTCGCCTACGACCTGCGCACCTTCTCCGAGAATGAGATCAAGAAGGGCATCGTCCAGATGAACCTCAAGCTCACAGACAGGATCAAGGAGACCATCCACTGGGGCGTCGACATTGACGAGTTGCCCATCATGACTCACGAGGAGTTTGAGTCCTTCCACAAGCAAGGTCGCAAGTTGATCATCATCGACAACGTCGTTCATGACGTTGAGAAGTTTGTCGACGAGCATCCAGGTGGTGTCAACTACATCAACATGGGTCTTGGTCGCGACGCCACCAAGATGTTCAAGGGTGATGTCTATGGTCACTCCAACGCAGCACGTAACTTGCTCTGCCAGTTCCGTATTGCTCAGTACAAGCCAAAGGCTCAGTAACCGTCCACAATCAATATCATTGGTACGGATAGACATGTCTCCAGCAGGCATAGTCATCCACCCAATCACCCTCCAATAAATGTCCTCATGATGGCAACTCATCTCTCCGGAGTTGTCCCCCTCGTACAAGCAACCAATCAATCAATCTCATCTTATTTTGTTCAAAGGGTAATGGTAAGGGTAAGAGGACATATTTATTGTAATGCCACACGCACTAGACCATTGTAACGACGGTCGACTTCATCTTTCTCAGCCAGCTTGCACCATTCATTGCTTTGGATGCTAAAGAGGTGTGTGCCATGACGACTGCCACCAACAAAGAGGATCGTGCCACCTTGTTTGGGCGCGCTCTCTGCTAGGTAGATCATTGAATGTTTGAATTGAAGATGCTTGGAAGACTTGGAGGTCTTGGGCGAGGGCAGGTTGCACTTGATCTTATTGGCCAGACTGATTGAGAAGAAGTTGTTCTTGGCGTCCAGCACATAGACCAGGTCAGTGCCATCGAAGCAACTGGCAATGATCCACTCATGGAAACCAACGTCGTCGATCAAGTACTGGCAGGTAAGCTCCTGAGGGTTGTAGGTTATAATTGATTGGCATGCGTATAGGTCGTTGTAGCCACTGACAATGTGTACCAGACCATTATGTATGAAGCTGTGGCTGTAGTAACGACACTGACCAATGTCACCAATGCGAGTAAACTCCATCGTATCAATGTCAAACCTATCGACACGAGTCAAATACACTCCTTTGTATAGTCCTCCAACCAAGTATATATACTTTACACCATCAAAGCATGTGCTGATGCCGTAGCCTCCCTGTGTATATGAGAGCGAAGTTGAGGGTTGGCAAGGACAAGGGTAGGGTGAGGGTTGGCGAGGGTAAGGGTGAGGGCAAGGGCGAGGGTAAGGGATGGCGAGGATGTTAGTCTGGTGCCAACATCATGATCATCATTGACAAAGTGAGTAACTTACATCGCCAGTTGTGATTTGACCAAAGTGATCCCACTTCATTGTCATGATTGAGTAGCGTGCAAAGGATGTGGAATCTTCGTTGCCGCCAAAGACAAAGATGTAGTCTTTGGCAGTGACAAGGGAACATGTTGGGTAGTGTCTTTTCTCTCGGTCCGCCTCTTGCTTGGACCACTTGCCAGTTACAATATCATACAGATGGCAACCGTTTGGACCCAATGACAGTAGCTTGTTTGCGTTGTTACTCCTTGTCATCATTCCATTGGCCTGTTGGTGGCCATGCGCCACAACGCCCATGCCCATGCCAATGCCTAGACCGATGCCCATGTCACTGGAGGGGTAGTTGCCATTCTCATCAGAGATCTGACACAACTGGTGCAGCAGGATCTTGATGTCGCGCAGCACACGGTCCTCAAAGCGAACCTGGATAGTGGCCGGTTGCGCGCCAGACAGTGGCGCATTCTCTGATGCCATCACATTGTGATGGAAGTATTGGCAGATGAGGGGGTGGTCGCTCCTCGAGAGGTATGTGTTGCCGCCCTGCTGGATCCATTCATTTACCGTGTGTGACTTGCTCACGGTCTCAATTACACCATTGAGATAGTCCTCCTCGACCACAGCCTGATCAAACATTCGGCTGTCACTTCTTAGTCTGTCCACCACACTATTGTTGACGCCATATATGTTGCCATTGCCATTACCGTTGCCGTTGCCATTTCCATTTCCAGTGCCGCCAATGATGTTGCCGCGTCCATGGACCGACATTAGTATGTTGTTGATTGAACTGATCTCGAGTACGATTGACTGTAGCATGGCAGAGGTCTTCTCGCGCTCTTCCACCAGCGGCCTCTTGACTTTATGCTCCTCCAGGCGAATGAACTCATGGAGGTCGCGGTAGTAGCTGGTGATGGCGCACTCGTTGCTGCGGCTCTGGGCAATGGCCTGGCTGCACAGTTTGAGCTGGCGCCACAGCTCATCCATGCGCTTCATGTAGCCGAGACTGGCGTTACCGCCAGCCACAGCCAAGCCAGCTGCAATAGTCTCGTTGTCATCGATCACATGGCCACGGTGATCTGCGCCCACTGCACAATTGGCACACAGCAACAAGTTACAACTTCGGCATAAGAACTCCAAGCACCTTCCAGCATGACGTATACATTGAGTACTTGTTGGATGATTGTTAGGGCTACTGCCGCCGCCGCTGCCGCCAGAGCTACTGGAACTACTAGTGCTACTCTCACTGCTGGACATTGATAATGGGAGTGAGTTTGGATTGATTGTATGTTTGATTGAGTGATTGAGTGATTGATTGATTGTCCAAGATCCAAGTTATATTACATGTATGATAATGTTTGAATGATGATGTTGAAGATGATGTTGAGTGATGGTGCTTAAGTTGATGATGTTCCCAATACCATGGGGTGCAGGACAAGAATTATGATTAGTCGTGGCGCCTAACCCCCAACTGCAGTGAGGTCACCTCGAGTACCTCACATCATATGATCATTCCAACTCTCTCTCTCTCTATGAGGTCAAGGTAGTGTGTGTTTGTTTGTTTGATTGACTGACCCTGATTGAGTGTGCATGTGTGCGAGTGTTTGTAGGCCTTGGAGATTGAGTTTCAGGCCCCCTACCTTGGCTCAATTTAGTGATGAGACGCACACCCCTCTGCGCTTTGCTGTTTATTTGATTGGATCATTGGTCCAAAATCGTTCAGGAAACGGGTGGGGTTGATGTCTTTACATGAATGGCCGCCAACGTTGAATGAATATGAATGATTGTGAAGTATGTGTTGTCCAGCCATTCCTGGTTAACCGTGACGCCGAAGACACTTCCGGTAATGAATGAAGCAGTGACAGAGAGAACTGGTCCTTGTTTAAGTGTGGTAACCTTCAACGATGTTTACAAGTGCGTGTTGGTGAGTTGTTGAGAATTGTTTGTTGGCACTTGGCAGCGGTAGTCGGAAACAGTAACCCTGTGACTGTTGGGGAGGGCCAATCAACTTCAGTGATCATCATTTCGAGGCCTCCACAACGACTACATTGAGCATGGATAACTTACAACGACTATGGACTAGTCCTAAACAGGGGAGTAAACAGTAAGTTATCCGGGACTTAAATGATGTGATCATCGCAATTTCATCAAGTTCGAGGTCCTTGTGACCTACAAAGAGTGTGTATTCAATGAAGTTGATTGATTGTTTGATTGATTGTGTAAATGTGTCATTGTTGTTAATTGAATTAAGAGTTCAAAGTATCTAAACCTTCTATTTATAAGCCTTGGAAACTTACAACTTGGTCACGATTTATCTAAATATCTGTTTGATCAAATGGTCAAACATTGTCAAATGTGTGTTGTCCCATAAACTATGAATCTGGATTCCAAATTTGGTCTTCTTCTCCTTCCATTTGGGATTCTTTGGAAGTCGTCTTTAACGTTAATGGGGCCGATGATCCTGGACTACTACTATGTACATGAGTCATCATAATGATCATAATGTTAACATAACTATCAATCAATCAAACATATACACAAACATATAACATAATGGAACAATACCTTAACTCAACAGGACTCATTCAATTTGCTTCATATATCCAACAACAACGTGATGAGGATGTTGAGAATACAAAGTTGATTACATCATGGTTCACTGGTACATTCGATAACAAACATACAGGTGACAATGAACAGTCATTGTACATCTACACAGTGCCCAAGTTAGGTGATGGCGGCACGTGCAGTCTAAAGCACGAGACTGAGACCTACAACCTCGAGTCCACCATCGGCACACGCACATCCACCAAGTCCAACATCCTCTCAAGACTCTACTCAGTATGTTATGTTGCAACATACATGCTCGCGACCAAGTATACATTGCACTCACTCATTCATTCAAACAAACAGATTACACTCAACGCACAACAGTTGACAAAGGTTGATTGGATTGGAATATACAAGGTGTACCAGGTCAATGGTGAGAATGCATTGGTCAAGCTTGCGTATCAAGGAGAGATCAGTCGTCCTATATTCCCATTGAATGATTATTGGGAGACGATAAGCAACAACTCATTCGTTGGCATTCATGGCAAGGGCAGGATCATCCAGACGTTGGAGGGCTACGATGGACCTTACTACAACTGCTCGGACAAGGTCAAGAGTGAGCTGTGCATTCCAATCTTTGATCGCAATGACAACACCAAGGTCATTGGCATTATCGATGCAGAGTCGTGGCGCGAGAAGCACTTTGATGCTTCATCCATTCTTGCTCTTGCCAGACTTTGTCTTGAATTGCCACAACTACTCCAAGATGAAGCTCTATCACTTTAAGGTGATAATTAAAGTGAACTTCACTCATCCAATCAATTCAATTAACTTCTGCTTTTCGTGTTCCGCTTGTTTCCGCGAGTTACCGTTTTGTTTCCATCCGCTCGTGTGCTCTTTCATTCATTCATTCTTTTTCAAAGTTATTAATAAACTACAAATAGATATTACATATAATAATGTCCACAGCTAATACAGCTGATATAGATCCAGCAGAGACACCTGCAGCTTCAGTGTCAAAGACTGCTGCCAACACTAACAAGTCAAACAACAACCACAACAACAACAATAAGAACAACAAGGATTCAAACAAGGACTCAAAGTCAAAGTTAAAGAACATTGATTGTTATAAGAGAATGAACTACCTTTATCAAGCTGCTCATCTGATGATGAACCCTCAAACTAAAGTCATTGATTCGACATCAGAGCCAGTTGAGTCTATTGAGAATCAACAACAGTCAACAACTCAAACCCAACAACAGCCACCCAACCAAGTCCTAGCGAGCTTCTATTGCAATGTTGTACATCAGATATCAAGAAGAGCTGTGATCAGAGTCAATTCCTCAATCAAACGTACAGTGTGCAAGGGTTGCTCATCCCTGCTCATCCCAGGAGTCTCATCAACAGTTCGTCTGAAAGGTAAGTCAAAGCTGATTGACATGCCTCAGTTCAAAGTAACTGACATTCATTCATTCAACAGATAACAGAGAGACACATGTTATGATCAAGTGTAATCAATGTGACAAGGTGAAGCGATTCCAGACGAACAAGAATAGAGAAAAGAATGCAAGAAGGAAGCAGAAGAATAAGTTAGATAAGGAAAGAGCATTGGCAAAGGAGTCATCATCATCATAGTCCACTGATGAAGCGAATGGGATACATAGATCCCTACAATACTTTATTTATAATGCTTGCTTGGTAGCAGACTTGGATGGTGTAGTTGCATCTACAATGTGGACAACAAGTGAGGAGCATGTTAGTCAATGATGGTCATTCATTCAATCCAATCAATCAACATGTTGGTGGACTGGCACTACATTCATTCTTTTGGAACATACCTCTGAACGCACCAGTGTCACTCCACTCTAGAGTGTTCTGTGATTCTCCATTGACGTATCGCGGAGCGTATAATACCTTGTTGGACGAGGACAATACTTTCTCCAATGCCTACATACATGCGACGGCGCAGACAACAAACAACTTGTTAATACACAATATACTTGGATACCTCCAAGCACGACTTGGTCTGACTGACTACTATCTACTTACATGCTCCCATAATCTCAAAGTATGCTTTGATCTATCAGTGCCAATCACTTCCTCTTGTAGGATGATCTCGGATATCCATGGTTCTTCTGGGTTGTAGCGGCTCTGTTGCTGTATTATGCCCAGCAGCTGCTTGAACATATGCTCGGTCTTGAGGGCGTCTTCCTTCTTGCGTTGCGCGCGGATTCGTATGTAGCTGTAGAGTACGTAGGCGCCAAACAGGCCGATGAGAATTTGGAGGTTGTTGAGCATCAGTTGCTTGCCGACAAAGTACGTCTGGCACCACAGCGGACGGATGGACTCCTTGACCGTGTGGAGCAGCAGCTCGCCCGATGTGTCGTTGTGTGACACGACAATGCTGTCCAGCATCTTCTCGTCGATGCCAAAGTCGGCGGCGTCGCGTCTGTTGACAATATGATCGATGAGCTTGGTGTAGGCCTTCTCGACGGCGTCCACCTTGATCCAGTAGTGTCGGCCAAACTCCTTGCCGAGCTGCTCGAGGGGCATGTCGAACTGATCGGTGACCTTGCACTCGAACTTGCCCTTGTGCTCACGCAGCACCTGCTCCACATTGCCAAACACTACGTTGAGCGCATCGATGCGCGATGGGTCGACGATGCAGCGTTGCCTACTTCGGACGTAGCCGTCCTGGCACGCGCTGAATGCGCCGTCTGTGCAGATGCCCCTGTCGGGGCAGCGATGGCAAATGATCTTGCCATTGCCATCGAATCGTGGCATGGAGTCAGTGTCACAGTAGGTGACGCTGCCAAATGAGTAGAAGAAGTTGAGCATGACGCCAAGCAGAACGATCCACGCGATAAACGACACGACGATCAATGCGTAGCCAACCCAGTCGTGGTCCTTCAATGATCGCTCGCGTTGAATGCTGCTCACACCTGTTGAGCTTGGTCTCTCATTCGAGGAATACTCGCGTTGTTGTCTTCTCTGTTCGCGCTCGCGCTCTTGATCGCGCTGGCGCTGGCGCTCTCGTTCATACTCTTGCTGGGGGTTCACATCCGCGTCCACATCGTACGAATGGCTACCATTCATATGCTCCTCCTCGTCATAATCAAAGGAGAGGTCGCTGTCAGATTCGTCGTCCTGGTCCTCTTGTGAGAAGGGCTCTGGTGAGGTTGGCAACACTGCGCCAAAGTCATAGTCATTGTCCTCAACAACATCTTGAGGTTCATCAGTGTCAAAGTCAACGGAGAGGTTTTGTTGCGTTGTCTGCGCGAACAATGGTGCCTTTGCCGTCGGTATCTGGTAGTTGTTGTATTGGAAGCCAGTGTTGGACTTGTCAAAGTTGTTGGGCGTCTGTGGATATTCGTGATGGCTGGCAGACGTGGTGGTGTAGCGTTGTGGCTGCAGGACTTGCGTGTTGTTCTTGGCAAACACTGAAGAGGATGTTCTGCCCGGTTGGGGCTGCTGCTGTTGCTGCTGCTTGCTGGCGGGATATGGGGTGGAGAGTGATGGCAGCCTTGCGGAGGATGTGGTTGTTGTTGTCGGTGCCGCCATTGCCGGGTTGGGTTTGACGCGGCCCAGACGCTCCAGACGCTCCAGTCGTTCGGCCTCCCTCTGACGCTCCTTTTCCAGACGGTGGCGCTCCTCCTCCTCCTGGCGGTCCTTCTCGCGCTTGATCCTGTCAAGGTCGGCCAGTCGCTCGGCCTGCTGTCTAATCTCCTTGTCGCGCTCCAGATCGCGATCCTTCTCAAACTGTGTCTTTGCGCCCAGCACTGAATATCTCGCCTTCTTCTTCTTGTCTTTCTGTCTTTGTCTCTCCTCCTCTTCTTCCTCGTCGGCCTTTGAGCGTGCCGTCTGGAAGATGTTCTCGGCCTCTGACGACTTCCTCTTTTGTGAAGGGTTGGGTTTGTTGAGGTAGATGAATGTCGTGTCGCTGTCTTGATTATCCCCACTGGTGCTGCTGCTGCTCTTCTGAGATGATGCGGGTGGCTTCTTTGCTGAGGTTGTCATCGCACCGCCCACAGTTGCCCTCTTTCTAGTATCACCAAGTACACTTCCCGTTCCATTACCACTGTTCTTTGAGCTGGATGTTGTCGAAGTGCCAGCTGTAGTACTTGTCGTCGTCGTCGACGTTGATGTATTGCCAATGATTGACTTTCGTTTCTGTGCTTTAGTATCATCTTCATCATTGTCATTGTACAATGTCGTTGATGATGTCTTCTTTGATGATGACACTCCAGTGTCTATTGAGTTTGAATGAGTTTGAGGAGTCAATGATTGTGCAGCAATAACTAGTACTTGTTGATTGTCCAATACCAACCTTTATCTGATGCTCTTGAGGTTGTTGATTGTCTGCCACTACTTGAACTTGGGGCAGTACTGGACCTCTTCTTCCTGATAAGCTGTTGCTTTACATCGCCTTGTAGTAGATCATTATCATACATTTTTCAACTACTATTTCTAACTTTTACTTACTTAATACTACTCAATCAATAATAAGTAAGTAGAACAAGTATATATATATACTTTATGTATGTGTTATAATAGTATGAATGAATGATTAGATGAATATTTGAGTGTTGGTGTGTTCGCGCCAACTTTGAAAGTTGACAAATGAAAGATGGGTTGATGTTCGTCTCGTGTGGTGTGTCAAACCAAATGATTCATCACAATCAATCAACTTTGGATTCATTCCAATTTGGGTATGTTTATGAATAAGTTATTTTATTATATAAATAGTAATATTAATAATTATTATTACAATGAATGAACTGGATATGGGATGAGATGTTAGAGGAACTTCTTGCCACAGTCGGAACAGAATTTGGCACCATGGGCTGGTTTGTGACCGCATTGACTACAGAAGTTGGGCGTCACAGAGTATGATGGAGAGTATGAAGTATGTGTGGAGGTTGTTGATGTTGTTGGCTTGACATATGATGGTGGCATTGGTGGTGGTGTGGACCTAGTAGCTGGCTTTGACAATGATACTGTTCCAGAAGATGCCGATGAGCTGTGAGCGGGAGGTGGCCACTTTCCGGAAACAGTTCCACCTGAACTATGTGATGATGATGATGAATAAGTTGATGATGGAGTATGATGTGGAGTCGAAGAATGAGTACTCGAGTATGTTGAGGAGGAGGATGAATGTGATGGCTGTTGTGAGAGTGGTGTCCAACGTGAGGAGAATGATACTGAGCCACCGCCACCACTTCCACCAGAGTGATGATGATGATGATGAGAAGGCGAAGAATGATGTACTGTAGTATGATGATGAGCTGGTTCCTTGTGATGATGATGGACTTCCTTGTGATGATGGACTTCCTTATGATGATGGGCATCCTTGTGATGATGGGCGTCCTTGTGATGATGGGAATCCTTATGATGAGTTGTTCCCTTGCTTCCGGCATGGCACTCATCAACAAACTTCTCAAAGAATTTGGTCACAGGGTCTTTCTCCTTATGATGATGCTTATCATGATGATGATGTTTATCATGATGATGATGATGGTGATCCTTGCAGTGATGGTCGCAGCATTCGTGATGGTGTGTCATCTTATCTTATCTTGTTATTATTATTATTTATAAGTACTAGTTGTATAACTATGCCATATATGAAAGTTACCAAACAACTCCAACAAACAATCACATCCATACACTCTAACTTAACTTTCACACTCTGTGACCAGAGATATGTTGATGGCAAAGAACCCCCAACTTTCCAGAAACGTGATCACCACCCATCACTGTTTTCAAATAATTTAGAGGGCACCTCAACTAACTTGGGGTTTGAAAAAAGTGATGGTTTTCACGATGTCCTGGATGGTGTCAACTATTCCGTCACAAAATATAATATAATTGGAATAGTTCCAGTGATTAATTGTTTGATGTTCCAAGGATTTTATTCAATTTGAACTTCTGTCGAAGTCGCAGTTGTGATTGTCGAAGATGTTGAAGTTGAAGATGTTGGACTATGATCAAAGTGAACGGGATACCTTGATAGGTACTTCATGACAGTTTGTTCAATTTCTTCCAGTTTCTCTGGTGTGAGCGGTAGCCACTCTCGATCCTCGATCGACTCGATTAGTTGGTGCGTTGATTCATCCATCAATCTCGTATCGATTTTGTATAATATATCGCGTATCTTTGATAAGTGTACATTTGGTCTGGGTGCCTCTTTTCCATTCATTATCGTAATGAATATCCTCAATTGCAACTCTGTGAGCATTCGATTGTTTGGACTATGTTGCCGTTGTTGTTGTTGGAGTGATCTCACAATGTCCAGCACCATTTGATGATTCTTGAGATTGTTGGGATGTCCAAAGTAGTCTGGATCGTTTGAGATGATGTCCACGGCGAGCATGGGCAGGTTCTTGTCGGCAAGAATCCTAAAGATCGCCGGGTACAACGAAGACTTGTAATTGACCTCGCCAAAAAAGTCCAAGAGATGCTCCAGTTTGGTGTCGTTGTTGAGGCCATGAATATAGGCGTAGAGTCGCATGCCAGCCGTGAGCATACTCTTGCTCTTGCTCTTGGTGGGCGTATTCTTAAGGTAGGCCGCTGCCGACTCTGGGTTCTCGCGCGATACCCTGATGAACTTATAGAGTGATGTAAACTCTGGCAGGCTTACCCTATCACACATCATTGCCATGTACTCCTCGTGGTAGTGTCCATCCTCGATACTATGCTCTGCGGCAATACGGTGCACCCATTCCTCGACCTCCAATCTCCTCTGTATCATGGCGAGCATTAGGCGCATCGCCACTTGTTCTCCTCCCGCGCCAAACAGTCCACAGAGTATTGAGTTGAGCACGCCAACATTTTGAAAGACCAATGCGGGGATGTTGTCCTTGAGGTATTCCCAGCCAACAGAGAGGTTCTCGCGAACAAAGTGCGTGTATGTATGTTGATGGAAGATTATGCATCGAGCAAATTGTGGCGCTCTTCTGACAAAGTCCTGTGAGATCGACAAGTATCCGGCATTGATCACCGTCCGCAGTATGAATGTATCATGCGGCAACTGTCCATGGCTAAAGTCCTGCTCGATGGCATTGATGATGGGCAAAAACGATTCGTTCCCCAGCAAAGCCTCGAGACGGTCGCGCTGCTCATTAGGTTCGTCGGGCAACAGAGTTACGCCATCCATCGATGGCACCTGTCCAATCAAGTCCACCATTGTCCTCGCCAAGCTGAGCTTGGACTCATCAGATACCTGTCGAGGGAGGGTCCCACAGCAGTATTCGCGTAGTCGCTTGATCCACAACTGTTTCAGATCTTTGGCGTTGGGCGCAGTGTTGTTGATCTCGTGATATATTATGAACTGAGTGAAGATCGCATGTGAGGGCTTGCAGTCCAGCAAGAAGCATTTGGCGTACCATTGCAGTGCCATTGGGTAGTTGTGAATGATGAGATAGAGCTGAATGATACGTCCAATGATGTGCGTTGTTTCAATGCCAGGCTTTGTCAACAGCTTCTCGAGTCGCTCGACGAGATTATATAGGCCGCTCTCCTCGCTAAACACTATCAATGCCGGCAGGACGTTGTGATCGGGGTGGCTACAGTCCAACATGCTCTCCAGCTCGCCCAAATGATCACCACCCGCGTCAGAGATGCTATTGAGGCGCTCTCGTACACCCTCAGTCTTGATCTGCACGCCCATGTATGCGGTGGTGGCTGTGAATGCCGCTCGATGAGTCTGATTAAAGAGTAATGATATGAGCTCCGTGTAAGCACCAAGCGCCAGGTATCGTTCGCACAGTGCTGGTGATCGATAGAGAAGCTGCATGGCAACCAGCAGCGAGCTGGCATGCTCGGGGCTGTAGGGTTGATTGACAGCAGTGTGGGCAAAGGTCATTATAATCTGTTGTAGACGTTGTATTGTTGGCAATGTTTGATACAGCTTTGTTTGTAGCGTCAGTGCCTTATCTACACTCTTCTTCTGTAGCTTGTTGAGGTAGGCTGTTGTGGCATCCACAAGCGACACAAAGTCAACACTCTGATATGATTCCTTTGTCTTGAGCAATGTATCAATGCGAGCTATCAAGTCTTCAGCCATCTTAATAGTGGGCGTGTCCATCAAAGATTGATGTCTAATATCCTCGGCCAGTACTCCAATATTCTCTTTCATTATAAGTTGTCTAATCCTTTGTTATTGATTGATTAATTAGTCGTGAAGCTCATCTCACCCTGGGTAGCGTGCTTGTTCACTTTACATACTCTTCGCGAGTGAGCTTGCTGTACTTCTTCTGGCCTGGGTCTACGATAGGCATGTTAATTGAAGGAGGAGGCATTAAGTCATGTTCACACATTGTAACGAGTTGCTCCAATGACAGATCACCAACATGTTGTGGTAAAGGATGTTGTTGCTGTTGTGGTTCATGTTGTTGCTGATGTTGTTGTTGTTGATGATTAGTATCAATGATAGCTTCAGTTTGAGTGCTTCTACTAGTAGTATATGAGCATCTTTGTTGTTGTTGTTGATGGCGATGCAGATTTGAATGAATGTTGTTGTTTGAGGTATGTCTCAATTGACTACTACTACATTCCCATAAATTATAATGAATGTTGATACTACTACTGCTACGTCGAATAGCCACATATAAGTGTGGCGGTAATACAATGGTCAATCTTATTAGACTTGACATACTATATAATAATAATCAAATTGTCATTAATGATATCTCTTTCAAAATTTTGATGGACTTTGATCATCGTTTTTCCAAGAGTAAAGAAACAACTAATAATAACTCTAATCACAACCTCTAGGTCAGATCTTAGGGAAATAACATGATTATAATTCTTGAAGAATGGACTACCCAATCCATCACACACTCGGGGATTGGTGGTTTCCCTATTATAGAAACCAAATATTAATAATATAGTAGAGGTATTAGAATTATTATTATTATTTGTTTAAACAAAAATTTAGATATTATTTCATTAAGTTTGAAAAAATCAAAATCTTTGATGGTACATCACACACCTTCAAGCAATCATTCAAGATAACACACACTCAAACACAGCTCTTACATCAACATCACCACCATTTTGTGTATTATAATTAGAAGTATATATATGTATCGACAAAGATAGATAGATAGATAGATAGACATATATATATATATATATTCAAATAGTGAAGTTACAGAGAGATACTTTGCGACTTGAGACATCATCTTATCTGATTGACTAATTGATTGATTGATTGATTGACAGAGACAACTTGGAACCAGAGTGCCATTTGTGGTGGATACAGACAGACGAGAGACACATAATAAGATAGACAAGTGACATACAGATAGTAGTTTGATATACATACATACATACAATTCAATCAAGAGAGAGAGAGTTAGATAGGATGTCGGACAATGTAAATGAATTGCTCGTGGTTGTAGAGCAAAAGGATGTCTCAAAGGTCAAGAAGTTGTTAAAGAGCGGCAAGACCAAGGTGACAAAGATGCTGACGTCGTTTGATAATTATGGCACGTCGCCACTGACGTCGGCCATCAAGAACAATCAGGAAGATATATTGGAGATGCTGCTCAACGCCTTCAGGGACACCAAGACCGACATCAACATCAAGGACAAGAACGGCTACACGGCGCTGCACCAGGCCGTCGCCGCCAACGACCAAATCCTCATGCGCCTGCTGCAGCACGAGGGCATCAACGTTGACGTGTGCAACGACGACAAGAACACGCCGCTGCACTACTTCTGCCAGAACTTCCGCTCGCCCAACTGCCAGGACCCCTTCCAGATCTTCCTGTCAAAGCACGTCAGTGTCAACGCGCAGAACAAGAACGGCGAGACACCCCTGCACAAGGCCATCTTTAACAACTCGATCAGACTGCTCATGGTGAACCAGCTGCTCGAGGCGCACGCCGATGTCAACCTGCTCACCTTCAACCAGGAGTCGCCGCTCCACTACGCCGTGTATCTGGGCCGTGCCGATCTGGTGAACGTGCTGCTCAAGGCCGGCGCCGACGTCACCGTCGTCGGCACGTCCAAGAAGAAGCGTCCCTACGAGCTGGCCGTCCAGGAGGGCCACAAGGAGATGGCCAACAGCATCAAGAAGTACGAGGACCTGTTCGCTTGGCTGCAAGAGCACGGTCTCGAGCAATACAAGAAGAACTTTGTCCAAGAGGAGATGTTCATAGACGTTCTGGGCGACATTGACGAGACCATCCTCAACAAGATGCAGATTACAGCAGCAGGTCACAGACTAAAGATATTGAAGGCAACTGCATCACTTAAAAGTAAGGAAAGTTGTGATCACAAGAGCGGGCGGGCACGCATCTTACTTACATCTCCTCTCTCCTCTCCCCTCTGCCATCCACAAGCAGAACAGCATCCTGCAACATCGACCACTACTACAAGCACATCTACAACATCGACCTCAAGCACTCACTCTCACCTGTTGGATGGTGATCTCGACTTTAGGGTATCGGACACGGCCGACTACAGTGGATTGAAGGACTCGCTGCAACAGCTCAAGCACATCACCGAACTGAACATTATAGAGGATGGCGAGATTGAATACACCGAGAAGCTAGGTGCCGGTGCCTCGGGCAAGGTCTACAAAGGATTGTACAAAGGAAAGGCAATTGCCATCAAGGTGTTAAAGTCAATGTCCGAAGAGAAGGACATCGAAGAGTTCAAGAAGGAGTTCCAAATCATGAGGTATGTGGATGAACCTTGGACAATCCAGCAACGCATGGTCCTGGTCCACACTCACATCAACTAACTCAATCAATCAATCAATCAACTTAGTGCAATTCGATCAAAGTATGTTGTACATTTCTATGGAGCAGTTGTGGAACCAAGACCATCGATGGTGATGGAGCACTGCGCCAAGGGCAGTTTGTACCATGTGATGAACAATGATCGCCTGGACATTGGCTGGGAGAAGTTGTTTAAGTTTGCCACCGAGATGGTGCGCGGCATCGAGTGTCTGCACGGCTGGAACCCACAGATCGTGCATCGCGACCTCAAGTCGCTGAACCTGCTGGTCAACGACAAGTGGGAGGTGAAGGTCTGCGACTTTGGCCTGAGCCGCTTCAACACGGGCAGCAACATGGAGACGCTGGCCAAGATGCGAGGAACGCTGGCGTTCTGCGCGCCCGAGATCTACTTCAACGAGCAGTTCTCGACCAAGTGCGACGTCTACTCGATCGGCATCATCCTCTGGGAGCTCGTGACAAGAGTGGTACACAGCAGATACGAGCGACCATTCTCTGAGTTCTCAAATCTGCATCACGACTACCAAATCATTATCCAGACAGCGAAGAAGGGACTAAGGCCCACGATGCCCGACTGTCCGCCCAAGTTTGCCCAGCTGATCAAGGAGTGTTGGGACGGGCAGCCTGACAAGCGACCCAACTGTGCAGCGATCCTCAAGCGACTGGCGGAGCTGGAGTTTGACTTCAACGCTCATCAAGATCTCTGGAACAAATGTATTAAGAAGCTTCCAGCCAACGAATGAGAGAGGTCTAGGTAAAGCTCATCATCATCATTATAATTATAATCAACATCATCATCAACATCAACCACCTCAACTCCACAAGCCGGCATTCATTTCAACCAATATTTATACATCACTACTCAATCAATCAATCAAACAGCCCAACCAACAACAACAACTACAACACATGGCCATGTACTTGGTGGCGGCTGGACATACATCCAGGTTAGCTTGCCAGTAAGCCAGTCACATCATCATCAACATCAATTCTTCAGCAGTAACAACAACAACAACAACAACAACAAACATTAAACATAGCTTTGTCGAACCGACACTGAGGCTCACTCAATCAATATAACTTTGTCGGCCACAATCAATCTCGCGAACCAAAAAAGACCTGAAAAGGTTATATTTCAAATAATCGATGTCGTCGTTGCTGTTTCATTCGAATGAGGGAAGTGAGTTCTTGGGAAAAGCCGACGTTGTTGTTGTTGCCCACCATGGCAACGGAATGCCTGGGTTGTGGTTGATTGGGGAGGACTTGCACATCCAGGGGCGCACCGAACATGTTTAATTAATCAATACAATAATAATACAAGATAAAGATAATAATAGATAGACAGATGTTTACAATTGCAGGTCTATTGAGGTATAAGAGATTGTTTGGTGCATTGTTGACTCTGTCATTGGTACTCACAATTGTGATGTTACTAAATGAGATAAAGGACACTGGAACATCAAGTGATCATTCATCATCAACGACAACCATTCACCATTTATCTCAAACACCATCATCAGCTCCTCATCTAAACAAAACATTACAAGAGACAACAAGTGAACCTCCTTCTCCACCTCCATCCACATCCACCTCCACCTCCACCTCCACCTCAACCTCCAATATTGAAGTTGAGACTACAACGAGCACCACCTCAGGTACTACTGGACAATCGACTGAAGTCGACAATCAATCACAACAACAAACTGATGTTGATGTTGTTGTAACAAACTCAGACTCTTCCTCAAACTCAAATGATACCTCCAATGTTGTGGACTCCCATGAAGACCTCATTGATGACAGTGTCATATCCCAAGTTGTCAATGATGGCAGTAACAGCAACAACAGCAGCACTACCAACTCCACCGATAACCCTACCCAGGCTGATCCAATTGTAAAGCCTGTCGTACCAAAGGTTGATGATGATTCAATCAATAGTCAATCAGACTCCAACAACACTCAGCACACCAGCACAAGCACAGAGAGTCCGATTGATACGAGCATTGGGTCAGATAATCATGTTGATAACATTACTCAATCAAACTCAAGCTCCGAGCATCAAGTCACCATTCCCACTGGATCAGACTCACAAGTTGAAGGTAGTGCCATACCCCAATCAAACTCAAGTTCGGAGCATCATGGCGACAACAATGGCGAAGAATCAGAGTCTCGAGTTGAAGTCACAGAAGAGCCTCAGATGGTTGTGGACGACCCATTACCCATCAGTGAAGGTAGTGCCATACCTCAACAAAACTCAAGTTCGGAGCATCATGGCGACAACAATGGCGAAGATTCCTATGTTGAAGTCACTGACGAACCTCAGATGGTTGTGGACGACTCAGGACACAGCGGCAGTGAGCATCAAGACGACGCTCCTGTTACAACTGCACCTGTCAAACAGCATGATGATCCATTTCTATTCATATTCATGACGACTGAGTGGCAGGAAGAGTCATTTAGAGCAGGCAAATATTCTTGTGGACAGGATCATACTGTGATCGAGATGACATACGATCAGTCACGCTTTGATGATGCAAATGGATTGTTTTACTTTGGTCCCGAACTACCATACAGCGAAGATTACTTCCCCTGGCTACTACTGCCGTCCTACGAGAGGATGGTCACAGTGTTGTATACTCTCGAGTCACCCGCACATACACTTGGCCGATGTTACAGCAACCCTTATTGCATCGAGTACTTCAACTGGACCATTGGATACATGCCACCATACAATGACATACTCGAGTCATACCTGGATCGCCACTCTCAATATGACCGGTTCATGGAACGCGAGCGCGAGTCGCCCTTTGACTTTAACGCCACGCTGGCGCTGAAGGAGCCGGGCTTGGTGGCGTCGTGGTTCAACAGCTTCTGCTCGTCGATCGTCGACGGCTCGGTGGAGAGCGAGCGCGTGAAGTTCATGCGCCGCGTCATGGAAAAGATGCAGGTCGATAGCTATGGCGAGTGCCTCCACAACATCGACCCGCCCGAGGGTGGCGGCAGGCACGACCCGATCTTTATGGACATCAAACTGAACACGATCAAGCGGTACAAGTTCTACTTTGCATTGGAGAATAGCAACTGCCCGTATTACATCACGGAGAAGGTGATACAATGTTTGTTGTATGGTGTCGTACCTGTGTACATGGGCCACGAGACAACACTTCAGTACTTGCCACCTGGATCATATATCTATGTGCCAGACTTTGCAACGACACAGGATTTAGTCGATCGATTGCTGTACCTTGATGAACATGATGAAGAGTATCACAAATATTTTGCGTGGCGCGAGGACAAGGCTGTGTTGGACAAGTGGGCCGAGGCATTCCACGAGAACGACATAATATGTGATCTCTACAAACTATACCTGGACTTTTACAACAACATGGATACCTTTCCAAGGAAGCGCTCCTTGGTTGATCCAGATATGACCTATTGTCCAGACCTTTTTCCATCAATTATCTAATTCCTATTAAATTTATTATTATTATTATTATTTATTTGGTCGATTGATCAATCAAAGTTATTAACTTTGGCGATTACTTTAACAATATCTTTGGCATTAATGTTCCTTCGATCTCATCAATAAATCAAATATACAGACACATTGTTGAAGATATGAGCTCTTATTCCCTGTACCCTTGCCCTAACCCTAACCCTAACCCTAACCCTAACCCTTACTCGTAAGGTCACCCCAAACACATTGTCAATTTGAAGATGGTGATGTACACTCATTCACACATTCACATTTATTCATTACAGATACTACATCAATCAATCAATTATTCATTCATACATATATTAATAAACAATTATACTATATATTGTTATTATGTGTTTGGATCAAATTATCAATCAAGTTATTCTATTATTCAATCAATCATTTATTCATTAGTTAGTTATACAACTGAGTACTCACTTGCAGGTCTCAAAGTTATCATCCAATGACGGATAATCCACAGCTGTGTACAGGACAGCAGCAACAGCAGCAACAGCAGCAGCAACCTCAGATACAGACTCAAACAGATAATGAGACTCAACAACAACAACATCCAGAGACATATACTCACTTTCAAGGATGTGAACCTAAAGACGAGTCGTTGCCGACAGGTAATCAGAGCAACACTGATGTTGACTTTGAACTGCCGGCATCCGCTACCATACTACAATCGCCTGTAACAAGTGCAACAAGTAAGTGATAAACTCAACAAGTAAGGAAGACAGAGTATACAGATGCTGATACACTACATTTCAATCATTTAGTTATATTAATAGGATCAGTACACGTTCATCAATCGAGCTCAGATGAGGTGTCTGATATCATTAGGAAGTGGCAACCAGAGACTGTGTTTATTGAGTTGTGTAGGAGTAGGGCTGGTCTCGTCCTAAACAGTATAGATGCATCTAAAGTGAACTATCTCAACTCTACATCAAGACAACGGAATAATCAATCGTTCATTCATCAACAGCAACAACAACAAGAACAACAAGGTTTGAGTGAACAACAAGATGCACTGGCGACGCCAAAGTCTTCGTCGGTGGGCATCAATGATGATGACCAGACCCAAACTCAGACTCAATCAAACAATAGCGAACAACAGACAACATCAATGAATGATGACGTGGAAGGTCATCAAGCCTCCCACAACAACGACATGTACAGAACAACAACAACGACAACAACTGATGATGATGATGATCAGTATGAATATCATTCCCCATCCGAGACACATACAGATACAGAGACAGAAACAGATAGAGACACATATACAGACGCTGATGACGAAGGTTCATACGCATCAGAGACACCACATACTACAACTCCACCGACACCAGCCGATAATGGACAGAATGGCAAGGGAGCATCATTCAAGGACATGATCAACACGATCAAACAACAGGGACTGCCTGGATTGCTGCACGTGCTGATGGCCGAGATGATCAGGAAGGCGGGCGATCAGAGCAAGGTGGGACCGGGCGCCGAGTTCATCACGGCCTTTGTCGAGGCCAAGAAGATCGGCGCCAAGATCGTGCTGGGCGACCGGCTGGTGGAGATCACACTGCAGAGGGTTTGGAACTCTCTGACGCGCTGGGAGAAGATCAAGTTTGTCTACTGTCTGTTCATGGCGTCGCTCACCGAGGTCACGCAGCAGGACATTGACCAGCTGAAGAACAGCGACGAGCAGCTCGTGCTGGAGCTGCTCAACGAGTTCCAGGAGAAGTTCCCCTCGGTCGTCCAGACGATCGTCACGGAGCGCGACCAGTACATGGCGGCCAGGCTGCGTCTGTGTCCCGGCCGCAAGATCGTGGCGGTCGTGGGCAAGGGTCATGTCAGTGGCATCGTGCGCGAATGGCACAACTTCAACATCAACCTCACAGAGTTGGAGTCGACCAATGTACAGCCAATGTCGAGGAAAGGATCTTCTGGCAATGACTACACTGGCTGGCTAACCAAATGGGCAACATTCCTCATCATTCCCATTGCATCAGTCACTCTCTACCTACTTCATAAACGATATTGGCACTATGTATAGTTGGTCACACATAAGCATGCATGTACCAAACAACATTCATTCATTGGATCGATCACAACGTTACTCAATCATTCATTGATGTGTGGGAATGGCGCCCCGGACTTGACCTGAGGCGGGATTGAGTGAGGATACTAAATATAGTTGCCGTGTTGGTATGGGACATTTGTGGATTTCAAGATCCCTATTCATAGGACCAGGCGGGCAAAGTCCTTAACTCTCTCTCACTCTCTTTATTGTTATTGTTGGTATCCATCACATCTTAAAATAGGACTTCACATTAACTCCTACATTCATTCCCTTCATTTACTCAAATATACTTTGAATGATGTTGGAAGTTGGATGTTTGATGTTGGATGTTTAGTTGGTGGTTGTTTAGGTGGTTGTTTAGGTGGTTGTTGAGGGAGTGGATGAAGATGATGTTGGCAATGATCATGAACTTATTCCTCATTACGCATTACTCAAATTACACATAGTACCCATACCATACCATACCAATCCATTGCCAACCCTTAATCATCAATTCCACTCTCCGGCCCCGTAACACTATCATACATCATTAATCGTAGTAGTAGTACATCAATGAAGAGTGTGTAACATATTAATTCTAACCCCTACCACACTGTTTGATCATTCAAACACACAAATGAACACACAAGATCACACACTCGTGTGTGTATCTGATTGATCAATCAATTATACACACACACATAACATACGATGAGTTAATTAATAACCACACTATTGTGTTATACATATAAATTGGTTGGTTGCATCTCATTCGCATCTGGAATCGATACACCCTTTACTTCAGTGTCCATCTACAACGGCGCGGACACTGTTGGGCAACCAGCCTACCACATACACATATTTCGCCCACCACCTACCAAGCCAGTCAATCAATCAATCATTCAATCAACAATCACATGACACCCCTCACTAATCAAATCAAATCAATCAATCAATCAATCAAACACTTCCGTTGTTGTCAATGCCCACCAACCACATCACATCACATGCTCTCACTCTCTCTTTGAACACACTCACTCAAGTGAAGCAGCAATATGTTAACCCAATTTATTAGGAAGCGGCGTTGACATTGGCAGTGTAACAAGTGTTGAATGAATGAAGGAAGAAAAGAAAGAAGGTAGTAAGTGAAGAAAGTGAGGAAGTGGCGCCACATCCACAACCACGCACTCCGACAATACTCTGCCATTCTTCCAACAACCAACTAACATCGACACTAGTGTCAATATACACTTCCTCTTCTTGTTGTTGTTGTTATTTATTGTTATTTGTTGTTGTTGTTTGTTTCCTTACTCTAAACGCCAATTGTAATTGTTATAATCCAGCCACAAAGTTATACCGATACAACTTGCAACATCATCATCATCAACATCATCATCTCCATCCAACATCATCCATCCACTCATTCAATCAATTACCATTATCTATCCGCGTCTCCTTCCTCTCCGAAACAGTGTCCTATAATTATCAACACACACAACACATTCTTTGTCCTTTCAACTGATCAAGGAGTACTATATAGTCCCGTCGCGCCATTCTACATTGGTAAGTCATCATCCAATAAATCGTCCTATCACATCGCATCGCATCACATCGAATCAATCATTCATGGCACACACTATTGTAACAATGTTGATCACATGATCACTGACGTTGTCCAAAGTGTGTGAGTGTCTAAGTTGCCCGAGGTCTGATCAGACCTTAGACATGAGATGACACTAGGCGCACTCTCGGGCGAGCTCCACACACTCTCATCACTCAATCAAACACCATCTCTTCCCATCTCCAATCTTTGCCCATCACTTCCATCTCATCCCATCCCATCCCATCACATCATATCAATATCTTCAAGAATTTCCAAAGGGTTCCTTCCCTCTTTAATTAAATAATAATTAATAAGATTAATATTAATATTAACAAACTATGGAAATCATTGATAATAATAGAGACGTTATAATACTTAGCCGCTCGTCAACTTCTGAGCTTGGTGATTGGAGTTCAAGTGACAGCACATCATCAACACATTCATCAGTATCAACATCAACCTCCAGGTTAGACCTTTCCACTGCTACCAATACCAATACCACTACTGCAGCCGCCGGAACACAAATAATGGGATCAATATCAAATGGAGTAAATGGAGGAGTTGTATTGGATTACTCATTCAGGGACATGCCAAGACTTCCAGACAAAGTCCCCTGTGACAAAGATCGAATTGAGGCCATCCTCTGCAGCAACAACAAATTAATCATCATGCCCGATGACTTCTTCATCAATCTTGGATTCCTTCAATCAATCAGTTTGGATTACAACAAGTAAGTTCAATATTAATTTCTGGAAATCAAACAATCAATCACTAACTCGCTCAATCATAGACTCAAGACACTTCCAAAGTCTTTCAAAAAGTTACAATCACTTCAGATACTTAGATTGGCTCATAATAGTTTCAAGAAGATACCAAAGGTTGTGTTGTCAATGACATCTTTGCAGAGTTTGAATATGTCTGGAAACAAGATTGGATCGATTCCAAAACAAATCAATCAATTGGTATCACTCAAGGAATTGTACTTGTCAGATAATAGGATACGAGTGGTACCTGATCAGGTTGCCAGGCTATCACTATTCATCCTGGAATTGTTTGGCAATCCAATCATCAGTCCACCAAGTGATATTGTTGAGCTGGGCTTGGAGGCCATCATGGACTACCTGAGACACGAGTTGACATCAAGCTCAGTACGCCACGAACATTCACTGGAGATGCATCAGAAACGTGAGATTCAATATCAATCACTTCCAACCGTTCCAATCTACCATCCATTGAAGTTGAGATCCTTGTCATCCGATGATATTGTGGCATCCAAGGGTGTGATCACACTGCGCTCTGCTCCATCATCTGCACAGCTGACAAAGAGACCGATGGTTGCTGAGGGATTGGTTCGACAGGAGAGCAAGATGTTCTCGCCCACTGGTCATTCAATGATGATCCAGGCATCACCAACTGCCATCACAAACACATTATATACACCCAAGCCATTGCCCAAGATCAAGCCACCCCTGCAGCCCAAGGAGAAGAAGTCTACCACTACGACCATCGAGGTGTCGACCAGTCTCGAGAAGAATTCTACATTGGACAAGAAGAAGATTAGGAAGTTATTGTCACCAACACTCACATCCATGCATTTGGCTGCATCATCCTTGGACAGTTGTATTCAGGAACAGAGACAACGCGAGAAGAGAGAGAAGAAGAATATAGAGAGGAAGGTGAAGGATCATATGAAGAAGGAGAAGGGCAAGAAGGAACAATCTCTATCACATTCTCAAACGATAGTGGCCGAGAGGATGAATGACCAGATCGACATATCACCAGATCCATCATCAATGAATGACAACAGTGAAGAGGGTGGATCAACATCAAATATCTCAGAGTCTGGAACATATGACTCGATCAATTCTATGACCTTTTCTCAAGAGTCCATCATGTCATCATCCAGACCACCCTCAGTCCAGAATGAGCACATATCAGTTGGTCCAAAGATGCTCAAGAGGATGGCCACCGTTCTCAACCTTCGTTCATATTCTTCCAAGAGTTCCAATGACAATGAGTCTTCCAAGTTGAGTCTTCCCAAGAAGCTCAATCATTCACCGTCCACACCATCCCCATCTCCATCTCTCGTCAAGTCCGATGACAACATACCCGACCCCAACCAAAGACCCAAGTTGACAGTGAGGAACAGACGTGGAACAGTTGGTATGTACAACTCACTCACTCAATCAATCAATCAATCACAAACATTATACTAACTTATTCCAAACTAGCATCCGAACTGGATATCAAGCACTTTATCGAGTACTATGAGAACACAAAGTTGATACCATCAATGATAGAGTTGTTGAGAGATAGTGAAGCATGTGATTGTTTCAGATCCTTCCTCATGTCCGAATACTCTGTTGAGAATCTTGACTTTTGGTTGAGGATTGAGAAGTTCAAAAAGATGGATCGTCAAGGGTATGTCATCATCCATGATCCACCACTCATTCATACATACTAATCAATCCAATATCTATACCAAACAGTAAACTAGTCGAATGCCAATGTATATACAATCAATATATTAATGATAAGGCAACTAGTCAAGTCAATTTACCAAGTACTTGTGTCAAGAGAGTGGAGGAATTGTTACAGAGGATAGATAATGGAGTACATGACAACTTGGACACAATGTTCAATGAGTCACAGTTCCATATATTCACATTGATGGAGACGGACAGCTTCGAGCGATACAAAAAGTCCAACTTCCCATTCAAGATTGGGCCAGGTCCATGTCTCAAGTCAAGTCAGGTTTAAATGAATTAAAGCAAAGACCAATCGGTCTATCTGGTCGGCGGACACACAGTTGGTCAACACCCGAGTTGCCAGCCTCCGCCACCATCTCATCTTCATCCCTTTGTTGTTTGTATTTTCGCGCGCTTTAATAATTGCTGAACCATTGATTGATGGTTGAGACTCTCTGTAGCATTGAGCGAGAGAATGTGAATGAAGTTGCTAGTTGTTCCTTTTACGTTTGATACAATGTGCGTTGTCTTGTCGAAGTTGATGTTGATGTTGGTGTTGTTGTGATGGTTGAGCGATGCCATGTTGTCCATTGTCAATGTAATGGTTACAACAGTTGTCCAACTCTTTGATCTTTGAATCAATGATCTTGTCAATTTCATATACATAATTGTCTGATGGAAGTTGAAGATATTGTTTCTCCTGTTGTCGCTCGTCGATAGGTGGCAGCCCAAGCTCTTTGCGCCTTTTCTTTCGACGACGTCTCAATGCCAAAAAGTTGTTGATATCATTCTGTTGGCAACTGGGACACTGTTTCAGCTTGCCACAGTCATGAGGTTGCTTGATATGTAATGTGAGAGCGTCATGATCGAGGTAACATTGAATACAATGTCGATGTGTACATTTGAACACTCTTGCTCCTCCATAGTCCGAATCGTTTGAAGGGCTGTAATCATTGTCAACTTGACCATATCTGTTGCCATCAACTGATGAAGAAGATGAATGATTATTGTGTCCATTGATGTGGTTGTTGATGGAGATATCATGTGTGTCGTCAGCATCGTCCATCTCGACGTTGTCGGTGACATTTACAATGATGTCATCAATGAGTGATTCCTTTGAAGTGCCATTATGTTGGCCGTGTGAATGAGTAAACCCAGTAGTAGTGCGTCTTGATGATGATGATGTTGTTGTTGTTGTTGTTGTTGTGCTTGGTGAAGCCTTGTGACCATTCTCTTTACTTATTTTCTTTCCTTTGTCGTTGACGTTCGTTGGATGTTGTTGATTACCATGACCATGACCATGACCGTGACCATGACCATGACCATGATTGTCATGATCATCACCAGTGGACAAATTGCTAACATCTTGTCTAATTGAACCAGGTTGATGAGGTCCATGCTTCTTGTTCTTGGGTCGACGCGGGTCATCAATATGATGGATGAGCATGCCATGGATATCTCGATGATTAAGATTGTTGGGACAAGCAGTTTTACCATTACATCCATGTACAACTCCACAATGTCTCATTACATGGTAATAAATGGTACTAATCTTGGTACAATCATCATGATAGCATTTATAATATCCTTCATTGGATCCATCCATTCCATTCATCAAAAGAAAAATAAATATAATAATATAATATTTTATTTTATATGAGTAGATAGATAGAGATAGAGATATTGATATTGATATAGATACAGATAGAGATAGAGATAATTAGGTATCGTTTTGGTGATAAAATGGTAAAATTGAAATGACATGTTGAGTTTTTATGTGCTGGCGAACTTTGTAAATCTGTTGCCACTCCTCTGCCAACAACTTCCACCTCGTAAAGACAACAATTTTCTACCACGCTCAAACTTCGTCCATATTGATGGACTTAATGTCAATATGGTAGTCAATAATCACAATTGATTTGATCAATTAGAAACCTTGTCTAAATAATCCTGAAAGTTTAACATACGCGGACTTCAGAGGTAACTGGAGAATGATTGATAGAGATTTAATAGTTGAAGAATCTGAGGTATTTGAGGGTAACACGATTCCTAGGCTCATATTGGAACATGCCATAGATGTTGGAGAATTCGGGCTCAAAGGCATGGATCTTGACTGATTGAATTGATTGATTGATATTGAGATATTCAAACCATTGACTAAGGTTGATGAAATCAACTTTGATGGATAGTCGCTCCAAGGTTTTGGTAAGTACCAAATAGTTAATGGTGAATAGATTGAGTTGTTCATCCGTCAACCACATCTTAATTGATCGAAGGTTGGTAAAGGACTTGGCAAACTTGATATATATCTTGGGACAGGGTTTGAGATAGTATGCTCGTAACTTTACATGTTGAATATTTGAGTTGTTCTTGCCTAGTTGTTCCAAATGCTCAGGTAGGACCTCCGAAGTGTTGAAATAACAACTGGTAACTGACGATGATAGGACCAGATCCTTGGTGGCCACCTTGATGAACAGTGATTTGAGATTCTTGACCTCCTTGAGTGATTCTAAGAGTTCAATATCTTTCTTCGTCACTAGGAATGGAAGTTGAAGACGAGATATCATGTCATACTTTAAGAACTTGCCAGCCGAGACGTTGAACCATGTTACAAAGTCCTGTTCACTGTCCAAGATATGAGTCAAATCGAGTATCTTTAGGTTGGGCAATGATTGTATGATACGTTCAAAGAACTTGAGTGGATTCTTCATTGGAATCCCAGTCTTGAATGCCCAAGTTCCAAATGACAATGATCTCAGTCTACCAAATGCTCCGGTAACCATCGACTTTACCAACTTCCTACACTCCTTCTTGCACTTGTCGTTGACTTGTGACCCAATTCCAAGGTGAATGGACTCCAATGTCTCAGAATGACTTGCCAGGAACTCTCTTAGTAACTTAAAATCAGGCTCATTGTCATATGTTTCGAACTTGAAAGATGTTAGCCTCGCATTGGACAACGGGACATAAGATAGGATTGGTCTATAGACAATGGTCTTGTTGAAGTTGAATATTGACAGCTCGTGAAGGTTGTTTCCAAGTTCGGACAATAGGTAGTCGTGGCACTTCTGGGTATTAGTCTTCATCTTATAATTATACCTAAGAGTTAGACAAGTAACATCTTTGATTGGTGATAGCATTGATGAACTTGCGGCTTGTAGGAATGGTATGATATCCTCAATCCGCTCATCCATCCTTATGATACGAGAGAGTATGCATTGATTCCTGTTTATCAAGTGTTTGAATAAAGTTGGATCTTGTAAGAATCTTCTATTGATACCTCGGCCACATATTAGATTGGATACTATAATGAATGAAGACTTGGATACCAATGACAATGTAATCTTCCAACCAATCGGTGTCAATGGATCATTCCATAGTAATGTAAATATCTTTGATAAAAGTAATATAGACATGTTGTTGATATGAATAACCATAGGTAAGTAATGTGATGCTAGAATGGAATGGTATGCGATGTGATGTGAACTCACTAGTGATGCTGTACATGCTTTGCCAGTTTCCAAATTGCAGGCTCATGTTGGGAAAATCCAGTCAATCAATTGATTGACAGAGCGCATTTGTGTGGCGAGGCAACACATCACATCATTTGATTGACTGGATACTTTTGTGATGAATGTACGAATGAAGGATGGCTCAGGAATGGATGATGGATATGCCTTGTGCAATACAAGGCAAGAAAAGACACAATAGTAGGGGATTGTATTAATTAAATAATATCCTTTGATGAGGAGAAGGAGAGGCACGCCAACACGACGACAGAACACTCTGTTGGAATTATACAGCAGCCTCGGTACTTGACTTAAGGGATAGAGGCTTGGTTTGCTTCTTCTGGTAGGTCCATTTGACGATAAGAACAAACAGCACCATGATGATCATCACATAGGGGAAGAAGAAACTGGAGCGCATGGTCGAGTCGTCTTGATCCGAGCTGAGTACGAGCACTTGGACGTTGGGCAACACGCGATGACGGTCCTTCCACGTGATATTCTCATACTTGTAGAAACCCTCCCAGGTGTAGCGCTCAGACTCCATGCGATGGATGTGTAGGGGACAGGTGTCAAGTGGGGCAACAGCCTTGACCACTCGCGATATCTTGGCGAGCTCGGCCTCTTTGGCTCTGACGGGCAGGTCATACTTGTATCTGTCCTTCTTGTCGTAGCGGGGTAGTAGAGGAGCGCCCAGCGTCGAGATGCCTGGGAACAGTCTGTGTACATTGTGGCCCTCTTGTGTCACCTGAAGAATGTCGTCCAACAGCCAGAAGCAGTCGTCGTCTCTGGGCACTTGGCCAATCTTGTTGCGGACGTCGTCGAGACAGGTCGAGTCTCCAAAGACCACGACCTTGCCTGGCGCCTGCACATCGCCACTGCTCGAGCTGGACTCATGCTCCATTGACAATGTCTGGTAGAAGCCGAGGATGGGTACCTTTTGAGTGGCCGTGCGACGCATCAGCACCTGTCTGTTCAGGTCGGTCAACTCGGCAGAGTAGAACATGCCACCCCTGGGGAAGCCAATGATTGATGTGCCCGACGCAAAGATGGACGATCGGTTGCCAATGGTAAAGTCGCCGTTGTACACAGTGTCGCCAAGGAAGATGCCAAAGTTGGACAAAAAGTCGTTGAGCGCGGGTATGTTGGCGCCACCTGTGGCCGGCGTCCAGTGGCGCTCGGTGTTGTCGTCGTAGAATTTGAACTTCTCCATCATGTCGCCGTTATACCAGTCGGCAAATACGATGAGATTGAGTCCCTTGTTGCGCACGTCCTCCTCGATCTTCTTGATCTCGGCCGGGAAGAACTCTTCTTCGGGGTCGACAATGAGCAGTGCGCCATAGTTTTGCGAGTCGAAACAGGTGAGTGGCGAGCCCAGGATCTCCAGGTAGTAGCCACGGCTACGCAGCATTTGGTACATGCCGCGGAAGTTGGTGTGAGGGTGGTCTCCGTTCCAGTCGAATGGCTCGTCCTTGGTCTCGAAAGTGTCCTTGGGCAAGAAGCCAGATGGGTAGCGGAGGTTGTGGAACTGGTCCCAGAGGATGCGCTTGTGTCTTGGTGGCGTGGGTATGATGTGCACCTTGACTGGCAGCATCAGTGATTGGAAACGTGGCTTGGTCTCACTGTTCTGTGGTGGTGATGTGATGTTCACCTGAATGAAGCCCTCGGCAATGCCATCAAAGATAGCCGCCTCCTTCTTGACGCTGATGTGCACGCCTAGATGGCCGGTCCACGGCCAGAGCATCTCTTGATAACTGAACTCCATGTGCAACAGGTTGCCATTCTTGACGGGGATCCAAGCGGGTGGTGCGACAATCTGGCCCGACACGCCCATGCCATTGAATATCGTCACGTTAACGATGGCAGGCAGTCCGCTATAATACAGTGGTTGTGTGCAGTATGGCCAGAAGTATGGGCAGTTGGTAAAGTCAATGGACGATGGCGAGAAGGACACCCTGGGTGTGTATCTCTGCATGGCCTTGAAAGCCTCGATCAGGTCCAGACGGCCATGGCCCTGTTCAAAGATGTTTGCATCGTCAATGGGCTTGGCAGACTCGAGCAGCACTTGCTTGATCGAAGCGGGATTGATGATGCTACGGCGGTCGTGTGGCACGCTGCTCAGCAGCAAGGCGACTGCGCCGGCCACCACTGGCGACGAGACACTGGTGCCGGACAGAGTACGACACTCAGTGCTGCCACTGGCGAATGTGTTTGGTGTCATTGAACCCAGCACGCTGGATCCATAAGTGACCAGGTCTGGCTTAACTCTGCCATAACCATCGGGTATCTCCCAAGTTGTCATTCCTCTCGATGAGAAGTGAGCGATCTTCTCCGACGAATCAATTGAGCCCACTCCAATGACATCTGATTGATCAGCTGGGTTGCTCAGAGTTCTGTACAGTTGCAGTTTGTTTGAGATGATTAGTTGATGGTCTTGAACCAGATTGATCAATTGATTGGCTAACTTACCCATAAAGTGGACCATCATTTCCGATGGCAGAGACGACAATGATGTTGTTGGCACTCATCTCCCAGACCTTTTCGATGAATGGACGATCCATAAAGTCGTGGCCACCTATGCTCAGATTGAGAACATCGATGCCAATGTGGATGGCGTAGTTGAAGGCATCCAAGAACCATGATGTGTAGGAGAGCTTCTTTGAGGTAAATACACGGAAGATGTAGAGTGAGGCGTCGGGCGCGAAGCCAGGACATCCCTCGTGGTCACTGGCAATGACACCCGTGACAAACGTGCCATGGCCAAGCTCGTCATTATATATCTTCTCGTTGGTGTAGTCTTGAACCTCTTTGACGTTTCTAAAGTGTTTGTGGTCCTGATGAAGGCCCGTGTCAAACACGGCCACCTTGGTGCCCTTGCCCGTGAAGCCATTCTCCCAGAGCACATGGGCGTTCAGCATGTCGGTCACCTGCAGCTTGGCCGACTGCAGACGACGTCCCACCGTCGGTCGCTGCTTCTCCTGCTTGCTACGCTCGTACATGCTCTCGTCGACGTTGGTCTCTATCAGGTCGGGTATCACATCGTGGAACCTGCCCTGGGGCGAGCGCTTGCCAAAGCTAACCTTGACTTCGCTATCTTGCTCGTCGCTCGCCGACTCGTCGTCAGAGTATGTGGTGCCATCATCTTCTTCCAGGTCGTCTTCCATCTTCCAGCCTTTCAGCGGGTCGAGTATCTTGCGCTCGGGGAAAACCGAGCGAACTATATCTGTGTTGCGCTGCAGCATGTCCAGCTCTTTTCTGAACAGCACATCGCAGTGTGGTGAGTGATGTCCTGAGCCATCAAGTCCGCCGTCGCCACAATGATATATTGATGAGGCGGATGCCGATGTCGTAGTGAGCGATATCAGCGCGAAATCCGATGGAAACTGTGATGCTGCATTATTCCTCGGTATCAAACTCCACTGTGCCATGTTATCTGCATCCTTAAACAAATGTTCCAGTACTCCATAATGTTCAGATTGATTGATATAACTATTGAACATTACAATATATTCCTTTTCTATCTTTTTCTCCTTCTGTTGTTGCTGTTGTTGTTGTTGGTCGGGTATTATTACATTTGCTGATGTTATTGATGTTGTTGCTGCTGCCACAACTACTAATATTATTAATAATAATGATGATAATCTACCCATGGTATATTATTTATAATATATATATATATGTATTTGTTTGATTGTATTGATAATGATAATGAAGGTATCACGAGCGACCAACAAGGTTGGAGGCAAGGAGTAAGGGTCGAGTTGGTTGTGTTGGACTTCTTTATATATTTTAATTGATTGATTTATTGTATGTTTGAACGATTGATACTAATAAATATATATTTGTTTGCCTTGCCCTCTCTCTCTGTCTCTCTTGTGTTTACGATGTCAATAATTGAATTGACTTGATAGTATGGTTGAAGATGATAGTGAGGGAGTGAGTGAGAGAAACAAGTTGTTGTGTGGATGAATGGATGTGAGGGAGATAGTGTGTGTGAATTGGGTAGCGTAGTTGAGGAGCGATTGCAAAAGGGCTCATTCACTTCAGTTGTCGACATACACTCATAAACACAAACACACAGATCAAAAAAAATCAAAGAAGTTCTGTTTCTTGATTCTCCAAGAGAAGGAATCAATGTTTTAAAGATTTTTCCGAGTCTAAAACAGACCAACCTAACCTATAACTTCATTTGATAAGTAATTACCCATTACTTGAAATAGAGATAAATAATTATTATGATTGATCGCGATGATCATTCATATGCAGAGATGAGAAATGAACAGTGATCGATCCGCCTATTTGTGTGGCGGGGAGTAGTAGATTAGTTGGATTTGAAGAAGGAGGATTGGATATTGTTTTTGAAAAGACGATCAAGACGTGATTGGTATCAACTCGTCGCATGTGTATGACGATCCCCTTGTTCTTGATAGTCAATCTTGTAGTTGTAACATTAACTTTTGGAATAAGTAGTTTTGATACCAACTTCAACGAGTATACTCCACGTTTGATAGCAGACTTGTCTGATTCGCCTGGATAACTATATACATATTCCAGCGACAGTTCGTCGAGAAGTGTGCCACATCTTGTTGTTGTACGATTCGATTGGATGATCTTGGATGTGATGGTGTTCTCGCGATATGTGGCTGAGAGTCGCTTGACTGATGAACCCTCGAGATTGATATCCTCGAGACGCCATAGACTGTACAATGACAGGTTCTTTACATTTTGTAGGTCGCGGCCATCTTTGATCGTGATGGAGTAACCCAACACTAATGTCTCGAGGCTGTCTGGGATAGTATATTCATTCAATGGACCGCGGAATCCAGTACCCAGACTCAATGACTTTAGTGATGCGGGGAAGCTGTCCCGACTGATAGGCTGGGCAAAGCTATCGCCAAAGGTCAACGATGTCAGACTTGACATCAAACGAATGAAGTAGATTGGTTGATTGAATTTATCGCCAAACGATATTGATTGTAGACGACTCGGGAAGACATCATTCAACAAGTTTTGGTCGAATGCCCAGCCCAGACGTAGATGGGTCAATGAGCGAGGGAGTGACGAGGGACCGAGCAACAGGGTGGTCGAGGGCAACTCTATCTGCTTGCTCCGGCACCCATAGTCAAATGATGTGAGCGACGTTGGAAGTGAGTCTTCGATGATCGGTCGACTAACGGAACTTAGTATGATCAATGTAGTGATCGAGTTGGGCAATGAGCCAGGTTGTATATCTTTGTAATATTGTTGGCCCAATGACAATGTCTTGAGTGTGCAGGGTAGGGAACCGGCCTTGAACTCTCGATCGAAACTATTACCAAACCTGAGTGTGATGAGCATCGGAGGCAACGTGCCTGGCTGTATCGGTTGATTGTAGAACTGGCCAAAGGTGAGCTCAGTGAGCGAGACTGGTAGGAATCCAGGTACAATCGGTTGATCATCATATATGCCCAAGGTCAACGACAGTGGGTGTGTGTCATCACCGCTTGGCGACATTGATGAACTACTACTCTTGTCATCGTCGTCGATTGCTGACGGTCCACGTCCAACATATTCTTTGTCATTGTCATTGAAGTGAGTCCACAATGACTTGCAAGACAATGCCAAGCAAGCCACGTCCACAGGGTCACTCAACACTCCAAGTATATCCTTCCACAACCGAATAGGTAGGACTAGTCGTTGATCCATCTATCTCTCTAACTCTTCAGAATTGAACTCTGTTGTCCCTGGGCATGAGATAAAGAAGATATCTTGTTCAACAAGGAGACAAACATTAAATTTTATTCGACTTTGAATAAAAAGTACCAATTTGAGCTTCAAGGTTCAATTTCCCAAGTGGAACAAGCTACTCAAAACACAACATCATCATCATCATCATCCCACATTATTCAATCATTCATTCATTCACCATCATCATCATTTACTCATATATAATATAAACAAACATTATTATTATTCATTGAAATGAAACAAGTACTATTGTTGGGATCGGGCTTTGTCGCAAGAGTATGATCAATCAATCAATCATTCACTCAATCCATGAATTGGAGCATCATCACTTACTCATTTACTCACTCACTCACTTATAATATATGTAGCCAGCAGTTGACTATCTCTTAAAGAGATCAGATGTACATCTTACCATTGGTATGTATGATTTAGTGTGATTGATGATATGTTTGGATGCAGAATGACTGACTCACTGACTGATTGACATAATCAATACAATTTAGTAAGTCTATTCCAGAATGAATTGGATAATATACAGACTCAACATGGAAATGAGAAGATCACCACTGTCCAGTTGGACGTGATGAACAACTTGGAGTCATTGAATGAGTACATTCCAAAGTCACTAGTTGTCATTAGGTATGTGATCAATCATTCGATCAATCAATCAATGAAGGACTGACGTTAACATTCAATCACACATAGTTTGTTGCCAGCAGTTATGCATGTACCAATCGCAAAGCTATGTATCCAACACAAGATACATTTGGTCACTGCAAGCTATATTAGCCCAGAGATGAGAGCTTTGGATGCTCAGGCCAAGGAGGCCGGCATTCTCTTGCTCAATGAGTTGGGTTTGGACCCAGGCATTGATCACATGTCATCGATGAAGATCATCGACGCTGCAAAGGAGCGCGGTGCCAAGGTCACTTCATTCATTTCCTGGTGTGGCGCTCTCCCCGCACCAGAGTGTGCCGACAATCCCTTTGGCTACAAGTTCTCATGGTCGCCAAGAGGCGTCCTCTCGTCGGCCTCGCTGTCGGCCACCTTCCTGTGGAACACAATCACCGAGTCGATCCCCGCTCACATCAAGTTCGCCGTGATGCAGCCCGTCACCATCAAGGACAGCGACGGAACCGTGCACGAGTTTGAGGGCGTGGCCAACCGCGACTCTCTGCCCTACATCGACGAGTATCACTTGAACCGCGCAGATGTCACCACTATGTACCGTGGCACCCTGCGCTGGAAGGGCTTCAGCGTAATGATCCGCGCTCTGGCCGCCATCGGCCTGTTCACATTGGTCAAGGACGATCGTCTCGCCAGCAACCCAGCATGGAAGACCTACATCTCACAGGTGCTGGCCTGCAACGACAACCCATCGGACATTGAATACTGCCTCGAGTCCACCATCAGGGAGGCCTTTGAGAAGCAAAAGAAGGAGTCCCAGGAGCACAACTTCAAGTTCCCAATCATTGAGCGCGACATCGACGCCGACGTCAAGTGCTCAATGGACGGCATCAAGTGGCTGGGCCTGTTGTCCGATGAGCCCGTCGTCAACAAGCAGACACCAATCGACACACTGTGCGCACTGCTCGAGAAGAGGCTGTCGTACGCAGGTGGCGAGCGCGACATTGTCGTCATGCAGCACGAGTTCATCATCGAGTCGACCAAGCCCGATGGCACCAAGTCCGTCGAGAAGGAGTACTCTCGTCTGATCTGCTATGGAAAGCCCAATGGCAGCACAGGTACATCACTCACCGTTGGTATCCCCGTTGGTATTGCCACCGAGCTCATCCTCGAAGAATCCGTCACCGCCCGTGGCGTCCACGGACCCGTCACACCAGAGTTCTACCTTCCCATCCTCGACAGGCTCAAGGGTGAGGGTATAGAGATGGTCGAGTTCACTGCCTAATTAATTAACACAACCAATCTTTGTGGCTACTTAATCGATGGACTATTCATTTGACTATATTGATTCATTGATTGATTGATAGGATGCTACCTTGTACATTGACATTAGGTGAGGGGTACTTCTGAAAGATCGAGTCTCAAACCATTGGCAGCTCCTACACAGTGGACGATGATGTTTGGACCATGTGCTGCACCTTCTACCAAACTCAATGGGACCTCTAAACAGGATACGTTGGGGAATGGCTCCTGGATAGGTTCGTGATGTGGAGTATATTGATGGTGATGGAAACTATTGGAACTAGGTTCTGGAAATATACATGTTGCCAACCTGGTTGAAGTTGAGCTCGATGTCTAAACAACCGTGACATTGTTACAAGATTATCCTCTGACTGGAGGAACAACTGGTGTAACTCATCAATCTGCTGCTGGATTGGTTCAATCTGGTTTGCAGCAATTTGAGCTTTGGTTTGCTCCCAGAATGCAGTTAGTAGATTGGTCTGGCAGAAGAGATAGATCATTCCACCATCTCTGTGATCAAAGAGAATTCCAGTTTCCACACCAGCTTTGTTGAGTCTTTGATAGAGTAGTTCATTGTTCATTCCAAATGCTGATGAACTGATCTCTAGCCAGAACTCGGGTGCAACGTTACACCAACCCTCCTCTTGGATTTTGGGTGGGACAAGGTTCAAACGGGCTGGAGACATAAATGCTGCATCCGGATGCCTTCATTAAATTATACTAGTAAATGATAACTTACTATTAAGAGTGATTATCAAATAACTTACATTTTTGGAGTACCTTGGCGACATGGAAGTGGAGCTAGGGCGGAAAGGATAAACTTTACTGAGGAGTCAAATACCTTGCCGTCATTATTGTTATCGTCTTTCCAGTTGTAAACTTGTTTAACAAAATTTCCGTTCTTATAAGACGATCTTAAAGAATTGCCTTTGACACTCAAGGTCTTGTTTCCTTCTGATTCCAAGTGAAAGTTGTCATTGTATTTGATTATCTGGTCTATATATATATCTGTAGGACTTAAATCCAACTCGTCGTCTGAGAGAGCAGGGAAGAAAGGAGATACATCTATCTCTGATGAGATAGGAATTGTGATCTGATGTGTACAGAGAGGATTGTACTCTGGAAATTTGTAACTATTATTGATAGAGATAAACTTATTATAATTAGATTTACTATAACTCCAACTTTCAGGCAAGTCTAGAGTAATATAATCTATAAACTCATCCATTTGAAAGTTGTAAGTTGAAGGTGATAAAGAGAGGAATGAATGAATGAACAATGAATGGTGGAGTGGTGAATGTAACAAGTTGAAGTTTGTTTTATTTATTAATAAGGAAATTAATCTATGAACTTCGAGTGTGGTCTAAACATTCGTTCAGTTGATTGATTGGTTGATTGGATAGGACATTACAACTAAGTCTTGTAATAATGATAAAAATTCCCATATAATATATTACCACACACACACAAACAATTGCTGTCAATCAATCTGAACAAACTTAAGAGGACCTCGTTTTTCAAAATGAATGTGATTCGGTCGACTGTTCTTTCTTTTCATTATTGTCACTCACTTACTTAATTATTACGCGTATTAATAATAAACAGATAAAAGATAAAGATAATCAAAGATGATGAGAAAGGCATTGAGTCGTTCTTTGCTTAGCACTGTCAATCAATCATTGAGACCATCTTCATCCGTTGTCTCATCAACTGCTGGAGGTCTCCTGTTCAGACCACATCTATCCTCCTCACTCTCCAAGCTCTATGTATGTTATGTTATGTTTGTTTGTTGTAATAGCATCATCATTCATTCGCGCGACTAACTCAACTCAACTCAACTCAACTCAACTCAACTCAACTCAACTTACTCGGAACTACTTACACAGGTATCCCCAGTCACCAACAGATTCAATGAGTTGAGAAACTACTCAACTGAGAAGAATACTAATGAAGATGGAGAGGATAAGCCAGAGAGGAATATATTGTTGGAGCAAGACCCAATTGAGGAGACTGAGAAGGTCGTTGGAATGGCTGACACTCATCAGTTCCAAGCAGAGACTCAGAAGATCTTGCACATCGTGGCCGAGTCATTGTACACAGAGAAGGAGGTGTTCATCCGTGAGTTGGTGTCCAACGCCTCGGACGCCATCGAGAAGGCGCGTCACATGCAGCTGCTCAATCAAAAGATCATGAACGACGACGTTCCTTTTGAGATCCGCATCGCCACTGACGAGGAGAAAAAGACGCTGATCATCCAAGACACGGGTATCGGCATGAACAAGGAGGAGCTCATTCGCAACCTTGGTCGCATTGGATACTCGGGCACTGGCGAGTTCATCAAGAACCTTGGCGAGAACCCCGACAAGGCCAGCATCATCGGACAGTTTGGTGTCGGTTTCTACAGTTGTTTCATGGTGGGTCACTCGATCAAGGTGTACTCGCGCGGCGCCGCACCAGGCAGCAAGGGCTACCTGTGGGAGTCGGACGGAGCAGGCTCATACTCCATCTCGGAGGCTGACGGCGTGTCACGTGGAACCAAGATCATCATCCATCTCAAGCCCAACGCGTACGAGTACGCCAAGAAGGCCACAGTGGAGGCTGTCATCAAGAAGTACAGCAACTTTGTCGGCTTCCCAATCGTGTTGAACGGCACCCCCGTCAACACCATCCGTCCACTCTGGACGCTTGCCAAGTCGCAGGTCACCGAGGAGGAGCACAAGGAGTTCTACCAGTTCATCTCCAAGTCGTTCGACGTGCCCACATACCGCATCCACTTCTCCACTGACACACCACTGAGCATCAGATCACTATTCTACATCCCCAGCCAGCACGTCGAGAAGTACGGCATGGGTCGCATGGAGCCTGGCGTGGCTCTGTTCTCACGCAAGGTCATGATCCAGCAGAAGGCCAAGGGCATCCTTCCAGACTGGATGCGTTTTGTGCGCGGAGTCGTCGACAGCGAGGACATCCCACTGAACGTCTCTCGTGAGCATCTCCAGGACAACGGTCTGATCCAGCGTATCAGCTCCGTGCTGGTGAAGCGTATTCTCAAGCAGCTGAGCGACGAGGCCAAGAACGACCCGGTCCGCTTCGACACTTTCATGGCCGAGTTTGCCGGCTTCTTCAAGGAGGGTATCATCACCGACTTCAAGTGGAAGGACGAGATCGCCAAGATCCTGCGCTTCGAGTCGTCATTCCTGCCCGAGCCCACCGCTGACCAGCCAACACCCAACAAGAACACATCGCTCGAGGAATACGTGAAGCGTATGGCTCCAGAGCAGCAGTACATCTTCTACGTCACCGTGCCAAGCCGCACCGTCGCCTTGTCCAGCCCATACTACGAGCCCTTCAAGGCCAAGGGCATCGAGGTGTTCTTCCTCTTCAACACGCTCGACGACTTTGTCTTCTCAAACATTGGCCACTTTGGCGACAAGAAGATCGTCTCAGTCGAGTCGAAGGAGGCCCAGGAGTTCCTGGCCGCCGGTCAGGAGAAGCAAGAGGACACCCTGTCGCAGACCGAGGTGTCAGCCTTCTTGCAGTGGATCACCGACACTGTTGGCAACAAGATTGCCATGGCCAAGCCATCGACCCGCTCGCTGTCACAGCCCGCCATCGTCGTCGACCATGAGTCGGCCACATTCCGTCGCATGATGAAGATGATGGACCCAAGCAAGCAACACGAGATCCCCAAGCAGCAGGTCGAGTTCAGCATGAACCACCCAATCGTTCTGAAGCTGAACCAGGTCAGGACCACCGATCCCGCCGTTGCCAAGTTGGTTGCTGAACAAATTGTAGATAATGCTCTCGTCGTCGCTGGACTCTACGAAGACTCCAGAGAGATGGTTCCACGTCTGAACCAACTTCTTGAGCAGGTTCTTGGTAAATAAACAACAACATCAACAATAACAACCTTTATCTGTTCTTTAGCCAAAGTATGTATATTGATTGATTGATTGAATGATTTGAGTATGATCAGCCAATGGGGGACCAAGGGATGATTGATTACATGGTGTCGATGTGGACATTCTGGTAGAGCTGAGTGTACTGCTCAAAGAACTTGCTAAAGAGGTTGATGGCGTGGGTCAGATCCTTGGTGCCACAGGTCTCGCGGATGCTGTGCATGCTGAGCTGTGGGCTGCCAATGTCGACGGTCTTGATACCGTAGGCACCAGAGATGATGGGACCAATGGTCGAGCCACATGGCGAGTCGTTCTTGACGAGGAACTCCTGGACGGGGATGTTGTTGCGCTTGGCAATCTCGAGCACGATGAATGCCGATGTGCTGTCGGTGGCGTAGCGAAGGTTACAGTTGTACTTGATCACTGGGCCCTTGTTCATCTGTGGACGGTGCAGTGGCTCGTGGTGCGACACGTAGTTGGGGTGCACGGCATGCGCCATGTCGGCAGAGATGAGGAACGACTTGCGCAGCGAGAGGTCCGACAGCTGGTTGACGTCGTCTGTGTTGCTGGCGAAGCAGAGGTTGACACGCTGCACAGTGTCAGTGATGAGTGGAGCGCAGGCGCCCTGTGGGGACGACGAGCCGACCTCCTCATTGTCAAAGAGCACGACGGCGAGCACGCTCTCCTCGTTCTTGAGATGCTCGTCCGAGACGTTGAGCAGTGCCTGCACGGAGCAGTACGACATGTTCAGATTGTCGAGACGTGGAGCGTGGATGAACTCGTAGAGAGCACCACCGATGGCGGCTGGCTGCGTGTCGCAGACAGAGAGATCAAAGTTCTGGATGTCCTCGACCTTGCACTTGAGCTCGTCGGCGAGCACCTGCAGCAGCAGGGGGTGGTGCTTGTCTGCGGCGCCACACTCGGCACCGACCAGCTTAGACTCGACCTGGCTGGCAATGATTGGCACCAGATGGTTCTGGGTGTTGTACTTGAAGCCATCGGTGTTGACCGAGCGATCGAGATGAATGGCCAGCGATGGGATCTTGAGAAGTGAGCGCTTGACATGCACCAACCTGGACTCAAACACGCCCTCTGACACACGAACAATCACTCTTCCAGCCACAGTAAGGTCGCGATCGAACCAAGTGTACCACAAGCCACCACCGTACATCTCACAACCGACCTGGAGGTATCCCACCGAGTCAGCCTTTGAGATTGGTCGCACTCTAAGGTTTGGTGAATCTGTGTGAGCGGCAGCAATAGCGAATGGATTGCCTCCGACCTAAGATTGATCAACCTAATGTTAGTGATTGAGTTGATTGATTGATTGAGTAAATGAATGAACACATACAAACTTGGCACCGACGGCAAAGGCAGAGATACAGCTCTGATTACGAATGAAGTAGTACTTGTTGCCTGGCTTGACGTCCCACTTTGTTGTCTCGGACAACTGCTTGTAGCCCTTCTTATCGAGCTGTGCAGCCAACACTGCTACTGCGTGATAGGGGGATGGAGCATCATCAATGAACTTTATGAAGTTGCAAGCTGTCTGATCCTTATCCATTGTGTATAGTATTATGTATTTTGTATTTATATATGTTACTTGTACTTGTAATATCTGAATATGTGTCAAATTGAACTTGAACAACAAACTCTTGAAGGCTTGGGATCTGGTCCCACTTTGGCATGATCAAGATCACTCAACGAACATAGACATAATGTTTGTTGGACAATGAGTAGACTTAATCGTCCTGTGGATACCACATCATCAACAACAACTACTACTACAACAAGTACATCATCACATGATCAAGAGGAACATGACCTAGTACTAGACAACCCAAGCTTTGAGTTTGCCCTCCCCATCGAGGCCTCCACCATGCTCCTACTCAACGAGTTGATGGACTCTGATCAATATATGGACCAGCTGCCACTTCAGCTAAAGACCATCGCTATGTATGTTGTTGAAGTCAAGCCAAGCAAGTCATGAATAGTCCCGAATATTCAAACTTACTGACCACTATCTCCGAAGTCTTGATGTTGTTGACAATCAATATAAAGTTGCATTGGTGAGCTATAACAACTGTAGACTTGTATTGGACACGAGTGATTGTGCCACTGCACCGCCACACTCGATCGGATCACTTCATCACTTCATTGGAGAGCTACTTGGTGCGGGATCTGTCGGCTCAGACTTGGTATGTATGATGTCTGACCCAACCCAACCCTCACTAACATCATCTATTCAATGAACTACAGAGAGAAAGGATTGTCAAGTGCTTCGAGAGACATGATATACCATTGGATGGTGAGCCTGCACTTCTGGAGCATTTCGTAATGCGTCCACGTCTTTATCGCAATATCGAAGGCACAGATACCAACCTCTTCGAGACTGCATTGTCCCTTCAAAGGCATTTCATGAATACACTTGTTTAGTCCAAAGAATATTGGGCCATACACTAAAGCTGGATGTTGAAAGCTCGACATGCATGCAACTATATCTCGGAGATTCCCTGGTTCGACAATGACGACCAAGTGATTGGGATTGTTTGAGTGAGAGAGAGAGTGATTGTCACGCACTTTGGTAAGTCTTTAGTGTAAGCTTGCACTCATTTCATTTATTATGGGTATAGATATAGTTAGACAATAGCTGGCCACCATCCAATAGTCAGACAGACAGACTGGATGGATGTCGGGGTCTTGATTTGGTGGGCCTAGATTCTAGCCCTCCTGAGCAAGGACCTTGACGCGTGCGCCGCCAATGGGATTGATTGATTTGGTGAAAGGACATCCAGACAGATAGAAAGAAAAGAGATAGAGAGTAGTGGTGGTGTAATGGTAGTTGGTAGGTTGATAGTAGTTTACATCGCAGGCTGGTTGTTTCTTCTTTGGTCGTTATATTTCTTCATCTTCTCGGCAAAGTGGCTGTGGAGGTCGGATTGGTTGACCTCGGAGCCCGTCAACCATTGGTCCTCCAGGCATCGCTTGGCGGTGAATCTCTGCTCTGGGTCCTTGACGATCAGGTTGCGGATGAATGTCTTGGCGGGCTCAGACACGTGTGTCCACTCGGGCTCGGGGAAGTCGTAGTCGGCCGTCAGAATCTTCTCAAACAGCAGGTTCTGGCTGGAGGCGTAGAAGGGTGGGAAACCACAAAGTAGAATATATGTGATGACGCCGATGCTCCACATATCGACGGCATTGTCGTAGCTGCCTCCAGTGAGCACCTCTGGTGCCACGTAGTCTGGTGTGCCACAGCTTGTCTCCAACTGCTCGCCGCCACCAAATATCTTGCTCAGACCAAAGTCTGCAATCTTAATCACCATGGCATCTCCATCGCCTGAGCATAGCAGGTTCTCTGGCTACAAGTGTGTTATATTGAACAAACGTTGTTAAGTTTGTTAGTTAATGTGTCAGCAAGAACACCTTGATGTGATGGGATCATCCCAATCGATCAATCAAACATACCTTCAAATCTCTGTGAGCAATACCTTGAGAGTGGAGGTACTCAACACCTGCGCAGACCTGTCTAACAACATTACGAGCATCCTTCTCTGTGAATGATCCTCTCTCGACGATCTTATAGAACAACTCTCCTCCTGTGACCCTGTTATTGTTGTTGTGTGCCATACATGTTAGCCAAGTTGATTGAATGAATGAATGAATGAATGTATACGTACAACTCCATGACAAGGGTGAGATGGCTATCACTCTCGTAGATCTCCTTGAGGGCCAGGACGTTTGGATGACTGACCTTCTTCATGATGTCAATCTCACGTCTGAGTTGCTCAATGTGCTTCTTCTTGACAAACTTCTTCTCGATATATTTCAAAGCGACCTTCTCTGTACCATTCTTCTTTGTGCCCTCACGCACAACTGAGAATGCACCTCTGCCCAACTCCTTTCCAACGACGTAAAAGTCCTCAACATTACCAGCTGATATGTCATCTATATTGTTTGAATATGCCAAGTCAATATCATGATATGTATGATTGATTGAATCAATGAATCAATGAATGAATGATACCTACTGATTGATGAGATCTTCTCTTCAGCGCGCACCTCTGCAGTCTTTGTGGCAGAGTTTGATCCACTGCTGGTAGTGGTGCTGGTAGTCTTTGGACTGGTGTCTCTTGGTGGTTTCTCTTTACCCAAACAAGCTCCCATTATTGTTATATATTAAAGAGTTATATAAGTAAATAAGTAAATAAGTAATAAAGATATGAATGAAAAGTAATAAATGAATGAATGAATGTGTGTGGTTGTGGTGGGACTTTGATTGAATGAATGAATGAAAAGAATGGATGTCTGTCTCTCTCGTGAGTATTAGTGTGTGTTTGTGCGTGTGTGAGGTAAGAAGGGGACAGAGAGAATGAGGAGGCAGTTGTAGTGTTTTTTGTTGGGTCATTTTGGTTTTTTAATATATTTTTAGTCATTTTGTGAAGTGATTGTGAATCTAATCATCGTTTTTGGGGTGTGGGCGTTGGGGGAGAGACCAAACTAATAGGCCTCACTAAAACCACACACGTCTTTGATCATTGATCAAGGTCCACAAATCTGTATCGTGTCGTGTAAACATACAAACACACGTCACACACCATTGTACTTGTATCACTATCATGACTGTTGCCGGAATTCATTCATTCGTTGATTGACAATGAGTTGTGACCCTTCACGTCAATGATCATGATCAATCCTTATTCCAAAATATCGATCATCTTGATCAAAGTTTGTAAGTTAAGTGTCATTTACATGTTTACAGATAAATATATAAATAATATTATAAAAAGAATATCAATAATAAAGTTTGACGGAAATGATTGATGGTCATGTAATATTCATGTTCAAATAATTCCAAAATAGGGATATTTGATCAAATATCCAAAGTGGGTGTGTGTTTGATTGAATAAATGATTGTTGAGTGAGTGTGTTGTGTGTGTGTGTCACTTACATTCGCGCATTGATCAAGTTGAGTTCACCCCCCCATTCACATTCTTTATCATTAACAACATTGTAATAATAATAATAATAATAACTAACTTGTACTATATATATTATCTATCTCAATTATCTCTATCTAACAATGTCGTCGACGACAAGTACTAGGATAAATAATATTAATGAATTACCTGTGGACACATTGGTCAAGTTGTTCACTTATGTCAATAGGACTAATAATGCATCGTATTGGTTGGTGAACCATGCATTGGTGTGTCGTCTGTGGACTGAGAAGGTGCTGCCGCAGGCATGGCACGAGTTGTCAATCTCCACCAATCAGCCACCCGACCCCCTCATCTACTATTATGAGCGCGGAATCATTCCGGGCGGCCAACCACTGCTCTACCGCCGTCTGGTGATGCGCGTCGGCAAGGTGGCCGAGTACCTGGACATCCTCAAATCACTGACGACGGTGGACCTGCGCAACAACCCGTCGACCAACTCGATAGTCGATCGCCTGGCCGACACGCTCAAGTCCAACACATCGATCACCAGCCTCAACCTGTACAACAACCGACTGATGCACAAGGGCGGCATCACGATCGCCAAGGCACTGGAGCGCAACACCCATCTGCAGCATCTGGACCTTGGCCTGAACATGCTGGGCACGAATGGCGGTCAGGCCATCGGCGAGATGCTCAAGAAGAACGCGTCGCTCACACACCTCGACCTGTCGTCCAACCAGCTTGGCATCCGCGGCGCAGGCCCCATCGTCGAGGCGCTCAAAGTGAACAAGGCGCTCAAACTGCTCGTGCTGCACTCGAACCAGCTGCGCGATGAGTGCGCTCTGCCCCTGGCAGACGTGCTGCGCCAGAACGTCGGCTTTGTCCAGCTCGGCCTCAACGACAATGAGATCGGCGCCAAGAGCGGAGTGGCGTTGGCACGCAACCTCAAGACGATGAAGGCGCTGTCCCAGTTGGACTTTGGCAAGAACGAGCTGGGCGACGATGGTGGCCTGGCCATGGCCGACACGATCAAGGCCAACAAGGCCATCACAGCGGTCAATCTCAGCTGGAACAAGTTGGGTGCCAAGGCGGCCAAGGCCATCTCGGACGCGATCAAAGTCAACACATCAGTCACAACATTGGACCTCAGCTTCAACAACATTGGCAGCGAGGGACTCATCGCGCTTAGCGAGGCGCTCAAGACCAACAAGTCAATCTGGTATCTGGACTTGAGCCGTGTGACCTCGGGCAGTGATGGCCACATCGCCCTTGCCGGCGCATTGCAGGTGAACAACACACTACAGCATCTGGACCTCAACAACTGCAAGATGGCCAACGATGCTGGTATCGCCATCGCCCAGGCGCTCGTGGCCAACCGCACTCTGTCCACTCTGGTGCTATCCAACAACAACACGTTTGGCAAGGAGACGCTGGCTGCATTTGGCCAGACACTGGCCACGAATCGCGCACTCATCAATCTTGCATTCGCCACATGCGCACTCAACGCCGAAGCTGTCGAGGCACTGTTCACCTCGCTGGCACAAAACAAGTCACTCATCCGTTTGGACGTGTCAGGTAATCCGCTGGGTCCTGATGGAGGCGCAGCCATTGCGCGTCATCTCCAGACGGCGCCACTACTAGAATTGGTGTTGCAGAACTGCCAGCTGGGTGGCACTGGCGCCACCGCCGTGCTGGGCGCACTGTCCACATCACTTCAATCAATTGATCTGTCCAACAATCAGATCACACCCAACGCTGGCGCGGCGCTCACTCTGGCACTGTCAGCTGGACATCTTAGCAAGGTGAACATCGCCAGCAACAAGCTGGACGATGACAACACACAACAATTGAGCTCAGTGTTCCAGACCACTCGCTCACTTATCCACATCCAAATGGTGTCCAATCAGTTCTCCAAGGCATCAAACAACGCCCTGCTCAATGTCATCAAGAAGAACAAGTCCATCTTCTTCTACGACCTTGTCGAGGAGATCTAAGCTTGGAGTCCTCTTCCAATCCCGTGTCGCGAATAAATGTCTGCGTCCTGTCTACTGTCACATCAATGATCCATCATCAATCCTTTATTTATACGTTGATCTGTCGACTGCTCTCGCGAGCAAGTCCATTGATTGATCGCCTTCGCTCTCTAGTCTCTTCTCTGTTGATGATTGATTGATGTATGAGTTAGTGAGCAGACCGCGTTCGCTGGGCCATCCAACGTGTACTTACTCGTCAGCTCATAGATCGCTCTGTTTGTACGCTTCTCCAACTTGTTTAGCTTCTTCTCAACGTCTCGCTTCAGGTCCCAGTTGGCCTTCCTTGGCATGAGTGACAAGTCGTCCTGTGCATTGGCAGCACCACTCTCCAACAGTTGTAGCTTGGCCAATATCTCCTCGACAACAGGTGGTACCTTGCTCTTTGGCAGTCTGTACTTTACAAGTGTGGCCTCTCTTGGTGCATAGTTCCTAAACTTCAATCCACTATATATATGATGTACATCATTGGATGTTAGTATCACCTCTATGATTCATTCATTCAATCATTCAATCTAATGACAACTTACACATGATTTGTCTCCTCAATGGCCTTGGCATGGCGTGCATTTGCAGCGGCTGATGTACCTTGTTCAACATGATCCTCATCCTCGTTGTTGTTGTTGTTGTTGTTGTTGTTGTTGTTGTTGTTGTTGTTGTTGTTGTGTTCAGTGTCCTCTGGTTCACTCCTCTTCTTAAACACGATGGCTCTTCTTATGACTCCACCGCCACCATTGTTATTGTTATTATTGTTGACATCCCCTTCTTCCTCTTCTGGTATTGGCAGTGACTGTTTGAACTGTTCATCTACAACATCATCAACATCGTTGGTTGCATCATAACCTCCACCACCAACATCATTATCATCATCTTTATCATCTGTTGTTACAGCTGCTGTCATCTCTGTGTTGGAGGGTGTCTCTTCAACTGCCTCCTCTTCTTTATCCTTCATAGTGGCATCTTCATTGTGGTTGTTGTTGTTATTATTATTATCGGCATGCTTTACACTCTTCTTCTTCTCCTTTGTCACTGTCTTTATCTCTGTGTCATCACCAATGATTGATCGTTGTTGTTGTTCTTGTTCTTGTTTATCTTGTGTGTCCTTCACCTTCTCAATCTGTTGTTGCTGCTGTTGTTTATCATCATGCTCCTTCTTGAACACCTTTAATGCTTCTATAATATCAACGTTCTATGATGATGTCAAAGTGTCAGTTCAATCATTCATTCAATCATATCAATCAATCAATCAATCATTCATTCAAACATACCTTTGATGTAGCCTTTATTGGCAACTTAAACTCTTTACATAGTCTTTGAAGATCATTCCTCTTCAATGTACTCAATGAGTTCCAATCTATATCATCCACTGCTGTTGTAGATGTTGAATGTTCATCATCCGATGCTTGTTGTGATGCTTGTTGTGACATCTTTATATATCTATCCTATAAATATATATTTGATTGGTTGAACAACCTTTGATTTAAAGTATTCTCAGTTTGCAAGTTCACAACCTTTGACGAAACATACTCAATCATAACCCTACCCATACCCTTACCCTCGACCTTTAACCTTTGACATTACCATCGAACTACATTATTGGTCTTTGTGTGTGTTTGAGTAGTACTCATTCATCACACTCATTCTAAAGAGTGTTAATGACGAGCCTACTATAATAGGCAATCAAGGTTCCATGATTGATAGGCGTGGTCAGAACTGTCCATTGACAGATGAAGGGGGAGTTGGTTCTTTGCCAACAACAAACAATGTTGTAGTTGTAAAAAAAACAAAAACAAATAACATGTGATGATGATGTGTGTGTATGTGTGTATGGACCACCCGACTCTACCTTACTGACTTGACAACACAAGGATAGACCTTGAGCATGAGGACCCCACCTTGAAGACCAAGGATGGGAAGTGAGAGATTGGATGAATGATTGTGGCGCGATGTAGTTTGGTCCATCAACACAATTCACTCTATTCAATTCAATTCAATTCAATACTCATCTTCCCCATCACTATCTTGTCATCACTATCGATACATGTACACACATATTAATTATAATTATTATTATACTTTGACAACAATAACAACAACAACATTATAGGATAGAATAGGATACAGGGTATACTTGATTGATTCAACAACAACAATATAATACACCATTGATATCGTCAACATCATCACATTCGCGACAACAGAAGAGAAAGACGACAACGATGAGTCAAAGTACGGGTCAGAAGCTTCTGAGGCTGAGACCTGGTCTGAGTCTCAGTCTTCGGAGTTGTCACTTAGTACATATCATATTAGTAATGCTCTCAACATTACTCGTTAATGTAAATGCTGGTATGTTTGATCAATCCATCATCACAAGTCACATGTCACTAACTCAATCAATCGACTCAATCAATCAAACATGCTAGATTGGACACCAAACACATTGTCCAACATGGGAAATAGAGCTAATAGATATGGACATTGTACAATAGCAGTTCAAACGAGTCTATTATTCGATCAGAACAAAAACAATGATAAAGTACTTGCTGTAGATGATTCATCATTTACCTCCAGCTCATCTTCATCATACCCTGTCAACGACAGTGTATGGATATATGGTGGAGCCGATCAATACAGCAATCAACTTATTGAAGGATTGTTCATCTTAGAAGGTATGTTCGTTCACTCAAGGTTCATGATCAATCACTCACTCACTCACTCACTCATTCAATCACGATCATTCAATCAACTTAAAGATATAATCGAGGGCACATATCAGTGGTATGATCTGACGGGCAATCAAGTTCCACAGGCACGCTGGGGCCACAGTTGTAATAAGTTGAATGAGACTACTATATTGGTGTATGGAGGTAACCTTGAAGCATCGACATTGCCCATCAACTTTGCTCAATCACTAGAACTAGGCAATGACCTTTGGCTCTACGACATCACCAACAACACATGGACAAAGTTGTCACAGGATCAACAACTCAATCAATCAAACATCACCGATATCATCGTCAACGACACCGGCAACAGTACCAACAACACCAGCAACTCAACAACATACTCAATACCTGAACCAAGAGCATTTCACGCGACTGCCACTAATGGTAGTTACTTATTCTTGTTTGGCGGATTATCAAACAGCAGCCAGACGTTGGGCGACTTTTGGATATACAACATCCTGAATCATTCATGGGTCAATATGACACGAGCCCAGGCACACTCGCTGACCGACGGCAGCGAGCTGTTCCCCTCGCCGCGCTTTGGCCACTCGGCCTGCATGATCAACGGCAAGTTTGTGATCTTTGGCGGCTCGTCCTCGGTCAACATGACCAGCATCCTCGGCGATCTCTGGATGTTTGACCCAGTCGCCTCCAAATGGACCTACCTCAACAACTTCCTGGGCCGCGCCTTCCACAGCATGGCCATCGACAGCAAMCACAAACGACAAGATGTTCATCTATGGCGGSGCGTCAACAACATGTTCACTCTGTCCGACTTTCTGGGTGTTTGACATTGACAGCGGTCGTGGTCCGCCATCCAGCCCGACACCATCACACCGTCCTCCGCCTCTGGTGCCACACTGACCTTTATCCCATCGCTCGAGACTCTGTTCCTCTATGGCGGTGTGGATTCCAACAGCGCCTCCTACTGGATCTATGATCTCCTCTGCGATTGCAACGAACGAGGTGGATGTTTCTATGGAATGTGTCGGTGTTTCTCTGGTTACTTTGGCAACTATTGTGAGAACTCAAGTATGTCCCTCAATCACTTCAATCATTCAATCAATCATATGTCATGTGACTAACTCTTGCCCCAACCCTCTTACTCTAGTTGATGGACCCATACTCTTAGGCCTTGGACTGGCCATTTGTGTACCAATATTATGCTTTGGATGGTGTGCGCTACGTTGCACTGCACTTCCAACAAGAATTAAGGTGTTGATGATATCTTTAACTGTATGTCAATCAATCAGATGATCACATGATCACATGATAACAACATGATCACACATACTAACAACCTCAATCAAACATAGATACTTGCATGCTGTTTATTCATATCGATACAGACTTCGTTGGCCTCATGGCTACCAGTTTGTATTCTATCCTTGTTGACAGGAGTCTGTGGACTATATGGCATAATGAGGAGCAAGAGTTACAAAGTACTTTTATATGTATGTTCATCATTCGACTGGCGAGCTGGCACATTGGCATGCTGGACACGCTGATACTAACATCACACAACCATGTTACACAGATCACCATCGCAGATGTAGCAAGTCTTGGTGCGTGCGCACTTGGATTGATCTCATACTTGCCATCATGCATGCTTGGAAACTGTCGAAACGAGTATGTGTGGCCACCAACGGATGGCATTCGCGCCCAATCACTCACTCACCAACTCACTAAATCAATCACTTTAGTTCGAACCAACCTTGGCTTCCAAAGTACGCGATAATAATGGCATTTATAGAGGGTGCAGTGATGATATTGATACTGCCATTGAGTTTGAAGTTGTATAGACATAGACGATTGATTGAGACGATCTCAAGACATCCACTCAACTCCAATCGCATGTTCCTCAACAATGAGTTGACGGGACTGAACCCACTAATCAAGAAGCTCACCGACGATGACTCCTCCTCCAAGGACTACAATCAAAAGGCCTTGGACTACCTGACCAAAGAGCATCAATTGCGCACCGAGCTAAACAGGATACGTATCTCAAAGGCAACAGAGTAAGTGGCATCACTCACAATCAATCAATCAATCAATCAGTCAATCATACTAACTACCATCACAACAGAGAAATAAGGATAAGAGTTGACAGAGCCAACGTGTTTGAGGACACATTCAATCAACTGTCGATCTTGCCATCGAGCCATATTATACAGAACATCAATGTCAAGTTTGTTGGAGAGGAGGGCATCGACATGGGAGGACTCAAGAAGGAGTGGTTCACACTGCTCTTCAAACATTTGTTTGATCCCTCCTTTGGCCTGTTCCTAACCAATGCCAATTACACACTCTCGTTCAATCCCAACTCACACGAGCACAGCGATCACCTGGCCTACTTCTACTTTGCTGGCCGCATGGTGGCCAAGTGCGTGTCGGAGGGCATCCACCTCGACCACACATTCACGCGCATCGTCTACAAGCTCATACTTGGTGAGCAGGCCACGCTGGAGGACCTGATGCACGTCGACGCAGAGTTCTACAAGAGCTTGAACTGGATACTCGAGAATTCGATCGAGGATATGGAGGAGGTCACTTTCAGCACGACGGTCGTGGCCAACAGCACGGGTGAGCCAATCGTGGTCGACCTGAAGCCGGGCGGCCGCGACATTGTCGTCACGGAGGACAACAAACAGGAGTTTGTCAAGCTGCTAGGCGAGTGGCGCATCAAGCGCGACATCACTGACCAGTCCTACCAGTTTGTGCTTGGCTTCCGCGAGATCATCCCCATTGAGCTGATCGACAAGTTCACTGAGTGCGAGTTGGAGCTGTTCATGTGCGGCCTCACAGAGATCGACATCAACGATTGGAAGACCAACACCGTGTACCGCGGCTACAACGCCAGCAGTCAGGTGGTCGAGTGGTTCTGGCAGGTGGTCGAAGAGATGGAGATGGAGGGTCGCGTCCGCCTGCTCCAGTTTGTCACTGGCAACACCAGACTGCCGCCCTCTGGTTTCCAAGGTCTGATTGCCGCCGATGGACCAACTCGATTCCAAATCCACAAGTCCTATGCACTCGACAACAATATTCCAATAGCAAGAACATGGTAAGTAGTGTGTGATGTAGTCAATCAATCAATCAACTAACAATCCCTCCCCTCCTCTCCTCCCCCTTGTCCAATTATTCTAGCTTCAACAGACTGGATCTTCCAAACTATTCAACCAAGGAGAATCTTCAGAGAGCGATATTCATTGCGATCCATGAGGGACTTCCTGGATTTGGATTGGCCTAAATCTAGATTTCTCCCATTTTATTTGTCAATAAAGTTTACTTTATTGTCATGCCCATCTTTGCATGGATCATGCAGATAGTTAAATCTATTTTCCAGATTATCAATCATCAAGTAACACTCAAGAACCATATGAATGTTATGTATATATATTAATTTGGACTTATTATTTATTTATTAATTATCTCTATCTTTGTCACAACATGGATAAATTACCTATAATAGTTATAAATAATATTTGTCAATATTTTGAATCAACAAAGTTGACTTATCAACTTATTGATTTAAAAACTGATTTAATTTGTTTATCTTTAACATGTAGAAGACTTTTAAATATTATTATAAAGAGACATAAAGAGTTTATTTCAACTCATTCTTTAGACTATTCTAAAACAAATGATAATAATTTATTATTACCTCTACAATCAATAACAGAATTATATTGTAATGATTTTGATCTATGTACATTTGATAAATTCCCATCACTACAAAATATTCTTTTTCATAAATATTTTACTAGACCAATCAATACATTGAATTTTCCTCATACTATTAGAATTATTACATTTATGGAATTCAATCATCCTTTATTAAAAGGTGATTTACCCGAAGGATTAGTAGAGTTATATTTTAATCAAACATATTACCAAAAGGTTACAAAAGATAGTTTACCAAGTAGTTTGGAAAAAATATCCGCTGGTGATCTATACCCAATATCACCAGGAGTCTTACCTTCAGGATTCAAGTCTCTTCATATTTTAGGAACATATAATATCAATATTAATAATAATAATTATTATTTTAGATTTACACCTGGATCAATTCCTGAAGGAATGACTACACTTGTCATACATTGTTCTGATCTAGCAAATTTAACCAAAGGAGTTCTTCCTTCAACTTTGACTAGACTCATAATGCATTATAAAAAAATTGATCATTTCACAATATGGAATCCAAACATTCTCCCTAGATCATTGAAAAGCCTATCAATCAGAACAAATGACCAAGGACTAAATGTAGAGTTTATAAAAGATTTACCAAGTTCAATTGAATATTTGGATGTAATGATAAATCGATTTGGCTCTACAGATCATAGAGATATTTTTCCAACCTCATTGACAAAGTTGGATTTATCTATTCCCAATGATATGTTCTTCTATAATTTACCTTTGAATATCACTTCTTTGAATCTAATAAGCCCAAATTTTCACCATAATGATCCAAATTATTTTTTACCTCCTGGCTGGTTACCAAACTCATTGGAATCACTGGAATATATAAATTCCCCTCGACTTATTCCAAATTCCCTCCCAAGAAACCTTCAAAAACTATCATTGACTAGTTATAATTATGATATTGAAAAAGGAGTTCTACCCAATACATTGACATATTTAAGAATTGTTCGATATGAATATAATATTTTTTTGAGACCTGGAGTGATCCCTACTGGTTTAATTACACTGGATTTGCCTCGAAATTATTTCAAGTTTAATAGATCCACTGGTACCATTCCAGATTCAATAGAGTCTTTGAGTTTGGAGGATGATGATCCAATCCCATTTAATCTTCCCAAAAATTTAAAGATATTAAWTAACTCATACAACTAAACAATTGGAGAAACTTCAAACAAAATCACCTGGATTACTTGAACAATTTGAAAGAATACGTTTATATAGTTCAAAATATGATAGTTTAATGGAAATAGGAATAATCCCAAAGATATGTTCCAAACCATTTTTGTTGGAATTATTATTTTTTTCATTTAACAAAACAATTAATGAAGATGAGATCAATGATTGGCTATCAAAATTATATTATAAATTGAATAGAGAGACAAATCAAATATTAGGTATAACAATACCATCCAATCCTAACAGTGAATGTATACCTATATCATGTAGAAGAATTGATAAATCAACTCTTATGTTTATAAAAAGATCAAACCATGCTTTAAAATACAATATATCTTTTGATAAAATAAATAAATAAAGAAATAGTTATTATTAATCCCATTAATGATGAAAGAGGTACATCTCAGAAGAAGAGGCACATTTTGGAAAAAGAAACGAAAAGGTTCAAAGTGTACCATTTTATTCCCAAAATAACAAATAATGAGAACAACAGATAATCAATTACAATAATAATAATACTAACTTAATATATACTTTGAGGACTTGTTCATAATCGTCACTCATTATAATGAACATGGCCCCTGGAACAACCAATCATCTTAATCATACATTACCGATAAATCAATCACTGGCTACCCCCGCTTCAGCTGTTGTTGCAACATCCTCACCATCACATACGACCAATGCTCGATGTCTAGACATCACGCTAGTCAAACAACGTCATGAATGGGACTGTGGTCTAGCCTGCATCGAGATGATCCAGAAGTATGTCATACATTCATTCGCTCATTCATTCAATTACTAACGCTCATGAACTTACTCATTCATCTAGATGGCACTTGAACAATAAGCAGCAACAACAACAGCACAATGCAACTTCATTGAACCCAACAACAGAGACCATAACATCATCATCAGACTGTGCATCAATCGCTCGAAACATTATAACAACACAGAGCGTTTGGTCTATTGACTTGTCTGATGCATTGGCAACGATGGGGATCAATCATCACTTCTTCACAGTGTCGATTGGTATCGACAATAGCCATCGACTCAAACCGTTCTATCAACGCGACTGGTCTGCAGATGAACAACGCGTGAGCCGTCTGTTTGACAAGTCTCGGGCACACGACCCTCCCATGCTCTTCTTTGGGGTCGTGCCACTCGAGAAGCTCATTGCACATGTCAAACAAGGCCTACCAGCAATCGTACTTGTAGACTCAAACAGTTTAGTCTATATCGTCAACAACAACAATGATGGCAACAGTAGCAACACTAGCAGTGGCAGTAGCAACAGTAGCAGTAGTAGTGGTCACAAACGAGAGGACAAGGACTTCTATGGTCACTTTGTAGTCTTGGCTGGCTATGATGACTCGCGGCAACAGTTTATTGTTATCGATCCATCACTTTCACAAGGTATGTTTGAGTTTGATTAGCCTTGGCAAGTCATAACATGTAGTCACATGATGTGGACTGGTCCCTAACTAACTCATTCTCTCACTCCACTCTACAGAGTACTGCATGATATCAGTCAACGACTTTGAATATGCTCGCTCAAGACCTGGCACAGACATGGACATCTTACTCATTCATTGATTGATTGATCATCAGCCACCTCCTCTTCCTCCTCCTTCACATCATTCATTAGCTTATGTTCCATCCCATTCCATTTGCCTGATACATAGGAATGGATGTATATTCTGTATAAACAACCAACAAACAAGGTGCATGAGAGTTATGTACATAACTCTACACCTAACATCCACGAGTCAGTGTAGCTCTATCTAGTCTTGTCTAGACCATTGATTGATTGATTGCTGTAATGTTGCTGGTGTTTGTATTTATTGTGTACCCTGAGCTGTGATTGTATGGTCGACGTAGGGATGATCGAGCAATATATATCTCTCCACTTAGAATCTGCTTGATGGGAAGATCTTAGCATCCTTCTGCTCGTCCCATTCAGAGACCTGTCAATGACATGATGAGTGTGCGTGTGTATGTTATGTTAGTGACTCTCTCGATCCATCCATCTATCTGTCTATCTGTCTTTCAATCTGTATATGATTACATACCCACTTGCTTGGGCAGAGTGAGGTCATGGCTTGGAAGAAAGACTGGCACTTTGACTCCTCACCACCGTAGTGAGCCACGCATCCGTGGTAGTCAACATAGCTTGCCCAGCAGTGCTTGGTCTGATTCATGTTGGGGAATCTTGGGTTGTACTGGGCGGTGTTGCTTTCAATGTTATCCTCAGACATCTTGTTGTTATGTGTATAGTTATAAAGCTGTTTATGTGATTATATTTTGATCACAATGATTGATTGATTGATTGTTTGTTTGATTGATTATGAGTCTGATTAGTATTGTGTACACTACATTATATATATTCGATTGTTCACTCATTCATTCAATCAATGCAGGGCTAATGCTGTTGCTTCGCTCCCAACAGTACTTGATGATCATTGATCAATCTGAGATGTGTTGTTATGTGTGTGATCTTGAATGAATGATCATTGATGAATGCCTGTATTGCCCTGTCTTCTATGAATGAATGAATGAATGATATATAAAGATACATACGTATTGGTTATATGTATAAATTGAACACGCGAATGTAGTAGTAATAATGCTGGAAGTGCACTAGGTGAGAGGAAAGCATGAAGCAAGAGAAAAACGGGTGTGAGAGAATGAATGTGATCATGATTGAACCCACTCATCTATTTTTTTGAATGAACTGCAGGACCACAACTATTCGGGATCATTAGCCCAGGGTAACGTTTTTTGATCATTTAATCATTTATGAATGATGGTGGAGCGACAAAGAATGTACTGGCTATGGTGTCCAGTCATATCCACGGTTGTAGTCCTCTTCAAAGACGGTGTTGTAGATGGCGGTGACGGCAGTGTTGGCCAACTTGATGGTGAAGTCACGGTTGGTCTTTCTCCATTCAGATGTATCGGTGGAGGGCGGGAACACTTGTGAGCCACTTGGATAGTCGGTGTTGCCCCAGTTGCCAGTGGACACGTAGACGCGGTCGTCATCCAGGATCCAGAGCTTCTGGTGGGAGTACGTGTACATGTCGGCGTTGGTCTTGCGGATGGTGATGCCCTGCTTGGACAGGCGAGTGTAGCATATCTCGGCATTCTTGGAGTCGGTGGTCGAGTAGATCTTGTTTGACACGAGCAGTGTGACCTGTCCAGTGTAGTTTCCGACGATATCGCACCAGTCCGAGCCGGTGATTTGGTAGATGTACACCTTTAGAGACTTGGAGTTGGCAATGTCGGCGGTGACAATGTCCCATGCATTGTCGGGTGAGGTGAACACCTCGGCATCAGAGTTTTCAGAGGTAGTGGCGGCTTTGGTCACATAGCTGCCAGGGTAACTGAGTGGCGATGGGATGACCACATCGATGAGTGTCTTGTCCGTGATGATTGCCATGTTGCTCTTTGAGTAAGTTTGAGTTGGCCATTCAATGCCAATGTTCCAATCATATTCAAACACCTGGGTTGTGAATGAAGAGATTGATGATGATCCTTGAATAATGACACTGTTGATTGGTTGGTCAGTGATTGATTGATCAAACATTTGGTCAAGTGAATCTACTTACCCAGCCTCACGGTTCTTCATGAATGAAGTATAACTGTAGTTGATGGATGAGATGGAGGTGGTCTTTCCATCGATGTTCATATACTTGGAGTGGAGGAATGACAGAGTTGCGAAGTACTTGACTTGGGCACCGGCAAGTGCTAGGAAACTGATTGGGTCGATGTAGCCCTCGGTCAACGATTGTGATGGTCCGTAATAGTTGTTGGTCAAGATCCTCACGGTAACACCACGGTTGATGGCATTGAGCAAAGCACCCCAAATAGGGAAGGTCTCGGTACTTCTTTGTTTGGCAACAGTGCATCCATAGACTCCATTGTAAGTGGAGGAGCAATATGCCCATGAGCTGAAGCCTGGAATAGCAATATCAATCGTTGATTTAGCATTCTGATTGATTGATTGAGTGAGTGGTGTGTTTGTGTGAGTTGATCGGACCAATCAATTTTGAAGATGTGTCGTCGGTCTTACAATGACAAGGTCAGTCTCCGTTTGGATACTGGTATCAGGTGAGAAGTATGTTGTGATCGACATTGATCCACTGTCCTCAGCTGATTGAAACTTTGCATAATAGGTGACATTTTGGAAGTCCTGTGCAAAGGTAAGCTGACATAACAACAACAAAGCAAGTACAGAATGTATTTTACTCATTGTTTGATTGAGTTCTGATCTAATCTATTACTTTGATCATCAAGATGATTAAGAATATAACTTTGCAGACCATTAAAGTCATCAAGATGGTTCTGACTAAAAGCCAGACTTTCGGCATAAACCAACTGATGTACGAAATAGTTTGGGACAAGTTGTACGATTAGATTCATTTACAAGTTTGACCAGTCCATGTTCCAAGTCAGAATATGATCTTGTTTCCCAATGATTGTCGGGATGGGGTTAGTACTCCTTGGCTTACAAAGAGGCACTGATCATTCGTGTTTGTTAATGACTGACAAGTACAAAGAATGATTCAATCGATCCTATCATGTTTGATAGACACAACGACGAGTCTAGGTGAACGAGTAAAGAAAGGTAGAAAGAAAATCATATGATGATAAGGTGAACTCAGTAAACAAAAATACTGTACAAGTGTTTACTGGATTGATTAATTGAATCAGAGTCTACAACTAATGGACACTTGGGTAGAGATATTGGATGGCAGTGGACAATGGGAAATGGATCAATGATGGTCAAAGTGGCAGCAGTATCTTCTACATCGGCGATGGGCGATATCATTCTCCATCTGTACGTCCTGGAACCTGGTCTTGGACTTGTCAATCACAGAGAGGTCATGTGTCACCATGGTGGATGGCAGGGCAAGGTTCATAATGTTCTCTAATAACATTGGAGATCAAAAAACGTGAGTAGTTTGTTCAAACTTCTGGAATAAGTCCAATGTAATAATGTAATTACATACGTATTAACATGATTGATTGATAGATGTTGGAGTTTGGAAGTTAAATAATGAAGTAGATAAAGAGATAATAAGATAAACAATTTAGAATGAGTCTTAGGAAGTCTTAAACTCATCCCTATTTATAGTTTCTGGACAAGCTGAATCTGTTCATACAAATAAGGTAAAAGTATTTAGTATAAAGTATATCATTCATTCATTCAACAGATGTCAAAGAATGGAAGGTTATTTCCTTTTTTAGAACAAATGTATATCAATGAATGATGTGGTAATTGATCGATTGTCCTTAACATTTCCTTTTTAGTACTAATAGATCCTTATTATATGTGTGTGGGGTTTCATTCAAAGTAATGGTCGACCATTACCCTTTAGATCTTGATATCATAGTGAACCCTTTACTCTCTTTATTGATCTATATCTTCTAAATTCGGTTGTGTTATGAGGTTGGACCACCTCTTTGCCACATTTATCTACAATACCAAGATTTATAATTGTGCAATTTACTTGGACTAGACCATATTCTAGATTATAAGTAGCTATAATCAATAATAATCCTTCTATAATCACTATTATGTCTATACTTAATATAACTATTCTTAATACTCTAAACAATGTCATCTATTCTTACAAATACTAATACTACTATAGGTAAACCTATTAATATAACTACAATAACATTGAATGTAGTAATCCAATATTCATTCAGAATATCAATTAATCACTCTCTCTAATGGTTTGATATGTTTTTGTTCCTTTTAATTATTGCAAGGCTAAGTTAGGTATTGATGATGAGTTGCTGGCTGGCTGTCTTGGCGAGTAGGGGATAGATGATTGGTTGGATGGATGGACGACTGATTGGGCGTTGCTCGGGACATATGATATTTAAAGTGATTGAGATAGAGTTGATTGAGTTGTTGCTGGCTGTTTACATGTTTGCGAGTGCCTGGAAATTGGTGATATGTGACGTTGTTGTTGGTTGATGTTGTTGTTGTTGTTGTAGTTGACTGTCCACTCATGAGTGGATGTGACCATTCATGTTTGGTGGATTGGAAAGTGATGAAGGTGATGATGTGTTGTTGATGTTGGTGGATATGGTTTGCAGAAATGAGTTGGTGAGGTTCTGGTTGGCGGCCATCGGGTGGTAGGTGCCATTGCCATAGCTATAATTATAATTGTTACTACTACTATTACTGTTGTTGTTGCTGTTGCTATTGTTGTTGTTGTTGCTATTGTTGCTGGCGCCGCCGCCATGTCCCTCCTGTGAAAACGATGAGGCCAATCCACATATGATGCCCTGATACTTTGAGTCATCGATCTGGTTCTCAAAGTACATCTTCCTCATCTTGAAGAACGTTGTGCACGTCAGCAATGAATCGCTGCCAGCCTGATGTTGTGGTCCAATCCTCTTTATCTGTGTATGTACATAATTTGATTGATTGATTGATTGAATGAATGATCAGTGATAATTTACCACAAAGGTGAGCTCACTACTCGACTCGTGTACACATACATCTAGATCCTCTGCCAGTTCACTTAGGCCACCTTTAAGGTTCTTGCAGCTCTTCATCAGATACTTGATGTCGTATATATATGGGAAGTAGGTGCGGAGCAGGTCGAAAAAGTCTGGCTCCTCCTGGGGCAGAGGCGAGCATGTGAGCAGCTTGATCAGGTAGCCAAAGTCGTAGGAGCTAGAGAATGATATCCACTTGATGCGGTCGTTCAGCACAATACCCGACGACATCAGCAGTTCGCCAAAGTCCAATACATCAATACCCTTCTCCTCGTTCTTCTTAAACTCTATTCCACTTCGCGAGAGTAGATCTATTGAGTCTTGAGCGTACATATCCTCGCTAAAGTATATTTGATTGAGTGATTGAGTGAGTATGATTGATCGATCGATCGATGTGAATGTATCCATACTTTAGGTTGAACTTAAAGTTGAATTGCCATGTACAAGTCGGACGAGATAGGTTCCCTTCGGAATCTGCAAAGGTCAGTCCCAGCTGAATGATCTTTAGCAGGTCGACGTTGAGCCTCAGTGTCTGATAGTGGTAGTCCGCCGAACGATATATTCCAACTGGACGTGTAACAACTCCTGGGAACTCAGTATCCTGTAATAATATACATATTAATGATTGATTGAATTATTGAACGATCATTAATATTTGATTGATGTTCACTTCTCCTGTGCTTGTTCATGCTGTTGTTATCGCATCGATGGACGCATACCATTGCGATGTAATTATAGTCATCGATCAGATCCCTGATGACGGCCATTTCCTCCTCGAGATTATGCGCCCAAACCTCTCTGATTTCATCCGTTGATAGTGTTGTTACCATGTTATATATATATATATAATGTATAAGTATAATATGTGTGATGTATGATGTATGAATGTATGTATGTATTATGATGTATGTATGTTGAATGAATATCGCGCCAAACCAATCTGTTGTTAAGGGTGATCTCAAGAGAGATGATCTAGAACAAGCCAATGAATGAGTGAGTGACAGATCGATCCTTGATTTCTTGATTGATTGAATATTGCTAATCCCTGTTTGTTGTTGTTGTTGTTGTATTATGATGAAGTATGATGTATGAATGAATGATGATGAAATGCAATGTTTGTTTGATTGATGAATGGTAAACGTAACTGTTGGTCAAGTTTGAATAAGTGATAGAGTGCAGCAGCTGGGGGTTGTTGTGTGTATCTGAGGTGAACACACACATTGTTCAAAAAGTTGTTTAATTTTAATTTTTTCAGCTTGTTTCTTTCAACTCCATCCATCTGGAGGGTTTGGAATGAACGTGTGACAGGTCAAATGGACCTGGATTGGACTGGACTAGACTGGACATTGACCAAACTATATTATATAATATGTTTATTATTGATATGGAATTGAATTGAATGATCATCATCCAGGATGGACATGACATGGATAAAAGGATTGGTTCAAATACCCATGATGATTGAGTGCGCGAGCGAGAGAGATAGATAGATAGAGAGTGGAAAAAAGAAGAAGAAGAAGTATGATGAATCAATAGAGGTAGTCATCAATATGTGTTATGGGTTTGGGAAACAACCAAAAAGGGTCATATGTCTACTGTATATATGATTGAGTGAAAGTGGAGGAGGAATGTGAAAGGCAAAAGTGGATTGGAGCTGGCATCGCTGGGTGTCCAGCCCTTTGGCGGCTTGAGTCTAATATGGTGTGCGTGGATTGATTGATTGATAGATTGAAATTTGTGTTGATTGAGTATGGATGATTGATTGATTGATGTGTCGTGTTGTTGTTTTGTTGGTATATCTAAATTTACTTGGAGTCACTGAACAAGGATGAGATGGACTCACCTGTTGAAGTTCAAACATGAATGTTGATTGGTTAGTATCAATTTGGAAGATTGAAGACATTGGAGTCTTGGAGTCTGGATAAACTTACCATGGTGAGTACGTCTGATTGCCTCAGCCAGGGTGTGGGCGATGTTGATGGTCTTGATCTTTGAGCACTTGGCGGCCTTGTCGGCGTGGGGGATGGTGTTGGTGATGACCAGCTCTGTCAGGGAGGACTTGTTGAGACGCTCGACGGCGTCGCCACTCAGAACTCCGTGTGTGACGAGGGCGTACACCTTGGTGGCGCCCTTGCTAATGAGCATCTCACAGGCAGAGACCAGAGTGCCACAGGTGTCGGCCATATCGTCGACGATGAGGGCAACCTTGTCCTTGACGTCTCCGACCAGGATCATACCAGAGACCTCGTTGGCCTTCTTGCGCTCCTTGTGGATGATGGCCAGATCGGCGTCCAGCTTGTCTGAGATCAACTTGGCTCTCTTGACACCACCGGCGTCTGGCGACACGATCACCTTGTCACCTGGGATCATCTTTCTGATGTATTTGATAATCTGTGGCTCAGCATACAAGTTGTCCACTGGAATGTTGAAGAATCCTTGAATCTGGCTTGCACTATAATGTAGTCATCGCATTAGGATTGTTGTTCTCATTCATTCATTCATTCATTCATTCATTCGCTCGCTCACTCGTTTGATCGATACATACTGCAGATCCATGGTGATGACACGGTCAATACCGGCGGTCTCGATCAGGTTAGCGACGAGCTTTCCGGTGATTGGAGCACGGGACTTGTCCTTCTTGTCTTGACGGGCGTAACCAAAACATGGAATGACGGCTGTGATACGGTGAGCTGAGGCTCTGCGAATGGCGTCGGCCATGATGAGGAGCTCCATCAAGTTGTCTAAACAAGACGAGACGAGGCAAGTAGGAAGAAGGAAGAGGAAGAAGCAGTTGATGTTAGACCTCAATCGATCAATCAATCAATCAATCAATCATTAAGTTGTTTTAGAACATACCATTGACGTTTGGGTTGCAGGTTGGCTGGATGATGTAGACGTCCATGTCACGAATGGACTCACTGATCATCACAGAGGTCTCGCCATTGGAGAACTTGCCGACTTGGGCCTTTCCCATTGCAAGATTCAGGTCTTGGCAGATCTCATCGGCCAAGTCTCTGTGAGCATTTCCAGTCAAGATCTTGATTCTATCTCCCATTTCTGTATTATATTATATATATATAAATGTATATTTAGATTGATGTTACAATCAAGTAAGTGTCTTTATAATATAAGTGAATATAGATAGGTATAAAGAAGAAAGAGATATATATAAGGTAAGTTAGTAATGTTGTTCAGTGTCTAAGTGAGTGGAGTGGAGTGAGTGGAGGAATGGATCGTTCGCGAGTAAACACAACAATGTGGGTGGGAGAGGGTGGGGCGAGTGCGACTTGGGGTTTGAGAAGTTGAACTTGAACTTGGCGTGAAGATCTCTTCTCTCTCTCCCGCCTAACACTTCACTTAATTTCAAATTTTGTGAGAACAATGGTGATGATGTTGTTGATGTTTGTTGGACATGATAGTAAGGATCATGTTGTCTTGACCTGTCATGTGACATATCACATGATCAGATAATTATATGTATAGTTGTGATTGATGTGTGCGAAGACCCAATGAATGCAAGACAAACATTGTTTACATTGTTGTTGATTGATAAATATCTACCTACCTGTATGTATATCAAATACTTTGTTGTAGATTGAATGCCAATGCAACCAAGTCGTTGTTGGACTTTGAATGAATGAACGATTGTTCAACAACTCGGACGTCCTGCGGTTCGAACAAGAAAGACGAATAAATGTTGCCTTTTTTTATTGATTTATTCAACCTCCCATCGCTTTCGGAATTGGGTCCAGTAGTACCATTTTGACAAAACAACCTACAAAAAATTCCTGGTTCAATTCCGAAAAGGGGTCAGTGTAAAAAACTTCCAAAATAAATTGATAACGTTACAGGATTCGAAAAGTATCCCATAAACAATGTGTTATTAACCCCTATTGCCAGATTAGAATTAATTTTGGTTAATATTGATGTGTGTGAAGATGTGGGGTGGATGTGTGTTTTTAGTGCTTGTTGAACAACTTGCATCGCATTAATGCAACAACCTTTGAAATAGCAACAACGAGACTTTACATGTTGTCATAATTAGTTTTGGAACTTCATCATTTACCCCATCCAACCAACTTCACTCTCTCACTCACTCATCACATTCAACATCACTCACACACACACACACACTCACACAACCATCACGATCACCATCAACGTTCCAATCCAACCAATTTGACAACCCTGTATATATATTATGGGACAACATTTGGCTAACACACTACTTTAAATGTCAGGAAATCAGAATAAGATACTTGGTAAAAGGTCCAAGAATGGTATGATTCCAGCCTCACTCAATCAATCAGTCAAACATGATCACTCACTAACTCAATACTCAATCCAAAAACAAAATAGGCCCTCCAAGTGATTTGGAAGTAGTTGCATTGGGAGGCGCGAATAGGAAGAAGCCCCCACCAGCTGCGGCGACATCAGCTGCAACATCATTGTCACACTTTGGAAAGACATTGGAGTGTGATGAGAAGTTAATCACAAATATTCCACCATCATCATTATCATCATCATCGACAACTATATCACATCAAGAACAACATGGTGGCGGAGGAGGAGGAGGAGTAGGACAATCGTTGACAAACAAGAAATTGAAATCTGATCAGGGATCGGTCGTGGTGCCCCCACCATCTCTGTCCACGGTCGCCCCGCCACCAATCCCTGGCATGGTTCAATCACAATCACAACCACATGGATCCATGATGCAGAGGACTTCAATGCCAAATCATGGCAGTGGCGGCGGCATTAACGCCAGCAACATCAACAACAACAGCAACAACAACTTTATTAGTGGAAGGGACACAATCGACATGAGCAACACACTGGACATTATACAGGCGCTCGAGTCAGAGATGGACAGAGAACAATGTACGCGCACTGTTAGGAACATGCTTCAATCGATCAAATCGATGCCGGCCACGACGGCCGCCGCCATCAACTCGGAGCCGTTCGTCTCATTAATTGGTCTGGCGCGCAAGCGTCCCGACGCTTTCTCCAGCATCGACCTGCTCGACACACTGTTGGCCCTGCTACGGCGCGACCCCACCCAGCTCAATCAACAGAAGAAGAACAACTTCCCCATGGTGCTGGCGTGCAATCTGCTCATGGTGGCCTATGAGTCGCTACCAGACTGGCCACCACAACTCTTCTACGCGTTCATTGAGGATTCGATTGGCGATCGCTTGTGGGTGGATGATCAGAACTGCAAGGCATTCACTGCCGCAATTGTCTCCTCACTGCCCTCTAAGCCTGGCTACCAACTCAATGCACCAACCTCATCAGTGATCGCTCCGCCAACCCTGTATCCAAAGACTGCAGCAGCGGCGGCAGCGATCGTCACACCTGTGGCACCACCAAAGGTACAGCAGCAACAACAACAGGATACAAACATGTCGTCACATGACTCTGGCGATGAGGAGATTGAGGAGGAGATACTGTCATCATCATCAACCTTTGGCAGCGCAAAATCCGAGAACAACTCACTCTCGCGCTCAAGTGGCTCGATCAACTCCAACTCAAGCTCATCGCGATTCTCTCAGTGCCAGCCCGACATCATTCGCTACATCGTCCAACAGATAAAGTCGACGAATGTGTCGTACAATGCGCGCGGACTGCTGCGATTGCTCACACTGACTGTCGGCTTCAAGGAGTCGCGTGTGGAGGGTGCATCCCTGGTCGAGACACTTCTGGCCAACCAGAATGTGTTTAGAAATGCCAAGGAGTACCTGGCGCTATTGGTGGCACACTGCACCGATGCCACACCCGAGGACCTGCGCACGGTCCAGACACTCATACGCATCAACGTCGTGTCGGCACACACTGAGGTCATCCCCACGCTTCTGGCAAACAACCCGGCTGCGTACACTGGCATTGCCATGCGCCAGGCCATCGAGCTCGAGCTTGACGTGCCAGGTCTGGCTGCCTTCCCCACGCCAGGCAAGCCGCCCAGCGTGACGGGCAACTCCAATGTTGCAGGCACCAAATCCAAGCTGGGCACTATTTTCCGACACCTGGCGCCGCAGCGCGGTGAGGAGGAACTGGCGGCAATACTCAAGGAGCTGGCGGTTCGCGATGACTACGCCAAGATGGCCGCGCGCATGACGGTCCGCAAGATCGTCAAGAACTTTATCTCGGTGAACATGGCCTACTTTTGCTCGCAGCTCACAGACATTAGCCGCGACGAAGTGTACCTTTCGCGAGACCCTGCGACCAAACAGCGATGGGCACTAAACATGGTGCACGTATTCTGTCAGATCTTGCTCTTGGTGCCATCATTTGTGGACATCTCCAAGGATGCCAACAGCATGAGACAGCTCCTCTCCAACATCACGGCATCAATCATCACATGGTGCAGCAATCTCCTGGACATTGGCATCACCACGCCACAAGAGCACATTGAGCACCTCAAGAAGTTAATCTTCATCGATAACATCAACACCTATGTATGTATTGCCCTTGCCCTTGCCCTTGCCCTACCCTCGCCCTTGCACTAACCCTCGCCCTTACCTTGCCCTCATCTCACTAGTTTGTCACACCCAACACAATAGTGGACTCTGATCGCAATGCATATAGGATACTCTCGAACGAGGTGCAGATACAGGAGACATTGATCGAGTCGCTGTTGTCTTTGGCGTTCGAGCATGGGGTAGACAACAGACTGATATTGGACTTTATCGACAGCGTTCTACGAAGGGCCCTGTCCATCCTATTCAAGTTTGGCGTGCCCTGTGCAGTTACACGCGGTAATATGGCCGATCAAGTGATGGAGCTGTCAGTGATCGGCGGTACGAAGCAAACATTGGGCGACTTGCGCATATCATTCACTCCAATCTTCTGGCAGGCCACGACCTCGCTGTGTCTGTTGGCGTGTCTGGCGCCATCCAGTGTGGGCGCAAATGCATGGTTGCATTGTCCCACAGTGCGGGTGCTCCTCGAGATGATAGTGACTCGCACATGGAAGTTCCCGCCCTACGTCTCCAAGACCACACCCGCCAACCAGTACCAGATCAACGAGCTCAATCAAAAGAATCGCGAGAATGAGCTAGCCGCACGCTTCCCCCAACTGCAACAGGTGGAGTTCAGCCTGTTTGATCCGCGGGGTCCAAGCCGCCAGCCCCCCGACGACGTCATTGAGCGAGTCCAGCGCCTGGACACCGACTTCCACCTGGGCATCTCGCTGTGCGCCTGTCGCCAACCCGACTACCTGCTGGAGATCATGGGCAACCAGGACAGTCGCCAGGTCATGTCATGGCTCACACCCATCATACACAACGACCCGCGCACTCTTGACATCCTGCCGCCCGTATGTTTGGCCGAGGTGCTGCTGTCTTCACAGCTGAGCGTGCCCGTCGCGATCGCCCAATCAGTCACTCCAAAGTTACTGCAGCGCATCCATCAGTTCTTCTCGAATGCCTCCACGCCTCAACCCACGATCGACATCATGCGATTCTTCTTCAACAATCTGTGCTCTCCATCATCAGTCACGCGAACAGTGTCGAAGAGGGCAATCAACTTGTTGCCGGCCATCGGTGGGCCTGCCTCAGGATCCGCGCCAGACGACTATCAATGGCTCAATCGACTTCAATCACTTCAACACTACGCATCCATCGCGCCAATCGTGTTGCATTCATTGCGAGCTGCCTTGCACGTTGAGTCAGACCTGCGTGCCCTGCGCGCCTACCTCAACTACCTGTACTCGAGTTATTCGAATTCTGGCGTTGGTGATCGCTCACTCGTCCTAGACATCAGCCGACTGTTGTTACAACGCGATATTGTCGCTCGCTACCTCATCAATGATCCCATCGTCTCGGTGGCCATCGATGTCCTAATGGGCGCATTCACCATCGATGACTATCCCCAACTCCTGCAAGACTACAACAACAGTACCAGCAACAACACAGCAGAGTACATGCTGACTATGGGCATGCTGAGATGGAAGGTCGAAGGCCAGACTGTGCAGGTGTCACGGTTCGTGGCCGACGCCGTTGTCTATCTTGTCTCGTTAGCCGACTCAAAGAACGCTCAGCTGAGCGCCCGTCTACTCAAGCTTGTTAACAACTTGGTGGCAAGACCCCTGACCCCTGCACTAGAGTACATCGATGAGAATGGCGCGCCAACAACGCTGCTCAAGACCCAGTCGCAGGCCACAATGGTGCTGCAAAGCAGTGTTGGAGGGCTGATCGATCTGGCCGTTGCGCGACTCAATGATTCACAATTGTTTGAGCAGATTGTGTCATTCGCGGTATCACCATTGGCACGCGAGATGATCGGACGTCACTTGGACCGGGTGGCCGGCTTGTCGGATGGACTTGGCAACATACTGTCTGGAGGGACCACGCGTCCATCAATCGATCAAGCAATCCAGATCATCAAGTCCTACAAGAGTGCGGGAATGAAGAGTGGAAGCAAGTTGATCTCTTGTCTCGAGAAGATGAACCACAGTGGTACTAATCACAACAGTGCCAACGCAAGCGCCTCAAGTAGTCGTCGACCATCAAAGGAAGGAAACAGCCTCTTGTCACTTTTCAACTCATCAATCACGCTTGGAGCACAAGCAGATCACAAACAAGATGTCTCCACCACAAAGATGTCAATCGATTCTCCATCGCCAGTAGCATCCGCCAAGAAGCGCGCACTACATGTCCGCGCCATCTCCACTCCTGCTGGCACCATGGCGGCCAGCCAATGCCTCAACGTCTCCAACAATGTGATAACATCGGAGCACATCGCCGCGATACTCTCTTGCGCGGCCATTGACATTGATATGGACGACGATCAGTTGGCAAAGGCAGTCACACAAAGCCTCTGTCAACTAATCACTCAATCTCCTTCATTGGCGCACTTTGAGCGATACCTTGGCGCATTGTTTGGCAAGATCTATGGACACCAACAGGCCTCACTCAAGCATCGAACGCTCCCCGCCAAGACCCACGCCGCCCTCCTCCGCGGCCTGGTTTTCACTGTCAAGCAATTGGCTTCGGCGTCGACGGTCAAACTGTCGTACGCGGTAGGAATCCTGTTGGATTGGATCCTGCAGCTGATCCCTCAGTGCCAGAGCGAGCAAGATATTGTCACCAGCCTGTTTGGACTCATGTTTGAGCGGTCCGCCGAGCCAGGTGCCGCCACTGCCAGCTCCGTCGCCTTCTCCACATTGTTACGCTCTCACTTTGTCCACAACTCAACGTGGCGCGCACTGTCCTTGATGGTTGACATGTTCTTCTCGCCACGGATCCGCGCCAAGCAGGACACAATCGACTACACATCATTGTTGTCATTCATCGCGGCCTACCACTCACATCCACGATCAAGTGCGCCCTACTACTCGTCGCCCACCGAGCAGAGCATTGACTCATCGACTACGCACTACCTTACACCTTACACAACACGTACGCTGGCCGACTACATTATGCGCGAGATGGATACCACACACTCACATGACAATGTACTGCGGAAGCGTCGTGTCCTGCTCAACTCCTCTGCGCGCCAGTGTGATGAGAACATCGTCTCGCTGGCACTGCACCTGGCCAACAGCAAAGCAAGTGTGACGAGCGGTGGCTCGATTATGTCGTCACAAACGCGCTCACTGTCCGTCCCCACAGCGGCACAGTCCATTCTTCTCCAACTATATTACAGCTTCCCATCATTGATCAAGGCACACGTGGCCCACTACTCGCCCAACATCAATGTACAGGACAATGCGCAGCATTCACAATCACAGTCACAATCACTGGCACAACAGCCAGACAAGGATGTACATGGAGAAGAGGCCAATGCCAATGGCATACCACACACCAACTTGGACACAATCATTCATCGAGTGATACTCAAGATTAATGAGGCAGATATGCGATCAGAGTCATTCGTACTACTGCGTAAACTGACGATTGGACATCCTGAGCTGATCACCTCGCACCTTCCGACGATCTTCACACTCTTCTCTGGTCGATCCAACCTCCCCATCGCCCAATTCATCCAGAAGAAGTACCAATCACTCTACATCCAACTTCTGGATATCATGGACATTCTCAATCCATTCGTATTCAATGTAAGTACCTTGGAATCGACAGATGGAATCATCCCGCTCACTAACTCACTCAATCAATCAATTCAATCAATCCAATCATTGACAGAGTCCATACTTTGAGAAGATAATGAGCGAATACTTTATGTTCTTTGGCAATGTCAGGTCATTCTTTGATGAGCTCATACCTCTGATATCTAAGTTCACCGAGTTCCTGTCAGCTCATACCTCCACCGGGAGGATACCAACTCTAATTGTAAATAGAAATAATGATACACTAGTGTAAGTAACATCGATCATGGCCATAATGAGTATGACAACATAGCTCACTTACCAACTCATTCAATCATGTAGAACACTGTCCAACCTCTACCAGAATATACCATCGATTAAGGCATTAGTCAACAAGTTTATGTTGCAGACTTCTTCATACTCGACTTCATCATCACATCATGGCTCTTACAAACAACAACAGCAACAACAACAGCAGCAACAACAATGGACTGTACAACATAATATCCAACAAGCCCGTATCGTCCAGATCAAGCACGAGCTGATCATAGCGATGCAACAACAACATGAAAGACAACACAACAACGGAAACAACAACATGAGCAACAGTATGAACAACAATGGAAACAACATGATGATGATAACTACGATGAACAAGAGTGATGAAAGATTGTTGAGACTATTGCAAGAGATTGAAAGGATAACATATACGACACCATCAGCACTGCCATTGTATCTGGAGTCGATCACACCATTGATCGAGAGCAACAATGTTCAGATAAGATCGATAACCTACTTCCTGTTGCTACGCTATCTGAACCACTCGCCCAAGCAGAGTGGCGCCATTGTCGACACCTACCTGGGCTGCTTCCGCAGTGCCAATCCCGAGGTGGTCAAGTCAGCGTTGCAGAATGCCAGCCAGTTCTTCCACTTTACACAGGGCAGCACCGAACACCTTGTCCAACAAGTGTTGCTCTATGGTGGCCGCGAGTCTATACAAGAGATCAAGAAGCTGATACATCCATTCATCAGAATATACTCATAAAGTGCAAGGAGAGAGTAGAGTGAAGGAGAGTGTTTATACCTACACAAACAAACAATGTCCATTCATTCATTGACTGACTGATTGATTGATTGGGCTAGCTGTGACTGACAATGTATTCTCTACTGCTTCCACCAAACTGTATCTTGTCGCCGTGATATAGCTCCTCGGGATGATGTGGCTCGATCTCTTTGTCGTTCAAACGTGTCTGATTAGTGCTCTTGAGATCAATGAGTATGGGTCGCTTGCCCTCCTTGAGTATCGATATTGTGGCATGCTTTGAGCTGCAACTGGGATGCTCCAACACCACCTTGTTGCTGGCGTCTCTGCCAAAGGTGACCTTGTCGCCCAGTGTGATGTCAACGTTTGTTTGAAGGTTGGCACCATTCTTGTACACCTTTAAGAACCATCTCTTCTCTCTACCATTGCCATTGCCATTGCCATTGATTGATGATGATGCTGACGACGACGGTGCCGCAGCAGACGATGATGCATCTATCTTCTTCTTCTTGTTCGATTCCTCTTCGATTGCTGCAGCCTTTTGTTGTGCTCGTTTCTTCTCCTCCTCTTCTTTTTGTTTCTTTGATATCTTTGCCATTAGGTCTTGCTCCTCGCGTGCCAACTGGTTCTCAATCATGATGTCCTTGTAGCTGCGACCTTTGACCTCACCTTTGCCCGTGAAGGGATCGTATGTACGAGGTGGACTGAAGCTTCTCTTGCGCCACCTTGCCTGATACTCTGTCTCTTGCTCAGCCACTGTCTTTACCCTGTAGCTCTTGAGAGGATCTTCATCAGTGGGGTCTATTGGTATTGTATCCAATATATTCTTTGGAGCATGATATGAATCAAACTCCTTTCTAAGTTGTTCATGATATTTAGCATCACCATCATCATCAGCATCTCTATTCTTTCTCTTATGTTTTCTATCTCTATTACTATCTCTATCTCTGTCCTTTTGTTTCTTTGATGATGAAATATCAATTGAATCGACATACTTGTCAGAGTTCAATGTTGACTTTATACCATTTTTCCTATCTTCTCGTAACTTCTTTATCTGCTCTAATGTAATATCATCATCTTCATCCATTATCTTTATTTATATATATATCTTTCTGTTTCAATCAAATACTTCTTCTTTGTCGTTTGAGTCAAAAAGTTGATTGATGACAATCTGTCACAAACACACTTTTCCAATAAATTGTAAATGGTATTCAAATCAACTTTATTGGGAAGTTATATTTTGATGGTCCGCCCATATCTCTCAGGAAACTATAATCTCCATTTATTTTGTGCCAATGAGTATGAGTGGCTTGTCTGTTGGATTTTCACTGACCATACCATCCTTGACCATTAATAGGGCTTTGAGCTTGATGGTTGAGTACGTTATTCTGATAATTTTGAGATAAACTAATGTGATTAACAGGTCCTCCCCAAGGAGATTGTCCTTGTTTTAAATAATTGGGGTAATCCGAATAGTAATTATAATTATAAACTCCTAAATTATTATTAATATATTCTCTTGATCAAATAATATCATCTATAAACATAGAGTCGGTATAACCTATAATATTACTTGGATTAATTAATTCTCTTGCATTAATAAAAGTATTTGAGAATAATAAGAATACTACAAGAGAATAAATAAATAAATATAATATTTTCATATTTTTGGGGATAAAAATACTAATGGATATAATAATAATAAATCTTCCTCTACCTCTTAATAAATATTATTCCCTATAATCCAAACGACCAGTACATCAATTGACAAATTTGGAAGAATATAGATATTAAATTAGTAGTTTTACAATCAAATCACCCAATATTTTTAAATACAACCGATGAAGTTGAGTAGATTGGATAACAGGTTGTTTGTTACAACTTGGTCTAGATTACATTATTTTAGTGTGAATCTATATATTGAATTTGTTAAAATAATATTTTATAATCATTTACCTTTTATTTTATGAAGTTCCTTGATAACCTAAACTAAATATAGTTATTATCAAGATATAATATAAAAATAATAATATAAAAATAATAACTCTAAGTGATCATGGTCTACAAAACGACTATTCCCATTTTGGTGAAAATCTAGAAATCATAGACCGATATGTGATTAAATATGATCACTTCATGAACTCACATCGTATACTTAAAGATAAGAAGAAGAAGAGATGTACTACAAGACAAGTCTTATCATTGTTATTTTAGTCTTGTTTGCATTGTCAACACCATCACTATGTGATATATGGTCCAGTTGTGGATCACCAACTGATCACTTTCAAATACAGAATGTCACCATCACCCCAGACCCACCAGTAGCGGGTCAATCACTCAATGTCACTGCCTCTGGATACTTGGGTATGTTCTGTTAAATGTTGTTGATCATCATGAAGTATCATCATCATCATCATCATCGTTTATACATCAACTCACACTCGCACCCAACTCAACTCAAACACATTCATAGATGAAGATGTAGTTGGAGGTTATGCACATATATTGATCAAGTATGGAATCATTCCGATCATTGTTGATAACCAGGACCTATGTTCCTTTCCAAAGAGCCCTTATCATTGTCCGATAATATCTGGAGAGTATGAAAGATCAGTCGTTGGTGTCATACCAGCAGATGCGCCACCTGGTCAGTACTTTGGCAACATTTCATTCACCGATATGAACAATCAAGAAATCGCCTGTATCCTCTTCAACATCACCTTGTAGTCTGGTCCGACACATCCCCTCCGATTGATAAATTGATTGGTTGGGCTTCGCCCACTTGCGCGCCACGTTGCAGAGTGATCACTTTTGATCAAAGACTTGACCTTTCGTGAGTTGAGTGGGCAAGTGATCATATTGCTAATGCTCGCAAGAATCCAAAGTGACCAAATACATTATTTGCAAACCTTCAAACATGTTTAATTATTATGTTGTAATAATATTATTATCTCTTTTGTCTTTGACATCTTGTGATGAAAGTCAAGTAAAAGGTAAAAGTTCACTCAATATTGATCAATTAAATGACGTCAACAACAACAATGGCAATACATATTACTTTGATTCAACCAATTGCTACAAAGAATTATGCGTAATTGATATTAATAATCCATCTGGTGGACATTGGACTAACGATACTCAGGGAAAGGGACCTTCATGCACCAATCCTTTTTATAAAGTATGGATTGTAAACTTAGATGTTGCTCCCACAACACCATCAGACTACTTCATATACCTTGGACAATGTGACCTGCAGCATCGATAGTTATCATTGGAGGTCTTATCCCTATCATCAATGCATCCTACCCCAACACCAACATCACAGCGATTGATGTCAAACAGGTCCAGATCAACAACAACAACAATATAGGCAACTTGGTCATGGACATCAACAGATTGACATTGAACACCCCCAATGCAGTGCTACAGGGAAATGTGTCCATTGGAACGCTCAACCTAGAGTCTTGCACATTCACTTCACAATACAACAACATCAATGCAGTCATCCAGACCGTGAACATGGACGCAAGTTCAAGCTTATTGGGCTCCAACATCACGGTGATTGAACATTGTTTGGCCTTTGGCGATGTAGGCCAGGACATCGTTTTCCTCAGGTGTAACCGTGTATGGATCGATTGCTTTGAAGAACACTCTTTCATTCCTGGCCAACCCTGCGAATAGATTGAGAAACAATGCCGTTGTCTTTGTCAACGACGATGAGATCACATTGTCTCCATCTGACTTCAAATTCCAGATTAATTGGGGACTGGTTTTCTACTTCAACTCGATCAGCATCACAATCATTGACCTTCCTGGCCATTCATTCTACATGGGTGGGCAGTCCAATCAACCTATTCAAAAGACCATCATGATCAACCTGTCTCAAGGAACAATCCAATATCTTAATATATATTGGGGTGATCTGACCCTGGAGGGATCATTCACAATCAATCAGTTCATAGTACATCAACTCAATACTTCGATCAACATTGTGAACCAGTCCACGATCACGTTCTACGGCTACATGGAGAACACCGTGTTTGGAGACATGGTGATCAGCGGCCAATCTATTGTTATATTCAACTTTGAAACAATAACAGGCCCAATAATGGTCGATGATGGAAGTAGTCTTTATCTATCGTTGGAGGCAGCAGTTACCAATATCAGTGTGATCACTGTTCAATCAAATTCCTCAGTCAGATACTCTGTTGCCAACACTTCCACATCCGGAGGGGTATCATTCATTGTTTCCAATCACTCATCAGTGACGATCAGTGATTGTCCTTATGGAGCCATGTTACAATATGCAACAATAAGTGATTACAGTACCTTAACAATCGAGGCCAACCCAGACACTGACACCATAAATGCAACGACCTACTATGGACAGGGTGTAGCATTGGAAAATCATTCATCAGTTTTATTACAAAGTCATCTTACACTATACAACAACTTTAACATAACATCTGGATCAAGTGTCAAGTTGGACTCTTCAGTGCTATCAGTTATAGGAAGCAATAGTACTTTCTCTTTATCATCAGACAGTACTGTTATGATCAACAATCCATTGGGAAGTCCTTTGGACCTACCCATGATTGTTGTAAATACTACAACATTACAGTTTATTGGTACATTGAATGTTGGGTTCTCATCAAACCGTCCAAACCATCAACTTTATACATTGATCACGGGATCGGTACTGACAATCCCTGTACTGCCACGATCATACCAGATATCATTGGCATTCCCTACAAAACATCATTTCTACTTTGACAATCAAACTACTACTCTCTACATCAATGTTTATGGAATGTCATTGGGCCAAGCAATTGGAGTCATAATCGGTCCCATCATAGCATTCATCATCCTAATCATAATTGGTGTATTTATCAGCAGAAGGTGGAGACAAAGAAATGTTAAATACATCAGTATCAATGAGATTGATTGATTGATTAATTGGTATTAAATAAATTGTATTCTATAAATAAGTGGAGTAGTTCCAGTTGATTGATACATTATAGAGTATGATGGAGGAATTTATTTTATTAATTTATTTGAAATACAAATAATAAATGTTCATCAAGTTTGTAAAATTTGATTTAACCCTCAAGGCGCGAACTATTCGAGTTTTGATATGTTTTTTGGGGAAGATATGATTAAATGATTGATTGATCTAATCAAATAACGTTATTGTAATGGCGCATGTAATAATGTAACATGTCAAGTCAATGGTCATTCTACTTGTGGTGGTGGGAGTGTGTTTGGACTACTTCTGTGAGAGATAACCACACCACAATTCAAAGGTACCGACATGATTGTTTGTTGGTGATCAATCAGAAACATCAACAGATACACCAACAAATATAATAATTGATATCTACATTCAATAAACTATCATTTGAATATTTTATTATGTCACTAACAAAGAGTAAACATGGGACTAAGGAAGATCAATGTGATGAATATAGTGATGAAGAAGTAGAGATGGCTGTCAGCATTAGTGCGGCGCCTAGTATCCATGATGAGGCCAACCAGAATGGTAATTTATTTTATCAAAATGATTGATTTTGGAGTATTGTTTATTAATTCAATCAATGATTTGTTGTAGATCCTGATGTTGAACGATACAATGGGATGCTAAAAGTTGAGTTGTTGGCAGAGGCAAAGAAACAGAAGAAGAAAGTATCAAGTGGTCTAACTAAAGAAGCAATCAAGGCAATTCTACTCGATGATCAGCCCGATATTTCTTTAAAAGAATGGACTGACCAAAAGCCCTGGTTGGGTCGGGGGCGTTACCATGTTGAAGAGGTTAATCACCGAGGAGCATCCACCAATTTGCAGGTGTTCGAACAATTCTTTGACCTCGAGATAGTCCAACTCATTGTCGACCAAACCAATATTTATATTCATCAAATGGGCAGAGAGGAGCAGTTGGAGAAGTTATTCTTTGGTCATCCAATCAACAAAATGATAATATTCAAAATGTTTGCTGCGGTCATCACAATGGGAGTAGTTGAAATACCTAAGTATGAGGACTATTGGGAGGATGGTGATTGTTTCCTTCCATCAGTGGCAAGAATTATGACCAGAGACCAGTTCCGTTTCTTAGTAACAAACCTTCACTTTGCTGACAACTCTAAGTTGGATCCAACGAACCGTCTATACAAGATAGACCCAATCATCTCATTGTTAAATCGCAGATATCAAGGATTATGGTCATTGGGGGCGAAGTACTCAATAGATGAAGCAATAATCCCGACCAAGAACAAGGCACATGGATTGAGACAATATATCAAGAACAGGCCTGATAAATGGGGAATCAAGCTATGGAAACTGGTGGATCAACATGGATACTTTTTCAAGTTCTCAATTTACCAAGGTAGAAGAGGAGTGGCTGAAGCATCAACCTACCCTCATGGTGAGTCGGTTGTTAGGGAGATGTTGGAGGGCATTGATGCAAACCACTGGCGCGAGCTGTACATTGACAACTACTTCACAACGATTGGTCTACTTGAGTATCTCAATTCAATACAAATCAATTGTTGTGGAACAATCAGATTGGATAGGAAGACCATCCCAGCTCACCTTCAGAATGTCAAATTGCGACATAAGATGGAACACAATTATCTTACCAAGGTTGGCACCCCGATCACTCTACTCAGGATCAAGGACTCTCGAATATTTGGTTTGATCAGCAACTTCCACTCCCCAACCAGTTTGGTACCTTACAATTCTGTTTCAGAAATGAAATCATCATCAACCTTAGAGCCACATGAAGTGCCAGAGGCCCTCGCAGACTATCGCCAAAACATGGGCAATGTTGACCAGAATGATGAGATGATAAAGTCCCATGCTTGGATTCATAAATCAAGGAGATGGTATATGTCAATATTTTGGTACCTGTTGGAAGCGACCATTGTAAATTCTTGGCGATTTAAAAAGCGTTATCAAGGTTGTAACCAAACGATAGATCAGTTCAGACACTCTCTCAAGACCCAAATGATCAATGGAGAGACCCTCCGAAAGTGTGAGATATCAAACAATTACTTTCACATTGGCGAATACCGAAAAGTCCTGGTCGATAATGACAAGATTGAATACACCTCATATAATGTTGTAAAAAAACAAAAGAAATAATAAATATCAAGTACAACATCTAAAGTTATTGAATCCAATCATTTATTACTTCTGGTCAATATTACAAATTCAAAACAATTATTTATATTAAATTTAGTGCTCAAAACAATCAGGCAAAAGTTCGCGCCTTGAGGGTTAAAAGTGGACCCAAACCACTTCACTCAACATTCTTATTACACCCACCTGAGGTATTCGGAATTTCAGGGGGTAATTTCTCTGTGGGGATATTTGTGCGTGAATGATGAAGGTTACAGGTCTGAGATAGTTGTAGACGTGATTCATTTAATTAATTTCCCAAATTATTAAACAAACAGATAATATTGTTGTTCTATAGATCATATACTATCTAATCATATATAATATATCTTATACAAATATAATTATACGATCATTTTGATATCATCTACATGTACTATTATTACGAGCATTTTTAAGACATGTCAGGCGTACCTCTTAGAAATACTCCAACCAGGATACAGAAAAAGGACTATAAAGAGAGAATGGAGGAAGTCTTTAAGGAATTGCACGAGGATAATACAATACAACATAAACAGTTGGCACTAAAGTATGATGTCAGGCCAAGCGATATATCCAAGGCATTGGCCAACAATGGCATCCCATCTACCAAGCGACTATTGGAGGCGGAGCAAGAGGATATGCTTGTCAAGGAGATAGAGATGTCGTTTGCACATTACAAGCCAATGACAAAGAGACAGGTGTTGACTCGAGTTGTGGAGATGTTCACTGAGCGAACAGGAACAAGCAGAGACAAATTGCCATCGGATGACTGGTGGAAGGAGTTCAAGAAGAGACATCCAACTCTAAAGTTGAGGAAACTCAAACAGCAAGATCTTGTGCGTATGAACGCCGAGCGCAAGGCATCACTTAATGAGTTTAGAGAGACCATCATGAAGTTCATCCTGGAAAAAGGCATCGAACAGGATAACGTGATCAACATGACGAGAAAGGTGTTGTGTTCACAAAT